AGATCTGCAGTCACATGTACCACAAAATGAGTTAGAAATGTCAATGTGCTTATTGCCTGTTTCAGAATTGATAAACTTGTACAGCAGAGCGTAGATATGCAGTAAAATATGTAGCAAGTCACTTACTCGTACTCTTCTGGCATGTTCTTCTTTATCTCTTCATATGTCATTCCATCGCAAACTCCAGAATTGATCTCGTCCAGGGCACGCCATTGCACCTATAGATGAAAATAGGAGAGAATGATTTCCTCGCAGAAGGATATTGTTATACGAAATCAAGAGTCAAAAGAAATTCAGGCAGTTGGTGAAAATCAACCTTGGGAAATCCGACTATGGAACTTGCTGTTAAGATTGTTCTCTGAAGTGTACTGGTCCAAATCTGAAATAGACAGGGTCAATCAATATTAGCGTGTGATCAAGAACTTTATGATTCCAAATCAACCAATTATGGAAATGTTTGATCCTTTGTGAACTTGCGGCAAAGAAAAGGTTTCAAGGATGAGTTCAATGCTTAGAAACAAAATCTCGTGGTCCATGTCCAAATTACCGATATTTACTCTTCATACATTTTTTTTGGAGCTTCAGAAATTGATAGACTGGTTCAGATTTCAGAGGATTTAAAGGTTTCACAGTTCAGTTCTTACCAGAAACTTCAAAAAAATTCTAACATTCAAACATATTGTAACAGCTTGCAGTACTTACCGAAGCAGCCTTTTCATTTTTTAGTCGTTTTTCGACAAAGTTGGCAAGTTTCTTTGCGTAAATTTTTCCAGATTCACTGCGTTTCAAAGTTGAGAAAGGTTACGAGAACAGAAGTTACATTTAAATAAGAAATACATTTTTTACGCTATGGTTAGCATATTGCTGAAGAGGCTATCTCAAAAAAAAATTGATCACACAAGGAAGTAGCAGCAAGGCTTGTCAAGCCAAAGTATTGGGAATTTGGGACGGGTTCGTATGGAAAAAGATGAAATGGGGAAAAGAAAAGGAAATATAACAACCATCAACATCGGCTCAGAGCAGCAATTGCCATAAGAATTCAAATTTTCGCATTTGGGGATAACGGAGCAAAGACATACCTTATTACACTGTCTCCTCCAGTTCGGCCTCTAACATTGTCCATACTTTCTCCATGCCGAGTTAGTAGTATTGGTCGTGGAGTGAGATGCGTATTCACCTAATTGTAGGTTAAAAAGGTCAGCTTCTTCAAAAAAAAAATGATCTCGTGATCACCTAACTTATTCTTATTGAACTAGCCAATGAATGTTAGACTCTGTTGCGGACGGGAATAATCACCCTTCCAAGCATATAACTTGTAAGCTGGTTTTGCACGTTACACATAGGCTAAAGACATTTCAATATAGAAAATAAGCAAGAGACATGGCGAACTCTTACCAAGAAAAACACAATCCTTCCAGGAAGGTAACCACTAATATTGTTCACCTGCATCAAGAATAGATTAATAGTCAGGAAGAGACAAAACTATAGAGTATCCTATTGAGATCAGTATGAAACGCTATCAGTGACACATTTCTTTATCAGGCACATATATGAAACATACTTGTATCTGTCCACCATTTCCGCTGACCATATCAATCATTTTGATGTAAGAACCTTCTTCGACAGGCTCATAAACCTAGTAAAAAAATAGAATAAACTCAACATTTGAATATAGTACCAACACAATGGTGCATCGAAGCTGAGTCAACTATGCTTAACAAAGTAACTAGGACACGTTTAGAAGCAAGTTTGTATAGAGACCCTCTCATAATTGGCCAAACGGTCTCTAAAGTCTCTCACTCCAGCTTCAAAATCCGTTCTGCAGAACAGCGTAAGCATTTAGTTGACAGGTGAAAGAGGTCTAGTAGGACGAGAAGATTAAGTTGCTGGCAGAGCACCGTACTCTTCTGCATAGTCAGGACTTTGCTGGATTTTAAGACGTATATTTCTTTCAATAATGCGTTCATCATTGCAAAGTGTTTCCAGAAAAATTATCTACATAAGAGATAAAAGGTAAATCAGTTACCGAATAATTACGAATTCAATATCAGCCGACGATGGTCATGACACAGCATTACAAGCACTCCATCGAAAAAATATATTTGAAATGACACACTGATACATCACAGTATGTCGAAGCTTCAGTACCTTACACTTTCCTTCAGCCATTTTCATCAACATATTCCGTCGAGCTCGTGTGCTATTAGTTGCATCAAAGATTCCGACCTACAGATAAAAACTATTTAGGATGCTAGACATAAAACCAGGGAAAAAAAAATCTAAATGAAAGATACTGACTTGACCACCATCTTGCATCCAAGCTATCATGTCCTCCATTGCAAGTGCGGCTACCTAGTGGCATGTGATATATTAAAACTATGTGCAAAGAAGAAAATAAATAGTGTTAACATAGATCACTGGATCAAACACCTCCCGATATAACAAATTAAGTTGAAAGTACCATAAGGACTAATCTAGATTCAAATCAGAAGAGACAGTTGCAAAATGGCTAAACTAGAAATTCAAATTACCACTTACCTCTGTTCGTGCCTCCACACCTTCGGGATTGTCACCTCGAAAGAAATCAGCACACTACAAAAAGCTCATTCGTTATCAATCACAAATCATCCAACAGGGAAGGCACAAACTTATAAACTCTGATTTCATAGTCCTGATTTACCTGGTTAACTCCATGTTTAAGCCGTCGGTACTGTGGAGAAATGGAGCAACGATTGAGTCAATCTATTCCACAAGTGTTGCTAATGACAGAGTATGCAGAAAAGGAAAAAAGTCGAGGATTCATTGCAACAGAATGGCAAACCTTTCCAACATTAAAATGTTTAGTATCGTGCCCCAACCAGCGTAGATATCTAGTCAACTTTGCCGCGGTAAAAGTCTTTCCCCGAGCTGGCAAGCCTACCTAATACAAATTGATGGGAATGGTGTGAATCAGAACATTCAGTTTTTTTTTTAATCCAAGTCAATATGTTAAACCAAATAGCCAGCCGTCCAGCTCCCAACTAAAAAATAAGGAAACATGAGCTAAAAGGCAGAAACTATGAAGAGCGCCTATATGGCAAAATTACCAGGACAATTGCTAGATGTCTATCTTCTTTCGGTCCAAGCATTTGATCAGCTACCGCTGCTGCAGCAACAGCTCCTGCAGCGGCTGGCATTGAATTCTAATAATTTAAACGAAAAAGGGGTGAAACGACGTCAAAAACTCTAAAGGTTCAGATAATCCCACTTAAAGACAGAATCTAGGTCATGCCAAACCTTGGTTTGCGCATCAGGTTTGAGATCAACCAAAAAAGAGCCTGCGCTAACAGACTTGACTAGCCTAGGGGAGCCAACACCACGATCAACAAAGAGTCCCCTTTGACCATCTTTCTGCTGAAGAGGTGAGAGTATTCCCACTGACTTTGACTCACCCACTCCTGAAACCGAATAGGTATCCGAGGAATCGGGGACAATGACCTTCATTTCCTATGAGTGTATGCCAATGATTTAATAAGAAAGATGAGCGTTGATTAATGCAGGATCGGCATCTACCATGCAACTAATCAAAGTAGAACCTTTGCAGATGGAGATCCATCAACGCTAACATCAGAATCTTTAGGACTGTTTGATGCTGCCTTCGGGGTGTTGTCATTAACAAACGAACCAGAAGCTGAAAGAGATCGTGGATTCTCTGCATTGTCAGCCGCATAAACAAGGGACGAATGCGCAGAAGGTGCAGGAGCAGGGACTTCATAATGCTCAAGATCGAGCTCCAAACTTTCTGAAGGACAATTCTGTAAGAAATCAAAGAAGCGTTCATTTTCGGGTTTGGTGAACACCTCTTGAAGATTAATATAGAAAGTTGCCGTCTAAACAAACTACCTCGAAAGCTGATGAATCAGGATTTATGCTGACATCAGGGATTCCACGTACTGTGGAAAGCTGGAAGTTCTCCCTATAAGCTCGCCAACTAGCAGCGAGATCAAATGGTGAAACTCTATCAGCTTTGATGAACACTCGGAATTCAACAATCACATCACCTTCCAGCTTAAACAGAGCCACCCTAGAATCTCCTCGTAACGACCCACCAGTAAGAAGCCTATTTTCACCCTCCTCCACTATGCAAGGCGTATTTCTATACTTTGGCTTCAACAAAAACTTGAAATCCAAAGTCTCTGCACATGAAACCAAACCAACAAAAAAAAAAAAAAAAAATGTGATACAGACGCTGAGATTGTAGTTCACAGAAGACACGCTTCGATTATGAAACTGCCTTCAGCTAAAAGATCGGCTAAACGAGTTCACCGATTTGATTATACTCGCACAAGAAAAATAAAAGTAATACCGTGATCAGGAGGAACAACGAAGCTCAGCTCCGACATTGACGCGGATTCACGTAGCATCGGAAGCTGTCAAGAAAAATCGACAAAAGACGACGCAGAAACGCTATCAAATACCAGGTGGATGAATCGGGAGGAAATGCAGAAAGACGAAGAACAAATCACAAAATCAACCGATGCTCACAGCTTTGGAAGGATCCCAAGAACCGACGAGAGGAACAGAGCCGTAGACATGAGGAGTGAGCTCGCCTTCAACCTTAGAGTTCTCCAGTTTCAGTGAAACGTAGAGCTGACCTCCTCCGCCATGGGAACCATCCTCCTCTTCTTCAGTATTCTTCGATGCACCCGACCCCATCAAAACCACCGTGGCTCTGCTTTTTCCCCGGATTTTTGATTTGAATTAATGAAGAAGAAGAAGAGATCAAACGGATAAGAGATTTGAGAGAAAGAGAAGAAACGAAGCCGCTCCGCAGGCTTTTTATTCCTTTTTCCGGAAAAGAAAAAATTCGGTTGTTCTCAGTGGTACATTGGGATAACCGGATAAGAGCAAATACGTGGTGGTTGGTTATTTGGTTTGGGTCAACTCGGGTCTGATAGATTCGGGTCGGGTCGGATTATTTTTTTACTGCTTGTTTGTTTTGTTGCTTATTGGGCCTATGTCGACTGGTATGCTCTGAGGATTATACTGTGACCTCGTCGTCACTTTGAGATTCTCAAAAACTCGCCGAAATTTTTATCTTTTGAGCGCCATTTCGAAAAACTCAAATTGCTTCTGCCGAGGAAATCTGGAATCAGAGCCTTTAATCACTCGATTCCTTGAGGTTTGCTCATTTGCTTCTGCTTTTTTTTTTCGTCTTCGCCGAAATTTTTCCCACGGTTTGAGAGTTGGTGACTGTTTAGACTTAAGAGGTAATTGTGTGATTGGATAATGTTTTTGGTAGTTGCTATTTCTGGTGTGTGTGCGCTTCAATATCTTCAGAAAATGTTAATATAAAGCAGATCGATTCAGTGGAGGTTGTTTTTTCCCCTGTTAATTTTGAATTGATGCCAATTCTTTAGTTTCTAGATAATGAGTGTGGGACTTGCTTCGGTGGTGGTTGCATTAGAAAATTGGGATGAAGGAGATACCTAGACTTGAACAGTAGAATAATTTAGCTCTAAGTTTGTTTCTTACATGTCTAATTTCGTATTCTTAATAGTTGTTGCACCAGACCACACAAGTCTTTTATACCCAAAATCAACTCAAGAGTTTTTTAAACTTGTCAACAGCTATACATACTTTATCTTCTGGCTTCACCTGTAGTGATCTTCTTTAGCTCATTAAATATGCGTAATGTTTCTCCGTCAAAACCGCCAGCAAACTGTGTTGAATTTATGTTAGGAAGAAACAAACAAAATCGATACATGAAACAGGTTTAGTTGATGGCTTTTATGTACCTGGTGTATTGTGTAGGCAAATCGAACACCTTGAAGCATAAGATTTCCTTCTTTACCGCCTCCATTTGATACCAGCTCGTTAGTTATTCGCTTCATGTACGCCTGAGCTAGCGTCATCGAGCTGTACTTGAGCTGCAGCAGGGTAAAGGTTCCTTAATTCTTCTGTGAGAGTAGTGGTGAATGTAATAATATAGCCATGCATCTATAGCCTATAATAGCCATATAGTGCATCTCTTTATGATAGTCCATAGTTTCTTTCTACTGTTGTTCTTTTTCTGTGCATGTGATACTTTCCATCATAATCAAATTAATCAGATTTTATTCGGATTATTGCAGCTATCAGCCACCTACCTGTCCAATCAATCCTGTCTCAAGCATCCACTCCCACGGTATCTGAAAATCCTTGTATCTCTTCCCTGTACTGTCTCTCATCCTCTCTGTGTTGTTAACACTTTCTTCTAACCTACAAATTTTGAAGACTCAATGTGATTAACTCGGGTGGTTAGATAAGACCAGGAAGTTGCTAGTAATTATATTCTTTATACATGCTCGCCTGTCTTGTAACGATTGAATCTTTTGCAAGACCTGCTTTAGAGGCTCCTTTGGATTTTCCTTGAATGACAAAATTTCAGTTTCAAGGTTCTTTAGCCCTCTGTAATTGCAAGCAGCCTCTCTCAGTGAATCTGCTTTGCGCTCTGGCCATTTAGGGAAATGCTTTAGGACCGCCCTTTCATCAACCAAGGAAGATAGTTCCTCGTCTATCCATTTCACAAACGTCTCCACTTCTGATATGTCTGTAAATGTTGCAGCCTCCACCTTACTGATTAATAAGTGGATATGATCTCTGTGCCTGTCAGTGTCAGATTTAATCTGCAAGTGCACAAGCGCCATTAGGAGATCTTTTCTGGTCCATGATCTATCTGTTAAGACATTTGGAGATCAACTTTTATTATGTACTTACATCTGAAAGATATTTGGAGCGGTTTTCGATTTCACCAATCATGTTTCTGCTGAATGCAGGAGACAAAACTCCACTCTGGTTGATTTTGTTATCCGTATGAGGCTCTCTCCTCGTGAGGGCACGGTACAACTCTACAACTTCTGGAGCACGCCTCACAGACCTTTTTCCAAGTGTTATTTTTGATGGAAGCGGTGGAGGTGGCGGCGGCTTTATTGCTGTAGACTGATCTTTGACCGTTGGCTTCGGGTTTTGATTCCTTACCTCTTGGCCTTTTATGTTGGATTTGACACTCTCTGGCGCTTTCAAGTTTGATCCGTCTGTGTTGCCGCCATCATATGAGCTCTGCAACTTCTTCCACAACATTGCTTTCCTCTCATTGTCGTGTGCTTTAAGATTGCTTACTTGTGCTCTTAGGCGGACGACTTCTTGACGCAGCTCATTGTTTTCCATCTCCAGCGTATCATTCCTCGTTAGAGAAGCTTGAAGCTCCTTCACCAGATGCATGAGATCCGAATCATCTTCTCCATTTGGTAACATACCTGCCCCCTTTGTCCTAGTATAGATGTGGTATTGAGTTAGGTTTCCTTTGAGGGAAATTTTCTCCTTTATATCACATGCTTTTTAATTACTTCTCAAGGAAGCTATATATACCTCACCTAAATCTTTGATGTCCACTTTTGCGTGTGGTTAAATTCCAAATTACAAGTGTAGCCACAGAACACGAGTATCCTCTTGTGTGACCCCTTCTTTTATAATGATCCAGGTTAAATCACAGAGCTGCTAATACGTCTGTTTTTCTTTTTGCCTTGGTTGTCCATCAAGACAGAGTGAGCTGGAACTGAACCTGGGATACTGCGAGTAGACGATCTAAGCTCTTCTTTGTTGGAAATTAAGGTCATAATCTTGAATGATTATGTTCAGGAATAGCTATGCTTTGATGCGCATAGTTTGTCTAATTTCTTTATATTGCTTTTTTTTTCTAAATTGCAGATTAAGTTAAAAGATCCTCTGGGTCCGCAAATAAGTCAGAGGTAAGCAAATGCTTTACTTAGGCTTCCTAATCACACAAGAAGTAAAGATAATTTAGCATATTGAAGCTTCATTAGCTTTTAGTTCGTAAGGAAACGAACCATTAGGTACGGTTATGGTTTGCCTCCCAAGTAAGAGTCATATGCTCAAGAAGTTTCGTGTCTCAGTCTCTCACGCACTATTAATCCACCCCGTACGTCCACGTATGAGTGTTTGGAATCCCCTTTTTAATAATCTACATATCGTTAAACTAAGCGTTCGCTCTAATTTCTCTCTAACTTTACAAAATGATTTCACTGGTTTATACAAAACTTCACTTCTTTTTTCTGTCACATTTGCATTACAAAATTAGAAATTAGAAACGTGGTGTACTGAAATATTAACATGAGTCTGGCTGGCCACGACCAAAACCAAAAAAAAACATGAGTCAGTCCAGGTCATGACATTTATTAAAAAAACTAAAAGTATATATTATTACTTTCGGTTGTGAATACTAAACAACTATCCTTGGAGCATTTATGGTGTGACTTGTGAATTCACCATTCTCGCTCTGCATCTGAAGCAAAGGTAAACATGAAAATGACATCGCACCTTACAGTAGGTTCTCATGCTTTTGTTTTCTTGCTTTCATCATTTATTCATCTCCACTCTATTCATAGAGCTGGAATCAAATAAAATGTATATACTTCCTTGCTTTATTCAAATCTTCTAGGCATCTGTCTTTAGGAATGTCCTGGGTACCTAGAACTATTCGGTCAGTGGATGTTGGTTTGAATTAGTGACTCTGCCACTGCTTACAATGTTGTTTATAGTTATTTCATCTGGTATAAAAGAATGGAATAACAAAGTTTATGTGTAGAATAAAATGATAATATCCAACCATTAATAAAAGTGATAACGAAATATACTGTACTTACTTATTAGACAACTAGTTGGTGTAGTGGGTGAATGTCATGATCATCATTTGTTTATTAGAAAAATATTCGCGATTTTAGTTGTCCAGTCAAAAGGCGAGTTACGGCCTTGGCTTTTTAGATATTTTTTGTGTAGTGCAAAATTGTAAGCGTGTTTAATTCATTGGAAATCCTGCTTGGTGCTGGTCTGCATCATGTAGTAAGATTTCAAAATCGGCATCTATCGTCAGATGGTTTCTTCCCAACACTATACTTACTACTTTAATCCAACCTAAAGGGAGAACAGTTGAACTTCAATTGGTTTCGGAAATCAAAATCCCGCATAAAAGAAAATACAACTATGCTACCATAGATTAAACTTAAGTTATTTGGGTAAGCACAACAATTAAAGTGTCAGAAAAATGTTTTATAATCACATTTGAATCTATACATATCGAAACTAGCACATATTTACACACAAAGTTATCATTTGTCTCGATTATTTCAGTTTCCTTAATTTCAATTCAGTTTCCAGCACTAATCTTTATTGTCAGGGTCTCTGCTCACCCTTTTCCTCTCCAATTCAGGCATGGATCGAGCCCTCCTAAACACACACGCGAAACTCGTGGCGCGTGACATCCACCGCCTGACACAGTCACCGACAGAAGCCAACTCTTTCATCCTAGGAGGTCACGCGTGTATCTCACGCGTAGAGACAGTGGGTACGATCGTCTCTCGCGACATGACCCCTAAGTTCCTTAAGTTCGGCGTCGACGATGGCACGGGCTGCGTCACGTGCCTCCTGTGGCTCAACCAACTCACGTCTTCGTACTTCTCCCGGTTCGACCCATCCACGGTTCTGCTGCTCGCAAGCACCGCGCGTAAACAGGCCGCAGAAATCAGAATCGGAGCGGTGGCTCGCGTTCGCGGCCGCGTCGGCTCGTACAGAGGAGCAATGCAGATCTCGGCGACTGTTGTGGTGGTCGAGAGAGACCCGAACGCGGAGATCTTGCACTGGTTGGAGTGTGTAAGGCTCGGTCGAAGCTGTTTTCGTATTAAAAGTCAAATTAGTTAAGAAAGATCATTTATACTGTAAATTATCGACCAACCAATTTGCAAGTGCCTTTTTCGGAGTCTTATATATCATCCATCTCCTCTAATATTTTTAGTTCCTTCATAGGTATTGAATATTTGAAACTGGAATTGATAACTCCTTTCGTATGTTTATCATTTACTTTTTCTTATTTTAATGTACGACGCAGCCTTAAAGAAAAACTTCCGGAAAACTAAATGATAGATCAAAATTGATTTACATATATCACACTGTTCATTACATATCGTGTTTTTTAAAACGAATCTTAGATTGATTATTTGCTTATACAGAAAAGTAGATAAAGTTAAAATGTATAGGTATAACTTTGTTTATCAAAAACTTTCTTAAATGCAACGAGAGCTAGTAGTAGAAGAGAGATAGGATAAACTTTGTGAAAAGAAATTTGAAAGCTATATTACCTATTATACGAAAGTGATAGTGACCTCTTTGGTCTTGCCAAAACGCTTTCATAGTGTGTTTTAAATGGCGGATTGGAAGAAGAAAAAATCACTGTTATATTATATATGGATGGAGATGCATAATCAAGAATATCAACATCTTCCATATTTTTAATAGTTTGATAACTCAATGTAGCCATGAGTTTTGTTGTCTCTAAACTAGAAATATATTAGGACGAAGGTATCATAATAAAGTCATAAAGGTTAATTTCATCCTACATGCATGTCTATTGCACAATGCAATATTTCTGCAAATCAATTACTTTTATTTTTTCCTCTATTCTTTATATAGATACTTACAATGATCAGAATCATAAAACATTTTAGTGTCAAAAATACATAGGAAGCATGTGACCCATATTCCTCCAACGCGCTGCATGCGCCACTGGCGTGGCGTGTCTTGTTTGTGTTGTCTGTTTTACCTTTTAGGGTTATAAATGGGTGTTGGGCATATCTTGAGTGTGTGTGCGGTGCATGTCTCATTTAATATTGTTGGCATACTTGATCATCATTACTTTTGGAACATAAGTCTTGTCTTCGTCTCGAGTTTTGTCATCACTCATTAATCATTATCATGGTCCATGAATGAAGTTACTCCATGAGTTGGGTCTTGATTTTCGTATTTTAACTCTTGGATCCGGAGGATATAGATTCCGCGGAACTAGTTGATCTTCGTTTCGTCGTGGCGTATACGAGATTTTTGGTTTTGGTTCCATTTCAATAATGATAAACCAAACGGAGTTCAATCTGGCCCACTCTGATTCATACTATTAAATAACAAAGTAAATGGAAAAGGGTAACAGAGTTAATTTTTTACTTTTACAAATTTCATTTTAAAAAAATGTTTCTGTAGAAACAACTCCAACCGTGGAGCCTGAACACGCATAATGCCTTCTTCTAATACAATACTTTTCTTGTAGTGTAGTGCCATACTAAACTACTAAATTGAAAAAGGATAAAGAGAAAGGAAGATGAGAAAATCACTCTAATACGAGATAGAATCCACATCTAGATTTACCTCCTACATTAATCAACAATCTAGACCTGCTTACCGTTAGCATAAATCAAGTTCAGACCAAACCAAAACGGACCTCAATAAATACTAAACCAAGACAAAACCGGCTAAAACCGATAAACTCAACCAGCCGACCGCACACACTGCCCCTTGAAGACTCATGCTGCCGCTTGAATGATGAGAATGCCGTCCACCAGGATAAATGATCACTCCTGCTCCGCCGCGTGATCGGCTTCGAGCGCTGCCTCCTCCTCCCCTGCTGGAACCACTGCCGTCACCTCCTCCTCCTCCTCCTCCTCCCCGGCTGCAGCCGCCGCCTCCACGTCCTCCACCGCCTCCTTTTTTGATAACGACAGCTAACTCCCGAGCCTTTCCTTCAAGCCCTACAACATCTGGCTTTGAGGCACTGAAAGGAAGAGTCTCGTGGTTCGTAGAAACTGAGGAAGGCCGTGAGCTAATGGAAGGAAAATTGTGAAAAAGATGAAAGATGAACAGTATGTACAAAACAAACGATGTTCTTCTCAAACACATTTTTTTTTATTTTTGTTGTTGTTTTGTTTATCTGTCTTCTCTCTCTATCCTTTTGCTTTCTATTTATACAATTAGTTAACAGAACATAAATAAATGAAAGGGGGAGAGGAAGAAAACGCGGCAAAAGTGGTTACCAGTTTCGAAGTAGTTTCAGTATAGATATTTAGAAACTGCTCAGAAACGTCAAATAGATATTTAGATATTTTATCCATATATATTTAACGCAATAATTAAGATTCTATGAAGGACTAAACCATATAAAAATGCGAAAAAAGTGATGTTAAAAAAGTTAGGGACAAAAGTGCTTGGAGTGGTTCTCGTGGATAAGTATCTTGTAATCTTGTATTTTTTTTGTTTGTCGACTGTAAAATAATAATTACGTTGCAGGGAAAATTGAGAAAGTAATGCTTTGGCCCCTTTGCACGATAACATAATGTATTAGTATGAATTTCCTCTCGAGTCTCATTGTAATCTTGGATAAGTTAATGGGTGAGATTTTAGTTATGGTTTTAAGTCAGCAATGCTAAAGCAAACTGAATTCAAAATGCCCACTCCAATGTTAATTATATACTACTATTAAAGGAACTGAATGGAAAAAAAAATGGTAATAATTTATAAATTGTAACAGAGACATTATTGACTGTTGAAAACCAAATACCTAGTAAGCGAGAATGATAAAAGGTGTGATTAGTGAATTAAGAAGATTCGTGCATAGCACATAGAAACGACGAGTACAAAAACATGTTATTCTCAAGATAATAAAAGAACGACCACGACATATGAGTTAAGTCACTCGGTGTTCGCAATGTCTAATTACTACGTTAAGTCACTTGATGAATCATTATTAACTGAATACGAAATCGCTTATAACTGAATATGGTTGACGACACGTCACAAACAACTAAAAGACAGGAAAATAAGTACAAAAAGAATCCATATATCAAAGAATCGCTTCCTACATTAATCAATAATTTATCTATTTACCGTTTGCCCAAATCAATCTCATAAGGCATAATACCAAACGAAACCGGACTTCAAACATAAACTTTATAAACCCAAATTTAAACTCAAACCCTTCTAAACCAAGAATAAACCGGCCAAAACCGATAAACCCAACCAAGCGAGCGCACACACTGCCCCTCGAAGATTCCGGCTGCCGCTTGAACCATGCGATCCACCAGTACCAGTACCTCTACCATGAACCGGAATTACACGTCCCCCGCCGCCGCTTGACCGGCTTCGACCGCCGCCGCCACCACCGCGTCCTCCACCGCCTCCTCTTTTGATAACGACAGCTAACTCCCGAGCCTTTCCTTCAAACCCTACAACATCTGGCTTCGAGGCACTGAAAGGAAGAGTCTCATGGTTCGTATCAACTGAGGAAGGCCGTGAGCTAACGGAAGTAAAATTGTGAAAAAGATGAAAGATGAAGAGGATGAATAAAACCAACGATGTTCTTCTCAAACCCATTTTTTTCGTTTCGTTAATTGTTTTTGTTTTGAGTCTGTGTCTTCTCAGTTTTCCCTTCTGCTATCTATTTATATACATTTGGTTTCAGCAGTCATAAAGTCAACAGGGGCTGGGGACGCGGCTCCAGTGGTTGCCTGTTTCGACGTAGTGTCGTTCAGAAACTGCTCAGAAAAACCTAATAAATTCACTATTTATACTTTTTTGAACCGTTATATTTATTTTTTTAACGCTGGTTTATTCATTGATGAAAGAAGGGAACCGAGTACAAAAAAAATGATACCAAGAGGCATTATGAAATAGGGAACCGTTATATTTATTTAAACAATATAGATTATTTAAGGACTTAAACCATATGAAATAAAAATAAAAAGTGATGTGTTAAAAAGAAAAAAAAGCAAGAAAAACAAAAGTGAAGTTTGAGGTGGTTAAGTATGTTCTTAGCCCAGCTGTAATTCGTTAATTTTTGGGTATAATAGTTTGTCGACTGAAAAAGAATTAGATAGCAAGATACTAAAAATGACGATATTATAATTCACCAAAAAAAAAAAAAATGACGATATTATAAATTTGGCCGCGTCAACAGTTTGACCGACCCTTTGGAGAATAGACGAGTGGCTTTGATGCCTCGCATAGTACTTATTACGGAAATCATATTGATGGGCAGTCTCTATTGACGACACCCATTATTAATTCAATTTTATAATAATTTTCTAGACATGCTAATTTGTGTCTGCATCAAAACTAGCATCGACTTGCTGGCATTTAACATGAAGTCGAGCTAAGACAATTTCGAATTGCAAATGAAAGATTTAAAAAAACCACATGAATTCAATTTTGTAATAGAAAACAAATGAAGACTTCTGACTCTTGTTCATGAACAAAATACCATATCTTTCTATCCTCAAAATATGACCACCCAAAACGGATCCATAAGAAAACTTAAAACAATGAATCCAATGTACTCTTCCAGATAACCAACTTTAAAAATCCTTTTTTCACCCGAATCTCTCGTATCACTCGACGACGCTTACGACTCAAAACTATAGACCCAAAACGACTCAGCAAAACCCGACCCCAAGCGATCCCCTAACCACTTGATATGACTCGACAACACATGTGTACATAGATAAGATAGTGCCAAGACAATGGTAGACCCGAGATGGATGCATCAAAACCCTCTTGAGGCTAAATTACCTCGCCAGGATTTGGCAACGTAAATGTTGTTAAGCTGAGGGACTAGCCTCTTCGGTTTTCTTTTCCTCATCAGCTTTCTCTGGCTCGCCCTTTTTCTTTTCCTCTGCTTCCACTTCAGTCTTCACCTTCTCCACAGGTTTCTCCTCTGTCTTTGTCTCTTCCACTGTCAACTTCTCAAGAAGACCAGCGGTGTCAGAGGCATCTTTGCTCTCTTCTTTCTTTTCTTCACTTTCACCAACCTCATTGAACTTTTCCATAAATGCTTTGCAATCTGACAAGGAAAATAAGAATTGATTACCCATGCACCTCTACAAAGCTTTTCGGTTCATGTGATTAACAGCTCAGAAACCAATGAAAAATATACACCCTAACAAAAGAACACAGTAAATCATGTCATACTGGCACATTAAAATAGTTGCAGCCTAAGCACATGCTTAACCACCTCAAGGTCGATGCCTCTTTCTAATGCGTTTAAAAGCACAGTGATGAGCGTGTCATACTCAGAGGAAAGGGAAAAACCAAGCAATTGACAACACCAAAGCATCCCTATGATGAGTTGAGTCATATAATAAAGCTAAGTTCAAGATCCTTTAGTAATCTAAGGCACGTAAGTTCTACCAACTATGTAAGTCTACTGAGAATAAAGAAGGCAGAGCATAACTAACATGCATAAAGGGAAATGAAACAATTTGGCAATCAGAAGGTGGAGATTAAGATATGTTACATGTCAGTCAATAGCCATATTCACACACACACAAAAAAAAGTGGATTGCTAATACAATTGCGTCACAAGATCCAATCGATGAGCATACTCACTCTCAATTGAAGCAAATCGGATGCAGAAAAGTTCATCCTTCAGTTCTCCATCGGCATAGTCACTAGCGTGCCATACACAAGACTTTTCATTTCCAACGTGTTCCTGAACACTCATGCCCGGTTTAACTGCAGAAATTCCGACGGAAAAGACCAAATCAGTAAACAGTGACCTAAATACATGATCCAGAGGCAACAAAAACCACAGAAAGTAGCCTGAACGGAAATTTTACCGAAGTGATTAGCACAGATCTTCAGAGTTTTCGATTGCCTCATGACGAGACGAATCTTCCCAGTATTCTTATGCTTTAAGAGCTTCACAGTACCAGCTCCTCTCTCCTTCCACTGATTCGCATCCTTGTCAAACCGATATAGCTTCGATTTCCTTCGATTCACAAACAAATTTCAATCAAAAATCTCAAGACATCGCTCAGCAACCGAAGTTAAACCCTAGAAAATTCGATCCGATCCAGTTGACCTAGATTACAAAAACCGACGAGACCAAATTAATAACACACTTACAGATCGAGGACGGCGTCTTCGTCTTCCTCGCCGGTAGTGACGGCAACCTCCTCAAGCCTAACGATAGGAGCGACCTGAGCTCCGGTGTCCTCATCCTCGTTAGCTACGGCCTCTTCATCGTCTCTGTGCTCGTGCTCGGGTTCGTTGGTAGCCATAGTATCTACCGAGATCTCCTCGTGGATTCACTTGTTCGCTACGGTGCGGCGTGAGAGAGAGCTAGAGAATTTGGGGGTTTTGCAAAATAGACAAATAAAAGGGAACGATATTTTATAATTGGAGTTATACCGCGTCGAACTGAAGCTAACAATGGGCCGATTTGTTATATTATGGCCCATACAAGACCCTATTATCCAGCTTTCAATATAGAAATTGGAAAAATACAATTTAGGTCCATCAAAGATAAGGCCTAACAGAGTGTGCTTAAATTGGTTTGTGACGCGGCCTAATCAGAACCCTATAAAAATATTGTTGCAAAAAAAAAAATATAATGCAATTAAAAAGTTGGTTTGTTTTATGTTTGACCAGAAAGAAATTGGTTATTTTGTACATTTTGTGCCAAGAAGGAATGATATCAAACGTTAAATTGCTTTCCTTTTTTTTATCAAATGTTTAAAAAAAATTTATAAAATAAAATGTTTTAGCAAAAATAAAATCATATATGGAATTTTTGTAAGAACATATCCGTCTCTATTCTTTGAACCTCTCCATTTTCATCTTCTCTCCCTTGCCTGTAGAGAATCTCACATCCTTTTCTCGCATCTCTTCTAATCATGTCTCTCCCACAAAACTCAACTTTGTCATCGGTCCCATCCATATCACCATCATCATGTAAGAGACGCAAACGGATGCAAATCACAAATGTCAAATTGATTACCGAACTCCCAGACGAGTTGTTGCTCAAGATCCTAATGACCATGAGCACAGAGGAAGCAGTGAGGACAAGTCTGATATCTAAACGATGGGAGGGTGTTTGGAAAAAACTGCCTCATCTTAGCTTCGATATGAGAAAGACTGTCACCTCCAAGGAATATCTAATCGATCGTTCTGATTATATTGCTCAGCTGATAACTAAGGTTCTCTATTCCTTTACTATTTTCTTTTCATGTTGATATATAAATATTATATTTGGCGCTTAGATATACAAATAACAAATATTTAGCGTGAAAAATATTAATATTTTAAAAGATTTGAATGCAAGTGTAGATTGTGATTGTATTACTGTTATAGTTGATGAAGTATATGTCGGGGCTTCACATGCAAATCTTTATGAGCGGGACTTTAAGCATAGAAATCTCTATAACATAAGCTCAATGGTTTTCTATAAATTCCAAGATATAAGATCTAAAAGAATCGGCTTTTGTCTATTGACAAATTCTACCGTATATGTGTAAAGTTGTTCTATTAATCACCAGTCTTGTATTTGGTTTTATAGGTTATAAGAAATCACGGGGGCCATATGGAGTGTTGCAAAATCCAACATTTCTCATACCAAATCCGAGACGGTATGCTCGAAACTTGGATCCAATTACTGACTCGTGTGAAGCACACAAAATGTCTCGAACTGAGAAACCTTCGTAGTCGCCGCACGGGATCCAGTGTGGCCTGGTTGTCCCCAAACATATTCTCCCATCCAGACCTCACATCACTCCTCCTATTTCGATACGATTTAGAATCTGCACTTGCCTTCGACAATTGTCATAACCTCAGCATTCTCAGGCTTGAAAAAATATGCGCCGAGGCTGCTGTGTTCAACACTGTTATTAAATCGTGCCCCTTCCTCAAGGTGCTGGTACTAGACATAACGTGGTACACCCGGACTGGTGGTTTGAAGATTCACCACGACAACCTTAAGCTCTTGCATCTGGCATGCACTGATATTGATTACATTGAAGTGTCTGCTGCTCTTCTGGACATCTTCTCTGTTAACTATGTTTTTGTTAGGGAATGTTACGTCCGACTTTCAATCCCTAGAATGCTCCAGTTTAATAAAAATGACTGGTTGGCAGAAGCAAATATGCCTCACATTTCCTACAATATTTCATGTGGTGATCAGGTACAAGCACATGCAATTGTATTTACATATACATTCAGAAAATGATACGGTATTAATATATTGTTTGCATGTTTCATTTTCGTATATAACGCGAAGGGGGAAGAAAACATTGCGCATGAGTTCGTGGTGAGCAGAAAGAATTACAATTTGAGGAGGTTCACGTCTTTGACAGTCAGTGTGGATGTGATGGATCCGAAAGAAGTTCACATGCTGAAGGAATTTTTAGATGTCTGGGGCAGAGAAGTGAGAAAGCTCGAGATCTTCTTCAAGGTACTTTCATTTAACTCTAGTTAGATAGAGTTGATCACTTTTCCCTCTTTTATCACTTTTTCTTATAAAACCCGATCGATATACATGTTTATACGTATATTGTTCTTGTATATCTAGGATAACAACGTTCTGAAGGAAGAAGGTGAATCTTCTGTTGACGTAGCACAAGGGAAGAAGTGGGAACGTTTCTATCTCAATGCTGATTTCATTGTGAAAGATGTGTGGATGTATAACTTCAGTGGTTTGAATGAGGAAGAATTTGTGTTAGCTTCACGTTTTGTGACACAAGGAACGATGATCAAGAAGCTGATGATCAAGACGTCGCCGACTAATGAAAATAATTGGTTGGGGATACAGACGGCAGTGGCCAAACTAATGGAACTTCCAAAAGGTAATAAGGAGCTTAATATTGTATTTTTCTGAAGGAATCTGGTTCGAATCAAGACTCTAGAGGTTGGTCACATGAACTAAAAGATAATATGCAATCTCTTAATAATGTTTTGGTGTTTTTTTGTGTGTTTTTTAATATTTGGGATTTGGATTGTATCTCAACTTGAATATTCTGATTTGTTCCATTGACTTATTGTCGTAGTCAATACTTTACATCTTTTTATGTTATCATTGACAGTATATTACTTACAAAAAACCCAACATAAAAGATTATGTAAACTTTTGAACGTTTTCTTTGAAGGTGCTAGAAGTTTACGTAAAAAATATTTTTAAATGAAACATAATTTTGCCAATGCGTCGAAAATTTCTTTAAAGAAATGGTTTAGGGTTAGAACCAAGACATTTTAAAAACGTAACTGACAATATTTGTAGTACAATATGATTAGTACAATATTTGTAGTACAATTTCGATTTTTGGATATTTAGACATCAGAACCTAAACATGAATGATTCAAACCTTCTACAGCACAAAACCTAAAACAAACCTAAATCAATTAATCAAAGTACCTGACTCTCCAGTCTCCATCCCCTTGAGTCCTTGACTCTTGCAACTGCTTAGTTGATGAACCCAAAACTTTTTTCACGATATTTGTTCGTATCTAAAATTTTCGTAGCTCCATCGATGTATATTAGAAAAGAAGGAAAATATTCAAGTTGGGAGTAAAAGAACAAAAGGCAACAGTTTCCACTCAATCTCATCTCACCGCGTAAACGAAAGTTTCGTCCGATCCGAATCACATGTGCAAACAAACACACAAAAATCCAGGCTGAGATTAAAAGACAAGATTTCGAGTTCCTTGTTATTATCATCACCATGATATTGATACTAACAACAATAAGTAATGAGGATAATTTCGGTGGAGACACATGTAGAATAAATATCATTATATTCATTAATAAAATTAAAACCATCACTAATTCATTTGGCAACGCCGCCGCCGATCCCCGGTTTCCCGGCGGTTCATTCGGATACACAGAAAAGTCATTTCTCGCCGACTCTTCAGCCACGTCATCGTACGGATCCGATGATGTGTTACATTCCGATTTTACCCTTGTTAATTCCGAATATTCTGTTGTTGCCCTTTCCTCTCCTGAAGCGTGGCTTCTAACTTCCACCCAACCTTCCGATTCCCAAATTGCCCCTCCGGTTGTTGCCAATTTACAAATCCTTGCCATCGCCGCGATTTCCATTTCGGATCTCCACTCGCTTCTCCCTGCTTCCTCCTCTTCTTCATCTTCCAACTCGAACTGCGAGTTAACCGAGTCCAGTACGCAACGCGGAGATGACTCAGTGGGAGACGAGGAGTGACACTGAGACAGAAATGGATGCTGCAAAAGCTGATCGCAACCCCACCGCTGATTCGGGTCTCGCTTCAGACACTTGTCTAAGAAATCGCGGCCGCTTTTAGACAATATCCCGGGAACGGCCGGTAACTCGTCGGAAAAACCGATTCGACTCAGCGTGTCAATCCCGAGATCTTCCCAAGCGGGTTTACCAGTGAGCATCTCGATGACCGTGCAGCCAAGAGACCAGACGTCACTCTCCGGCCCTTGGTACTCTTGTCTGATCACCTCCGGAGCCATCCAAAGAGGACTTCCACGTGGTGTTATCTTACCCGTAGCCGTCGGTTTACCGATTCTGATCGTCGATCCAAAATCCGCTAGCTTGATCACGGAGCTCCGGCTGACGAGGACGTTCCTCGCCTTGACGTCGCAGTGAACGAATCCTTGCGAGTGTACGTGGCGGAGAGCATAGACTAGACACGCCGTGTAACGCCGGAGAAGAGTTTCGTCGATTCCTCCTGCGGCGTAATTAGCCACGTCACCTTCGGGAAGATACTCTAAGTGGAGGTTTCGAAACGACGTAATTCCTTCTTTCGAGACTCCGTCGCCGAGGAATCCCACGATATGAGGGTGAGGCTTGAGGGAACGGAGGACGGAGATTTCGTTTTCGAGAGACTCTAGTTGAGTGGGGAGACACGTGGTGAGATTCACGGACTTCACTGCAGATATTCCACCGTCGGCTTTGCTAATCGCCGTGCTAACTGAGCCGAAACAACCTCTTCCGACGCAAGTACCACGGACCCAAGAAGACGACATTGAAGAAGGATAAGAAGAGGAGGAAGACGAAGATGTGATTTTGGTGCTCTGTTTCTCCATGTGTGCCAACTTTCATATGTTCCTTCTTGTCTAACGTGAAACTATTTATATGTGTTTTTTGAAACTGTAAAACAGAAAATGTGAAGACGAAATAAAGTTGCAATTGTTTTTGTTTCTGACATGGACAATTGGTGTACACTTGTCTTTGCGATTTCTAAAGTCTCATCTTTTTTTAACAAATTTCCCACGTGGACATGTCATGTACAACACAAAATCTTGAGTCTATCTTTAGATTTTCGCACAAATTCTACCATGTTCGATAGTCAGGTTTTGGATTTGAACGAGTAAAAATATTGATAGAATGAAAATCTAGGAGTTTTAACCTACGCAAGATTTTACTTTGATCGAAATGATTAGTTCATTGGGTTGTTTTGAAAAGACAGAACAAGAAATCAGAATAGATGATTTTAGAATTTGGAAGAGAGTTTTCATGCCACCAATGACACTAGGAGAAGTTTCCGGCAAGAAACAGTGCACTTGCCCTTTCTCCTTAACCCTTATCCAACAAGAATAAAGTTGCGGTTTGATCTTGTCCGTTTATTTTTTTTTTCTCCCACAGAGGATAGTTATAAATCGCCGCATCGCGCATCACACAATCGTTTTCGTTTTAAATACTTCAACCCTTAAAAAATTGTACTAGGATTAGAGTTAGAGACAGATCGTGGGGAAGACAAATGAGCAATTAAAGCGTCGGAACGTTTGATCTGTTTTACATTTTTTGGTTTAGGTTGACTCATACATGATCAAACATGGAATATACGGTAGTCGACGTACAAATAATTATTATCAAAGGATTCATGAATCAAAATCATGTCTAGCCAATCATTAAGCAGGTACATAAATATAATTTGTTTACGTAATCAGTTAACATATAAAAGAAGGTGAGGGTGCACAGTAACAAGATATATACGCAAATTAAAGTGGAAGATATGGGAATAAATATCCGGAATGGTGAAAAGGTAGTAGAGATGAGGAAAGAGGTTGCCGAAAGGGGGTGGACTTTGAAAACGGTGGTCCATTTGAAGGTTTACGTGGCGCGAAACCGTTGGTTGACGTTCTCCAGTTGTCTGAACACAGGTATTGGGAATCGACGTGCTTGATCAGCCTCCACGCATAGTTAAAATATTACTACAAAATCACATTATTTGCCATTGGGATCATGAAGCACAAGATTTTACAAAAAAAATGTTATCCAGAATACTACGGAAACCGAGTTGGATAGAGAGAATATGGAAGATAGAAAAAGGAGAGAGATAATTGGTATTTTCACTTTTAACGCAAGAGATTGTTAGTTGGAAATTCTAGGATGATTAAACACTGGATCAATATAATCGTAATTTTTTTAAAGAGAAATTGTTATTTAGATATTTAAATCATAGTTGAACCGGTTACATCTGCTGGTTTAATTTACTCTTTTTGGCAACATAGTATGATTAATTACGCTAATGATATATAAAATTTTAATTTGAGAACACTTAGGTTTAGCCTTGTACTAATTAGGTAAATTGGATCAAACGTTATAAGCGATAACAAATACATGAAAATTTAGGTAACAATTAAATTAAAGAACAACATTAGAATTAAAAAAAAAAACAGTTAAAGTCATTCGAGGAAAAAGAACAATTGTATATAAGTTATCGTAATTCGTAACTATGTTGAAGTCAAAAGAACTGCGGTATTTGAGATCACTTTTCGATATAAAATCCATTACACACTAAGATTTTAACATGTTCATAAGTATTTGAAGACACCAAAATGACTGATTATTAATAGTATGATCTTCCCGGTAGGACCACACCCTAACCTAGATTCATGTACAGGAGAATCCACTTGGAAAAACAACTTCAGACAATAACACTGCAACATGTACTTAATTCCGTACTAAACTTTCAACTTTCAGGTTTCTATGATTAAGTTGATATCTAAAATATTTATCACGTAACGGTAAATACATTGGAGGCATCCTGCGTTACGTAACAAAAAAAACACTCATACACTTCTATGGATTTTGTGAAAAACTTTAAAAACAAAGAAATACGAGCTTAATGATTAACCAAGCTGAAATCTCATTGGTTTACAAAAATTGTTGTGTGTATAGTTTTTTTGTATTTGTAGTTGTTTCATCTGTGTACAATAAACATGCTACGATACGGTATATACAAAGTATCCTAACAACCAAATAAGAAGTCAAAAACGTCTAAATTGATTTTTGTTCTCTACATTGCTCCCATGGTCAGATAAAGCGGCACAACGGAATCAACATCACACTGATATCGTCCAAGGAGCCTCGTGAAACAGAGAGGTCAACTAGCTTCTTACAGGCTAACAAAGGCTCCCGCTTCTGATCGGTTCCTATGCAGAAGGGTCGAGCTATGTCTACTGCCTCCTGGTTACTAACCTTGTCCCATAGACCGTCTGACGCTAAGATCAAGAACTCGTGTTGGGGATTGATTCGTAGAATCTTCGTCTCTGGTTCAGATATTATCCATTGTTTGAGATGAGCATCTCCGATTCCTCTAGATACCGCTAAAGATCCTTGGATTCTCCAAACACTGTGGAATGTATCGACATAACCTCCCTGCAACATTACCCAAATAAGAACCAATGAGTAAAGATAATGTATGTTTGATTAAAATCTGAACTCGAAACATAAACGGTCTTAAAAAGGATCAAACTTTGATAGAAAGGTAAGAATCAATACCGAGCTTTCAATTCTGTTCCGTTCATCGTCCCTCGAAGGGCGGTGGTCAGAAGTCAGGGCCTCCGCGAATCCTTCAACGCTTAAAACAGCACGGCAGTCACCAGCATTAGCCACAACGAGATTCCCGTCGTTAATCAGAGCCGTGACGCAGCATGAGCCGCCCTTAACGTTCTTCTCCTTGAGAAACTCAGAATCAGTCGCTAGATAACCGCGTTTTACAGCTTCTTCAATATTTGACTCGTTCCTCTCACTAACTATTTCTCCTAGGATGTTATCACACAAGTTCTTAGCCGCAAACTCAGCCGCTCTTGAACCTCCGTGACCATCATAGACTCCAAATATCGCCTGCAATTCAAAGAAAAAGCAAACAACGTTTAAGATCACAATTCATAGTGATTTTGTATAGTGTATACTACATTTCTTCAAATGATTCATATTTGGTGCAATATTCTAAAATCCCATCTGACTCATACATACATCACAAAATTTTGTATACAGAAATCAGTAAGCAAAGGTTAAATATATACAAATCGCACTTCCTACTAATTAGGCGATGATCGGTAAAAATTTCGAAAAATAACAGAAGAAAATGGAAGTTACCTGTTTGGGATCTCCTTGAAGATTGGTGATGGCAGAGAAACGATCCTCCATAGCTTCTCTCCTTCCTCTCTTACAGTAAACCGAATACCCATCACCTTCCCTCTCCAACTCTCTACATTCCTCCCTCGGCGTCTCCGCATTCACAGAGATCGAAGGTGCAATAGCCGTGGGAGCCACCGGTATGTCAAGTCTCATCGGTCGTTTCCTCTTCAAAACGCCACCCGGTGGGGAATGGCTGATACACGCTCCGGGAGCAGAGTCCGATCTAAACCCTAATCTACGGAGGCAGAAGGGCGATGTGGGAGACGCAGCGGAAGGAGAAGAAGGACTGAGATGGGAAAGAGAAAGAGCTAGGGTTTCATGCGCCGGAGAAATGTTGGCCGCTTTGTTGCAGAACAGAGGGGAGAAAACCGGCGAGTTGCAGACGGCAACCGAAAATGACATGGTTCTGTAGAATAACGAAAGAGATTTTCTGGTGAGGATTCTGATTTGTTTGCTTGTTGATGGTTGTCGATTGTTTCTGTTTGTGTCAGCAAGAGAGAAAGAGGTGTATAAATAGAGAGTTTCCTCTCTTTCTCCGTGGCTAAACGGTGGTGACGATGAATGATGATGATGCTTCTTCTTCTAGGTCAAACGTTACCACTATCTTCCTCTTTGACTTTTCAAATCACCAATCCACCGCCACAGTCCATTTTTTCCGCCTTTTATTTGGTCAACTCCGCCTTCCTTAAAAATAAATATTGATTTTCGGGAAAATAAGAAGAAGGACAATGTGGGTTTTTCTTTGGTCAAATGGAACTTGTGGTTTATGTTTTTCTTTTCTTCTTTGGGACACATTCACGAAAAAAAAAAAAACATGGAAAACATCATTCAGAGTTTACTCGTTGACCTTTCATGCGTGGAGGAGGAATATGATGATTCTCGTGCTTGTTAAAACAACTCTGATAAAAGGCCCAAATAGAAGGAAACCTAAATAAGAAAGCCCATCTGGAAAATAAAGAAAGCCCATCTGGAAATAAAGAAAGCCCATTGGAAAATAAAGAAAGCCTTATAAAAAGAAGGCTACAATAATAGTGGGCCCGACATGGATATGGATATTTTGTTGTTGGTAACTCTAGAACCCGGCCCGGTTCTATATTTTTCTTCCCAGCGGCAAACCTCATTAACAATGAACTGGTGTGTTACTAGGAGATCTGGGATTGCTACTTCTTAACTGGTGACACCTTCTTCGTCTCTTCCTTTTGGGTCAGGTTAGATTTTTTCTTTTCTTTACTTCTATTTGTGCGTGATATCTATTTCTGAGATTTAGCTTCCGGTTTTATGGTTCTCTGAAGTCTTGGTGTTTGTGGTATCTATGGTTTTTTCTTTAATTCCGCCACTCGATTTTGTATTTCAGCTCAAAACAGCTTAGGTTTTTGACCATCTCTGGTTTCTCTATGTGTACGTTCATCTTGCTTTACGTCCTCGGAACAAAAAAAAACTTAAATCGATTTGTGTTCGATTCAGCGAATTGTTGTTATCCTTGTTGCTTCGGTTCTTCGTTCACTTAGCAATGGATGTCAAAGAGATTAAGTACTTTCGTTTCAATTGAGTTAGCTAGAATAGGCCTTAAAAGAGTTTCTATTTGAGTGGACACGTGGTTAATAGAACTTCTGCCTGAGTGCCTGGTAGGTGTTTGTTGAAATTACTCTGAGAAAATAGTACTAGAAAATCCTGAAATCTCGTGGTATGATCAAGCTCTCGAATTTATTTCTTCATCCATGAATTACGCTTGTTCATATGTTTCTTTTCTCGTGGTATACGACTTCTTTTGTCACCCTTTCTGTCTCATCATGTAAATGCAATTCTTAGTGTGGATTTGGTTTTGTATTGGATAGCTTTAAGGACGAGTTTGTCTTGCACAATTTGCTATATTCAGTTGTTGTTTTGTTGGTGAAGAGGATGCGTATGTGCTATTACTAATACAGAAAAGTGTTTTCATTTTACCAAAAAAAAAAAAATGTGTTTTCATTTACTTTGTGAACCATACTTTTATCAGGTTGATAACTTACTAGAGGACAAGGAACGTTGTTTCAGCAGCCATGGCGAAGCATCATCCTGATTTGATCATGTGCCGGAAACAACCTGGCATTGCCATTGGGCGATTGTGCGAGAAATGTGACGGCAAATGCGTGATATGCGATTCCTATGTGCGCCCGTGTACACTGGTTCGGATATGTGATGAATGCAACTATGGTTCGTTCCAAGGACGGTGTGTCATATGCGGAGGAGTTGGAATCTCAGATGCTTACTACTGCAAAGAGTGTACACAACAGGAGAAAGATAGAGATGGTTGTCCCAAGATTGTTAATCTGGGGAGTGCGAAAACTGATCTCTTCTATGAGCGTAAGAAGTACGGATTCAAAAAACGATGATTGTTGATTACTCGATTCATTATCACTAGTTAACTGTCTGTACTCATCATCTGTGTTATCGGGTGAAGAATAATAGTTTAGGCATGGATTCATAGAAAACACTGTTGTTTGTTGCTCTCGTGTCTTATTGATTAGTTATGGCTGGTTAGTGTCTTTAAGTGGTTGTGAAGAATGTGATATTTCCTCCGCGACATGGTGCCATCCTCACCGCAAGCTCTCATCGGAGGAGTTTGATTTTCTAACCAATTCAGAGCCCTACACTTTTTCGTTCTAATATGGTAAATATGTTTCTCTCACACACACACCTTGTCGAGAACTTAACAGGCAAATTTAAGTCGATATCAACTTGAAACTTAAAAGTAAGCGCAATACAGTATATGAGTCTCTGACGTCGACGAAGAAGGATATCAGCCTCACATGATTGTCAGAAATGTAAAATATTGCGTTTTTAAAGTGAGAAAAACCCAAAAATGTAATTTTCCCAGAAAAATGTAGACGTTGACTTTTTTTTAATAACGGACGGTGCCAATAAGTCAACGGCCCATGCAACACATGTTCGCTTCGCTTATGTGTTAACTGTTAACTTAACAGTGTGGAATCCACAATTTGTCTGCGGTTGTCAACTCATACATCCAATAAGATGATGCCACGTGTTAAACATCAGCTGCGGTTGGGACACCCGAAAACAGGTTCTCTGTTTCACTTTTTTTTGTTTACCTCATCAAAGAGATAAGTCAAGAGACGGAAGAAATGACACTGTAGACATCAAGAAAGCGTTACTAATATTTTGTTTTTTTAAATCTACGCTGATTTATTAATGCACAAACACGTATGATATATCATATATCAGACTTATACTAGCCTTTATCAACATTTTTTGAAATTTGTTGCGAACCTACAACCCCAGAGCCCTAATTTCCTTAAAATTAATGTTAGACATATCAAGATGAGATCTGTAGCGTCTTCCATATAAATAAATTAGAATATTCCGGTTGTTTAGCACTGTCCGAATAATATTTTATTTTAAAGTAGTTTTAAACTAAGGTTAATTAAAACATTTTGCGTATATAAAAGGAGAGGGTGACGAGAGGTATAGTTGAATAGAGAGGAAAGAGAGAGAGAAGGAGAATTAGAGAGGATGGGTTATTGTTCTGCAATTCGGCTGTGTTTATGCATCTTCTTTGCACTTTCGATCGTCTCTTCGGGTCGTCTCAGTTTTTCATTTTCAGGTAACTAGAGAAATTCTGCTCATCATCCCCATCCCCATCCACATACAATAAAAAGAAAGAGTTTAGAGTCTTATGTAAACTCTTGATCAAAATAGATGATTAGTCTTTCGTAACATATTATTACTTAACCGTGGTTTTAATATTTTCGTTATTATTTAAGTTTATGAGTTGTGATAAGTTGAGCTTCGTAATATATATTTTAAATTGCATGCATAACAGAAAATGAAAAGATGGTGGCAAGAGGTAGATCATTAATGATGGTGAGCACCGATGACTACGGCGAGCCAGCGGCCAACGCCAGACACAACCCACCAGGTGGGAGGCATGGAGGAGGTCGGAGAGGGTGAGAGATAAAAACAAAATGTTTTCTTATTGTTAAAGAAAAAACAAGTAAAAATGTTTTGAGATATATATAATATTTTAATTTTCCTCATTTTCTTTTGGCACTGTCGCCTCTTTCATATGCTGAACAATAAAACCATCGGAAAACAATATGTACTGATAAATAAACAGATAATGAACACCTAGACTTGTAACTGTTGATCTCAATGACAATGAAATGGTAAAATTATCATTCATCTTATGTGTGTAGACTTGACTGGGGTGCATAACTTTATATTAAAGCCACAAAGGTACATTTGTATATGGTCAAATCGCGAAAATACATTAAAAGAATTCTTGGCGATAATTTGAATGAAATTGGAAAATAGATTGGGCTTTCATAAAACCCAATGGGTTTTGGGCTGGCTGTCTCTGAATACGTCACCCCTTACAACACGGGCAATTACAGTCAGCAGATATTTGAATGAAATTGGAAAATAGATTGGGCTTTCATAAAACCCAATGGGTTTTGGGCTGGCTGTCTCTGAATACGTCAGCGAATATTTGACGTCCTTTTCTTGCGCCCCACAGCTGTGTAAGTGAATCACATGTTTTTTTAACTGTCGTTTCTTGCGCATCAAGTTCTGCTGACGTTTCTTTTCTCTTTTCTTTTATTTACAGAAATTTCAACACCATTAACTTTTTCAGAATTTTGTTTTCCCATATTTTTATTTGTTCTTTTGCTCAATCAAATAGCTACAGCGCATGTCATCGTGTACGGTGGTAATAAATTCGTTTATATATCGATGCTGCTGCAGTCCTATGTTAGACACAGAATATTCTTGATAACGTTTTAAAATATTTCTGTGGCTACCAAAAGAAAATCCAAGAGTTCATTTTCCTTTGTTACAATTATTACGTAAATTTTCCATTTATTTTGGAGAAAGAGAAGGATAGTGCCATCTGTCATTTCCAAATCTGGCTCGTAGGTTTTTCTACAGTGGTGGTGATACAGTACCAAAGGCGGCTCTTTGAAGAAGAGTTGTTCGATTCTCCAACAACTTAGGGCAGTACTATTGTTTATTGCTTAAAACAATCTATAGCACCGAGAACTTGGAGAGCCAAAGAGTCATGTTTTGGTTAAAAAGCCTCGTAAAACTCTCTCCGACGACTTCGTCGGTCGGAAACGTGTTCAGAAACCCAGAATCCTACACTCTGTCGTCCCGTTTCTGCACAGCTCTGCAACATCAGCAGCAGAGCGAGACGGTTCGAGCAGCGGAGGTAGTTAATGGGGTGGAGCCACATCGTTACGACGGTTTGGCTCCGACTAAAGAAGGGGAGAAGCCGAGAGTGCTGGTACTCGGGTCGGGTTGGGCTGGTTGTCGTCTTATGAAAGGGATCGATACGAGCATATACGACGTCGTTTGCGTATCTCCGAGGAACCACATGGTCTTCACTCCTCTCTTGGCTTCTACTTGCGTCGGTACGCTTGAGTTCAGGTCCGTTGCAGAGCCCATCTCTCGTATCCAACCGGCGATTTCACGAGAACCCGGTTCTTATTACTTCCTCGCTAATTGCTCGCGACTTGATTCCGAAAATCATGAGGTAGCTCCAATCGGTAATTTTTTTATTTTTTTGCTTAATCGTTTCTAAAAGTATTATTTTCTCAAATTTGGGTTTATCGCTGATTGCTCTGAAAATCGAGAGAAGTTTTGTAGATGAATCTCTCTCTTTCCTTTTTTGAGGTTTTTTTTTTAACAGCATTTTTGGGATCTCTCTACAATTGGGTGGTGAAATGTATAAGAAGATCCATTTAGGCATCCATTGTTCTGAAAACTCTGCATTTTCAGTTCTTTTTTTCCATAAAATATTTGTGCAAGATGTAAACATATGCGGTAGATTTTTTCTTTCAATTAGCGTTCATCAATGAGGCCTTAATTACTGTGAAATCTTGTATTTGTGTTTGTGAGAGCGATGTATGTGGTTTTGACTTTGTGTGGATCCTGCTATTGGATGATGATATAAACAGGTGCATTGTGAGACTGTAACTGATGAGTCAAGCACATTGAAGCCATGGAAGTTCAAGATCGCTTATGACAAACTGATACTAGCTTGCGGTGCAGAAGCCTCCACATTTGGAATTAATGGCGTCTTAGAAAACGCCACCTTCCTCCGTGAGGTTCACCACGCTCAGGAAATCCGCAGGAAGCTTCTTCTTAACCTCATGCTCTCTGAAGTTCCAGGTAAGAAACAACGCATACTCAATTCATCCACTTTGTTACCTTTTGAATGAGAACTGAACATGAGGCTGTTGATTCAATATCAGGCTTAGGTGAAGAGGAGAAGAAGAGGCTGTTGCATTGCGTTGTGGTTGGAGGTGGTCCGACTGGTGTCGAGTTTAGTGGTGAATTGAGTGATTTCATCATGAAAGATGTTCGCCAGAGATATGCTCATGTCAAAGACGACATCCGTGTTACTTTGATCGAGGTTTACTATTCTTTATGACTTCACTGATTATAAAATTTCATAAAATGTAAGTTTTTTGACCAGTTCTGTTTTCTTTCCAGGCAAGGGATATTCTTTCTTCTTTCGACGATCGGCTCAGGCACTATGCAATCAAGCAGCTAAACAAGGTTATTATATAGCTCATCTCATTCAAATGCCAACTTTCTTTGCATTAATTTGAGAGAAACTGGATATTTTGGGATTCAGTCTGGAGTGAAGCTTGTGCGTGGGATCGTGAAAGAAGTGAAGCCTCAAAAGCTAATCCTTGACGATGGAACTGAAGTTCCTTACGGTCTCTTAGTCTGGTCAACTGGTGTTGGTCCATCTTCATTTGTGAGGTCTCTAGATTTTCCAAAAGATCCAGGTGGAAGGTCAGTCTCATTCCAATATCAGACAACAAACTAGCTTGTTCTGTTTCTTGTCTCCCCAAAAATTCTGATTTTGTGATTCATTCTGTCTCTCCATAGGATTGGAATTGATGAGTGGATGCGTATACCGTCTGCACAAGACGTGTTTGCAATTGGTGACTGTAGCGGTTATCTTGAGAGCACAGGAAAATCAACACTTCCTGCTCTTGCACAGGTCTGATTATTGTTGTTAGCAGAATCCCATTTTTTACATTTGTGTCTTAATTAACCAAGTCACTGGTCAATGAAGGTGGCTGAGAGAGAAGGCAAATACTTGGCGAATCTATTGAACATGATGGGGAAAGCTGGAGGAGGAAGAGCCTGTAGCGCAGCGGGGATTGAACTTGGAGAACCATTTGTGTACAAGCATTTGGGAAGTATGGCCACTATTGGGAGATACAAAGCTCTCGTTGATCTCCGTGAGAGTAAGGTATGTAAAAAGAATCCTTCTCCTTCCACTTGAAATCCCTAAAAAAAAACACAGAGATAGCTGACTATACTTGGGGGAGTTTTCTTGGGCAGGAAGGAAAAGGGATATCAATGGCGGGTTTTGCGAGCTGGTTCATATGGAGGTCTGCGTATCTGACTCGAGTCGTTAGCTGGAGAAACCGCTTCTATGTCGCTATTAATTGGCTCACCACTTTCGTCTTTGGTCGTGACATTAGCCGTATCTGATCAAAGTCCTCTCCTCCACGCTACGCACTATTCTCTCTTTCTCTGTCTCTCACCACTTCTATATGCCTAATACGGAAACTATTAAAAACGATGTCGTTTCTCGAAACAACTCAATGGGCAGCAAATGATGCAATTGAGGCTTTAGAAAGACAGGGTTTTGATTTTTTGTTTGATTATCTTCTTTTTTTTTTGTTAGAACCCCAAAAATACTCAAAATTGTTTGTTTTACAAGGAATCCGTAAAACTTGAAACAAATTATCATACATTTACAAGCTATAATTTCATAAGAGATTGCATCTAGAATCAATGGTACTTTTAAATGATTTGATTTGCAGTAGTATCTACAATCAAACACAACGAGTTTGATAGAGCCAACTCTCTAGGCTTCTTGAACAAATCCAAGGAGTTTACAGCAAAATTAGGCGAGATGATACCTAAACTCTAAATGCCCAAAAAAGTAGCGGCAAATTGGTAACTCCTAAACAAACTTTATGTACCAAGTGATGATACCTCAGCTAGCACTAACTCTATTATACATTTTAATAATTTACACAAGCACAAAACTCCAAACCAGGCCTCTGAATCAGGATTATATCTATTTATTACCTCATTTATGTATCTGTAATCACATCACATCCACCTTCTCCGGCAACTCTACTCCGGCAGCTAAGCCTCTCGACGCAACCAGTTTCACGGCGAGCGTAGGATTCGAACCGTACTTCTGCCTCGCTTCAGCAAAGCTCGGAGCAAGAACAGTGTGCATCCATTGATCAACCCTTCTTCTCTCTTCTTCGCCAGATGACCAAGAAGCCGCCAGAATCTGAACAATCACGTCGTCATCAATCTCTAGCTGAGTTTCGGATCCGAAGCACTTCCGAAATTGTGAATTAATGTGATCTTGAATGTTCTTCGCTAACCCATCCAAAACAACCGGCTTGAACGTCACTTTTCCGTCTACCTGCTCAATGAAATCATCGAACCAAGCTTTTGCGTCCTCTGTTTCATGACTAAAGCCAACTTCTGTCTCATCCACGGGAAGATTCAGATCCAGATATGAACGTTGGGCCTTCTCTGCACGCTGCTCTGTTTCTGGCTCATGTTTTCTCTTATTTACTCCAGTTTTAGCCGTATCGGCTAACTTTATCTCTAGTTTCCAGCTTCTTGCGCTGAGAACTCTTTCCTCAGAAAACTTGGCAGGTTCACAAACATCATCAGTAGCATTGTACTTGGAGCTCCCAGACGTCGCAATAACAATCACATTTTTCATACTGATCATTCTTCCATGCGAATCACGGAGTTTCCCAGTGCTCACAGCTTCAGACAATCTGATCTGATCCGGGAACTCGGCTTTTTCCACGTTTTCTAGTAAAACAACAGATTGTGGTCTCCTTGATAATTCCCCGGTTATGTAATCAACCACTGTTTTGCCTCTGAATTTGTCATCAAGATAACAGTGCTCTGCCCCGAAATCCACACAGATGCAATTGACCTGGCCACCAAAGAAGACTTCAGAAAGAGCCGACGCTACTTTCTTCTTCCCAACTTTATCGGGTCCAAGAAGAGCCAGCCAAGTTCCACTTGCGCGGATTCTTCTTGTAGAGTCGCTTTTGCATTCGGAGATAATTTGGCTTATGGCATTCACAGCTTCGGTCTGCCAGGGGACTTTACGGGAGAGTGATTCTCTGAGAGACTTGAAATCTTTCTGATCTTTTTGTTCTAAAGAAGAATTTAGTGTCGCCAACAGCGGTTTCTCTTTCAGTGTGTTTGATTCCTGGCCTTTTGATGCATACATTACTCCCAACCCCAAATCTGTAGTAACACAGCTCAAAGGAGAAGTCACCGAACGGCTAGCCACCGAGGTTGTGAGATCCTCCTTATGTTTTGGATTTGAGATTGGCGGATTCAGAAGTTTACGCGTCTCCAGAAAGCTTTCAGGACTACTTTTCTCGGCCGGGCTTCTCACTCTTTTCTCGGCCTGAGCTGGGAACTGCGGACTCACCGGCTGAAAACTGAGCTTAGGAAAGACCGGAGTTTGATGGATACTTTGGCATATGTTGTCCCATTTCTTCTTCAGAGCTGTCGTTTGCGCGCCTAATGTGTTTGTGTCCTCTATAGCCTGCACTGAATCAGAACCAAAATCTCTCATTTACACCATTAGAAGCGATTGAAATTGAGGAATAAGTTGATAGAAACGCACCTTACTGCTGCCCGTTGTTCCCTTGTCTAACTCGGTCTCTGCAGCCCGTAACCAAGAGGGCAACTTCTCAGAGCACTGATCAGAAAGAGAGAGACTCGAACCGGCTTTGGCAACGGCGGCAACTTCTTGCAAATACTTCTCGTTGCAGAGGTGACATCTGGAAAGCTTCTGGTTCACTGTGCCACTCAACGGCACTCTGAAATCTGATGTAGACGAAAAGAACCCTCCAAACGGAACAAATGATCCCATCAAACTGTAACCAAAAGATTCACTAATATTTAGGAAACTGATCATTTCCAAACTCGGATTATGGATTTGACAAAGACAGAACATCAAGCTCAGGAGGGAAATATATATAAGGTCTCTAGTTCCAGACAAATGGGAAGTAAAAAGCTGAGAAAGAAGTGCACTTGATAGTGGATATATTAAAATATTCTAGTTATATGTTTTCGACACTGACGCAAACAATAAACTATTCCCATAAATAGATGTTTCAAGTTCCTTCAGCCAAAGTTTAAAGGTATACAAAGTTCAGTTCTACAGTCTTAATGCTAATTGCAAAGGGAGTACCTTGATTTTGGATAAACCCCTTGACTCGAAGGTTTTGAGGATGTGATTGGAAGAATATGAAGGTCCCAGTCCTTATCGATCGTAGGAAACCGAGCAAGAAGCTTCGTGTACGTCTCATTGCTCGATGCACATCCGATGAACCACAGTTTCTTACTTTGATGTTTCAGAAAATCCGAGAGCTTCGACACCAAATCCTCCAAAGCATTACTGTTTCCACCGGGAGAAGCTTCACTGGTTAAGAGAACCTTCAACTCTCCCAGATTAAGTATCATCCCCGACTTCGAGCCACCTTGCTCTACGATTCTTACTAATTCATCAAGTTTCATGCGAATCTCCTCGTCAGTTCTTGATCCACCGGCTAAAATTTCACTAATTTCCTTCTCTATGCTAACTATGCTTAACCCGCTAATCTCCGGAGGAAGAAACCCTAGCTTCCCACCGTTGATCGAATCCGTGAACGTTGTAAGAGCTTCGCTAGCGCAATTTCCAACAAGCAGAGGGTTCCTCCTCTCTTGACGACCTAATACTTCTCCGATTCTCCGGGAATTCTCATCGAAACCGCTGCTCCCACCAAACGGGAACTCACGACTCGGATCTGAGTTCGGAAGATTACAGAGGAAGAGAGGCGGACAACGAGCTCGAGAGAAGCGGGGAGAGAACTGCGTTACCGGAGGGTGAAGCACGTCTAGCTTGATATCGGAGCTCCGAAACCCGGCTTCGCCGAAGACCCGGTTAACAATCGGATCGTCGAGGATGGATAGTATGAAGTACTTCAACTCGACCTTCAAAACAGTCGTTTGGCAGCCGCTGCCGCCGCCGCCACTTGCGTGGATCTGCTGGAGATGATACGTCTCCGGATGACGCCTCTGATTCGCCTGCGACCGCTTGATTGCAGCCATGAGCGAATTCGACACCGGTGGGTCTTCATCCGCCGCCGTAGACTTGGACGACGGGAGCCTGTCAAGAGATACGCCGACGCAGAGCTCCAGAGCTCGAAATTGAAGACGCGACGAGTAAGGAGTGCTCCGAGCGGCGCGTGAGACGCACACCTCACGGAGAATAGACGACGGCATCGCGAGAAGAGCGGACACGGCGTGGAGGGACGTAGTCTGCGCGTGGCTCCTCCTACGAGCCACCGAAACAGCATCGTCGAGAGCACGAGCAGCTTCCTCCGTCAAGCATTCTCTCGCCGTAGTCACCGGCGTCGGCATCGCCGGGAAAAGCCAAAATCAAAGTAGAAAAATCACCACAAACCCCTTCTTCCAATCAAACCAACCCACTTACTCCCACCAACAAAGAATCAGAGACCCGAGAAAAGAAAACAAAATTCAGAAAATACTATTTATAAAAAAAAACAAGTCAGGCGTGAATTTTCTGGAAATGATATTTATGAGAAAACGTAATCAAAAACCTCTTACTGGAGTCTCTTTAGCTTAAAAGTAGTTATTAGAAAATAAATAAAATAATTATAGTATTTGGTTTGTTAGCCTTGTTCAATCCTGAAATCTTACGCTTGGATATGTACAGATTACAGAGGGAGTCGCTGTTTTGGTGGTATATTGCTTGTGGGGCCCCCTCCAATATATTGTCTGATTTTCATTTTATTCTTTTGTTTCTTCTCTCTCTCTCTCTCTCTCTCTCTCTCGCTCTATTGAATGACACATGTGGTGCTCGTAGAATCTCTCTGCCCTTCCACTTAAAAACTTTACGATCATTTTTTTTGCATGTCAAAAGGTTCGATTTTTTTTTTTGCAGAAATTCAGCCACACATTTGTTTATATTCTAACCATCTGTGTGTATTTTTTTTAATGAAAAACGATTATTAAAATTTGATGGCCACGCAAAAAAGCTACTAGATTCTAATTATTTGATTCTTTGTAAATTGTTTCATTGCTTTTGCATCGAAAGTGTAACACATATATTTCTAGGTACGTTCTATGATGTTACTATCTTCATTTTTTTACTATATGTTGGGTTCGGATATGATAAACTATGCTAGTTACTACAAAAGAAAGAATGTTATTTTCACTATCTCACTCGTATTCTTTGCTACGATATCTTATTTCGGATTTAAATATAAATCCTACAGTGTCATCATGGTGACAAAACGTTTGTAGCAAATACTAAATAGCCAAAAATTCAAAATTTATATTTGATTAAAATAAGCATTATTAGTATGATTTTCTTCTCATCGAAGCACATATGTAATGTTGTAAGTCGAGATCTTGGAACATGGGGAAGTCACATCTCTCTACTTTTTGCACCTGACTAACTTCTAGTATTTGGTTTACAAATAATAAAATAATTGGTTTATGATCCAAATAGAAGTTGGGATTAACAAAGAAAAGTCAACTTAAATATAGATGGAAACAAAAAAGTATTGGGCGGTAGACAATGACTAAACTTTATAAAAGATTAGGTGAATGTCATAAGATAAAGAGGAGATGCATAAGTGATTAGGGGCCCAAACCACCACCTTTTATGCTTCTTTTGCGTCATTGTCATTTGTCATCCACATCCAATAAAGATATTAATTATTTATTTGTTTGCTCTCACTTTACTTTGCACATCTTTTATTCTCGATCGCAAAAGTATATTTCCAGTACTCGATCATCGATCTTTGTTAAAACCAGCTTTTTAAACGTTTGTTAACGTCTCCTAAGTTTGAAAAGCATATATAACTGAAGAAGATAGTTTTGCAAATGTACATACCAAATACGAAATCACTCTAGTCTTTGGGCAAACATGCATTTTACTTGGTAATAATGTTATCGCTGAAAGTTAAAACGACTAGTTAAAATATCGACACCGTGTTTCTTCAGCAATTATCAGTAAACCATTGTTGCTCCTATATTTGCTTCTTTTGTTCTCTCTAAAGCAACTTCATCTCTTCCTCGTGAACATCAAAATCCTACGAAATTTTAACCAATGCATTATTAACGCTTATACGTATTTTTCAGACCAATAAAGGAGCAACAAGTATTGGCCATTCGAATCCTGGCTGCGTGCCTACATCAGTTCTAATATATATTTTTTTTTAGTTTAATCTCTTACAAGATTAAAAGAATTATTGGTGGACTCATGCCACAGAAGTGTCGACAAGCAAGCGCAATATAACGTTCCTTTATGTTTGTTTACTCAAGCATTTAACACCATATATATATATATATCTTTTAGTATTCAATTTTTTTTTGTTTTCACTTGTATATATATTATTATACGCCACTCTATGATCCACGAAGAACAATTGTCTACACTTATTAGAAACATGGAATAATGTATGAACACAGAAGAAGCAAAATAGAGCATAATGGCTGATATAGAACGGTGTCCTTTTCATTTTTTAGAAACAATTCTTAAAAGTTGGCTTAATGGTTGTTGCGCCAAGTCCTTGATTAAGGTGACACTTATTAGATACAAATAATTATGATGTATATGTGGCACCTCAAATGATCAACCCCCTAAGCGTGAAGGCTAGAAGAGTCCCTTTAGGCTTATAGCCCGTAATAATAATTAATATTGTCGTGACTTGTTCATTTCCATATCTTTTTGTCCGTCATGTGATAATTAACACAAAATACAAATAAATCAAGATAATTAACGTAAACCCTTAACTTAAATCCTGTGTGTCGAGCACACGGTAAGACGACTTTTAATACCAAAAGTGAAGCTAACGACATCTGTAACTCGCGCGGGAACCAACGGTCACTATGCGATCTGTGGTCCTTGGCGTTTTCCTATTAAGACCGTGGCACTTTATAAGTGGATGACGTTACCAGACTAGCCATTAATAACCCACCACGTGTTAAGTAATGATTAGTTAAGTTTAAAGCATCATATCATAGCGGATTAGTCCTCGATGGAGTCCAAACTCTCAACAAAACCAAAAATCAATCCCCGACTCACCCCTTTTCATATTGGATGATGATACCAAGCAAAAGGTATTTTATTTGACTCCATTTTTTTCTCTATTGAGGAAAGAAGTGATGTATGAGATCCCAATATCTTGTCTTTGTGTTATTTTCTATTTTCTTCCATTCACAAACGTCAGCTACTTTTTATACATTGATCAGATAAATTTATTTGACTAATTACGAGAGATAAAAAATCAATCCTACTATTATCTTCTCTTCTAATCCTTTTCTAATACGCAAGTCTAGCTCTAAATTATATGTGGTTAGTGAAAGTCCTATCTAATTCTTATGGTTCACTGGCACCTATCGGTCGTTTAGATAATCATCATATTCATGTTTGATGTGACATTTCTGTCACGTCATAGCTTTTTATTGAATGTTTTTGTACTTATTCTAAATCACTTATTAAATCTGCAAGATAAATGTTTTTAAAAATTATCTAGTAAATCAAGTTGTAATTCAAAGTTATGTGGATTTTTTTTTTATATATATACAGTAGGAGATCCCAAATCAAACTAATAGAAAACAATATTCTAACGTATAAAAAAAATCTGAACATTACTAGTACTATTTAAGTCATTTCAGTAATCCACCATGATCAAGATTATAGTTGGAAAAAATTGAAGTTTAATTATCTTATCCCGAGTGAATCTTCTAACCACCTTATAACTATGAGTTGGTTATTAAGTAGTTGAAACTAAAAATTAGCCTATGATCTGACTAAGTACTTCTGTTTGAAATTGTATGTTTATGAAGTCGTATGGTAACTTTCTGGTTGTTGTTAACAGTGACACTGTTGTTATTAGGTTTACTCGGTTACGATCTTATGTCAAAACCAAGTTTAATGAATTACATTTGTTAGCATATAAACTCTGCAGTGGCCGAGTGTTCTAAATTGTGTTGTGGAAACTCGGCTCCGTAATCATATAGCCTACGGAAAATAAATAAATAATAGAATTAATTGAGATAAATATATCAATTTTAATTTTTTTTTATTGAAAATGATTATAGATGTTAAGTAGATAGAGAAAAGATCTTTGTCGCGTAAGTTAATGACAACAACATGATAAACATGGTGTCTGTGTTTATTGGTCAAGCTATGCGTAATGACCTGCTTTTTTTATATAATTTATAGCATTAGAAACAAAAAGGAGAAGGAAAATCAAAGTTAGTGTTTGTTTTGCTTGAAAACCAAAATTGGTCGATACATGCCTAATGATGAATTATTTAAATAATTATTTTAGTGATGTACTGATGTGCTAGAAATTCTAGCAAATTTAAACCTTTTTTTTAGTATTTTCCTCGCACACGTCAAAAAAACAAACAAATAAAATATGGGCCTGGACGGCAAAATAAATACAAAACATTGGCGTGTACAGAAAAGAGAGGCCCTGGCCCTTATAAGCCCATTATTCATTTTGTTGAACAGTCGTCATCTTCGTGTTATTCAGGCGACTCCTCCCTGTTGGCCGAAACCTCAGATCGGACGAGTGAAATTCGAAAAACCCTAAGATTGGAAGAGGATGAAAATCGCTCGTTTCGCGATTCGGTCACTTAACGACGCAGCTTCCCTTAGACCATGTCGTCCTTTCTTGTCGAGAGGCCTCTCGACCAATGCTAATGAAGGTAACCAGCATAACATTTCTACAATTTTTCCGTCCATATTCTCGGATTGTGCTAACAACGAATCGAATCGAACGGAGCAGATCCGCGCCGGAATCAATCTTCTTTCGAATCGTCGGACGATTGGATGTTTGGCGGAGATACTGGCAACGATGAAAAAAGCAGTGGCTTCTTACAGCATCTTGGCAAGGCGGAGAAAGATAAGCGCGGCTATACAGGGTTTAATAAGTCTTTCGGGAACGGGTCGAGATTCTCTGGTGGCGGTTCCATGAACAGGGACGAGAGCTTCGACCCTTCATCCGATGGCGTCGATGGAAAACTGAAGGAAGCTGCTGGCTTGCTTTACAACTTCGACGAAGACGAAGGCGTGAAGGATGCTTACCCGTCCAGGCCCGATGTCAACAGTTGGGGCGTTAACCACTTCCCTAGGGTATGGTTTCTTACAACTCTCTTGTGCACTTATGTTGATGATTTGATTCATAAGGTTTTCAGGAATCAATTTTTATTGCAATCAGTCGTATGAAATCCAATTATAGTCAAGTTGTATTGGTCTAGGACTTCATTTGTGAACTGTAAATATGTGCAGTCGAGTCCGAGTATTATTACTCAGTGATCTGGATTCATGTAATTCGAATGTGTAGACAAGTTCATATAGTGTGTTTTACTCTAGCTTGGGGTTTACAGGGATGGTACGCGTCCATATAGCACCGTAATATGTGCAGTCGAGTCAGAGTATTATCACCCTAAACGTATTTTCTTTGGTTTCATGCAGCATTTGAATTATAGAAAGCAGATGCAAAAACCTAGACAGAATAACAAGCCTGAGTTAACCACAGAGGAAGTTCTGAAGAAAGCTGATTTCAGGGTGAGTCTTGTTGGGTTACATACGGTTCAGAAGCTGTGTTATTTTTGGTTTTTGTGTGCAAACCGGTACTTTGTTGGTCTGGGAAATGAGATGTTGTTTCTATCGTTGATAAAGTTTACTTCTGCGAGCTACTTTTTTTTTTTTTTTTTGTACTCACCTATGATATATGTTTTGTTAAACAGAATGTTAGGTTTCTTGCACAGTTCATCACTGAAGCTGGGATCCTCATTAAGAGGAAGCAGGTCAAATTTGGATGTTTCTCTCTTTGATCTAATTCTGATTATTCGATACGTTTTGCTAGTCCACATGATGAAAATCTTCGTTTTACACAGACTGGCATCAGCGCCAAGGCACAAAGGAAGATTGCAAGAGAGATCAAAACGGCCCGAGCATTTGGGCTGATGCCTTTCACAACAATGGGTACAAAGGCATTTACATTTGGGAGAACCATGGAGAACAGAGACCAAGATTTCGAGTATGAAGTGATTGACGACGATGATGAGTATGATAACCCAACTGAGTAAATCCCAAGTACTGGATCCACCCTCTCCTGACTGACTAGTGCGGGTCAGTTTTCGTTTTGGTCGATATGTGGAATAATTGGATGTTACCGCGTTGAGATTACGTGAATTTCAATAGCTGCTCTCCAGTTTTCACCTCCGATACCAAGGGATTAGGATTTGTATCTTATTTCTTTAATTTGTTACATTTGAAGATCTGAGTCAGACTGATTTTATTTTTATGTGTAACTGTAAGTTCATGGTTTCTTTATTCTATAAATAAAGTTGTCATCTCATGCTACAGCTGATGATGAACACAAGTATGCCGGACAAAAAAAGAAGGATAATCCCAAAATTTATGTCCCAAAAAATTACAATTTATCTGGAACCCCTCTCTGTTCTCGTCATCTCCATGTATCGAACATCTTGGATTGTTTTCTTCTTCTGTTGGATCAACCTCTCAAGCCTATCCCTATCTGCAACTGGAAGTTTACATGGTCGATCCAGAGAAGGAACAACTCTGGATCTTTCCAGTAGTTCCCGCTCTTTCTGCTCTGCGAAGCAAAGCAATGATCCTTCACAGACCTCCTTAGCCGAAGACGGCTTCTCCGGTTTGAACTTCTGAAGCTTTGAGTACTCAGTGATGAGATGAAACATGTAGTCATAAACACGGTTCATGCTAATGCTCTCCATGTAACCTTGTCCTCTTTTTCCTATTCTTTCGGCCTGTCAAAACGAAAACGCCTTTAGGAAGATGAAATCTGATATACCGATTAATGCGATGAGAAATGTGGAACACATACATCAGAGGGGTTGGCATTGCCCCAGTCCACGGCATGTTTTATGGACGGACATAGATCAGTGGGAGAGACAGGCCAGTAGTTTTCCTTGGGAAGGAGGCCTCTGCTGAAGAAATCTTCATACTCTGGTGAGATTATGAGCGTCATGGAACCACATGATAAGATATATTTTAGTGATACCGACCACGCGTAACCCTCTGCATATATTTTGTACCTTAAGACACAAATGAAATCCCAACCACATCAGATCTTTTCTCACATCCTCCAGTCATATAATGGCTGTGCTGATATTGGGACTTACCGGTGATTGCACTGGTTGGAGAGCTTGGATTGTTCAAATCCACCTTTGGCTTCTTCTTCCCAGTTCTGCATACAAAACATATATCAGCATCACTGCATCAGACTAAACCATCTAACTGAAAAGGCCTGTGGGAGTGAAGCCAACCTGGCGCATAATCTGTGCTCCCCATAACCGTGAATGGTTACATTTCATCAGCTCCATTCTTATAGGCGAAACAACGTCGGGATTCCCTTTCCAGTAAGCTCTAGGTTGCTTGTTGTCCCAGCTACTTCTCCTAGACCCTTGCTTTATATCCCCAAACTCTTCTTCCCACGGCCTTAGATTTGTCTCCGACCTTCATCCATCACAACACTCAGTTTCAGACAAGAGTTCGAGTAAAACAACAGCTTATGTGGGTTCCAATCGAATAAGAGATAGTATGTACCAGCCCCAAAAGGACCAATCAGGAAAAGGAATGTCCAAATGAGCTTCGTTGGTGCAATATCGGAAAAGAGGAGCGGGAAACGACTGGTGCTCGGTCCGGTTGATGATAGGTTTGTCCATACAGTCAAACATCATGTCGACATCAGGAACCATCCCTGGATACTTGTTGAGCAGTTGCAGAATACCCCAAATGGTGAACATCATTCTGCTCTGCACACACGCGTAATAGAGATCCACGTACAGCTTTCCCGATAGTATCACCACTCGAAACGCAGCATTCGCTTTCGCCTTCTCCACGTGCTCTTTAGTCACCCCTGTCTCTGCCCATGGCTCTAAGTCCCGGTGAATCCACCTGGCTTTTCACCAATATCAACGATGTATCAATGGTTTATCCTCCCAAAAAAATTCAAAGTAACCGGTGGAGTTGGTTCGCTCCGACAAACCTGAAAACGTCTGGGCATTGCGGTTGTTGGGTTCGACGACTCGACCCGGAATCCGACAGGAGGCTCTTTGGTTCGACGACGGAGGTGTACGGACATGAGAAGTAGGAGCACTGGAGGATTCGGTAAGCCTGAGAATGTTTCGTGCCTTCGCTGAAAGCTTTGCGAGGGAAGATGTGCCACGGCGTTGGTTCCAAGTTATGTCCGGCGAGAGTTTTTGTCTGAGCTACAAAGTCGTCTACCTGTTCGACGAAATTACTCAGTGAGAGACAAAAGTTCTTAGAAATCACGGAAAGTAGTCACGTGTTTAAGATTGCAGAGCAGTAAATACTGATTCAGCTTGAAATCTTTCAATTAGATCCATCAATCACGGAGAATACAAAAACAAAAACGAAAAATAAGAGAAAGCAAAAGCATAATTTTGAGTATCAAATTCAAGAGTCTGTCAGCTATCAGATAAATTCCTCACTGAACAAATATTCCCAGGACAGAGCAAATCTATATGATTCCGTCAGATTTATATACGTATATGCGTAATCTCAATTTCAGATTCCTAAATGGAAAGAAGCAGTAGAGATGTGTGGTGGATAAGAAGAGGAAAAAATACCTTATAGAGAAGAAGAGCGGTGAAGGAGAAGAAGGAGAGAGCAAGAACGGATAGAAGCAGATGGGAAGGTGTACGAGGAGAGCTTTTGTGAGGGAGACGAAGACGGAGACGAAGACCCATTTTATTCTCTTCTTTTTCTTTTTCTTCTTCCTCTGCAGAGCTTTTCTTTTCTTCTTTCATTTCCTTTTTTTCTCTCGGTGGCCTCAGAATTTCAGTAATTCTCTCTGCTTTCATTGGATATACACAGTGCCCCCGCTCGATGCGGACGCTTAACTTTTCTTTTTTTCTTTTTCTAGTATCAGTTTGTTTCTGTTTTAATCTCTACAAGGGAATTTATCTGTACTAGTTAATTACAAGTATATATTTTTGGTATGACGAAAGAAAAAATAAACAGTTACTTCAATATGTATCTTATTATATAAAGGCTCTACTACATTCATGATATGATCTACTCAAATCAATTATAATAACAAAGCCATATACTACTTTCATGTCTGGACTTTGATCGAGTTGATCTTACCACTTTTCTTGTAAGTATGACGGAAGAGTCAGAGGATGGTATGGAATAGGATTAGAGTTTGGTATATAAATTTAGGTTCCTAAGAACATGTCTTATACTATTATGTAGTGTCTGTACCATAGCATGAAGGCGCGCTTGCAGCAAATTTAAATCATAAAATATTGCCTTCCTTTTATTTTATTTTATGTTTCATAGGAGAAATTAGTGATTAACAACTCAAAACATTCAAGAAAATGTTAGTAGAACAGATAAACCAAGCATTAAGACGTTATGGAAACTACATAATGGTTATTTATCTATTTTTTTTTTGTTTTTCGATAAGGACACATATTACAAGAAGTCTCTCCACCGATTCCAACTATGGAAATGGAGGCCATAAGCTAGATTGCGTTACCATATCCTTTGGTCCATTACATTACAAAGTATATACCTTTTTCACATCATAAATGCGTAAGTGGGAACATGAGGAGGACACTTCATATATACATATAATCCATTTCTTTATTCATAGGGTTTCAATAGCTCCTAATATACCTGTTGGTCCCTTCACTGGGACTGATCCTGGTCGTCAGAGACGGCCTCATAGTGACTATAGTGTTCTCATCTGCTCCTGCTTCAAGTGCAGCCTTTCCTGCTTCTATAAACTTCTGCACAGCATCCTCTGCGTATTTGTTGCCTTCTCTTACTGTCATGTTCTTCCCAATGTCTGGATATGAGTTTAGGAGATGGTCTCCAACGAGCTGGGAAGCGAGTTGGATCAGCTCCACCTGGAACTCTGAGAGCTTTGAGTCTTCTTTTGCTCCCCATGGCCTCAGTGATCGTTCCACTTCCGCTAATTTCTCTGTGTTCGTTCATGTCGTAAAAGGAAGTGACAGTTAGAGCATTATATTCCACAATCTACAGATGAGTAAGTACATCATCCTAGGTCTGAAATCGATGAAACTCATCTGAAGTATACAGATAAGCTAAGTACCAACAACATTCAAGGCGTATCTTTCAACTTGTGACATCAAATTCAGTGAACTACAACAGCCGATAAATGCTGAATCATATCTTTATACATTTTGTAAAAAGTCTAGTAATTAATGATTACTTGAATGTAAAGGATTCAACAGAGTAACGTAGTGGACTGTAAAATCTGGGAGAGATTGAAACAGACCTGGACAATCCTGGCGAGGAGAGTCTCGAATGTGGAAGTATTTCTCAAATGTACCAGCCCATGCATCTCTCTTGGTCAGGAAGTGCGACTTCAGGTTGAAGAGTTTCTTCACCGTTGCGGGTATAGAAGAATGCTCAAACTGTGAATGTGGTGTAGGACCATCAGGTTCATGTATCACTGCAACAATATCCATCCCAATCGCAAAGACAGAATAATAAGTACAAGTCTCACTCACAAGAAAGATATGTAATAACATATGCTTCAACCCTAAAGCATTAGATATTTTTGCATGTAATGATGTAAAGCTGATTCAAGTAACAAAAGATACTTAAAACTAAGAAATGAGATTACAGTCCCAACAAGATCATGTGCAATTTTTCAGCAATCAAGATAAATAGCAACTCAATTATCAAGCAGTATCTGAAAATTTGTATAAATCACATACCAGTGCCCTTCTCGATCCAGGGCGAGATAATGAATGTGGGGACCCGAACGCCCAATCGATCAAACCCGAAATAAAACGGGTCGGGTCCGATGATTCCGTCAGGGTTGGGCACACCTTTAACCGGCGTGGGAACGTGGTCATAGAACCCACCGTGCTCGTCGTAAGTGATGAGCAGAGCCATCTCCTCCCACTGAGGACTGCTCCGTAGCGTCTCGTAGACTTCCTTGACGAACCTCTGTCCCGCCGCCACGTCGTGCGACGGGTGGTCGTCGTTGGCCGGGAAAAGATCGATGTCGAAATAACGTTGCTCCACGACGGAATAGTTTGGAAGCTTCCCGAGCTTAGCGTGGAGCTTGAATTTGAGTGAGTAGCTGTGGAATTTCACCAAGTGTTTGAGCCTACGGAGAGACTTGAAGAAGAAGGTCGCAGGTATGTTTTGGTAATAAATCCCAAAGCTGAGTCCGTTTTCATCTAGCGAGTCGAAGATCGTCTTCTGAGGAAATCCTCTGACGAGATCCTTCTTCACGTTGCTTGAGCATCCATGGGAGGTAGCTGAGTGGACGTAGAACCGATTCGGCTGAGTCGAAGTCGGTACCGATGCGAACCATCGATCGAAAATTCCGTACTCGTTTGCTAACTCGGTGTAGACAGGTAAGACCTCGGGCTTGAATCCGCTCATCACGTTCTTGGCCATCCCAGGCTCCATGCTCTCCGATTGCTGTGCGAATCCGTTCATTTTCGGGTCGCCGGATGTATCGTTGGACCCGAATATCTGTTCACGGATCGCCTGGAAGGAATGGCCCGGATCCATGTCGACGAAGACGGCGTCGTCGGAGACGAAAATCTTCTGGGAATTCGGATCGGAGACGTTGAGGGGATTCGACTCTTTGCCCGTTAATCCGTCGATTTCGGGTCGGGTGGATTTGAGCCAACCGAGGATGTGATCGAAGGAGCGATTCTCCATAACTAGAACGACTATGGTCTTGATTGGTCCTTTGATCTTGTGGGGTTTCCGAAAATTACTGAAATCGAGAGACTGAGACGAAACCAGTAAGTAGAGGAAAAGAACAACAGTGAAAGATACTCGCCGGAAACCCATTTTCCGGTGACTGTAGACACCGGGTAACGCCCGATGTGCAGTGGAGCAGGGGTAAAGTTTGGCGGAGTTTTCTAGGAAAGGAAAGAAAGTGGAGGTTTTTTCAGGAAAACGGTGTTGGTGGAGGAGCAAAGTCGAGGACTTTTCTTGCCTGACAAAAAAAAATATCTCAAAACTATGTTGACCTGAGTAACATAGCCAGAAATGAAGTCAAAGGAAAATGGGTAGGCCAAACAATCAATCAAAACTCTTTTTTTTTGTTTTTATAGGGTTAATTTGCAATCTAACCATATTAATAAAAAAATCTAAAAATATAGTTATGCTATTAAAAAAATATGGAAAGTAATTATGGTCTACAGAGAAAAGACTAAAAATTCATTCTGTTTTAAATGAAAACGTATTGATTAATCGATCATTAGGCTAAAAAAAAAATAGTATAGTAGTGTACTACCAATATTACTTAATAACATATTACATCAACTAAGTATAGTATAGTAGTGTACTCCATTTGAAATACTGTGACTAGTTTACTTTTCGGATATTTATAGATGTGGAATTTGCGTTGGAAGATATCTTATATGAAAGTAAATTCATGAGACGATAATATTGGTAAGTATGAGGAGCTAGTAGATACTCATACAATGTACAGTCAATTCTCATAATAATAGTATAGTACGGTATAAAATAATATATTTGTATAACTATTAATAGTATACTACACCAACTCAGTATAGTATAGTAATGCAATCTATTTGTTGATTTAAACGAAAGAGTTTTTGGTATATATTGTAGAATATATGAAGAATATAATAACACTTATTTTGGTATGATTACTTTTTAAATTTTAGGTATTTATATGGTTATATTAACCAATTTCCTTTTTTATATGATGCTGAGAGAGAGAGAGAGAGAGAGAGAGAGAGAGAGAGAGAGAGAGAGAGAGAGAGTGCAATTCGAATTCACGAATCGTTCTATAGCGTATAATCCTAACATGTTGTTAAACAATTGTTTTGCGTGCTTCAGCTTTCGATGTGAAGAACCAAACGCAAATAAACAAAGAGATAAGGGACATTCCGTATAACTGCCTCTCCAAAGATACTGATACTACTATATATGTTTTCCAGAAGTTTATTACATAAGGAGTTTGCATAAATGTATTTGCCAAAACTCCTAATCATTTGCAAATGTCTAGGGAGAGAAAGCATACTAGCAAACTACTGTTTTCCTAAATAGATCATTGTTCCACTTTTGTTGGCAAACAAAAGCTTTAGATTACCAAAGCTCGCTGTCTTCCACTTGAATTATCTTTCTTGGTTGCTCCTTTATTTCTACTTGATCACATCATCTCTGAATGAAATTATTCGGACTATGTAGTATATAAAAAAATGGTTTTAGCTAAATGATTGTTCCACTTTTGTATGCGCAACAAGACTTGTTGGTCCACATAAGACTACTTAGAAAGATGAAGAAAGCAGAGCTAATATTCATTCCACTGCCGGAGACTGGCCACCTTTTGTCGACGATTGAGTTCGGTAAGCGTCTGATGAATCTGGACCCTCGGATTTCCATGATCACAATCCTCTCCATGAAACTCCCTTACGCTCCTCATGCCGATGCTTCTTTGGCGTCGCTCACAGCCTCCGAGCCTGGAATCCGACTCATCAGCCTACCGGAGATCCAAGACCCACCTCCGATTAAGCTTCTCGACACTTCCTCCGAGACTTACATTCTCGATTTCGTCGACAAAAACATACCATTTCTCAGAAAAACTATCCGAGATTTGGTCGACTCGAACCATGTCGTAGGCTTGATTCTTGATTTCTTCTGCGTCGGTTTGATCGACATCGGCCGTGAGGTAAACCTTCCTTCGTATATCTTCATGACTTCCAACTTCGGTTTCTTGGGGTTTCTACAGTATCTCCCGGAAAGAAATCGTTTGAACTCGTTGGAGTTCAATGAAAGCTCATCCAAGGAGGAGTTACCGATTCCGGCGTTCGTAAACCGTGTTCCGGCCAAGGTTTTGCCGCCTGGTGTGTTCGACAAACTTTCTTACGAAACACTGGTCAAAATTGGCGAGCGATTACAGGAACCAAGGGTATTTTGGTAAATTCCTACTCGGAGGTCGAGCCTTATGCTGCTGAGCATTTTACTCGAGGACGAGATTACCCTCACGTGTATCCTGTTGGGCCGGTTCTCAACTTAACAGGCCGTACAAATCCGGGTCTAGCGTCGGCCCAATATGAAGAGATGATGAAGTGGCTGGACGGGCAACCGGACTCGTCGGTTTTGTTCCTGTGTTTTGGGAGCATGGGAGTGTTCAGTGCACCTCAGATCCAACAGATAGCTCACGCGCTCGAGCGCGTTGGGTTCAGGTTCATCTGGGCGATCCGTACGAACATGGCAGGAGACGGCGATCCCCACGAGCCGCTTCCAGAAGGACTCGTCCACAGAACAATGGGCCGTGGGATTGTTTGCAGTTGGGCCCCACAAGTGGATATCTTGGCCCATAAGGCAACAGGTGGATTCGTGTCTCACTGCGGTTGGAATTCTATACAGGAGAGTACGGTGTACCAATCGCCACGTGGCCCATGTATGCGGAGCAACAGCTGAACGCCTTCGAGATGGTGAAAGAATTGGGCTTAGCCGTGGAGATAAGGCTTCATCACGTGGCGGATGGTGATAGGATCACACTAGAGATCGTGTCGGCCGATGAAATCGCCACAGCCGTCCGATCTTTGATGGACGGCGATAACCCAATCAGGAAGAAGGTCAAAGAGATTTCGGTAGTGGCGAGGAAAGCTGTTGGCGATGGTGGATCTTCTATGGCAGCCACCGGAGATTTTATCAGAGATATATTCTTGATGATCAGTTGATCACTTTTGAGTTTTGAACCAAAGTCGTTTTAATGTAAAATTCAATAAATAATGTCATCAGTGTACCATGTAACAATTTTTGCATATTTTAATTACATGGGAGATTTTTGCATAGATATAAATCAGGGTCAATCCAAGATAAACCATATTTCACAAACATAATTAAACAATATAGATATAAATTTTTATCTTCTTGTAAGTGCTTGTCTACTTGTAGTAGTTATTGTTATTTACGACATCAAACGTTATACTTTCTTAAATATGTATAAATGTAAATGTGTTAAAATTATTGTTTATTAGAACAATGTAATTAAAACAGTAATAAAAAAAGTCACGTTCTTTTTGGGTTATGGTAACTTATCATAAAGTTTCAGTGATTCCAAAGTATGGAATGAGTTAAATAGATATTATACAATCTCAAATAAAATGGTTTATCACGTTTTTGCATGTTACTATTTCTAAAATAAATGGGTTATATGCATGCATGTATACAAATAATTTGTTTTTGTAAATACATAACATTTTTTTAGACCAAAACTTGAAGAGACACGTTTCTACAAATGAAACATTGTATCTCTACGTAAATAGTCACAACATTTGAAAATCACGACTTTCTATAACACATATATATATATATGTAAAACAAATCGTTTATTCCCATCTCGATTTTCATTTATATATAGGTAAACTTGCTATTCATCAAGCATGTAGTTCTTCTACCAAATCCAGGAAAGTTAAATTTGAGAGTTGTAATTTAGTCAATGTCTATTAGAAAAACTAGTAATAAAAGTGTACCTGTTCAAAGACTAAGTATTGATTTGTCTAAGCAGCAATCATTCTTTTTAGAAGAGGAAGAGCAGTTAAAACGATTGCTACTGATATGAATCCCAAAAAAGCTTGTTTACCGGCTGGTTAGACATAAATAAACATGATCTAATGGCACGTGATTTGACATATGCTCAATTTCCAAGTAAATATGTGTGGAACAATTGCCAACACATTTGGAGGAAGAGAACAATTTGTTCTTCATTTGGGAGAATATTCAAATTTCTGTTGGGGAATTATATTATTTTCTAATGTTAATCAAAGAGCCTACAAATTATGAAGATATTGCTATAAGTGACAACAAAACTTATTTTTCATTTAAAAATACATATATAGCAAAAGCTTTAGTAGATGAGATGACAAATAACACAAGATAATAATCAATAGTTGAATTTCTAAATATTTATGTAAAGATCATGTTTTAGTAAATATTATTTCTATTTTCTTGTAAGCATGTGGTTTTATTATGGCCACTATTAATTGTATTTTTTATGATATCTTCTTCAAGTAAAATGCAGATCAAGTAAAAACATCTGCAATGTAATAAGTTTATTAAGTAAAAATAAATAAAGTAAAAAAGAAATAAAAAATGATGAGGCATATCAATTATTTAGAATCGTAGAAATAAAGTCTCTCTCTTTTTCTTCTTCCCCCTCTCCCCCTCCCCCCCCCCAAATTGTGATTCTCAAATCCCTAATTTACAGATTGAAAGAGTTTCGAAATTCAATTGTTACAATTAATTCTATATATTTGTTAACCGCAAATTTTAAATTTGAAAGCAGAAATTCGAGTTACTATCTTTAGTTCGTGTTCAGTTTTGCTCAAAAGATTACAATCATGGGGAAGAAGAGAGCTGTCAAGTACTTTGTGGTAACCTTTCTTTTTTGCTTCAGATCAAATCACTTATAAGATCGATGAACTTGGTGTTCAAAAGGTCGATGCTTTCACTGATTCGGCTTTCAAAGGAAATGCAGCGGCTGTTTGTTTCCTAAACGACGACGACGACATAGACGATGCCTGGGTTCAGTCTCTCGCTGCCGAATTCAATATCTCCTTTACTTGTTTCCTTACTCCGATCACTGGCTTCGAAGCACGCTTGAAACAAGCTTGAGTGAGACCCTTTTGATTTGGGTGTATCCCATATCACTTCGTCATTGTGATGCTTATTTCGAGTTAATTTTGAAGCTCGTACATTGATTTGTACAGGTTGATCTCTGTGATCAGGCAATTTGGCATCTGCTCATTGTCTCTACTCCAATGGTTTGGTTGTTTCAGAGGATGTCGAGTTTGTCACAAGGTCGGGGATACTTACAGCCAATCAAGTCCCAGATACTTCAGAGCTCAATTATGGTGAAGTGAAATGGAAACCTTCTTGACTGAGTTGAATTTCCCTGTGGTTCCAACTAGTGATAACAATCTCATTGATGCCCCCTCTTCCATGATCACAAAGGCTTTGAACGGAGTTAACATTGTTGATATAAAAGTTACTACGTCAAGCAACATCCTCGCAATGTTTCAGAAACTGTCCAGAATTATTTGTTTTTGGTTACCTAATCAATACATTTTTCTGGTTTTGATTTGCATATGTGCTCAAGATATTATGAGTATAGATATATTCATATGTGCTCATATTGAGAACAGATTAACCTACTATCTTGGTAATTGCATCACAATCTTTCTTATGAATTTTGATTTACTCTCTTATGCATTTGTGTTGCAGGTTGTGTTTCCATCTTAAAAATCTGTCAATGAATTGCAACCAAGAATGGATGATATATTGAAATGCCCTTGCGATGGCATCCTTGTGACAGCTGCAGCCTCAAATTTCTTAGCCCACCAAGTAAGCTTTCTAATCTCTTTTAATTTTTGAAGTAGTATCTTTAGTGCTTCATAGAGAATGATATTACGTTTTTGGAAACCTGCTTAGTCTCTTAAAAATAGAATCGTACCAATGTAAGGTTCACAATTAAGAATAAGTTAATATAGTTCTTAACAATTCTGAGTATAATAATTAGTTGTATTTCACTGAATATTTATGTAAAGTGCATGTCTGATCAACTAATATTTTTATCATAACTGACTACATATATAAAACACAAAATTTACAGAATATTTAAAACACAACATACGTGAAATACATATATATTTTTTTTTGGGCAAATACGTGAAATACATATATAAATATTAATATTATAACTGGAAACGACAACAAGGATACTCGTGGCTTGTTTCAAACCATGTTAGTATACAATGAGAGTTAAATACATGATTGCAAGGTAGTTTGAACAGAGTTTGTTCATTAACAAACTCTTCCTGGCAAATTACACACATCGTTCCCCAGTCCTCTTCATTATTTGTGGTTGACGTAAATGTTATTCTTTCCAACGAATTAATTGCATCCTCAGTTGCAGGCTTCGGTATTACACTCCCTGAATGAAAAGATTCTTCAATTGCTTGTTGTTCCCACATATCCTCATCGTCTTCAATATGTAACGTTAGTGATAATGACACAATTTTTGAAGATGAGTAATTAGTAAAGCCAATCACTGCAGAAGTAATAAGTTCGAGACTCTTTAGAATCTCGTTAACCTCTTCAATTTCAATCCCTTCATCCATCAAAGATTCATAAAAATCTTGTTTATTGAGAGACATCTCCTCTAATACGAAAGCATCAGCATTAAAAATATATGATTTCAATATTGGAATTGAAGCCAAGTTGTTGTAGAATTTGGCAATTACGATCAATTTGCCTCCACAACAACTTTCTATCGGTTCCTCAACGCTAACCCTAAAAGAGAAAGTCGTTCTACTCACCATAATAATCTGTGGATATTCTGTAAATGGAAATTTTTTAAAACAGAGATTAAAAGATCAAGCACCATTAACACTATATGATTAATAAATATAAACTAAGAGTATAAAGAAAAAAGAAGGTTACTCTTAATCAATGATGTAGAAATTATGAATTTGCTTCAAGATGTCATTTTGGGTTTGTAATTTTTTGTTCATTTTATCGGGAAGAAGAAGATGAAAAAGTAGGAAGAAAAAAATCACATTTCTGTCAATATGTACATATATATATATATATGGTTGGAACGTGGCAACCGTTTATGAAAAATTAGCACAAAAATAGATACATGTCGGTTATGAATTTATTTGCATAATTTTTTTCTAAACCATTTTTAAAGTTACGTAGATAATGTTATTTTTAAAAAAATTTAATCAGATATAGAATAAACTGTTTAACAGTTTGTGGTGCAGAACTTTTTTCCGTCCCATTTTAAAAAGGCAGAGGGATGCACACAGAGAAAAATTGGTGACCTTTTAATATTTATTACCAATTGGTTCATTATTTGTATAGGTATGGAATTATGTTAAATAGTTACAGGTTCAGGGAAAAAAAACACAAAGCTGATCGGTTCTTATATGAATCTTTAGGCAGGAACATGTTATGATGCCAGAAGATGCAGAAAAGAATGCAATGAGAGATTACGGGTTGGACGAGAAAGCATGTATTGATACTATTGATGAATTGCAAGATGTAGGCTTAGAATTTTTAGTTTTGGTTTATTTATTTTGTAAAATACACCATTTACTATATACATTGAGAGGGTCAATCCCAATGTTCAGGTATGCTTTAATCACGAATCTTTCTAGTGCTCAGAATCTTATCTTTTAGTAAGTAAAAAATAGTTGAGCTGAATCTGATAGTGAATGTCTTATTCAAACAGCTCAACTATTTTTTAGAGAGAGACTTTATTTCTACGATTCTAAATAATTGATATGCCTCATCATTTTTTATTTCTTTTTTACTTTATTTATTTTTACTTAATAAACTTATTACATTGCAGATGCTTTTACTTGATCTGCATTTTACTTGAAGAAGATATCATAAAAAATACAATTAATAGTGGCCATAATAAAACCACATGCTTACAAGAAAATAGAAATAATATTTACTAAAACATGATCTTTACATAAATATTTAGAAATTCAACTATTGATTATTATCTTGTGTTATTTCTCATCTCATCTACTAAAGCTTTTGCTATATATGTATTTTTAAATGAAAAATAAGTTTTGTTGTCACTTATAGCAATATCTTCATAATTTGTAGGCTCTTTGATTAACATTAGAAAATAATATAATTCCCCAACAGAAATTTGAATATTCTCCCAAATGAAGAACAAATTGTTCTCTTCCTCCAAATGTGTTGGCAATTGTTCCACACATATTTACTTGGAAATTGAGCATATGTCAAATCACGTGCCATTAGATCATGTTTATTTATGTCTAACCAGCCGGTAAACAAGCTTTTTTGGGATTCATATCAGTAGCAATCGTTTTAACTGCTCTTCCTCTTCTAAAAAGAATGATTGCTGCTTAGACAAATCAATACTTAGTCTTTGAACAGGTACACTTTTATTACTAGTTTTTCTAATAGACATTGACTAAATTACAACTCTCAAATTTAACTTTCCTGGATTTGGTAGAAGAACTACATGCGTGATGAATAGCAAGTTTACCTATATATAAATGAAAATCGAGATGGGAATAAATGATTTGTTTTACATATATATATGTGTTATAGAAAGTCGTGATTTTCAAATGTTGTGACTATTTACGTAGAGATACAATGTTTCATTTGTAGAAACGTGTCTCTTCAAGTTTTGGTCTAAAAAAATGTTATGTATTTACAAAAACAAATTATTTGTATACATGCATGCATATAACCCATTTATTTTAGAAATAATAACATGCAAAAACGTGATAAACCATTTTATTTAAGATTGTATAATATCTATTTAACTCATTCCATACTTTGGAATCACTGAAACTTTATGATAAGTTACCATAACCCAAAAAGAACGTGACTTTTTTTTATTACTGTTTTAATTACATTGTTCTAATAAACAATAATTTTAACACATTTACATTTATACATATTTAAGAAAGTATAACATTTGATGTCGTAAATAACAATAACTACTACAAGGAGACAAGCACTTACAAGAAGATAAAAATTTATATCTATATTGTTTAATTATGTTTGTGAAATATGGTTTATCTTGGATATTCGTGTGACGAATTGGAACCATAGCTTTTCTTCTAATCATTAATACAGTTTTCGGTTTGGCACGCCATTTAAAACGACGTGTTTGATGTTTGGCAATCTTATGTTGTCCAATACATAATAAGAATATCGTAGATATCCAAATTGCCTCAGGATGTTTTCTCTTATTGACATTCTGTAACAATGATAAAGCAGCTTCAATATTTCTATCAATACAACCCATATAAACTGCTTTTAAGTAAAAAGAATCAACATTCCCGTAATGAAATGTTCTTTCCAAAAAATCACTACATGAACCACCCATTTCAGAAAAAAAGATATATGGGATTGTCATTAAATTTTTGAAATTAAAATTGAGAAATTTTTTATAATTTTCATAAGAATTCCAAAAATCTTTGCACAAATTAATGATCAAGGCAATTTCTCCATCTTCATAATGATGTATACTTTGAAATATCTGAGAAATAATAGAAAATCGTTCTGAATCTACATTCTTGTTTAGATCCACCATGGTTACTAATAAGGTAAGAAAACAGTTAATGTAAGAAACATGTGATTGAAGACCATTAAATAGAAGAGAAAATATATAGATGGTAAAAGTTGCGACTTTTAGTTTTAATCAATTGAACCTTTTCAAAATTGTTATTTATGTAATATAAGTTGTAATTTAATGACAGAGATATAATGTTTCATTGCAAAAACGTGTATTTAGAAATATATTGAAGTAATATAATTACCTTGATATTAAATGGTAAATTAAAAAAAAATATTAATATATTAAACAATCTACTACAAATTTTCAGCTATAGTTAATATTCTCCAACAAGATTTTAAATAGTCGGAGGAACATGAAGCATGATGTTGTTGTTGTTGATGTAAGAAGTGATTTGATAAGTAGTAACGTAACAAATCTGAGGCTGTGGCTAACATCCTCATCCTCATCTCTTCATCTTCTTTCTCATTCAAGTGTTGATTACGATGAGATCCGTAACTCACACATCCGTTCATGATCTAACTCAGCAGAATTCCGGAACTTAACGCCAGCGTTATTGGGATGAGATGGCGATACCTTCAAACGATCCGACCGTGGAAACCGGGAAAAGAAACGCGGCTTCTAAAGAAACATCCCCATCATTTGACTACTACCCAAAACGCGGTTGTTTTTGTTTTCGTTTTTGCGGGGATTGGTGGATTTGGAGGAGGATGGGTACCTAGGAAGAAAAGGTAAAAGAATCCGACTTGGCTGAGGAAAGAGGTTACGGTTGCGGCTACTGTTAAGAGAGGGAGGGTTGGTGGAGGAGGGGGAATAAGTGTTTGCGACGGAAATTGCCATTTTGGAACCAATAGAAGACGTTTCCGTCACCGACTTGGCCATATTCTTGAAACTGAGCCCTAATCCTACATAATACCACTCTTATACATTACTGTTTAGTATGTATATGTGTATATTTGTAGTTTTTTTAACTTCCTCTGTATGCGTGTATGTATATGTGTCTATTTAGAAAAGATAAAACATATATATATTTAATTTTGCGAAAGTAGCAATTCTTCTCTTGATTGGGATGCACAAAATTAGAGAAGTAAGCTACATCCCATATAACAAGACTGTTATATAAGAAAATATATGGATGCTGATTTTGTTTTCGTATTTGATTCATTATTATTATTATTAAGTACTTCAGTCGAAAGTATGTTGTAGAAGCATTAATAAACAAAGTTAGGTTTTTTGTAAGGGTGTTTTGATCCGTTTTAGAGTCCGAGAAGCCTTTTCACATTACAAAAAAATGAATCTAGTTTTAGTTCAAAAAAATTGAAATTATTTTCTACTCCTATATGATAGGATCTACTGGCAAATCGTAAATACATTACGATTAGAGCTGGTTACAAATTTGTGGTACTTGGCCCAATACAAATGAAAAAATGTGAATGTATTAAAGCCGAACTTGGTAGAACAATAAACACTTTAGGCCCAATACATTTGAAACCCAAATAATCTTGCAACAAATTATTAACATGTGTAAGTTAAATCTAAGCCGAGAAACGAACGTCTCAAGAACAGAGATTTCCCCGACGCTTCAATCATCGCAGACGGAATCACCGCCATATCTGACGGCTGCTATACTAACCACTGCTCCTTGCGTCTGCATCTGATCACCGGAAGTGATTGGAGAATACCATCTTGACCTCTGAGATTCACGCCTGTAAAGATCGAGCATAACATCTGGCCGAGAGACTTAAACAGCAACAACTCCTGGAATTATTCACTACATACGATAGGAAAGTGATATAAGAACATGCAAAAGGGAATAAACACTCCCAAATTCCGATAAACAGCAAGATTATTCAAATGAACAGATAATTATTTTACAAAGAAACCGGGCTCGAAATATTTTGTTATATGAATATCATCGGAAAAAACATAAAATCGATAAATCTTTCTCTCTGGCAAAAATACCAGTGAGTGAACAGAGAATACCAGTGAGTAAATCTTTTGTAACACCCCGACCCGGCCATCTTTGACTCTGGTATGAGAGTTACATGTTCAAGCCGCATTCTCCGGCTGAACCTCCCTTTTAAAGTCTTTTCCTAGGAAATCTCCTCTATGAGGTTTGATTTCTAGACTATCTTATGCAGCGGAAATCTCTAAATATTTAAAACTATACTTTTCCTTGGTTTTAGTTTAACCAAGCACTTGCCGGTCTGATGATCTCTTGCTTTCGGTAGTCCACTTGACCACCATTCACCTCGGAGATCGATCCTTGACTCGGAGCAAGCTAAACATATGCATCAACCGTTCCATTCCCCTAGACCATTCTACTTAAAACTAGGTTAGTGACTATCCAGGTAGAGTAACGGTGCAGCTACAGACTAGTCAACATCCTAGCCATCCAGCTCAAGTCTTAGTCTAGTCGATACCCTAGCTATTTCAATCCAGCTATAGTCTTAGCTAATCCATACCTTAGCTATATCCACGAGGTGTAGCTGCACCTTGACTAGCTCCTTTGTCACTCCAGTCAGCTGAGCTCAGCTGGACTCAACTGATCATGCTCATGGTTGTACAATCAGCTCCTTTAGCTTATACACCATCTCCGATCCTTTCTTAGTCATTCAACCAACCATCCCCACATGACTAGGTTAGATCAGAGAGGCTATTCAGCCCCATGGCATGACTAGGATCGTCCCTTAGGATCGCCCGTTCATCCATGTCCTTCTTTTTGCGGTTTAGTCCAACCGTACACTCGTTCTCCCGATGACTTCATGATATCTCCCGATGATAGTCATACCTCTCTCGACCATAGTCAGAGTTCTCGGCTATCACCTGACTGGAATCGTGAGAAATGATCTGATCCGGATCATTTCATCCGACCATTCATCCTACCGTCACGACCATTCGCCAACGATCGTGGCCATTCCCGGGATACTGGACCAGTATCCCGTGGCCGTGGTCAATCCTCCGATACGGCTCCCCGATTCCACCGATGTTCGGCTGGAATCCTCTCCACGTGCCTACTCATGATTTCTCACGGTCCTAGACACGTTCTCTCGGATATAAATAGTTTTGATAAGACACAAATAACAGTTGTGATGAAAAAACACAACTATTTATAATGAAAAGAAGCAACCATTTATAATGAAAAGAAGCAATAATTTATAATGAAAAGACGCACCCACACATTTTGAAACGACACAACCTTGTAAAGGGTAAGTGGCATTTATTCATATATTTATGTTTTGCAAGTGATATTTATTCGGATAGTTACCAGTTTTGTCACCGGTCACCATTATAGTAAGAAAGTAAAAATCAGATCCAAATAATTATTATAGATGAATAAAACATACATTAAAAAAATGTTTGGCTTAGTAGAAAGAAAACACAATCCTTGTATTATTAGATTTTATTTCATATAAAAGAATGTTGTCATAAAAAACTTTTATTATTTCACAGCTTATTGTAATAATAAATTCATTATAGTAAAAAAAATAAAAGTTAAACCTAATAAACCTAAAGAAAATAAAAGTTAGACCCAAATAATTTTTTCTGTGGTTTTGATCGATATAAATAGTTTTGAAAAGACATAAATTATAGTTAATGAAATGATGCAACCATTAGTAATAGAAAGACGCAACCACAAATTTTGAAAAGACACAACTTTTCGAAGTGTCAAAGCAACCATTAGTAATGAAAAGACACAATCACAAATTTTGAAAAGACACAACTTTTTAATATGCAATTGACATTTATTGAGATTGTTATTATATATAGATAACAAATCTCTTATCATCCAGCTTACATTTAGATCTTAGCTATTTTGCACCAGTTCAGGAACTGTCTCTGATAATGTAGCTCGTTAACGGTTATATCCTCATTTGAGGTCTCTTTATCCTTGTCTGCAGAATCAAGTGAACAAAAGTACGTAGCAGCTTTCATTAGCTAAGACTCTTATAAACCTCTCATATGGAAATGATGTCCATTTTCCACCTACTGTATATCTTTTTGATTAACCTTTTTTTTTTGGCTGAATCTTTTGATTAACCTTTCCACCCCGTCTTAAGCAATTAGGATGAGTTCATTTGCTTTATAAGACTCTGCTCCTACATAATTCAAAATTTATATAAAGAGGCCGTTCAGATGAAAAATATTGGGAATTCAAAAAGATTAAAGCAAGTGAAACGATTCAGGGTTTTTTAAATTTCATAAACATAATACTGTACGCATTGAAAAGCTCCCCTGAATTGCTTTCCTCTCTCACTTCAAGAATAGCATTCTCTAATTTCAATGTTGTCTGTACATTTGTCACCACCAAGATCATAAAAAATACAAAGTGTCACTGCACTGCATTGTTTGATACCAACTCCTTTGTCTTTTTTTATTTATTTTTGGTTTATATTTAACTTCATCATACATAGGCATAGCAGAAAGAAAGCACTCTGCTGTTGTGTTTCATTTTCTTCAATAGAAAAGATAAGAAAAGTAGAGTGATGAAGAAAGCGGAGCTAATCTTCATTCCTCTGCCGCAGACCGGCCACCTTTTGTCGACGATCGAGTTCGGTAAGCGTCTTATCAATCTGGACCGTCGGATTTCCATGATTACAATCCTCGGCATGAAACTCCCTTACGCTCCTCACGCCGACGCTACTCTCGCGAAGCTCACAGCCTCCGAGCCTGGATTCCGACACATCAGCCTCCCGGAGATCCAAGACACTTCCTCCGAGACTGATATTGATTTCATCGACCAAAACATACCCTCCATCAGAAAAACCATCCGAGATTTGGTCTCATCATCGTCCGGAGGTAATGTCGCTGGTTTGATTCTCGATTTCTTCTGCACCGGTTTGATCGACATCGGCCGTGAGGTAAACCTTCCTTCGTACATCTTCATGACTGCAAATTTCGGTTTCTTGGGGTTTCTACAGTATCTCCCGGAACGACATCGTTTGAATCCATCGGAGTTCGATAAGAGCTCCCGCGAGGAAGGGTTACCGATTCCGGCGTTCGTGAACCGTGTTCCTGCCAAGGTTCTACCGCCTTCGGTTTTCGACAAACTCGACTACGAGACTTTAGTCAACATTGGCGATCGATTACAGGAAGCCAATGGTATTTTAGTCAATTCGTTCCCAGAAGTCGAGCCTTTTGCTGGTGAATATTTTTCACGTGGACGAGATTACCCTCGTGTGTATCCTGTGGGGCCGGTTCTCACTTTAACGGGTCTTACTAATACCGGTCCAGCTTCGGCCCAATATGAAGAGATGATGAAGTGGCTGGACGGGCAACCGGACTCGTCGGTTTTGTTCCTGTGTTTTGGGAGCATGGGAGTGTTCAGTGCACTTCAGATCCAACAGATAGCTCACGCGCTCGAGCGCGTTGGGATTAGGTTCATCTGGGCGATCCGTACGAACATGGCGGGAGACGGCGATCCTCACGAGCCGCTTCCGGAAGGATTCGTTGACCGAACAATGGGCCGTGGAATTATATGTATTTGGGCCCCCCAAGTGGATATCTTGGCCCATAAGGCAACTGGTGGATTCGTGTCTCACTGCGGGTGGAATTCTATACAAGAGAGTGTATGGTACGGTGTACCAATCGCCACGTGGCCCATGTATGCGGAGCAACAGCTGAACGCCTTCGAGATGGTGAAAGAGTTGGGCTTAGCCGTTGAGATAAGGCTTGATTACGTAGCCGGCGGTGATAATGCCACGCTGGAGATCGTGTCAGCCGAAGAAATCGCCACAGCCGTTCGATCTTTGATGGATGGTGACAGCCCAATCAGGACAAAGGTTAAAGAGATTTCAGCATTGGCGAGGAAAGCTGTTGGTGAGGGTGGATCTTCTACGGTGGCTACAGAAGAGTTTATCAAAGATATTCTTGGGGATAACTTTTGATTTACCTCTTTTGGAGCCAAAAATAAATGTTGAATCCCGCAACAAAAAATGAAATGTTTTTTTTTGCAGTAATTTTCTAGATCATATGTATAGTCAAAATAAAAATATTAATTAAGATCATTTCTCACAACCAAAAAAACATCCAATTAATTTGTCACACGGCTCTTGAACAAACAAATCGTGTGACATAAGGTTTTTTTTTTTTTTTATGTACACCACTTATTAAATTATTAATATATTCACCCATTCTCATTTGAAAAACAAAATATCCATACGAAAGAGAGAGAGATGGTGAAGGAAACAGAGCTTATCTTCATTCCAGTTCCATCCACTGGTCACCTTCTCGTCCATATTGAGTTTGCTAAGCGTCTCATCAGTCTAGACCATCGGATCCACACCATCACCATCCTCCAATTGAATTCGCCCACTTCCCCTCATGCCTCCATTTTCGCCAGAACTCTCACCGCTTCACAGCCCCGAATACGTATCCACGACATTCCCTCTCTCCACGATCCTCCGCCAGTGGATCTATACCAAAGAGCTCCGGAAGCTTTCATAGTACAACTCGTCAAGAAAACCACTCCTCTCATAAAAGACGCAGTCTCCAGCATCGTTGAGTCGCGTCGACGAGACTCGGATTCGGTTCGGGTCGCTGGCTTGGTTATCGATTTCTTTTGCAATTCATGAATCGACGACGTTGGCAACGAGCTTAGCCTCCCTTCCTACATATTTCTGACGTGTAACGCCAGATATCTGGGTATGATGAAGTATATTCCGGATCGGCATCGGGTAAACGCCGCAGAGCTCGATTGGAACACGGCTGATCAGGAACTCACGGTTCCCGGATTCGTCAACTTTATTCCGGCTAAATTTATGCCGCCGGGTTTGTTCAACAGAGAAGCTTACGAGGCTTACGTAGAACTAGCGCCGAGATTCCGCGACGCGAAAGGTATTTTGATTAATTCGTTCACGGAGCTTGAGCCGCACCCGTTTGACTATTTCTCCCGGCAGGAGAATTATCCTCCGGTGTACCCAGTCGGACCGATTCTCAGCTTGAAGGATCGAGCGAGTCCGAACGAGGAGTCGGCGGATCGAGATGGGATCATGGGATGGCTCGAGGATCAACCTGAATCTTCCGTGCTGTTCCTCTGCTTTGGGAGCAAAGGAAGCGTTGATCAGCCGCAGGTGAAGGAGATTGCTCAAGCCCTTGAACTCGTCGGCTGCAGGTTTCTGTGGTCAATCCGAACAAGTCCCGTTGAGACCAACCCTAACGATGTGTTGCCGGAGGGGTTCATGGGCCGAGTGGCTGGCAAGGGATTGGTGTGTGGTTGGGCCCCACAGGTGGAAGTTCTGGCCCATAAGGCGATAGGAGGGTTCGTGTCTCACTGTGGCTGGAACTCCACGCTTGAGAGCTTGTGGTTCGGCGTTCCAATCGCCACGTGGCCGATGTACGCTGAGCAACAGCTGAACGCGTTCACGTTGGTGAAGGAGTTAGGCTTAGCCGTGGATCTGCGGATGGATTACGTGTCCGGCCGTGGGGGTTTGGTAACTTGTGACGAGATCGCCAGAGCCGTCCGATCTTTGATGGACGGTGGGGAAGGGAAGAGAGTGAAGGTGAGGCAGATGGCTGATGCAGCGAGGAAGGCTTTGATGGATGGAGGATCGTCTTCTTTGGCGACGGCTCGATTTATTGGCGAGTTGCTGGAAGATGGTTCGTGCTAATGCCAAGGTTGATTGCAATTCAACACGCTTACTTTATTCATCTCAGATTCTGGGGAACTTAATTAGTGTTAATACGGATCTTGTTTCACCAATTATTATGATGGGGGAAATTGTGGTATAAAAACGTTGGGGTCAATATGTTCTTGGTACTCACTGATTATTGATTAATCGAATGAATATTCAAGTGGGGACATAAATGTTCTTCTTTGTTTAGAATATTTAGATTACTTTAATACTTTTGGGTTCATTTCTATTTGTGGTCTTTTTGAGTGATTCAACATTTTTGGGTTTATGCTAAAATAAAACCCTTTTTTATTTTGGTTAATGCTTCTCTCATTCCAGTTGCGTTTGAGTTTGTTGGCTTTTTCTCAAAATAAGTTTCTTTTAACTATTTCAAAAATATGATTATTTTGTTTGTGTTTTTTTTTCACATGTAAATGCAAAGGTTGGTCTGGATTGATCAAATACCATTGGAGGAATTTACCTGATTTGTTCTTTCAATGGCTAAGAACCTGCCGCCACTGATTATTAAAGCAACCTGATTCGTTGGATACTTCGATTCATCTCAAACGACGACGTTTTACAACAGAACTAAAGAATTCGGGCCGATCAACTCGTCAACGAATCGTTTAACCGCAAGAAACGAAGATCCTCCGTCCATCAAAGCCATCCTCGCCGCCTCCGCCATCTCCTTCACTCTTTTCCTCGGCGTATCCTCACCGTCCATCAGTGATCGTATGGCTCCCGCGATCTCCTCAGCTTTCACTATCTCTCCGTTCGCCGAGACGTAATCCAAACGCAGCTCCACGGCTAAACCTAACTCCTTCACCATCGTGAACGCGTTTAGCTGTTGCTCAGCGTACATTGGCCACGTGGCTATCGGAACGCCGAACCACAAGCTCTCCAGTACCGAGTTCCAACCGCAGTGAGACACAAACCCTCCGATTGCCTTATGAGCCAACACTTCCACCTGTGGGGCCCAACCGCACACCAATCCCTTACTCGCCGTCCGATCTAGAAACCCCTCCGGCAATAGATCGTACGGACTCGCTTTCTCCGTCGGATTTGTTCGAATCGACCAGAGAAACTTGTGACCGGAGAGATCTAACGCTCGAGCCATCTCCCTAATCTGTGGTGCTCCGTGGATTCCGAGGCTCCCGAAGCAGAGGTACACAACCGACGACTCCGGCTGCTCCTCGAGCCACCTCATGATTCGGTCCCGATCTGATGGGTCCAGATCCGGAGACGGACGATCCTCTAAACTAAGAACCGGTCCGACCGGGTAAACCGGAGGATAGTGCTGAGGACGACGAGCGAAGTAATCAAATGCGTTCTGCTCAAGACATGTGAATGAGTTTACCAAAATGCCCTTGGCTGCCGGGAACATCTCCGCAATCTCGATCCAGGCCTCGTAGGACTCTCTCACGAATTGACCCGGAGGCATGACCTTCGTCGGCACGGAGCAGACGTAACCTGGAATCGGATGTCCCTCGTCGTCGGAGCTCAGGTCGAGCTCGGAGGCGATTCTGCGATGTCTCTCGGGGAGATACTTCAACATACTCAAAAAACCAGCGTTAGACGTCAGGAAAATGTAAGAAGGAAGGTTGAACTCGTTTCCCACTGCAATCAAGGGAGCGCAGAAGAAATCGAGAACCAAACCGGCGACCCGAACCGAATCGGATCCATCACGAGAAGGAACCAGAGTGGAGAGAGCGTCTCTGACGAAAGGAACTGTTTTCTTGGCAAAGTCTAGAATGTAAGCCTCAGCGGCTCTGAAGAAGAGCTCCAGTGGCGGAGGGTTTTGGATTTCAGGCAAAGCAAAGAGACGGACTCGAGGCTCTGAAGCGATGAGAGACTTGGCGAAGAGGTCTGCTTGAGGAGAGAGAGGTAATGCCCAGTGGAGGATGGTGATGGTGTGGATGAGTTTTTCACGTTTGATGAGAGATTTAGCGAATTCAATGGAGACAAGAAGATGACCAGGGGCTGGATAAGCAACAAAAATGATTTCTGCTTCAGCTTGCTTCCCCATCTTTGCTTATCTTTTTCTTTGGTTCGTCTCTCCTCTCTATGTATGTGTTTCAATGATTCGAAGCATACATATTTAAAGACAAGAACTTATGATTGAGTGGCCAACTATCATCATTTGGACGTGCCTTGATTTTGGCTTCATCGATAACGAAAAATCGGTTAACAACTAATTTGCATGTGGTCCCGATGAGATTATAGACGAATGCCTGAAACTTGTAAATTTTTAGAAAGAAGAAAAAGTTGCAAGAAAAGTTAACTACTTTAACCGGCAAAAAAAGGAACTAGACCCACTACCCACTATCTGAAAACTCACCAACTCCTTTTTTTTTTAGAATTTACCCACAGTCACAGCTCACACACACCCAGTTGATAACAATTGAGAATTAAATTATGGAGAGAACCTACGTCTGCTAATTAGTTTATTGGACAAATAGCTCACCAACAAGTAATCAGCTCAAAATTAAGCAACTTGTCATATAACTAGATATACTAGTGTAAGTTTCTCGTGTAGAAAATGTCCGATTAATAACAGTATTCTATTTCGAATTATAGACTTTTTGTAAACCTATACGAACACATATCCTGTCCTATCCGCGATTTTACAACTCAAGTGTTCATACTAATACATAAATTACTCTAATAAAAGTGTCTATCCATGCTTTTACAACTTATTCGGCTATCGTTTGTACAAGATGTAGGAATGAAGTTTCTCTCACAGAAGACAGTTGCGGAAAAATCGTATTCCCTGTTGATGTTATTAGACAGAAACAAAACATTGGTGTTTAGGCTCGGTAATTGTATTTGGAAAGGAGTGTACTATTATTCACTTATTTACCTGAAGAGCAAACGTAATGTCTGATTCGTCTACTCTCAAGCTAACTCTCTTTAGTTTATCCCCACGAGCTTTAACGAATTTCAGAATCCCCTGAAGCAACAAAACTCATTTTTAATCAAATGTTACTCTAATGGAAGCCTTTCAAGAGTCGGGTTTTTATTGCTTTCTGTGACCAATCGGTTAACAAATGAAGTACATCGTAAGTGTTTTTCCAAGACACACTAATCAAGACGGCGATAGCAGTTTACCTGATCGTTTAGCACTGTACACATGTTGGTGAACTCTGTAATTCCAGCTGGAGAGATCATCCTAGATTTACAGATTTCCAGGTATAACTTATTAAGCTGCATTGAAAGTTGTGAGAAGTAAGGATGAGTAATTCAGAACAACTTTTTGGTTTTACTCTTAAAAGGTTGTGTAATTTTGTGTTTCGTTTGGCTGGACAAAGATTTACCTCTACAACGGTTGCATCCTTTTTGCTCCCTCGAAAAGCCTTTGCAGCAGAACATACTATGATCTGTAAATTGTGTCAAGAGAAGCATGTGATGAATCTTGTCAGATTCTTTTAGAGTCACTCTTTGCTTAATCATAGAAGCTTCATGACATTGCTGTGGTTTTAAAATGACACTATGTGGATGTAACTTACTTGTTGGTGTTGAGGAAGAGACTGGATAGTTTCGACTACTGGAGATTTAAACGTCTTAGATAATGCAGCAGCCATATGATCCATCCTCACCTGTAACATTGAGGGAATTAAGGGATACGCAATAACAATAAGGTCTATAAAAGTCTATGATATTAATTCCATATTCATATCACATCTATCAATGAGTAAGCCGAAAATATAAGAGAAAGAATCAAATACTAACCATTTGATCATCTGGAGTTGGACTTTGTGATTCTGGGCCAGACAATCCTCTTACTTCTATTTCTAAAATTTCTAAAGCACTTCTGAAAATTTGAATCAAAGGAGATTGTAAGTCTTTCGTTCAGTTACTGAATGTCTGAAAGTATCATATTTTAGTTAAGCGACTTCTATTAGAAAATAAGAAGAAACTCTGTAAAATAGGTTGAATTCACCTGCAGACACATAGAGCCTTTCTCATGTCACCCGATGCAGCCGCAACTTTCTGGCACGATGCAAATAAAGATCAACATCAAATGGTTAGAGGAAAACATAAGTTGACTCAGGATGGAGAGAAAATAGCAGACTAGGAAGGACCAGATTCTTACTCTTGCACAGAGCTCCAGGGCTTTTGATTGAAATGCAACGTATGGGAGAACCTGTTTGAACAGGGCTTGAAAGTTAGTTCGACATAAACAGAAACAACATAGAATAATCTTTGGGTTCAGATATGATTCTATCCCTAAGCGCAAGGACACAAGAACAGCACAGATCCTTGTGTCGCATTGGCAAAAGTTTATCTATTATTAAGTCATTGATATAGATAGACTTTTCTAGTATCATCACAAAGAAAATATAAATCATCATGTCTTCTGTAAGTTACAGGTTTCAGTGTCTCAAGCAAGACATCTTATTATCCAACAAAGTGGAAAGAAAGAATTACCATAAGCCTCTCCTTTAGTATCTTAAGGATCTGATCGTTAGAATAGGCACGGAAAGTGATAACCAGAGGTTTACCTGCAGAAGAATAGGAGAAGCAGCAGTTGAGACTATCTGTGCGCATGAAAGAACGTTACAAAATCACAAAGTTGAGAAATTCTCACAATTAAGGGACTTCAGTTTTGGAAGAAAACGATCTGCAAGGTCTATTGCATTTGCAACCCCTGGAAAAAAAAAACAAGACAGAGTAGCTCACAATTATGAAAAGGGAAGTGAATACAGATATGAACTAAATCAAAGCAGTGAACGCTAAAAGACAGTACCTATAAGTATACACCTTGAAAATGGCAAAGTTGTAAGCAGAAAAAGATCATGCAAAACTCCTCGGTCTTTTGTGATCAAGTAATCCATCTCATCAGCAATTATTAACCTGAAAAAAAAAAGAGTTAAAATGAGTATGACACTGCTTCTATTTTCAGAAATCCTGATAGGTAACTGAAGCAGCAAAAGAAGAAAACAACCCTACATCATTCTTGAGCTCGACGATTCTTGCTTTTCAGAAAACAAAACCTGAAGATGTTCCAGTGGTGAAGAGTAGCCATCAGCTTTCTTTCCGGACTCATTTGCACCAAGTATCTGGAAACAAAATAAGCCTATCAAGCATCAATACTGAAACTGAAATCAAGATTTTTTTGAGGTCTATAGTTTATACCTTACTGAAAATATCTGTTGTCTTTGTCAGCGACGTGCAGTTTACAGACAGTGTATCCGGAGGTGGCAAACCTTCCTGATAAAGTTTTCAGGGATGTTTCAATCTTTCTGACGTTAAATGTTGCTTACAAGTTATGGTATAACTACAAAACTGATACCTGCTTCGACCAATCACCAGCTTGCTGTACTACTTTCTCCATGGACAGTGATTTTCCAGTTCCGGGACAGCCGCATATGTACAAACTCCCAGACTTCTGCTGATCTAAGCAGCCTTTCACAAACTCGAAAACATGTCTTTGTTCATCCTCACGGCAAACTATTGTTAACGGTGCTTTGGACACGTGCAGTGCCTCTTTCACAGCTCTCCTTTGCTCCTCATCTATACATTAATCATCGTATATGATGAACACAAGACATTATAAAAAAAAATGTAGACCATAGAAGAATCTAATGGATCATGTTTACCTCTAGGGTTCCAGTTAGATTCAGAGCCTAAACAATCAGATAATTGATCCACTGCCAGATTTTCATCAGAGCCTTCCCTAACTTCCTGCAAATAGATAGCCAAGTGAGGATTGATAATTGCAAACACTCGATTCAACAGTTATGGACGCTCGGAGTAATTCATCTGGAAATTATCTGATGCAGTTGAAATCAAACACATCCTATATCAACAATTTACCTTGGAAACAGCATTTCGTCGATGAGCTTTACATTTCTTCGGCGTACATACCGAATTTCCAGAAAGGAGATCCACAGCCGCCGCCTCGTCCCCGGAATTCGATCTCAGCTTTCGCTTCCGAGGAGTCTCACTCTCACACACGGCGGATTCAAGGGTCTCGAATTTCTCCGATCCGGCGGATACGATGTGCTTGTGAGAAGACAAACTCGGCCCGGCGATGGTAGGCATTATTGTTAGGTCACAAAAGACAATCTGAAGCGGAATTGAGATCCAATTGTACTGGCGAATCAGTCTCTTGATGTGGAAAGCAGTGAAAATGGAATGTGATAATAGTAGCGGGAAAACGTCAATCGCGTTATTTTCGCTCCCGCTTTCGTTCTTGTGCCGTTTTGAACCGCCAGCTCCGCGCCATTTTTATTTGGGCCATATTGTGGCAAACGCTATATCACTTTCAAATGGGCCCAAAATTTCAAAATTTTGCTTCTTTCGCAAATTCTATGTCGGTAGGGCTTGTACCTAATATTCAATATTTTTGTATTTTATACATTCACGTTTTAAAATATAAGTCCGTGATGATTTATGGAATTTGGCAGTCTTGTATACCAAACAAATTGTTATCCATGGTCTTTTAAACTTTAAAGTTAGTTTTTGTTAGGATCTTACAAATTCAAATGGAAACTCTGACTAAGTTAAACTAAAAACATTTTATAAATTTTCGTAGATGGGAAAAGTAGGTCCCTAATTCACCCATAACACAAACTCATCCACACTCACATTAAATCTGCCACTAGAGACCAATGCCTTGGTTAGTTCTTTTCTTTTCTATTTTTGGGCTCATCTTAGCGATATAAAAAAAAAAGGTCTGCCCAGGTTAAAATCATGGATGGTTCTGAATCTGATGAAATGGCGAACTAATTAGTTCATAGTTCAGTAATTTACGTATACAACACAATGATAACTTCTTCCTTTTTTGTATTTAAACACAAATATCTACTGCCGAGTGCTCCATCAACCCTATATATAGCCTTGTCGCTCCAAACTGAAACTCATACTCCACTACCAAAATCTACTTTAGTTGGCATCTCAACTCAACTGACAACTGTTTTATCTTAATTCCCATAGTTAAAACAAGATGACTCGAACATTCCCAACAATAGTCTCTCATGCCGATACTCTTCCGAAAAGTGCATTTTGACGGAGCTGCCTACTAATAGCTTTTAATATACGACCACAGAAACAAACAAAAATGCTTTTCTCTTTGTTTGAAATCGACTGATTTATATGTTCGCATGATGTTAATTTGGTTCAATAAACGACGTGTGGAATCGGACAAATACTCCAAGTGTGGGATAAGATATTTTATCTTTTTTTCTATATTTCGTAAAAAATTATTTGGGAAGAAAAATGTCGACATGGAAATCGCTGATAGTATGTTCATACATATATACCAAAAAATGAATAATTTTATATCTAAAAATAGAACGAAAATATAGAATGAAAGAAGATAAGAGAAATGAGAGTGGCCTTTGCCGTGTCGATGCTTCTGCCAGTCTCTCTCTAGTTGATATCTCTCTCAACGATTCATGATCAGTTGTCCATAGCATCGTATCAAGAGCCACTACGCAAACTTATATTCTTTTTCCACTATATTAGAAACAACTGAGCAACGATACAGATATAACGCACGTACGTTATCACAGGGTCGTGTGATGTAAATCCTTTTAACAGTTCTTATTGGCTGACTCTGTCCGAAGAGTTTCAAGTACGCGTCAATTATTTGATTTGATATTAAGATGATACACTGTACAAATTCGAGTAATTAAATGTATGACTTGATAGGAAAAAAATAGAGAGTGCGAAAACCATTTCTGGTCGGTTGGTTGACCAGATTCGTGTATATTATTAATTTACTATGAGTGCGATCTTTTGAAACCTCAAGCATGCAACGTTGGATTGACCCCGAAGTTTCATATGTTGCGGTTTGATTTTGCATTAAGTTATCCGTCATGCTCGTTTGTTTTGAAAATTCTGCAAATTTTTAATACTTGTAGGTTTGTATGTTGTGGTCCTTGTGGATCACAGGATCAGTGGATGGTAGATCATTCATTGGTAATAATAACGTCTTCTAAAAACATGATGAACCAATGAACCATATTTTTGTTTTTTTTTTAATTATATGTCAAACATGATGAACCATAATAATAACGTCTTCTAGAAACATGATGAACCATGGTAGATAACGAAAAATATAAACTAATGGATTTAATTGGCATTTGTTCGGACATTTTTTCATGTTAGTGCAATCAAATGAATCAATGAACAAACCTTTAACGTATCACATGGTTCACTTTATCATTTTCCGTTTGTTTTATTTACCTCCTTACACTTTTGGACATGTAGCGTTTGAATCTCGCAGTTGTCTCACAAATCCATTTTTGGGTTTGTGGGATGATTCCAATGAAAGAACAATAATATCAGCCGTTAAAATATAAGATACCTGCAGTCGACGTACCGTCAATACTTTATCACCTTCACTCTCTTTAACGTTGCTTTCTCTAACGACGTCAGATTCCGTCAACTTGGTGCATATCACCACTCTCCAGTCTCCAGTCACTTCTCGTTCCATCTCCACCGTCGCTTCCTTACCCTCTTCCTTAAATTGCTACGTTCCAACAAAATGTATTTTGTTTTAATATTAAAGGCTTTTACTTAGTTAGCCGTTGTAACTTGTCGTTTCTTCTTAATTTGATTTATTTTTTACATGCATGCACATATATATTGCAGCTACACTAGTTGTTTTCATACCCATACCAGATGAATACATATTATATAGTTAATTAGTACTATATATTATTAAAGCGATTTCTGTCCTGCACGATCGCATATTTGCATATGAAAAAGATTGCATTTTTGCATTAGATAATGATCGCATTAATCATAACTTTTCAGTAGAATATTAGAAGATCGATCTTCATGATCTTCAATGTGTTTTTATGATATGTATTGTTCATTTTTCGGAAAACTGTATAGCGGGTTTGAAACACCCAAATTAGGCAAATAGCATTTGCGATATATGAATTGCAACATAACACATTTTTGACGTGACTCGTAAGTATCTGAGCATTTAAGTAGAATTTCATTAAAAATCACGAAACGTTAAACGACTCTAAATTCGCAACAAGTAATAAAAAATAAAAAAAAAATCGTTCTTTGTTATAGATCCTTCAATCTGCTAATATCAATAAAACACTTTACTTTGCTTAGCATTATGGTGATGATAACTTATCTGGTGTGAATACTATTGTATTAGTTATTACCACATGAATAAAAGTTTTTCCATGAATAAAGCCCACGTTATTGCCATTCTTCGAGGAAACAAATGTGTTGTGACTTTTGACTTTTTAATCTCTGAAAATTCAATGCATCTCATTGTTTGAGTTCTTAAAGATAAATGTACCTATGAAATATATTAATGTAATGTCGAATATAGAAAAATGTCAATAATTCATTTGTTGCCAAGTATAGAAGATTACGAACTCAGACGTCATTTCCAGTTTACGGAAAGCTCCAATCCAAACTGAGTCCAAACTCCGAAGTATTTTTATATACATCAAACTCATTCACTAAACTTATACAAATTCAAGACATTTTTTTTATAAATACTAATTTGTTAGTCTCTGTTTACTAATGACCTTAACATTCCGATTGATATAACCAACTTATGAACCCGTTACTAAACCATAGTACTACCATTATCCCATTGACATAGTTTGTTAGGAACTAGTACTAAGAATCTCGGCTTTTATGAGTTTAAAAATAAAGAGAAATTTCCCAACATTAAACGGAAACACGAGTTTAGATTTAAGACGCAATAAACTTTACATGTAAATAAAAGTCATCGTTACCAGATGACATGGACACGAGGACCCCACTTATTTCGCCTACCTTATTGCCAGGCTGTTATTATTTTCACACTCCTACTTACTTTTTAAAAAAAAAACAATTTAATATGTTACGTTAATTACACGTGTGACTTTATATGTCGTCGAATGTAATTTACTTTCCATTTTTCGATTTGTCAGAAGAAGAGCAGATCCGCACGATCAAGTGGCGAGTTTAGAACCGTCAGATCTAAAAGAAAAAAAAACTCTCCGGATTTTCGCCCACTTATTTATCTGTAACGGGTGCCACGTCACTAGTTTTTTTTTACTTGTTACCGGTTTGTCCGGTTTTCCTCTACCATGTTTGTTGACTATTCTACGTAAACTCTTCTCTTCACCTGTGAGATTTTTTAATTTTATTTCAAATGTATTTTTCTCACTTAGTTTTTTCCGTCTTTGATATTTGATAAATCATCTTCCCGTGTTTATATAAAAGGGCAGGCTCTCGCTAAGTGAAGCGTCTGCCTCCTGCTCCACTCTAGGATTATCCCGAGAAAGTTTTTTTTTTCCCTTCCGAGAAAATCCGAGAAAATCTCCAAACAAAAACCTTGGCTCATTTACAGAGTGAGTTTCTTCTCCCTAGCTACCTCTCTCTTTTCTCTCTCCATTTAGCTGCACATAAAATTTTGTATTTATGATATTGGATTTTCATCGATTCTTGCGCTGATTCGATTTTCCTCGATCCGTTTCCCATGGGGATTGTAATGATTCATTCCCTTGAGAGTGCATGGATTTAAAAAAAAAATTCCCCATTGTTTACGTTTCCTACGAAAATTTTCCTACAAGGATCTCCAAGAACCCAAGTGAACTTAAAATCCTTTGATTCATCTTTTGATTTGCAGGGAAGCGTGAGGAAGAAGAAAGTAGCCTCCAGTTTTTGCTCTGTTTTTTTTTTTTACCAGCCAAACAATAAATCGGGAGGCCAATATCTGGAGATATTTATTCAAATGGGCGTGAAAGTAGCAACAACCTCCACCTTCCATCAATGGGTGGCTCATCCCATAGTTCATCACTCCTCTTCTCTTTCTCAAACCCTAGCTTCCTCCTCCATTTCATCTGCTTCAAGACGACGTAGCATTGGACACGACGGACGGTCTCTCTCCTGTCGCTCGGTGGCGCAGAGCCAGAGGATCAACCCTTCTCCTCTCTTCGGCACTTCTCCGCCGAATCTCCGGCACTCCAAGTCCTGTGAGCTCTGGGAATCATCGAGACCGACTAAAACCCAGTTGATCCGCAGAGCTTTTAGCGCGAGCGTCGATCCGTTTTCCGAGGAGGAGTTCTCGAAAAAGATGCAGGAGCTGGCTCTCAAGTTCCGAGTCTCAAACGAAGACGACGACGAAGAAACAGAGACGAGGATCCATGACTCGGAGCCGCCGGTGAGAACAATCCACGACGCCATTGATGTTGCTCGATCAGGAAGTCACTATTTCAGTATAATGGACGGTGTTGATAAATCCAGTTCATCAAGGTCGGATTCAATGGAACCTCCATGGCCTGAGATGGTGCAAATGTCGAGCATCGAGAGGAAAGCAAACAGCGTCGATCTCCCTCTGTCTCTCCGGATCATAAAGAGAAAGCTACAAATGGAGGAAGGGGTCAAGCAAGTCGGCGACTCGGCTTGCTGCTCTGTGAAGAGAGCCTTCTCGTCGATGGTGTTTATGATCCGAGAGCTTCAGAGCTTCACGCTACACATGAGAGAGCTTCTCCTCTTCGAAGATTTGCAAGGGATTCTCCTCCGCGTGCGGAAGGAAATGCAAGCTTCGTTCGTTTGGTTGTTCCAGCAAGTTTTCTCTGCAACTCCCACGTTGATGGTCTCTGTTATGATCCTTCTCGCAAACTTCACGGTTTACTCTATTGGCAGCAACTCCGCCTTAGCCGCCGCAACGCCTCATCCCCCAACAGCCACCGTCTCTTTCCTCTTCGAGACGACGGAGCTAAGTGAAACCCAAGAATCCAGCAGCAAATTCGATCCCTCAACTGTACAGACATTCTCTGTTTCTTCTCCTATCGGGAAAACATCTTTCGTCGGCGGCGGCAGCGGCGGCGGTGGGAACAATATCCCGCCAGTCCAAAGCGGAACAGACGGCGAAGGATCTGATCAGTTCAGAGTACCGTCTCAATTCTCATCGTCGTCCCTCGGCGCAACAAGTGCGGATTCAAATGCATCTGTGTCTGGGCAAGAAGAGATCAGACTGTGGAATTCGATCTTGGAGGAGTCGGAGAAAATGGAAGCGTTGGATCACGAGACGATGAAGCAGATGGTGTCTCCGGTGGAGGCTCGGTTAGAAGCAGAGGAGTCAATGGATTACTTCAAGACGGAGCTTCTCTACCAAACGGGGTTGTCTCAGCAGCCCGATAACGTTCTCCTTCTTGCTAATTACGCCCAGTTCCTCTACCTAATCATCCATGACTACGACAGGTAATTGACAACTAACCATCGATTTAACAATAATCACGCTACTTAAAGTAAATATTATCTTTGGTTTTGTTCTTTATTAGATCATGATTAGATAGTTAAGATTTGGTTTTGGAGTTAAGTTGTAGAATAACATCCAAATCTTGGGTTTTACTGGCTGCAAGTTGATACTAACAGTCAGAATTAGTAGGCGTGATAGATATTTATATTGGGAATTAAGGGGCCATGGATATTTTAGCTAAAAGTTGTCATAATCAAATCACCATAAGAACCAGTCGGATAGGTTTTAGTTAAATTGAGTGAACCATTTCTCTTTACCTGTTAGAGAAAGAAGACAACTAGTAGAATAATACCTACATCTCTATTTTCAGAATAAAATAGAGAATAAACTAAAATGATGTCACTCTTGTTTTCTTTCCCAAAGATTTTGTCTCTTAGCTTGAAGGTTGGGTTCCCGACAAATGAAAAGCTTGGTTGATAGTGGAGTATGTGGTGGAATTCTCAAGATGATTACTTCTCCTCCAAAATCATATTTTTTGCCCTCACAAGTTGCTCTTTAGATCATATTATTACATGATTCATTCACCAACACTAAGCAGCTAATATGTTTGCAAATGTTACAAAACTAACAGTGTTGTTAGGTAATAATGGGCTAATATGTGCATTTGGTTGCAAATAGGTCAAATACTATTTTGGTGATAGGGTCTACAGACAGTACTTTGACATTTTAGCCATGACTATAATTCAATAGCAGTTCCACTTTAGACAACTTTGATTTGATGCATCTGCCACGTTCTATAACCACAACCCAATTCACTTACGTTTTCACTTACCCTTTTGACCTTATTCAAATCTTATCTCTACTACTATAATGAACAAAACCACAATTGTGCTGGATCGTTGTCTCGTTCTAACGTGGCTTCTTCTTCTCTCTTTTTTTGGTCTGGATAAACAGAGCGGAGAAGTATTTCAAAAGAGCAGCAAAAGCAGAGCCAGCAGATGCAGAGGCGCTGAATAAATATGCAACCTTCTTGTGGAAAGCAAGAAACGATATTTGGAGAGCAGAGGAAACGTTCTTAGAAGCGATCTCTGCGGATCCAACAAACTCTTTCTACTCTGCGAACTACGCACATTTCCTTTGGAACACCGGTGGTGATGACACGTGTTTCCCACTCGACGCTCCACCGCAACAGAACACCACATAGAAAAGAGCCACAACAATTGTCTATGTACAGTGTGTTTCTTTTATACAACTCATGTCATGTGGCAACTTTTTGTTTATATGTTCGTACATATTTCAAATTTTGACTATTTTTTCTTTCTTTCTTTTATTACTGTTCCCATACCGTCACGGACTTGTTCTTTTACGTGAACAAACCATGCGTCAGTCAGTTTCTCATATAATTATACAAGTTCCAAAAATTACTGAACGCATTAAAAGCGACAAAACAGGTTGGAGTCAGGAAAAAATTGTGTAGATTTTGTAAGAACCCAAAACCCTTCTCGATCCCACGTTTCTTTAAATCTCTACAACACATTGGATCGTGCGAAAAAAATCTGAAAAGAGTCATGTGAACCCCAAAAAGAGGAACACGTCTCTCTTTCTTTTTTTTTTTTTGGTCGGGTAACTCTTTCTTTTTTATCACTCATTATCAACTACTCGTATCCTCTTTTCGACTTTTCCTTTGGGCTTTGTGTAGTTTAGTCTCCATAATAAGCTTCGGGATACACGCAGACGTAGATCTATTTATCCTCACGTGAACTCATTAATAATAGTCTTTTTCTAATCACATTATGAATTTATGAAACTCTCTATTTCTGGTACATGTATATGTAGATTGATGTAGAAGTGTATGAAAAATCTATAATTTGTTTAGTACTAGTAGACTAGTATTTAATATTTATACACTTTGGAGAACATCAGTCACGTCAACGATAACTTTTTAAAAGTCATTTGATTTGACTTGACAGTATAATAATTCACCCTTTTTTTCTTCACTATAATAATTCACTATATTTATCTGCATAGGTTCTCGATAGTACTTGTCTACTGGTAAACGATAGGTCTACAGAATAAGCCCAACAACAGTTGAGGTAAACAGATCAGAAAGCCCATTATACTAAGACTATTTGAACAAAGTCGAATGTATGAATATACCCACCTACAAATTATGGTTGATACGTTAAAAAGAAGTCGATAACCCCGAATTCGATTTCTCATGCGGAATTTGCTTAAGCCGTTAAGCGGTTAAGGCATATTGAAATTTCCAAAAATACAATTTTGAAGTCATATCTATATATTAATAACTATATTCTACCTTGTAATAAAAAAATGCATTCCAAGCTGAAAGTTGAAACTATTAGCTGCAGATCGAGAAAAATTCCAAGTTTCTTGTCTATTTTGTGTGTGTTTATTTGTTGTCTTCAGCCTCTGAACAGTCCTAGTCCGGCTTGGAAATAAGGTTATGACATTTTAGCTCTGGCGAAGAACACTCCCGCAAATAGACCTGCAAAACAAAATCACGTATACACTAATTGATATAGACATTCATTCCCACCTTACGTAAATTAAAGAGGAAGAAGCATACAACAGTACAGATCATCGATTTGTTTCTGCAGGAGCGAGTTACTTACCAAAAAGTATGCTGAACAAATTTGGGAGACTGAGAGGGACATCGAAGAGTACAAGACCAGATAATGATATCGGAACCTTGTTTAATGAACCCACCAGGCTGTCACACAATCAATAGACAGAACATCATAATGTAATCCCAATTTACAGAATGAAATGAAAGATTACAAGGCAATGTTTCTTTTTCTAGCCGGAAAGAGCGATACCTGTATGTAGTGGGTCCAGTTTGATGCAAGAACCACATCGAAGTGAAACTAATGGCCAGACCAAGGAAGCCGCTTGCTGTTGCGACTACCCAAAACATTGTATCTTTTGTCACATCCCTGCCAGAGAGTTAAACACCATAAACATTTTAGCTTCAAAAGAGATAGCAACTTTTCCATCTGCATCTGATTAGTTCCCGTGAGTTCTTCTATTTATGTATCTTTTCCCATTTTCAGTTTCACATCTCGTTATAAATGCAACTAATATCTATAAATTCTGCAATTTGTACTATTGAAATTAAAAAAAGAAAGAGTAGAAATAGACAAGGACTTGTTTAAGTAACTATCAATGTTGGATCCAGATATTTTTAAGTAAGCTAAAGAATCCGCTAATTATATTACTAATTAAACAAAACAACTAGACTTAAGATGTGTCAGATGGGTAAGAAAACGACGATACAATTTTTTATAAACAAGTGTCGCTCTGTTAAATAGTCCTTACGTGCTTATTACGTATCTCCATTCACCCAGCAAGATGATCAAGATGATGCCAAAAGGCAGTGACAAGAGATTATTCAGCAGCACCATTGACACCTCATTAAGGGACCCAGATTTTGTGGACTGTTTTGCTTTGTCCATGACTCGGCGCAGAGTAAGCTGTGACAAAGAGTTGAAAGATCATCATTATGGAGAGTAAGTGAGAGAGAGAGAAATATGCATCAAGCTTCGTGATTCCAGTTACTGGTTTCATAAGCCTGAACTTACTGAATAACTTGCGGTTAGAATGCAGTTAGCACTCTGCCATGTGTATCCCACTGCATTGAAAGTGAGATCCGTGATGCCTCCGCTGATTGCAGAGATGATCTGTATTGCAAACACTTAGTTGGTATCAGACAAGGGTCGTTACAAAGGAGGCTTAGAGATTTTCTCCAATCTGAGCAAAGATGTGCAATTTAACTTACCATCATGAACATTGCAGCCCAAACCTTGTTGTTCTGCCTTTTGCGGAACATGTATAATTCCCCAACCGCAGTAATAATATTCGTTGCGTTCTTCAGAATAGTCACCATAGCAACGTTTATGTATTTCAAACTGGAAAAAGAAATGTAATGTTGCATTAGTCTCAAGCGCTATAAATTCTTAAAATTTTTTTCACCAATTAGTCTCCTGACCTGTACATCCCTGAGATCAGCATGCCCACAAAGATAACATTGACAGGCATCCATACTCTGATCAACTTCCAGTTAAGTTTCTCCACTGAAACCACTCCAGAGAATTTCAGCACAGCTACCACCAAACAGCTGATTAAGTTCTGAGATAAACTTACAAGGAAATCACCAAACTTGTACATAGTTTGTCAAGTCAATAATCATCATCAAGCTCATGGGTTTAGAAATTGTCTTACTTGATATAACATCAAAGAGATTCCTGCGTTAAAATTATAGCTGGAGAGAACAATTTTGTTCATAATGATCATGCTGCAGGAAGAGATGCAGTAAGCTGCTCCAGACACGAGGGGTCCTGACTGTTTCCCTGACCCGTGGTCACGTCTGTTTTCTCCACCAACCGGAAGATATCTCCGTCTCCATCTCAGAAACCTTCAGCGAGAATCAAAAACATTATCTTAGACCATAACCTGGAGCCAGCTGAGGAAAACGAAGCCTAAGCATCTTACATTTACCTTTCACTAAAGCCTCTACGTTCCGAACTCTTCTCATGGCTGCGGATTTGATCGAGAAGTTGATAGACAACGCTTTTACTACCATTATCACTGAAATGATTCAGCTCTGATTCATCGGGTTCATGGCAAACGACCGCTTCAAGATTCATAGCAGTCATATCCAGCTTCTGCACCATAACAAAATTTCACATTTCACATCCGGATTTAAAACTGTAGTCGTAAGAGATAAACATCTATTTTCCTGCCCTTACGAATGGGCTTTGTGAAATTCAAACTACGCATTTACACAATTACTCATACAAGCGATAAGTAAAAGACCTAGAAGTTGATACCTATTGAAGAATCGTAGAAAAGTTAATCTCCTCAATCTGCGGAATCGAAGATACGAATGATTATGAGTGAGGGAGAAAAATCACACTTTATCAGCTCAATTTCGCTTGAAATACGGCGCGTAAATGCGATTCGAGCGAAATCGCCAGTGGGAATCAGATCTTCACCGCTTCTGTGGAGAGAAAAACCGGCGACGAAGAAGGCAATGACCTTTTTTAAGTAACACGCAAAGCGTAAGAGGCGAAGAGGAACGTGGGAGGATCTGAGCGAGATTACCGAGGTAGAGAGAGAGTAACCGTCCATGTTCAATCTCCAGCTTCAATATTACCTCTTTTTTATTAGGGCTCTTGAAATCTGTGGGAAGGTTAATTACTTTTCTAAAATCAGCCGAGAGGGGATGATACGGAATGTGATGGAATTTTAGGCTTGAGGCTACGCCGGAATCCATGGCTACTTTCCTGGCGGGAAGATTGCCGGTGACTATGGCGATTGGCGAGGCGAGTTTTTTTAATACCTGGGCCTGGGCTTTAACTATTGGTATTACACCCCTTACAATTCTTTGAGATTTGGGCTTTGGCAATTAGAATTCAAACTAAGCCTTCTACACTAATTTTTATATGGCCCAACATTTCAAATCATTTCCCAATCTGTTTTCTCTTGTTGGTGAATTTCTGCAATTCGAATGGCAAAACTTGTTAAGAGTGAAGTGGTCAATATTGGGTTAGTGGAAATACCAAAACTTTTTGATGGTAGTACTAGTAACTAGTTAAGGTTTACTTACATATAGAAACTTTAGTTGATCAAATGGATTTATCATATAGAGGATTAGTGGAATTGCAACTTTTAGTAGACCACGCATATTATTGTATTAGATATTGAGCACTACACGACCTAGCATTTGCAATCATTTTCATTTTCTATTAAAAAATTCTTATACAGAATTAGGTATAAAAATTATATAAAGGGACAAGTCGTTTTAGGATATGAATTGTCATCAACACGCGCACACGTATGCTGCATATTGTAGGCTGTTCAGGTGGAGTCTCGTTCATTGAAGGTGCTAATTTGCTATCCTAAACAAATCACTGGCCCATAATATAGCTGCCTTGCTTTATTCTTTAACCTTTTTGGATAAAATAAATAAAGCATTTTAAGCACACACTAAACAAAAGGGATTACACACGAACATCTTAAATATGAACAAATACCAAAACCGAACACTTGTAGACAGTGAAAGAGGATGATGGGAACTGATGCAACCATAAATATTTAGTATTTTCTCTTACTACTGCATAGTACGCTACACATATAGACATTGTTTACTTGTAATTCTCACATATAAGCAATCAACACAACAGGCCAATAAACGACCAAGACAAAGGGTTTGCGAGTGATGAAACTCAACAAGTGGAGTTTGATCTGGTGAAGGAGGATGATGAGTTGATGAACTCTATGCAGTCTTCTATGGCCTCTGATCTATGACTGTCATTGCTTATAGGGATGATCGACGGCCGAGATTTTCCAGAGGAAGAAGAAGAAGGTACCTTCGACGGTGGAGATTTTCTCTTCTTCCTCATAACAACCAGACGTAAACCTTTTGCAAATTTACAGCCAATATGCTTGATCAACTTTGCTGCTGTGACTTCTGTTTTCCTTGGTAACCTCAATCCGCAGCTCGTTGTGCATCCTGGGCTCTTACCGTAAGGTCCCCTGATAGTGGTCTGCTTAACCGAAACATCTCTGTGAACCGGTCCAGTCTTTGTGTTGACTCGTTTTGTTCCAGCAGCTGACATAGCAAGAGAAAGTGAGAGAGGTTTTTGGGAAATAATATGACGATATTGAGAGATAAATAAGGGGTAGATGCTGAGAAGCGAGAACAGTTGGGCTGATAGTTCAGGAAAAGATGGGGAAAAGACACGATTAGATGTATTCATAACATCATTACACATAGGCCATGATTAAGCACTCGAGACAGAAACACATAAATAAGTTAAAAAAAGGGTGTAGCTTTTCAGATCCTGTATATAAAAAGAATTCTAGTTGAAGTGGATCTTCAAAGTTTATAAAGAGAGCTATGCACAAGGGCCAAAAGACAATATTAGGTTGAGTTTTTTTTCTTTCTTTGTTTACGGTTCACACAGGGAATAAAACTTTGTTTAAGTGAAGAAAAAGGTTCTTTCTCATGAAGCAACCATTTGGTATCATTCTTAATCTTCTTTGATGATCGCTCATGTGTACACAGAACAATCTGAACAGTTTCTTTTTGACTCCAGTAGAGGCCAATATAAACTTACCTTTATGGATGTCAGATTCCTTTCAAGAGCCTGAGGCTACAAAAAAAGAGGAGGATAAAACGACAAGTTAGTGGTGGGCACACAAGAATATGAGAAAGCATGTAATAAACCAGGGAGTGTCAGGACATAAATAGAATATCACACTTTGGGGGCTGGAGAGTGATTTTACATGTGAGAACATTCCATCGAGATCAGAACAATAATTTCCGCATGATAAAGTCAGTGATTAGATGCTAATGGCCTGAGATGGTCTGACATATATGGCAAGTTTCAAAAATGCCAAAAGGGAAAAGAATGCAATAGAAAAAATTGCTGCTGTCTTATCGTCAAAACAAGAGCAGAACAGATTAATCACCAACCGCAAGCAATGACATTTGAGGGAAGACATCTTTTTCTGTACTGTGATGTGCATGATTCGTGACATTAATCAAACCACATCCCCCAATGACTTATTACTTTGAGACAAGGAGATCACTGGTTTACAATTCACAAGAGAGATACTACACACATTTAGCTACTTCATTTAGTTGATCATGTACTGAAAGACTAGTAAAACTCACACATTGATATCACCAAACAGGGAGTGGATCTACGTGATAATTATGCACAAGTCTTAAACCCATCAGCAAAAGTATTAATGTAGAACTGCACGACATAGGACGGTTCATGGCTGAGACAAAGCACACTACTCTCAGCATGTTTCAAACAATACATCAACAGAGAAAGCATTCATATTTAAACATTATCCGGGATAACTTATCCCTAAGACCCCAATAGCCTGATTCAAGAAGTTGAAAGAAACATTGCAGGAGAATAAATTAGAGATATTTTTAGAAACATGTACAGAAACCAAATTATCGAGAAAAGAAGCAACTGATCAATTCGCAAACATATAGACATATCATATCCTCAAACGACATATAGTTTTCATCAGCAATCCTTGGTGAATTATAAGCACCAAGATGGAAATCTGACGATAGTAGAGCCTTAGAAACGTCAAACACTTATGAAATTCCACAGCTTTTTTCATTTACTCTTTAACATTCACGGCGATAATCGCGGCCATAGCTGTAGCTCGGCCTAGCTCCGAAGTCGCTCTCAGACCTCTCTGCAACAGCTCTCTCTTCCTCCAAGCTCAATCCGCCCATATTCTTCTGCAGCTGCCTGTGATCATAAGGAGAGTAATCGACCGGCGCCGACGGGCCACCTGGCACTCCGTAGCTAGACAATCTCGAACCCATCACAGGAGGAGCCTGTGGCTTGTACTCGTTCACCGGAAAGGCATCGACCGGAGCTGATGGCCCACTCGGCGGTGGAGCGTAGTTGGAAAACCGAGGAGCTAAAGGAAGCGGCTTGTGATCGATGGAGGAGAAGGCATCGACGGGAGCAGATGGGCCACTTGGCGGACCGTAATTGGAGGCACGATCGTACATCGAACGTGGAGGAGGAGGCGGGTAATAAAACCCGGAATAGTAGTGATCGGTGAACGGATAAGGAGACGGTGAGAATTCTCTGTAATCACGATGAGGAGTTGCGATCGGAGGTGGAGGAGGAGGAGGGGTTGGGGAGTAATAATGGTTTCCTTGAGGGGCCGAATAGTAATCTTGCGGTTGGGATTGAGGGCGCGGCGGAGGAGGAGGATGATGCTGCGGTGGAGGGATCGGCCGCTCGTTGATCGCGAGCTTTAGGCGTATCTTCCCCTGCGGCCGACCCGACGGACGCACCAGCTCGAGCGAGTTGATCAATTCGGGAATCATCGCACCCTCCGAGTCAACCAACCGAGCCAGAGGAAACCTAACCGATCCGACGAGGGTTTTTTCCAGATCCGACGAATTGGAATGAAGAACCTCGATGTTGAGGACCGATTCGTGGACGGATCGGGTGAGAGGAAGAGTGATCCGCTCGTTCCACACCGGTTTTGTGGAATCATCGGAGCGGGTGGAGAGGCGATGATCCGGGTCAAGGTACAGAACAACGTAGGGTTTCAGGTCTCCGTTACGCCAGTTGACATTCTTCAGGTGCTTTGCAGAGACGACGGTGACGACCAGGTCGAGTGGCTCCGACGAGGCCATGATACGGTGCCTTCTAAGGCGATACGGTGGTGTTAGCTAACGTGCGCTTGTATCTCTCGATATCGGTATGAAAGTTTCTGACTTTCTTTCAGCTTATCGTTCGTTCATCACAAAGTAGTTTACGTCTTTCTTAAACCTGCTGGCTAGCAAAGAGGCTTTTGATTCTTTCTTACTAGAGAGACAGCTGGAGTCATTTTATGACACGAATGGGGATATCGATATCTTTATGTCCAAACAGATACCCAAATTCTCACCAAGCACAAGATAGGCCATTTGAAGAAGTGGATAACCCTCTCACTGTGCTTCTTCTTCTTCTCCATTGTGATAGGTCAGTGAACAATGGCTTCCTCTGCAACAGCGCCAAATTCACTATCTTTCTTCTCATCTTCTCTCTTTTTGTCCTCCTCTCACCAAATCCCTAAAACCTACATTTCCGTCGCGAAATTCGGCTCCGGCAGAGTATCGAAGCCGCTCTCTGTCGCGTCCCAGCTAGCGACCCTACCGATCATCTCATTCGAGGGAGAGAAGGTTGGGGAGACGTATCTGGACCTCAAAACGGCGCCGGAGGATACCGCTCGTGCCGTTGTGCACCGCGCCATCGTGACGGACCTGCAGAACAAGCGTCGGGGGACGGCGTCGACGCTGACTCGCGGTGAAGTTCGCGGTGGTGGAATCAAACCTTACGCGCAGAAGAAAACGGGTAACGCGAGGCGTGGATCTCAGAGAACGCCGCTACGTCCCGGCGGAGGTGTGGTGTTCGGGCCAAAACCCAGGGACTGGTCAATCAAAATCAACAGGAAGGAGAAGAAGCTGGCGATATCGACGGCCATTTCGAGCGCGGCGACTTCGGAAGGTGCGATAGTGGTGGAGGAATTCGGGGATAAGTTCGAGAAGCCGAAGACGAAGGATTTCTTAGCTGCGATGAAGAGGTGGGGATTGGATCCGAAGGAGAAAGCTATGTTCTTGATGATAGATGTGGAAGAGATTGTGGCGAAATCGAGCAGGAACATCGGAACGCTGAGGATGCTGACGCCGAGGACTCTGAATCTGTTCGACATTTTGAATTCTGATAAGCTGGTGCTGACTCCTGCGGCGGTGGAATTCCTGAATGCGAGGTACGGTGTTGATGCGTTGGAGACAGAAGAGGATGATGAAGATGACGATGAAGATTCCACGGAAGGTTAGTGTTTTGAACATTCTCCTTCTTGAATACACACACTTGTTCTTGAAAGGAACTTTGTTTCGTCGAAATTTGATGTTTTTTCTTTTCCGTCTAATGTTGTGCTTGGTGATCTTCATTGTATGTGTTCATTGCTTGAAGTTGAAATCTTAAGTTTTGTTTTATGAAGGGGCTGAGGAATCTGCAGAATAAGCAGGAACTTACGTCCAACTGTTGTAAGTGTGGCTTATGAGTTTCACCTTCTCTTTCCTTTTTGTGGCAACAAGAGAAAATGTGCATTTCATTTAGAGATTTTTTCAAAAAGAGATCATCCCCATTTCCTTTTCTCATTCTGATTTATGTCTCTAATCCTCACTGAAGTAGGAGGAAAGTCAAAAGAAGTGAAATTAGACACCATGAACACAACCATGTCATCTCAAAAATCTATAGTAGGGAGATCATCTCTTACTGATACAAGTGAGTTGGTATAATGTTCTCCAGCCTAAACCGGGACAGAGTGATTATAGTCTTCAAGTTAACAAGAAAGAGATGTTACTAATTACCCATAAGGTTTCGAAAATGCCACACACTAAAACGTAGCCCAGTAAAATAAACTCTTGGGCCTAAAACTCCAAAAAATAGACACTTGTTATGTTAAAATGATGACTTAAGAAAAGAGCCCATTCTGTCAAAGGAAACAATTATATTCAAAATCTATCTACTCTAAGGGTCAATATTTTTAATTAGAAAAGTATAGTGGTAAAAAATGTAAGGGTTGACTGCTTAAACCCCCTTCTATAACACTGCTTCTGCCTTAATCCCCCCAAACTTATAAACTCTTAATTTTCCCCCCTAAACTCATACATTTAATCATATTCCTCTCTAAACTATTTTTCTCTGCTCAATTTCACCTGCAACATTAAAATCTATAATCGTTATAAATTAAACAAAATTGCGTTTAGAAATCCCGATGGTCAATAACTGGAATCAAATAAATAAAACCTGAGTCGTTACCCATAGACGGAGGAATTTCAAGTGGAGAGGTTGTGCCATGGAAAGTGAGGTTTATGATTGCGAAAGAGATAGCGAGTTCCGTCACTTATCTCCACGCGGCATTTCCAGAGACTATAATCTATCGGAACATAAACCCGACGAACATTTTCATGGACGGGAATTGGACGGTGAAGCTTTCTGGTTTCTGGGTCTGTGTTGCGATACCAAGAGGGGAATTGTATGTAGAAGACGATGTGAAAGGGATTATTGGTTTTGTCGATCCAGATCATTACTGGACAATGAAAGTTATAGAGAAGGTTGATAAATATAGCTTTGGAGTTAAACGCGTACATGGAAAGTGTCGTGATGAACATAGTTGATTGATCCAGCTGCAAAGATTTTCCAAGTGAAAAAGGGCAGTGATTTCTCTGACTCGTACATAGAAAGTGTTGTGAAGAACACAGTTGTGAATGAAAAAGAAGAAAACCCAAAAGTTGGTCTTATGGCCATGCCTGGCTTTTGGATTGGTGGTAAGTGTCATTCAAAGCCGATTTCATGTTTCAGGTGTGAAGGTCGTTGAATGAAGAATTTTATGTGTTCCTAAAATCTTAAACTTTCCACTTGCTTTGTAACTTTTATTTTCCTGCTTGTTGTAAGTATATTTATTGTCCAGAATTCTTCTTCTTCATAAGCAAACAAGATATTACTATCATCTATTATATAAGTTTAGATTAGATTATGCAGGAAATGAAACAATATAACCTTGATTCTTTGGATTCAGGTTCAGATAAATATGTTTCTTACAGTTCACTCAAAACAAAAGAAAGAATAACCAACACAGACTTTTCTCTGCACAAAATTACATAACACAAAAGACAACAAAGTAACAAACGTTTTACCAAAAAAAAAAACAAAGTAACAAACGGTCCTGACCTGCAAAAATGCACATTAACCTTAGGTTACTAACAAAGTTGATCCGTGGCGATGATGTCAGAGTATGCACACACCTCTTTTTACGGTAAACTCATGATGCCGGAGCAAAGATTGGATCAGAGAACTTTGTTAATAGTGGTATCTTCCGGGATTGCAAATTATTAGTGAATTGTGCAGAGAAGGGCGAAGAGGTTGGAGACGAACCGGTTAGTTGTAAAACCATTCTTGATTTGAGTCAATATGTAGGCTGGGTCGGGTTTTGTGGGCAATCGTGATTTGTAAACGCGATTTTGTTTAATTTATAGCGATTTATAGATTTTAACGTTGCAGATGGAATTGAGCAGAGAAAAATAGTTTATGGAGGAATATGATTAAATGTATGAATTTAGGGAGAAAAATCAAGAGTTTATAAATTTGGAGTGATTTAGGCAGAAGCAGTGTTATAGAGGGGGTTTTAAGAGAACCTCCATCAAGGTATCAAGGTATATTAAAAGGGTTTGTTAAAAATAAAAAATTGAAAAAAAAAGAAAAGCAAAAGGGAGAAACAACATACGTTTTTCAAAGTAGAACTTTTAAAAAATTTTAAGCAACTTATGTTAACAAGTGTTATCATTCGTTCCTTCATTTTCTTTCCTTTTAGATTTTAAAATTAAATTTAATATATAAATTATATTAATTTTATATATGTAAGAAACGGGATTTAATACCCCACCGCTGGAGATGCTCTAAGCAAGTCAACCCAAAATGTAAGAATAAGAAACGAACTCACCGGTCTCCGCATGTGAGATTTCTAAACGAAATGGAAACAAACAAAAACAGAATTAAAGGTGGGAGATTTCTAAATCTAGAAAAAACCTCGAAGGTTTATAAGAAAAATCTAATTGTTATTGATTGGCTATTTTTTCAAATGTAAACTTAACCTCTCATCTCTTCTCGATTTTCGCTTCTTCCATTAATCCTAATTTTCGGCGACTAAAAAAATATATTTCATTTTGAAATGCTCTTTCCTCTTTCAATCAGTTTGTTTCTCTAGAAAAAAAAACTTTAAACCGCCATAGAATGCTTTGGATGATCTCAAAGGTTCTGAGATCCAAGGCTGTTTAAACATGGGAGTTGATGCCAAAGATGTCGGAACTCTCTTGTGGAAAATTCTCAGAATTTCCACGAACTCTGTTTATACATGCGTGAGAAAATACCCAGTTGTTTCTAGTGTTTCTGCTGTTATCTTTCTCTTGTACACTTTTCTTCCATGGCTTTTCTATTTCATGCTTTACTCTTCTCCGTTCATCGCATGTTCCGCGTTTTATATTTGGAATCATCTAAATTTCAAGCCCCAAAAGGGATATGAGGTAGGAACAAGGAAAGCTGACCTAAAGCACCAACGAAGCGTTCGACGAAATGCCAGAAGGAAAGTTGAGGAGGTTGGGAAAGATTGGGACTCTTCTCAGGCTAGCGAAGACGAGAGAGACAAAGTCATTTTGACCACTCTCTACGGCGAATTCCCCAACTCTAGAAAATCTCACAAACTCCAGAAACTCAAGAAAGACAGAGCCTTTCTTGTGTCGCAAGAATTCTCCTTTGAGCCTAGCCTGAAAGAAGAAACTCCTTCAGCCACCGGATATGTATCTGTGGTAGATCCGTCTGAGATGCTAACGAGCGGTGGTGGCGAAACCGAAATCGAGTGTTCATCATCATCAGAAGGAGAAGAAGAATCTATCCGCGATGACAAAAAGGTCGTAGCTTGGACCGAGGATGATCAGAAGAATTTGATGGATCTAGGAAACTCTGAGATGGAACGTAACAAGAGGTTAGAGCATTTGATTACTAGAAGAAGAACGAGGAGACTAGTCTTGCGTGCGGCTGAGAGAAGCCTAATGGATATGGAAGTTCCTTCTATATGTGTTGGACGGAACTATTTCGGTTTGGATCAAGACAAGTACATAATAGATGGGCTTCAAATGCCTGAATCTGCGCCTTCGGTTTTGTTACCGACAAAAAACCCATTTGATCTTCCTTATGATCCACAAGAGGAGAAGCCTAACCTCTCAGGGGATAGTTTTCATCAAGAGTTTTCTGCATCAGCCCCTCCTGAGAGCCTCTTCTGCCGCCATGAGAGCTTTTGCCGCAGAACCTTTCCATCGGAAGTTGAGCTTGAGTCGAAATTGGAAACGTGGAAAAAGTCAATTGATAGTTGGCCTAGGCCGCAACAAGGTACATTCAGTAACGATGATCTATTGGTCGGAGAGAAACCGCTTGTAAAGGAAGCAAACGATGTAACAAGAGCAGAAGCAAATGATATGGAGTCTCAACACATGACAGGGATCATTGCGAGTGATTCAAACTCATTGCTTTCTCCTGGAGAAAGAGAAATGGAATCCAGTGTCTCAAATCAAGCAGATTCTTCCCGAGCTTTCGGAAAACCAAGCGGTGATCATCGTGTTGGAAACTCTCTGATAGGTCTGATTCCTAGAAACACTGGGTCGCTGTCGAGTTCGTTAGCAGCCGAAAGGCAAATGTACATGGAACATTTTGGTTTCAGTACAGGAATAGGTCATAAAGTGACGCAATCCGTGGAATCTGATCTTCAGGTTGAGTTTTCTGAGATCGGATCACCTCCCACTACAGTTGATGGGAATAATTCTTCTGATGACGAGGACTCACTCTTTGCCCACGAATCAGACACCATGGAGAAAACGAGCTTTAGTGGTGAGGGGAATGAGGCTAAACAGATGAACATTTTGGATACAACTACAGAATCTCAAGTGTTACCAGTGGAGGAAGCTGCTCAAGACTTCAATGAAACGAGTTCAATAGTTTCTCCAGAAACTTATGCAGCCATACAATTTGAGGGTCTGTCTGATGGTACAGATGTCAATGTAAGGTCTGAGGAAGAGGAGATATCAAAATCCATACAACACCATCTACTGGAAAATTCAGACAGTGGATTGCATATATCCGAAGAGACCACGGTTTCTCACACCAACGAAGTTGTATCGCAAAGAGAAGAGGTTACATAGTTCTTGTTCTGTTTCAGGTTTAATGAAACACGGTTGTTTGTTACTCAAAATGTTGAACTTGAACAATATTCCTTGCAACGTTTTGACAGGAATCACAAGAACTTGTCCAAAACTCGGTGGAGGAGATGAAGACAAGTTATGTCTCTGATGAAACTGAACCCTCAGAGGGGAGAACCAATCAAGAAGAATTCGAAGGGAGAAATCACGGAAGCCCAACAGCTCAAGAGATGCAAGACGTTGTGGAACATGAAGCTTCAGATGTGAATCAAGTCACAACTGACGAGTCTCCTACTTCCCCAAGATCAGTGTTACCAGACATGTCGTTACCATTAGACCAGACTCTTACTTTGGACTCTGAGAATTTGGAACTCACATCAGATAGTCAACCGCGAGCTGTAATTCCAGATTCAGAATCTTCTCAATATCAGCTAGTTGGTGATAGGAACAGTAGAGAAACAGAGGTCAGTTTCAATGGCTTCTCTGTGCACTTATACTGAAATGTTATTTTACAGAAATATGAATCGTGTGCTATAAAGCAGGGACAATCTGAGTCAAATGAGGGAAGATCTACAGAGGAAGATCTTACTTCACATGACATTGTCCATTTGGTTAACACTGAACACGAAACTCACGGTTCTGCAGTAACACCAAACTGATGAAGGGGGTAAGCTCAAAACCAGCTTAAGAATTCCTTAATTCATGTTTTCTCCTAAAAGTTAGAAAATTCTTAGTAGCCTTTGCTATAATTGTTACTAGGTGCAACAGAGAACATTGGAGTCTCGAGAATCCACATCATCTTGGTTGCTAAGATCAAATGGTAATGTACAGAAGCCAGTTTAAACAAATGCTAATGAGATCTTGACATCTTGTAAAGATAGGAACTTTTATTCTTTTGCAATGATTTTGAATCATGGCAATGTATAGAGGTATAGTTTCCTTTGTCTTTTTCACTTTTCATTTTTTTATTAAATTTAATAAGATTTTATGTACAAGAACATGTAAGAGTTAAAACATTTCTAACCTCAACTTTCATATTCAACGAAATTAACGCTAAATGCGTGGAATTGTGACAAACAAAATTAGTGTTAGGCTCAGTACAGATAAATGATCATAAGTTTATAGTTTCTGATAATAATGATTGGTCTTTCTCTAGTTAGGTACTTTTCTCACGATTATATTGGTATTTTTTTAACCTCGTTTTTTTATCATCGTTAAATTACCGTTAATTTGTGTTATAAATAAGTGGATAATTGATGTAAAAAAAATACGTGGATAAACTTCTTTATCCATGTTCAATTTTTTGTTATTTAAGCTCGGTAAGCTTGTTCATTAAACCCAATCGCGACATTATAGCCGATTAATTTGTCTTCATTGAATATTTCTTTTTTTTGACAGCTAATAATTTGTTTTCTACCTTTTTTTTTTGCTAAAGGATTTATTTTCTTTTTATTGAATATATATTTTTTTGAGTAGATAGATGTCTTTACCTGCTTTTTCTTTGACATCTAAAATATCTATTACCTTTACAAAACATTATTTTTTTAAGTAAACGAAGAACAAAACATAACTTCATATACTAATAAGACTTATGGATAATGAGATAATGAATACGGTATTTCTAACCACAACTTTCAAACTTAACGAGGTAACTAAATATTAATGGGCGTGGAATTTAGATTCAGTGCAGATAAATGATCACGCATTCGTTTCATGATACATAAAGCTACATTTTAATTATTTATCTTTTTTCAAAACTATTGGTTAATTTTGTTTGACCATACATAATTTTGTTCTATTTACGTCTATATATAAAATGTGTTCAGTAGATTACTTTATCACAAGATAAAAAAAAAAGTGTACTTAAGTAGATGACTTTATCTGTTCTTTCTCTTATTTCACTTCTGTAAAAACTGAACATTATCTGATTGTTACTTGTTTATTTTTCATGAATTATATTTATATGCGAAACAAATTCTACATAATCGAATGCCAAAGTCTAGAGTCAATTATTTAAGGGTATTGGTTAAAACATGCATTGACACAATTTCAGATTCCGTTGATAATATGTAAAGAGGATACCGATATTATCTTAAAAAAAATAAAACTTTGTCAAAGAAAATCTTAAATGCAGAATATATCCACAGTAATTATCTAAAAAACTACCTAAGTCTACCAAAAAACCCGGTGAAAAAGATTCTGTGCAAAATCATAGTTTATCCAAAACCCTCCGACTCGTCTATAAAAGAAACACATCTCAACACCTTAGTTAATTTACGAAAGCTACACATAATTATCAGAAACAAAGAGAGAGAGAGAGAGGTCGAATAGATAACAATGGCGGTGGGTATGATGGATGTCGAAAAAGGCGTTGCCTTCCCGGCAAAGTTGACTTTTCAAGTCTGCATGTGCAGTGTCATTGCTGCTGTTGGTGGTCTCATGTTTGGTTATGACATCGGAATCTCAGGTTTGTTTCTTTGTTTGGGATTTAATACTTTGTGTTTCTTGGTGATGGATGGTTAATCTCAACAATGGTTTAAATTCAAATTTGCAGGGGGTGTGACGAGTATGGACTCGTTTTTGATAGAGTTTTTCCCGCACGTGTACGAGAAGAAACACAGAGTACACGAAAACAACTACTGCAAATTCGACGACCAGCTTTTGCAGTTGTTCACTTCTTCTCTCTACTTGGCTGGTATTTTTGCCAGCTTCGGCGCTTCCTACATATCCAGAAGGTTCGGGAGAAAACCCACTATCATTCTCGCATCCATGTCCTTCCTCGCCGGTGCTATCCTCAACTTGTTTGCCCAAGATCTCGGCATGTTGATCGGTGGTCGTATTCTCCTCGGGATCGGCATCGGTTTCGGAAATCAGGTAAAGAAAACCCTCTTACTTTCTATCCACGTTTCCTCTGTTTTCCTAAGGACCTTCTCTGTTTCCAGGCTTATAGAGTTTGTCTAGTTTTGTTATGTTTTTTGGTCTCATCTCTAGTGATTTTGTTTCTAACACTTTGAAACGTTCAAATTTGCAGACCGTTCCATTGTTCATCTCAGAGATTGCACCGGCTCAAAAAAGAGGAGGACTAAACGTCATGTTCCAGTTCCTCATCACCATTGGAATCCTCGCAGCAAGTTTCGTAAACTACTTAACTTCCACGATGAAAGACGGGTGGAGATATTCTCTTGGTGGTGCTGCTGTTCCGGCCTTAATCCTCTTGATAGGATCCATCTTCATCCACGAGACTCCAGCTAGTCTCATCGAGCGAGGTAAAGACGATAAAGGGAGGACAGTCCTGAGGAAGATCAGAGGCGTTGAAGACATTGAACTCGAGTTCAATGAGATCAAACGCGCGACAGAGTTTTCCAACAGTGTGAAAAGCCCTTTCAAACAGCTCTTCACCAAACGCGAGAACAGGCCGCCTCTGGTGTGTGGAACGCTGCTTCAGTTCTTCCAACAGTTCACCGGAATCAATGTGGTTATGTTCTATGCTCCGGTCCTGTTCCAGACAATGGGTAGTGGTAACAACGCCTCTCTGATCTCCACCGTTGTCACCAACGGTGTGAACGCGCTCGCTACAGTCTTCGCCATTGCCTTTGTTGATCGTTGGGGTAGGAAATCATTTTTGATTGAAGGAGCAACTCAAATGATGATCACACAGGTAAAAAGAACAAAAACATAGCTTTAGTCTGCTTTTGTGTTTCCTTGAATAACAAGTTAAACCTGTTACGCAGATGACTATTGGAGGCCTGCTCTTGAAACACTTGCACCTAGTCGGACCTATTACCAGCCACGCTGTGCCGCTTATCGTACTGATCCTCATCTGCTTCTATGTGTCTGGCTTCGCGTGGTCGTGGGGACCATTGGGATGGCTTGTTCCGTCTGAGATCTATCCTCTTGAGGTGAGAAACGCAGGCTACTTCTGTGCTGTGGCGATGAACATGGTCTGCACTTTCGTCATCGGACAGTTCTTCTTGTCAGCTCTCTGCAGATTCAGATCCCACTTGTTCTTCTTCTTTGCAACGATGAACATTATTATGGGACTATTTGTCATCTTCCTCCTCCCCGAGACCAAAGGTATTCCTATTGAAGAAATGGCCGACCTGCGTTGGAAGAAACATCCGGTTTGGAAGAGATATTTCAAAGAGAACTGATTTTTTTTTTTTTTGCTAAGATAGTTATTAATAATTGTTGAACAATTTCCAAATTTTCTAGCTTCTAGGGTTTCTTAATGTTTAAGTCCAGGTTATTTGGATCCACTTAGACATGTTTTTAAATAACTTTTTTTTTCTTTCTATTTTTCATATTTATTATTAATGAATATGCAACAGTTATTAGTTTTGGGTATTGAATTGGTCTTACATCGGTATTAACTTGAAGATATCTGATGAGACCTAATCAAACTACAATATTTTTGAACTTCCAAGATTAAGATCCCTAATAAGGTGGCGTCAAATCATTGATAATTTTTTGTTTCTGTTAACATATCACTGGTAAAATTATTCAGTCAAGTTACTGAGTTAAAGTCAATATACCCCTCTTTTTTATAATCTATTAATTATTCAAAAATATAGACGAACAATGTGTTTGTTTCAAAAATACCACAACGTTGATTATTTTTCTGACAAAAATGTCCCAAATTTTAGATCTAGAAGACCTCATGCTTATTAATAGCGTTTAAAAAAATGTTTTAAAATAATTTAGGTCCATTTCCTCAACTTTTAAGAACCAATCATCATCATTGGAAACTTTAGTTGGTAGGCAAGAGAAGATTGGAAACTGACACAATAACGAAAACAGCAAACCATCATAACATACAATAGTAACAATACCATTCTGCCATCAGTATGTCCCGAATTAGTTAATAACAAATACAAAAGTAGAAATTGTTTAAAGCAGGACTCTTATGGGGTGACAGATCTGGAGGTGCTTGATCTTGCACTCCTTGAATGACACATTGAAGATGGACTGTCCCGCCTGTGAGATTTGCTTCTCCTCCTTGGGCTTACGCTTCTCGATACCGACCTGTACCTGATTTCATTTATCCTTTTCAGTTTCCACATTACTCAGTTTCAGCTATATTGTCAATTGCTATTAAATTACCATACCTTCTGTAGTAGCGACTTTCAGGTGAGTAGGATCTGTCTCTCCCTCTGTAGTAAGGCGAGTATGATCTGTCACGCGCTCTATAGTGAGGCGAGTAGGATCTGGACCTTGACCTGTGCCGTCGCCTGTAGTAAGGCGAGTATGATCTGGACCTGGACCTGGACCACCGCCTGTAGTAAGGTGAGTATGATCTGTCGCGTCTCCTGTAGTAACGATCATCAGGTGATGGAGATCTCGAACGAGAGTAAGATCTGCCTCGCCTATAGTATGATGATCTTCCGCTCCTCCGATAGCTAGGAGAATGAGATCTGCTACGATCAGAGGAGTAGCTTCGACTGCGACTGCGACTCCTAGAGCCGCTAATAGACCTGCGGGGAGAGTAGCTAGGAGACCTATGGCGTCCTGCAGAAAGGAAGAAACAAAATCATGAAGAACCGAGATCAGGAGATACCCGTTTTACGGAATTGTATTGAACCACTGCCTCTTACCTCGAGAGGTTCTCAGCCCAAAGTACTTTCCAGGAGTTGGAGTGCGTCCTCTACGGCGTCTTGCCTGAACGTAAAACAGAGATATCATACAACTGTCAGGAATCCATCAATGAGATAGAAAAGTATCTGTAGAAATGACAACTCAAGGAACACAACATTTCTACACTGAAGCTACTATAGGAAGGTATATTATATTGTTTGAGAAAGAGAGAAATGCAGGGTATACAACCCTAACAGTCTGAAACTCGGTGTTTTTGATTTGTTTGAACTGTTGCAACGTTTGCCATTTGGTGAAGCGCTGCTGCTACAACAGCAGACCTGCTGACACAGAAACTTGAGGGTAGAAACAAAACAAACAAGCGACTTAAAATATTCAGGGAAGAACAAAAAATCAATATCGTATTTTGCCCATTACTTGCATATATATATCAACTCTGGCCAGGTTCCATTCACATTCTGGTTCAATCGGGAATGGATTAAAATAAGTTCTTCTTACCTTCTCAACTGTAATGACGCGACCCTGCAGAACAGAGTGATCTAGATATCTGATACAGCGGTTAGCATCGCCAACAGTTTCCATCGAGATAAAACCAAATCCACGAGGCTCTCTAGTCCATGGATCAAGGACGAGATGAACATCAGTCACCTAGAAATGTGAAAGGCCTAAAACATGAATTAAAAATCTCTTTTAAAGCTCTCTAAATGTTTAGGCACTAGTGAGCTACAATTATTATTTTCTTTTTTGAAAAAATCAACATAAACATCCAACCTTTCCTTCTTTTGAGAAATGATCCTCCAGATCTCTTTCAGTCACCCGGTGAGACAACCCGGTTACGTATAAACTGTTACCAGGGTTCTCTGCATCGCTTGAGACACACCTAATGTAATTTAAGTGGATAAAAAACAGTCAGCTATGAGTGTGCATTACAAAGTTTCAGACAAAATCTCATCGTCATACAAAGCCCAGGAAAGGAAAAGATACCTGGACCGGCTTCTAGAGAGGGACCTTGAGACAGACCTTCCGCGACGCTTCTCATAAGGGGAAAGTGAAGGAGAGTATCTTGACCTCTTTGAGTAAGACATCTGCAAGAAGAGTGAACAATTAACAGATTTAGAATTCTAAATTCATGTCTAGTATTATAAACTCATATGAAAATAATCGCCCCAGTCAATTACCAATACGAGCGAATAAGATAAAAATTGTAAAAACCGCCCCAAGGATAATCCAAAATATAAAAGCTATTTTCATAATTTTCTTATCCCTGACTTCTAAACACCAACGGGATTTTTTGTAAATTTACCAACACCTTCAAGAATGGGACTTCATCATACTCGATGACAAGACAAATGCTTACATCTATCTAATTCTTCTCCCAAAATGCCAGGAATCAAACTAAAACATCGAAATTTGTGGCAACAAACAGATCTAAGAACAGCTAAAGACGATAGTTCTAGAATTTTAAAATCAACTTCGTAAAACGTTGCAGAGTCTCTAAATCGGTAAATAAAGCGAATAGTAACAAATAATAAGATGGATCGAACAGAATACTCACATGGGAAAACGAAGAACGCTGTCGTAACACGATGATCACAAATGGGGATTGGATGTTCCAGAACTCTCTGCACCTGAATCAAAATGAATTTCACGCTTGCGTACCAGAGTTGGGGAAATCAGTATGGTATATATACGGAGGAATTAGGAGAAGCTTCGGGAGAGTCGGACGCGATAGAGTTCGTAAACTCGATCAAATACTTCATTCTGGTGTCCGGCCCAGCTTTGTATGGTTTTTAAGGCCCAAATAAAGAGCGTCAGCAGGCGGCCCTCTTTTCTGCTTAATTTGACAACCAATAATAATTCGATGAATTTAGGATTATTGGAGATTGTTGTCTGATCCCCCTACTTTTGAATAATTTATTAGCAGGCGGCCCTCATTCATCCATGTTTTTGAATGATATTTTATTCAAGCATTTTGATGACGATAATATTCTCTCATTCTAAAAATTCGACTACGAAATTGACCAAACCGGTGTACCAAATCACAAAATCAATTCGCCTCTGTAACTTGATACCTTTCATCAAGAACCGATTTGGGTGACATTACATTACAAAGTTGAAACTAAAAAAACGCAGCAGAAGACGATCCATTCAGAGTACAAAAAACCTTAGACCATGAAGGATAGCAGAAAATTGGTAGGCACAATTTAAGCAATAATTCATCTACTGAGACGAACCAGTCGTACTACTGGAAACAGCAGGAGGTTGTTGAGAGGATCCTGAAGGTGCTGCTCCAGACACAGCAGGTGCAGAGTCAGGTGATGAAGCAGATACCGCGCTTGGAGATGGTGCAGGTTGATGTGGGTACGGGTAAGCCGCTGGAGGCGGGGTATAGTGGTGCATAGGACCGGGATGATGATGATGGTTAGGCGGAGGATATTGCTGCTGGTAAGGCGATGGCATATATCCATATGGTGGTGGTGGCTGGTATTGCTGGTGTGGAGGCATCATGTAGGAAGAAGAAGAAGCTCCGTTGTTCTCACTGGCGCTTGAACCACCAGCCTCTTGGGTTGAAACGACTGCACCCATTCTCTGTGGGTCCATTGATGGGTAATAAGGTTTGTCTTGGTTAGGTGGTGGTGGGTGCATGTAGTACTGTTGCATTGTTGGGGGTTGGTTCTGCTGCTGAGATATAACGGCTCGAGGTAGTAAACCACTATGAGCCACACTGCCCTGTTGGTTCGAACCATCTTGATCAGGTCTGGGAGCCTGAGGTCTTCCCCATGTGAGTTTTAGCCTCTGACCATTGACGACTAGCCTGTTGGAGAGCTCTTGCGCAGCCTTCTCTGCTCCTTCTCGGGTTGTGTATGTGACAAACGCACAGGCTTTCTCGGCTAATATTCTGATAGATTCGACTTCTCCATAAGCATAGAACTGATCTCGTATGTCCTGCTCGAGGATTCTTGTGTTAAGTCCACCTACGTAAAGCGTTTTGATGCTTTCATCCTCTGGTGATTCCAAAGTGCCCATCTCACCGGCTTTTCCAAGTAACTTCATCGCAACTGGATCATTAACACTGCAAATGTGTAAAAGAAGATGAGAAACATTTCAAACGGACTGCTTGACATGCATAAATGCAGAAGTAATACATTAAGTGAAGGAAAACTGGATATAAGCCACCATTACACGGTTCAGCCCAAGAATGAAAGATCACAATTCATATATGTCAGTGGCTTCCAAAGATCGAGTAGATAAAGTGATCAGGTAAAAGAATAGTATCATAGCACGAACATATATAATTTCACAAAATCTTAGAGGAGATAATGAAACAAGCATTTGAGAAGGCAGCGAAACGTAACAAAAGTCAAGCATACAGAAAGAATAGCTTACCCATAATAACGATCTTTAATGTTTTGCTGGGATAGCTCTCCAGTTTCAGGCATCTCATGCCGGTACGGACATTCATCACCTCTAGTACACTCACCCCTGATGAAGAAACTACAAACATGTGCTCGATTCCTTTTATAGTATGGTGTTGTTCTTTGAAGCTTTAAAATAGTATCATTAGGCCGCATCTTCCCAAATGAAGATTCATAATCCAGGCCAGCTCTAGTCTACAAAAAAAAAAAAAAAAAAAAAAGTCAAAATCACTTGGAGTAAGCCACCCACCATGAGAAAAATATACTTGGTCATCATCAATCTTTCACAATAATCACCTTAAGCTAATCAAAATCTCAAACCGGAGAAGGAAGAATGTAAACTTGGACATACCTTCCTGTCGTGCTCCTCAGCAAAGAACTCTCTGTTGACATCGCTTTTAGGGATAGATTCATGAGTACTAATGTTGAGCGCCGTGTCCCTGACCTGAACTGGAAGACCATACTCAAGATCCAGAAGACAGACTTGGCATACGTTTTTGAGCTTACAGCAAGTCTGGCAAATCTCGGTTTTCTTGTACCGAGAATCCCGGCCAGGTCGCCACCTAAACACCGTGAAGGGTCGTGTACATATCTTGCATTCCTTATCATAATTCGCTCGGGTCTACATACCAACAAACAACACTTCGAACTATAAGTAGACGAATTCGGATCTAAAAAGTACCTAAATCCTATCCAAAATTACTAAGCTATACAATCCAGTGTACAGTAAGCATCGACGAGCAATAACACACTGACTGAGAAATAGAGATCCGAAAAGGAGATTCATGAGCCATTGAAACAGAGCAAGCAGCCAAAAAATTCAAGATTGATTGAGAGATGAAAGCGAGGTTTTTACCATTCGGACGTACGGATTATCACCGAGACAAGATTCGCAGATGATTGGAAAATCAGAGCGTTCCCATCCATCGGCTTCATGATCTCTCAGTATTCTGTGAGCCATTTTCGTCTCCTCTGATTCTCTTCCTCTCTCGAGAGTTTACTCGATATCAATCTCGAGCACGAAGGTTACTACGACGGACGACGGTGCTTTTAACAGGGCGAGGTCGATTTGGATTTGTGTGTTTTTGTCTTTGGAATATTTGCAAAATAAACCCGAAACTTTCACTAATGATGCGAAAATTACTTTTTCTCTTTTATATTACAAATCAAACCTCTTTAATTTTTCATTTTTTGACAATTGAGGCATTTCCGCATTGGCGGGAACAAAATGTCTTAGAATTGCGAAATCCCGCCAGAAAAGAAAAAGCTTATAAATCGGACTCCCTGATGTATCAGTCTTCTTAGTTCATCTTTCCAAAACCGCAACAGCCCTAATCCCTAGACAAGCGATTCGGATTCTTAGCTCTGGGAAGACGATATGTTGGAGCTACGTCTTGTTCAGGGATCTCTGTTGAAGAAGGTTCTAGAATCGATCAAGGATCTGGTGAACGATGCGAACTTCGACTGCTCCAGCACTGGGTTCTCGCTCCAAGCCATGGATTCGAGTCACGTGGCGCTGGTCTCTCTCCTGCTAAGATCCGAAGGCTTCGAGCACTACAGGTGCGACAGGAATCTCTCCATGGGGATGAACCTCGGAAACATGTCGAAGATGCTCAGATGTGCCGGAAATGATGACATCATCACCATCAAAGCTGATGACGGCGGCGACACCGTCACCTTCATGTTCGAGAGCCCCAGTAAGTTCTCCAATCTACTTATGTTTTTTCCGAAATGTGTTAAGGCTTTCTTATCCATTTTCGTTGTGCTGATTGAAAGTTCTCGAAAACTCTTTGCTATATTTGATGGGATGAATCTATGTGAAATGGTGTGAAGATTGATGTAGAAATGTAGTTTTCAGCTCTCAGAGTTATTATGGCAGTAGAATTTTTAGTTTCAAACTTCTAGTTAGACGTAGCTGCTTCCTTAATTTGAGGCAGAAGAACTTCATACGTTTGTTGACGTTACCTGAATCAAGATGATTAACTTGGTGGTCACGTTCTGTATGCATATACTGATACCTGTGTTGAATCATTTACAGCACAAGACAAGATAGCAGATTTTGAGATGAAGCTCATGGATATAGACAGTGAGCATTTGGGGATACCTGATGCTGAGTACCATTCAATTGTGAGGATGCCGTCGAATGAGTTTTCCAGGATTTGCAAAGATCTCAGCAGCATCGGTGACACAGGTACACTCTACTGTGTATTTCATTGCCTTTATTGTTAACCTGTGTTGGGCTTTGAGTCTATAGAGAGACCGATATTACTGGCTTGGTCTTATCTTTTCAGTTGTGATCTCTGTGACCAAAGAAGGGGTTAAGTTTTCTACTGCTGGTGACATTGGGACCGCTAACATTGTGCTAAGACAGAACACAACTGTGGACAAGGTATGGCTATGTCTGATTCTCTACGTAGAACAATCATCTATGGCTGATTCGTGGGAGAAATATGTTGATTTGAGGTCTTTGTTTTGTGTGTTGCAGCCGGAAGATGCAATTGTGATAGAGATGAACGAGCCAGTGTCACTCTCATTTGCCCTGAGGTACATGAACTCATTCACAAAGGCTACTCCGTTGTCAGACACTGTGACAATCAGCTTGTCGTCGGAGCTTCCAGTGGTGGTGGAGTATAAAGTAGCTGAGATGGGTTACATTCGTTACTACCTGGCTCCTAAGATTGAAGAAGAAGAAGACACTAAGACCTAAGACCCTTAGTACCCAAATCTTCTATTCGTCCTAATATGTCAGAAGAGTTGTTGATGATGATGATGATGTTTTGTGTGATTTCATTAGAATCAGTTGTTTCCTTGACTTATTATGTTTTGTGATAAACAAAGTTCGGCAAAATTAGTGGTTTTGAAACTCTTAACGACTCTTCAACAGTTTTCCAATTCACAAGATAAATTCACTTGTGCAATCATAACGAGATATATTGTATATGAACAATTACAAAAAAAAAGAGGCTGTATTGGATTCCACTATACATCTCAACGTCGGTATATGACATCCTTGTATACCCTACTGCTACATTTGTGTAATACAGATACGTGCACCAGACAGTGCATTAAGGGAAAACCTGTTATAATACAAGTTTATTTACATCTACATCAGTTACTACTTGTTTATGTTACAACGAAAGCACTAGAAGAGCCTGTGAAATGGTGGACTGATCCAAAGAGCTTCTTTGCAGCACCAAAATGGGTGATCCTGTAAACCCCTCGTGATGCAGACTCTGGAATTCTCCATTCCACTGTGGCTTGACTCCGGGAGCTCAGTTTCTTAGGCCTGGACCACTTGAACCTAAGACAAAGGTCATCGTCGTCATAAACCGGGATCCAACTCTTGTCCTTCTGCTCTAGTCTCTCCACCACAGCAAACGTACCTGCCATCAACATAATATCTCTTGTTAGCATCAGGAATCATTTACTCACGATTTTTTATTTTTAAAACTTAAATATCAAACAAGTAACATGTTTTTCTATTTGAGTTGGGTGATGGTACCTTCTGTCAATAGATCGTTTCTAGGGCAAGCTGACTGGAATACAACAGTCACTTGGTCATTTCCCCTCGTCAAGGACAAGTTCTTGGGAACATCCGAGATGACATCCCCAAAACTGTCTCCGACAGGAGTTGAGTCCATCACGACTGGTGTGAGGAAGCTCAGTTGCTTGTCTAGGAGATCTGGCGGTTGAGGCCCCGGTTCAACAGTCGTACCAAGGAGGAGAGATTTGGAGAGTTTCTTGAACTCTTGAATGTAGCCACTGAGGGTGTGTGGGCCATATAGTGTAGATGCACCCTAGCAGATGCAACAACCATTGCAACAGATACAGATTAAGAGGAACAAGAGGGAGCTGTTTGTTTGTTCTAATGGGTCAGCGTGATAAGCTATTACCTCGTATCGTTGCACTTGGTACTCCTCAAAGGTAGTCACATACTGCGAGTATCCATTAGCCAACCCAGCTATCACGACGTGAATCTCACCACTCATTTCTTTATCGCCACTGCTTTTAAGCTGAGCCTTGACTGCATCGCGGAGACGCCTTCCAGCCATAGTTGTGAATTCTGACAAGCAAGATAGTCAGGACATTTTAAACATCACATAACTAGTCATGATTTTGAAGTGTGACAATCTGCAGAGACTCCACTACCTCCAGGAACGCTGAGAATGAAGAGTTGTCCAATACGTAGAATTTGCAGTGAAAGAATTGACGGCTGGAATCCATGACAAAGTTAGAGTAGAGTCTTAAAACCGTAAACAATACTCATGGAAGTTCAAAATTCTAAACTACTTACAGCCCAGTCATATGGCTTTGTCATCTCTCCAGTGTCAAGCAAGATGGGTTTTGGGTAGTGACAATCCATTTGTTTCTTGTCAGGTGTTTTAATAACGTTTCTCACCATCCTCCAGAAAGGGTTCCCCTGATTTATGTAAATGGTAGATTTGAGAAATGGATCGCATGGAAGCAATATTTACATATCGGATGATACATGTAAGTCTTTGACTGAATACCTTATCATCTCCCTGTGTAAAATCAAATGCTCCTGGTCCATCTGTCGTTCCAGCAGCAAAAGCAAAGCCCATTGCCGCAGGACATGTTTTTACAGCTTCTGAATCTCCATCTTTTTTAAGAAGTGTCACATTCAGCTGTGAAAAGTCAACGTAAACATGGCGGTAATCAACCTTCCCTTGTAGCTGTTCAGATGCTTTGTTGAAAAGCTTCAAAGCCATCTTGAACTGTCTCTCACCAATTATACGTGTACTCTCAAATTCATCAGGATAGCTGCAATGATAGAAAAAACAGGCCAAGAGAATTGATCTCAATTAATTTGTGCCATCTATAATCTTGTAAGACGGCAGAAAAAGAAAAACAGGTGAATACCCTGGTCCACGCCCATAGCACTGCTCATTTCTCCCACCACATGTGCTGTGATTGAAGTCACAAAGAAGACCAGTGTCTAGGCAAAAGGCTCCAAGCACATTTGGGCTAACATCGCCACAGTTTGTTTGACAGAAAGCAGAAACAAAGCCAGGCTTGTCCGCCTTCCTCAGAGCACTCCTTACCCGCCTTGCAGAACTTGAAATTCTAGTTGCAGGCCTACCAGGTTCTGACTCAAAGTAAGATGCAAGCTCTAGCAACTCCTCATCTGCAGCAGGCCAAACAAACTAAACATTTTCTCTTGTTTCATCTTTAGAGACACAATGTACAGCTGCTATCAAGGAGTTGTAAACTTACGGCTGTCCTGATAATTCTCGATTATGCTTGAAACTCTTCTAGGTATCTCATCTGAAAAAGACTCTTCAGAGTAGGATCTTTCAGCAGTACTCTGTTCAAACCAATCCTCCATAAATCGTGCTGCAGAGCCCTTGTTGTCCCCACTGATCAAAGAGTTTGTACGACTCATGGAAGTTCCATGGGTAGCAAACCAATTGAAACTACCTACTGGACCCCATTGATCATCCACAAACTTCAAGAGAGTCATTTCTTTATCGACATTATACTTGTGTTTACTCCTTTCTTCTGAAGGGTTATTAAGATATGCACTTGGACTGCGGTTTACGCCAGCATCCAAGAGTTCACCTACAAGGTAAGTTTAGTTAGCCATACGAAAAAAGCAAAATGTACAAATCTAGGCTACGGATAAGATAATCCTTCAACAAAAAACAGGATGAAGAAGACAAAATAAATTCTTTCCCCAAGAATTATTCCCACTGCAAACAATGTTTTTACAATTCTGCATTTGCAGATATCCGTGTGACCAGAAAAATCTTGTCTAAGAATCCAGCAATAACCAATCTATTATAAAACAGGAAAATTTGCCAGAGAGAAGAGTATCATCAGTCCTTACCATTATTGACAAAAATTGATCCAGGACGAAGGTTTTCGTGAGCTTGTATGATACTATTCTCAATTCCATCCACAAGAGCATCAAATGACTGACGAACAAATCCAAGTGATGTTACGATATACACCACATACTGAAGATACCCTCCTGGACCGGAATGGGTGTGAATACCACTAATGCCAACATTATTTTCTGTATATAGGTCCCCATATCTGCAAAAGACAGTCTTAATAAAAACTAGGAAAAGTCTAGTCAACCTAGGAAAACGTTAGCTACGTACCTTGCCTTGAGTCTCTCGATCACTTTGAGTGTTACAATTTGAGAAGCCATGCAAGCGTCGATGTTAACAAACACAACACGCTTCCCTTGGGGCTCTGAGACAATGAATGTCCGAGCGCGGAGCCTGAAGTGAATACCAGACGCGACCTGCTCCATGTTAGCATAGCCCATCATATTAACATCAGCCGCGGGGCCCGTAATGTCATAGCTTCCAAGCCCAACCAAATATTCAGAGGTAGCGTAAACTCCTCCGCTGGTGAGCAGAAAAAGCACTGTCGACATGTACAATAAACAACAAGTGCTCCATAATCTGACTAGAGACAGCTCCTTCATGTTGAAGTTTCTCAACCACCTTCTATGTCATGGAAACACTGTTATTGACATAAACAACGTTAAGTATCTTTGGCAAAGTAAAACTCAAGATTTTTCATCTCCTATTTATACAAAACAGATTGTATATGCAATTAGACTCTCAATCCACAAACATGAAAGGCATGTGTAATATATAAACCTAAAGGGCTCATCAAGAGAACGTACAAGCACATAACCATCAATTCGACAGATTCTCAAACAGAATCGATGAGCACACAAAACTGGGAAGCCAAAATTTCGGCATAGACGATCACAAACACGATTCAGAGAAGGAAAAAAAAAATCCAAAGAAAAATCAGTCGAAATCAGAAAATCGAGCTCGGCTAATACACGTGATTCTTCAGGTGACAAACTGAATACATGTGATTCTTCATTCGGAAAACTGAATAAAGTTGGTAAACATGCTTTTTCCCCTTTGGCGTTAAAGCAATACTAAAAAGATATCTAAAGTCGGTAAACATAAAAAAATTTCCCAATTTGTTAAGAAAAGAAAAAAAAGACTAACAGAAAGATGAAGATAACCATGGACGAATGAGCAAGATACCGTATCTTAACATGCAATCCATTAAGAACCACAACAGAAGAGAAAGTAATCTCTAACCTGATCGCAGGAATGGATTCTTCTAAAAGCAACGGGAGAGAAGAGTCCAGTGAAAGAAGAAGAAAGGAACTTTGCGCGAGAAAAAGGATCGGGAAAGAGTGAGACGAAGGAGGAAGTCTGAAAGTAGAAGCAAAGAAATGGAATTGGTGGGAGCGATGATTAGTCAATTCACAACTGAGTTCATCAAGGATGACCCAATTACACTACTTTGGTAAAGGTGCAACGCCATACCACTTTGGGCCAAAACCTAAAATTGAATATGGGCTCAAATCTCACATTGAATGTTAAGCCGATATCTCAAGAGTCAGTGTATATATTTCAGCTTAGTGATTCGATTCCAAACTGATTATTACTGTGGAAACAGTATACTCTAACTGATCCATTCTTAAATTTTAAAACTCTAATCAGGATTTAGGAATCTGTTTTTCTAATTATTCCTACAAAGAAAGCAACTTTTTATTAACTTGGGAAAATTGTCAAAGTGTTCCAAAAGAAAACGGCAGTAACATGTAAAATACAAAAAAATTCTCGTAAATGTACATCTTCATCTTCAAGTTTATTATAACCCAAACTAAAAGACAAAGTGTAGCAAAGGCCCTACCATAAAGGTCGATAGCCTGATGGTGAGAGGCAAACGTTCGATGGATATAGACTCATGGGTCGATTCTCATTGTTGGAGGTTAACACAAAAGTCAAAGATGTGTTGAGTTTTTCGTGGACTAGTGTAGTTACATTCACATCTTACAGTTCCCTTCTGAATGTAGTCTTTAACTAACTTCTTTAGACTTTAGATAGGATCTAACTATCACATAGAAAGCAAAAAAAAAAAAAAAATGAGAAGAAAGGAGAGAGATTGTTGTTGTTGGGTTAAAGAGAAGAAGCAGATGGCTTTGGTGTTCATAACGATAACAATGATGCTTCAGTTCCACATGAAACGATGTGTAGGCTGTTTGGAAACTGAACGGATGGGTTTGTTGCAACTCAAGACGTATCTCAAGAATCTCGACGAAGAAGGAACTAGTATTCTCAACTCATGGACTCGTAATGGTGATTGCTGCAGTTGGGAGAGAGTAAAGTGCAGTGGCGATATTGGTGGCCACGTCGTCGATCTCTCACTGGGTCGACTCATACCAGTCGCATTCGAGTCGCAGACCCGGTCTTTAAATCTGTCTCTGCTCCATAGTTTTCCTCAACTACAAAGCCTTAACCTTTCGTGGAATTGGTTCACTGGTTTGTCTGATCACGTCCATGGTATGCCCTTGTAAATCGAAATTTCTCAATTTTATTATTACTCGATGATATCCTCTGTTTTAAACGCCTGGAAATCAACAATTAAAAATATTGGTTAAGGCTTAAACCGGTCTTAACCAAATAGACATATTTAAATATCAAGAAAGAAACCTCACTAATTCCGCTTGCTTGGTGATGATTAGTCGGATGAGTGGTTTCGTCGACAGTTTTGGGATCTGTAATAATTTCGTCGTTGCTGTTAGTATGTAGTGCACATAAGGTGTTCGACATTTTGCTCCAAAGACAACTTTTAGCACTCTGCAATTTTGATTTCAGGTTATAAGAGCTTGGGGGCACTAGAGAAGCTCACCACCATAGATTTCTCCCACAATTTGTTCGACAACAGTATTGCTCCTTTCCTAAGTGCTGCAGCATCGCTTAGGACTCTACATCTTGACTCTAATTATATGGAAGGTGTCTTTCCTCCTAAAGGTTATGAATTTCCTCTGTATGGTTTTTTTCTTTTTTCAATTATGAATTTTTAGTAAACAATTAAAAACTGGAGATGATCTTGATGGCTTATTGTTCTGGTGTGTTAGAACTTTCCAACATGACAAAACTGAGAGTGTTAAACTTGATGGACAACAGTTTCAGTTTATTATCCGTTCAAGGTAAATATGTCAACAAACCTAATGTAACTTGGTCGTCCCAATATAGAAATAGAAGAAAAAATGTTGATGCCAAATGACAGAGGTATACATTGATTTGTAGGTTTAATAACCGGAATCAGAGAATTAGAAGTACTGGATCTTAGTTTCAATGGTGTCAACGACTCTGAGGCTAGTCACAGTGAGTGGGCTGCCATTTTTTATTTTATTAATGAAATTGCGTATCTCTCTGCTGACTTATAACATCACTTGTGCTATCATAACGTGTTTATTGGTGCAGGGTATAGTACGGCGAAACTGAAAACACTAGATCTTACTTACAATCTATTGTCAGATTTTTCTCAGTTAAAAGGTAGACGAGTACCAGGAATTTACCTACTACTTAGATGATCTTGATCCATTTATGTCAACTTTCCAATCATTATAACTTGTGTTTTTCGCCGGGATCTCCAGGTTTAGAAAGTCTCCCAGAGTTATCAGTCTTGAGATTACGAGGCAATCAATTTAACCACACGCTATCTACTCACCGTAAGTGTATAAACTGTTATTGCAGGAACAGACTTACAGCATAGAGTAGGCAATCAAATACATTCTGGTTTTTTTCTTAAGAATGTTTCTTTTGCTCACGCAGCACTGGAAGATTTGAAAAAGTTGCAAGAACTGGATCTCAGTGACAATGGGTTCACAAATTTGGATCGTGGTAAGATATGTAACGGATTGTCATTTATTTTACTTTTTCATGCTATGAAGCATGGAAATCATCGTTTATTTATGTATCCATAAGTTTCTTCCAACTGCAGGTTTAGTGATTCCAACATCTTTACAAGTATTGGATCTCAAAGGGAATCGATTATCTTTGACCCACGAAGGTGAAATATTACATATCATTTGATCTCTTGCGACCAGATTTTTCATTATCTTAAGCATTTCTTGGTCTAAACAGAAGAGTCGCAGTTTGGTCACCCTCCTAACTGAATTTATAGATATGTTGTGAGAACAGAAAATCAAATGAGTTCCATGGCTGTGAAGTGAGTTGATGAGTATTATAATTCTTCTTTTTGCTTATTTAAACTTATCTCTTCTCCACTTCTTTGTTGTTATTACTGTCTTTTCATAGATGGATTTGATGATTACTCTGATTTCTTACATTCTTATTTGACTAATTTCAGGCAATTTAGAGATTTGCAGACTAATAAATCTCGTGGAGGTGGATTTGAGCAGAAATGCCTTAACAGTTCTACCTAATTGCTTGGGTAACTTGACGCATCTTCGAACTCTTGATCTATCGAGCAACTTATTAAACGGAGACCTATCTTCCTTTGTGTCTGGTCTACCATCAGTTCTTCAATACTTGTCGCTTATCGATAATAACTTCAACAGTTCCTTCTCGTTCAACTCACTGGCCAATCAAACAAGACTCACCGTATTCAAACTGTCATCAGTCGTCGGTATGATCCAAGTTCAGACTGAGCGTTTTTGGGCTCCGTTGTTTCAGTTAAAGATGTTACATTTATCCAATTGCAGTCTTGGCAGCACAATGCTCGGCTTCCTCATGCATCAGCGTGACTTGTGTTTCGTTGATCTCTCTCATAACAAGTTGACAGGAACATTCCCGGCTTGGCTTGTGAAGAACAACACAAGGCTGCAGACTATTTTACTAAGTGGGAACTCATTGACAAAGCTTCAACTACCTACGCTTGCTCATGGCTTGCAAGTTCTCGATGTCTCGACTAACATGATATATGATTCAGTTCAACAAGACATAGGGCTTGTTTTTCCAAACCTGAGGTATATGAACTTCTCTTCGAATCATTTTCAAGGAACCATTCCATCTTCGATTGGCGAGATGAAAAGCTTACAAGTCTTGGACATGTCTTCTAATGATCTAAATGGGCAGCTGCCTGAAACACTTTTAAGTGGTTGCTACTCGCTGAAGGTTCTGAAGCTCTCCAACAACCAATTACAGGGGAGTGTATTTTCAAGGCATGCAAATCTTACTGGTTTGCTCGGGCTTTTTCTTGATGGCAACAATTTTAGTGAGAGTCTTGAAACGGGATTGTTGAAGTCAAAGAATCTAACTCTTTTAGACATATCAGATAATAGGTTTTCGGGGATGCTTCCGCTTTGGATTGGTCGGATGTTAAGCCTTTCCTACATATACATGAAGGGAAATCAGCTAAAAGGTGCTTTCCCTTTTCAACTACAGAGTCGTTGGGTCGAGGTTATGGACATCTCACACAATAGCTTCTCTGGTTCCATACCAAAGAATGTGAATTTTCCATCTCTCAGAGAGCTGAGATTGCAGAACAATGAGTTTATGGGCTCAGTTCCGGGTAGTTTATTCAAGGCTGAGGCATTAGAGGTGCTTGATTTGCGGAACAACAATTTTTCCGGAATAGTATTGAACACTGATGGCGAGACATCTAAGCTACGTGTTCTTCTTCTACGGAATAATAGCTTTCATACTCATATCCCTGAGAAACTATGTCAGCTGAGTGAAGTTGGTCTCCTGGACTTATCTCACAATGAATTCGAAGGCGACATACCATCATGTTTCAGTAATATGTCTTTTGGTGCAGAGAGATACGAGCGTACCATGTCGTTCGTTGCAGATTTTGACCTCTCGTACATTACATTTTTGCGAAACTGTCAGTACGCATCGCATCTTAGCTTGGATGGTAATGTCAGGAACGGTTACCAGTCGAAACCAGCAACCGTAGTGGATTTTCTAACGAAAAGCAGATATGAAGCATATCAAGGTGATGTTCTCAGTTACATGTATGGTCTGGATTTGTCAAGCAACCAATTATCCGGTGAGATTCCAGCTGAGATCGGAGATCTAGAGAATATCAGATCCCTGAATTTGTCAAGAAACCTCCTCACAGGCTCCATACCAGATAGCATTTCAAAGCTGAAGGGGTTAGAGAGTCTTGATTTATCCAACAATAAGCTAGGAGGAAGCATCCCTCCTGAGCTAGCCGATCTCAACAGTTTGGGATACTTGAATATCTCATACAACAATTTATCCGGTGAGATCCCTTTCACAGGCCATCTTGTAACCTTTGACGAAACGAGTTACAGAGGCAATGCTCATCTCTGTGGACTTCCTACCAAGAAAAGCTGCAACCCGGAGAGAGTCTCGGAGCCAAGTGCATCAAAGCAGGCCAAAGAGGAAGAAGAAGAAGAAGAAGAAGGTGGTGGTGTGATAGATATGGTGTGGTTTTATTGGACTTGTGGTGCAGTCTACATCTCCACATTAATGGCCTTGTTTGCGTTTCTCTGCATAGACACACGCTGGTCCCGTGAATGGTTTTATCGGATCGATCTATTTGTTCATCATCTTCAACGCCTCAAGCGTTCCTTTGTCTGCAACTGATTCCGTGTGGTCAGCCCAAGGTACACCACCATATTATATCCTCTTTGATGAAAACTTATAGAGTTTGGTGTTATTTACGTTGTTCTTATTCAGTGGTCGTAAAGTAATTGTTAAATTATAAACTTTTAGTAATCCTTATCCCACTGCACCAACACACGTATATGTATATCTCAATAGGGTTATTAGGCAAATAGATGCTTATTTTTCTCGTGGTTGATGAACAAACAAAAATTCCAAAATTAAAATCGCAAATAAATGGGTTTCCGCTTTCATCTCGTGAAAGCACTAAACCCGCAACGTAGAGGGAAGAGATACGAGAGAGAACAGAAAGAAAGGGCAAACAAAATTAATTAACTCAAAAGAAGAAAAAAAACATACATTTCCATTCTCGATCCTTCCGGCTTGCTCAAAGGGTAAAATTCAGAATCGTCCTTCGATTTTCTTAGGGTTTCGATTTGACGCCTTTGATTTCGTTTCGAGACGGTTATTCAATCGATGTTGACTTGTGTATATTGTGTGTATATGCGTTGCGTAGGTTGATCGAGAGATCGGATTTGAGAGACAATGGCGAATAGAATAGATCACGAGTACGATTACTTGTTCAAGATCGTCCTGATCGGCGATTCCGGTGTTGGGAAATCCAACATTCTCTCTAGGTTCACCAGAAACGAGTTCTGTCTCGAATCCAAATCCACCATCGGCGTCGAATTCGCCACCCGGACTTTACAGGTAACGTAGATTCTATGTGTTTGAGGATTAGAGGCATTTGTAGGCATTTCAGATTCAAACGTCGCTTCTTCATTTCTCCAACTGTAGTAATCAAAAACCTGATCATTTTTGATTGTTGGATCTGTAACAATTGGAATATTTATGAAGGTGTGAATCGAGATTTGTTTTGCTCATGCTTCATGCTTCATGCTTCATGCTTCATGCTTCATGCTTCATGCTTCATGCTTCATGCTTCATGCTTCATGCTTCATGCTTCATGCTTCATGCTTCATGCTTCATGCTTCATGCTTCCTATGTGTATCTATGTGCAGGTCGAAGGCAAAACAGTGAAGGCACAGATTTGGGATACAGCAGGTCAAGAGCGTTACCGAGCCATCACAAGCGCTTACTACAGAGGAGCTGTTGGAGCTCTTCTTGTCTACGACATCACCAAGAGACAAACTTTCGAGAATGTCCTGAGATGGCTACGCGAGCTCAGGGACCATGCCGATTCCAACATCGTCATCATGATGGCGGGGAACAAATCAGATCTGAACCACCTGAGATCTGTTGCTGACGAAGATGGTCGCTCTCTCGCTGAGACGGAAGGCTTGTCGTTCCTCGAGACATCTGCTTTGGAAGCAACCAACATCGAGAAAGCGTTTCATACTATATTATCTGAGATTTATCATATCATAAGCAAGAAAGCCTTAGCGGCACAAGAAGCTGCAGGCAGTCTTCCGGTTCCGGGCCAAGGAACCGCCATTAACATAACGGATTCATCTGCGACTAACAGAAAAGGGTGCTGTTCTACCTAGTTTTCCCTTCCGACTATAGCAATGACGAAATCAACCAGTCACACGTTTGATTTTTCAAGAACCTCTCTTTTGATCTTTTACCAGGTTTTTGTCTTTTTGCTTGGCTTCATTTCAGCAAGTATAGCATATACCTTTTTAAAAAAAAATTCCAGTTCTTCGTTTGTTTAGCTGTATTGAAACTGTGATCATTCACACCATTTCCCAGAAAGGAAGTTCTTTATTTCATTACTGTTACATCTAAAAATGATATGCAGGCATCATTTCCCAGGAAGGAAACTCATTGCAGTGTTACATGGTGAATACCATTACAAACGTCGAGAAAGGATCTCCTTAATTATTAGCTTATGGCTCAGTGTATATGTTCTTTTTGATCAATTCCCCTCTTATGCTCTGTTTTGTGCATATGATGGACGATGGTGATCGTTTAATTTTTGAAACTATGTGTTCAGTATAAGAAAAAGAAAAAAAAAAGAGGAAAAAAATCTAAAAATGTGCCAACAATAAGAGGAATAAAATAAAAATGTGGAGACCATTAAACCTAAAATAGGGAAGTGGAAGGTGATGCGCACGAGGGGCTGAGAAAGAAAGAAGCATTTACTACTAAACCGGATGGAATCAAAACAAAAAAATGGTTGGTGAAAATAATATCAGTCTTCCAGATTTCATTTTCTCTCCTCTACTTGTGACAGTCTGTTATTTCACTCGTGGTGCCTCGTGGCCTCTCTCCCACCTCTTTCTTTCTCTCTTTCTCCACACCTCCCCCTCTCACAGATCCATCGATGGCTTCCCTCGTCGAATCCGGTTGGCAGGTACTCTCTCTCTCTCTCTCCATCCTCCTCTCATCAGTCTCCTACTGTTTCCGATTCCTTCGTTTTCTCGTCGGTTCCGTGTTTTCTCAGGCGGGTTTCTCCGTCTTCGCTCACCGCATTGTGATACCTTCCTGTTCTATTTCCCTTTGTTTGCTGTGATCCTCCGCTCTGTGTAGTTTTGATCCATCGGACTAAATGTGATCTCGTCTCGGTTGCACAACTGTGTTAGATCTGAATTCGTCTATGCTACTGCCATCTGCCAAAATACTACGTAGAAAGTATGAGCGTGTTTCCAGTTTCTGTTTAGGGTATTGAATCTGGACCTAGACGCATGAACGATAATCTAGCCCCTCTTGTGCTCTCTGTTCGATCCTTTTATCTTGCGGACTTTTCAATGCTTACCGGAAAACGCCGTTCAGATGGATTACTGTTTTCGATTTTGCATGTTTCTTTTTTTGGTCTGTGAGATTACTTTTGATTTGATCCTTTCTGACAGAAGAATAATTGACCAACACTATCCTCTATATACAGAGAGAGAGAGAGAGAGAGAGAGAGACTGATTTGATGTTATCAGTACTTTCCTCTATTAGCAATTTTCTATCACCGGAGTTTTTTTGTTTGTGCTATCATCATGATTTTTTCTCTCGCCACGGAAAAGTGTAAGATCTGTCGCTGATCCTTTGTTTTCGTGGCTGATGCAGTACCTTGTGACACATTTTAGCGACTTTCAACTGGCGTGCATTGGGAGTTTTCTCCTCCATGAAAGCGTGTTTTTCTTATCTGGACTCCCTTTCATTTATCTAGAAAGGGCAGGCTTTCTCAGCAAGTACAAAATTCAGGTTCGTCTCTTTGTATTCTCATCGGTCCAAGTGTCTCCTATGTATCAGATTCGAGCTTTGCGTCATCGTTTCAGTAGGATCTTGTAGAGGTTGATCACCAAGGAATCAGTCACTTGTGTAATTGTTTTTGTTTTTCTCAGCTTCTCTTAATTTGATGATCAACTAATACCGTTGTTTTGACGATATGCAGACAAAAAACAACACACCTGCAGCCCAAGGAAAATGTATTATTCGCCTGCTGCTTTATCATTTCTGCGTAAACTTGCCCCTGATGTTGGCCTCCTATCCTGTCTTCAGAGCCATGGGAATGCGAAGCAGTTTTCCTCTGCCGTCCTGGTATTATCAGGTTCTTTAGTGCTGAAGCTTTTTCCTTTGGGTTCTGATGTTAAACTCTTCCAATTGGCAAATTCAAAAAAAAAAAAATGAAAAATGTCAGTGTTGAGCATCATGAAAGAACCTGAGCTTATGTTTGGTCAGGTATATAAGACCCTCTTTGGTGATGGTCCTGCAGGAAAGAAGTATCTGCCCAGATATTATTCTACTTCATCATTGAGGATTTTGTTTTCTACTGGGGTCATCGGATCTTGCATTCAAAATGGCTGTACAAGAACGTGCATAGTGTGCATCATGAGTAAGTTTCAGTGTTCACCATCTTCTTACATGCTTGTGAATGATGAGTTTAGACAAATTGATAAAGAGCAACCATTTTCTGATGTTCCAGATATGCCACGCCATTTGGTTTGACATCAGAATATGCTCACCCCGCTGAGATTCTTTTCCTGGGATTTGCTACCATAGTCGGTCCAGCTCTCACCGGCCCCCACCTGATTACTCTCTGGCTATGGATGGTACTGAGAGTGCTTGAGACAGTTGAGGCTCACTGTGGTTATCATTTCCCATGGAGCCTCTCAAATTTTCTTCCCCTGTATGGAGGGTAAGATCACACATCTAGCGAGCTCTCTTGAACTATTAAAATCTAGAATAGACTGTACTAATAATGGATTTTTAATCATTTGGTTATAGTGCTGACTTCCATGACTACCATCACCGCCTCCTCTATACAAAGTCGGGGAACTACTCTTCAACTTTTGTGTATATGGACTGGTAAGCCTCTGAACTATTATTATTATTATATCTTTGCTTATAGAAACAACAGGTATTAACAAATTCGTGTCGGTGTTGTACAGGATCTTTGGTACTGACAAGGGCTACAGAAGACTGAAGAGCCTTAAAGAAAACGGTGATACGAAACAAACGTGAAGTGGCCAGTTTGTATTGCAGAGTACATTTGTCGCTGGAAATGTGGGTTTGCGAAGGTCAATTTACATCTCCGGAGAGGTCTTATTCTGCAGCCTCTCCTTTTTCTCTTATATTTTGCTTCCGTGTTGCTGCAGCTGTTCTGTGTCTTAGTTTTAATATGTGTGACTAGAATTGCTACAAATGTGGCATCCTTGAAAACATTTGGTACTTCAACTCCCGGAGTAGCTATATAAGTATGTGTTTGGGTTGAGGAATTTAAGCATTTGGTATTGGTCATCTTTTTGATCTGTTGCTCTTTCTTTCATTTCTCGGCTGAGTAGTTTACACTTTTATACATGATGCTGCTACTATCGATTCCCTGGGCTAGGTTTGGGATTCATAAGTATTGGCATAAAATGTCTTGGGTTGGGTTGGGTTCGACCCGGCCCATTTGACACCTGAAGTGGGAAAAGTATAACATGTAACTTCGTTTTCATTCATTCTTAAAACAAAGGTACCTTAAACTTGACTTTTCCACGTGATCAGTGATCATCTATAGATAAAACACTCGTACTGTATCAATTATCAATCACCCGACACCGACACGTACAAATGTGCATATGATATATGTTTCGCGCCTTGGTGGGACCACTTTCACACGTCCTTCCCAATTACCTTTGGCTTATCTCTCTCTCTTCCTTTCCGTGGGATTTTGAATTTCTTGTTACACAAAAAGGCCCACCCGGACTAAAGTCCCTCTCTATTAACAAAAGAAAAATCCCGTTGCTGTCTGAAATGATACCACGCGTACCCGAATGAATGGTTTTGTCTAAAAACCAAAATATATAATGTATGTACATATACTTTTTTTATTAATTGAATTCTGAACTGATTCCACCCAGACGGTGACAAATTCCGTCTTCCTTTTTTCTTTGTTCTTTTACACACAGCGAAAAAGGGAAAAAATGGTTCAGAACAAAAAGAAAACCCAACCATGATTAAATCGTTTTTTTTGCTTTCTAGCTTAATGCTTTCCTTTTTCTTTTTCTCTATTGGGTTGGGAGAAGATCTGAGATGCCTTCGTCCAAGTGAAACCTTCACACACACTTAACCCAAGGAAGGGAGAAAAAAAAAGCAAAAGAATCATATTATATAAAAAAAAAAACACGGTGGAATGATGAGATTAGTGTCCAGCAACGTGTCTCTTTCTTCTTCTTCTGAGATCAATGACAACGACGCTTACGTTGTCACTACTGTGCTTCGCCAACGCCAGCTTCGTCAGCAATACTGACGCCTCCGTACATGCTTTGTCCGTGATCTCTCCTCTCTTCCCGTTCTTCCTTGACCCCACCACTTTCTCCTCCTCCTCTTTCCCTTCTTCACTCTCCGGCGTTTCTCGCTGCCGCCTTCCTCCACGGCCTTTTCTGTTGAGATACATATGCACCATCGCACACGCCGCCTCGTTCGTCACCACGTCCCATAAGCCGTCGCTCGCTAGAATCAGGAACTCATCTTCTTCCGTTCGATCCGTCACCGTCACCTCCGGCTCCGAGCTCACGTACGGTTTCAAGTAATTGTCACCGATGGCTCGTGACATGGCTAAAACGCCCAACACTCTGGGACCGTCCCAATATATCACTCGCCCTCCGGCTTCCTGGATTCGATCCAACTCGTCCGGACGATCCGGCTGTGTATTTCAAACGGAGAATCAGAGTTTGATTAATTAAATCCACAAAATCCAAACAAATTAAGAAAGATTTCTCTCGAGAGAGAGTGAGACTGACCTTGTGATCTGTGGATAGAGGCACTGCTTTTCCATTGCGGAAGAGAACTGCTCTGGAATCGCCGCAATTAGCTACAATGATCTTCTCCGGCGTAATGACTGAGACAACGGCGGTAGAGCCGACGGCGTCGCAGTCGGGAGTCTGAAGCTCGCACCTGCAATTAGCACTCATCACAGTTTCGCCCCAACGAACAACCTCCTTGTCCATGCGCGTGAAGCTACGCTCCATCATCTTCGTCCATTCTTCCTTCTTATCAGAGAGCGCTTCTTCTTGCACTAGCTCGTGTAGCCTCTCTTTGCATCTCGCCGCAACCTGGGGAACGACGTCGTATCGCGACAAACGGAAATCAGGCTAACTCATAATATTCAAAAAAAATTGAATTTCAAATCGAGGGAAAAGCATTAAAAAAAAAAAAAAAAGGAAAAGCGGTGAAACGACGTCGTACATGAGAGCAGCCATGGCCGTCATAAACTCCAAAATAGTGCCACCTTGCTCGAGAAACCTCAGTTTGTTTCCGTACAAAAGACGGATGAATCGCAACCGCATCCTCCATCTCTCTCCTTCTACCGCACACCGATGCGGCGCCGTATCTAGGCCTCAGATCCGTTTCTCTCACAGTTTTTTTACAAGGAGTAACTGCAATTACCGACGGATTCCCGGTGATGCCCGAGTCACCGTTTTCTCGTGCAATCTCCGCTTCGAGTAGTACACTCTCGTCCGCTTCAGGACAATCTTCAGGTGAGCTCCGAGAAGGCGATGCACAGCTCATATAATCGTACTCCTCTTGTTTATTACGCTTGTAAATCCCCTCTGAATCTTCTGCCGCCGCGGTCGTCGCGATCGGATTCATATCCGCCGGTGACATCCTGCATCGCTGAGCTCCGATCCTTCGCCTCCGGCTCGACCACGACGGCCTCGAGTCACAAGCCGACGCTTCGTCCTCGTAACATATATCCGCCATCTAAAAAAAACTCGATCCGCAAACGAATCTCTTTGACCGTCGATTTAATTGCCGAGGAAAATGAAAAATCTCTCTCCGTTATTTTTGTTACGAAAGAAGATGAGTCGAATAGTATCTGTTTGATTTAAGCATGCAATTGAATAAATGTCATCGTTACACGCTACAAGGCGGGCCATTTATACTCTCACGCGCCTACCGCTTCACAAACATTTTAAAATTCCTTTTTTTTTTTTTCTTTCTGTGTTTTCAATTTTACTTTTAACTTTGATTTTTCTCCCCTGCCTTAAAAAATCTTACTCAGCGACGTGACGTATTGATCTTGTGTCTAAATAGATTTAATCTTGACCGTTGATCTAGTCACTACACTGCTTCAAAATGGACCACGTTAGCATCACGAGCAGGTAGGAGAGATACGTGGTCCAATCAAAATTGAACAGAAGGGAAAGAGGAATATCTTTCGCGCCACGATTGTGGTCCACTCTATCTCTGGAAGACCTTCTTTTTTTTTTTCTCTCCAAATTCTCTCATGTCATGTCTCCCTAAAGATGAAAGATGTAATCACGCAAAAGAATTATTTTAATTAGAAGAATTCCATTACGTTAAATTTGATTGTAGTTAACCTTAATTTGATCTAACTTGGGTCATTGAAAAACCTAACTAATTAAGTATGAATCCGGCGATTTTGTGACCGTGATCCAATGAAAGGATATATATATACTGCGTTACACAAAGATACGTTAATTTTCATACGAGAATTCTATTTTATATGTTTTTTTCAATATTATATCAACCGTCAAATTACTCCAAACCTTCTTCTTTGTATATGTAAGTATGTAACGAGATCTGTAAATCTCCAAAGGCTCGCTGAAAAAAAATGATGCTTCTCATGATCACTATTCACTACTCATCGATACATACTGATCTTCATAGTGTGCATTTGAAAACTATATTATTTTAAATTAAGACCTTGCACTGCCACAAAGGTAGAATTAGCGATGAACAAGGCATATATGGAGACAGAGAATTAGCGAATACAAGAAAAAATATGAATTTAATATCAAATATCTGTCTCTATTAAGTGGATTTGATATACGCACGAGATCAGATAGATTCCAAATCTCATCTGTTTTTACTTTTTACCTTTAAAGGTGTGGTTACATTCACCATGATTACCTAAATAATCCTGGTCGGGAAAAGAAACTAATAATTAAAAAAAAAAAAGAGGCCTCACTAGTCAGTCAGTAGTCACTATGAAGTAGAGAGAGTTAGAAAGAGAAACCGTACAGAGGGACACGTAAGTGTGTTGGAATTAGGAGTTTTTAACCGTTAAAGGCGGAAACACAAACTTTAAATCAGGAGGAGGAAAAAAGGCTTTTTGGTGAAGCAGTGGCCCAACCAATTTACCTCTACGTTTCCCCCTTTTGTTCCTATTCCGGCGAGTGGGTCCCTCTTCTTTCGAAAGAGAATCTAAGGGCTACCCTTTTCTGTACCGTACACGTGTTACAATCGTAGGTCAGACCTATTAGGCCTTATGGATTCCTTTGGATATTTTTTACTTGCTGTTACTGCATAGTGATAAATTGATGAGAATAAGAACATAAAAGTGTTCAAGAAGAATTATTATTAGACTCTCATAAAAATAATATTACAAGATGTATATGTTTATATAGACATAGTAGTAAACTAATTTCTTAAACTAATATGTAAATAATATATTTAAGATAAAAGTAAATTTATCAATTTAAGATATTGGTAAATATCCATAATATTGTAGGTTCTTCTAGATTTTTCTTGATTTCCATAATCTTGATATGGTCGATCATATCGATCTCCCAATACATAGTCTCTTGTCAACAAATTTAGATTGAAGTTTATGGTCAAGTTGTGCCTCTCACTGTGAAGTCAACGATGACACAGAATCTTTTGGTATCAAGTTATCATCAACTGTAAATCGTAAGCGGTGTGCTTGCTTTAACGCGATTTCATCGCCAATTTTGTGACTGATTTAGACACAAACTAATATATAAGAAAAAAAATAGTTCTTGTATTGGTGAATGAAATTGGGAACAAAATTTTGAATTAGTCACTTAGTTAGATTTTTGGTGGTTCGACGATATTCCGGTAAGTTCAAACTTCAAACAAAATGAGGACGGTCATAATTAATTCATAAATAAACTAGCAATTTAATACACTGAAGCCTTCTTACATATATTATTGCTATGATCTAAAAATGAGACGAGGGAAAGGGAAAAAAAAAATAGTGAATAATTTTATCAGAAAAAGAACAAAATCATTACTGAAAATCTCAAAACTCATTAGAAGACACAAATGGGGAGGATTAGATGGGGCCTCGTCCGTGCACCCACCGATCCAACCAAAATCACTGTAATTGAAATTGACTCCAAACACTGAAGCTCCTAGAATCACTGGTACGTGACAAAATCATTCAGTTTCTGAATTTGGAATATAGCAATATGAGTTATCATGACCATATCATTATTAGATGTTCTATAAAGTTGTATTATTATTTTAGTAAAAATATCCAAAGTTATAGTGTGCTTTGGTGGCATGCACCTCGACTTAGGCCTACGATACATCCATGGTGTTTGTACTTACGTGGTCATATTATAATTTCTTTTATTTTTGCACCACTTCTTCGTTTAATTTTAAATACCTTCAACTTTTCAGCTTAAATTAGAAATTTTGAGATAAAATTTTAAAATATCCAAGAAGAAAACAAAAAATCTAATTTACATTCATTACATCGTGACAACTAGTAGTGTTGGAAGGTCGAGAAGTTGTTTACTCTTTCGCGAATACATTTATATTACACCTTTTGAATAGCGTATGAGGTGTTTTTTAATAATTTAATTAGTGGATAACTTGGCGGTATTAGTAGTCCATACTAAACCGTTTGGATTAATGTACCTGATCGGAAGAAATCCCGTCTTGGAGTTTTCTGAAGTTTGGATTAATGTACATTGCTATTCAGTACCGGATATTAAATAAAATATTGTTCCATGATAATCATGAAATAAAATAACCAATTTTTGTAAATAGAAAAGGTTCAGCTTTGCACCCAAAAAATAGACATGAGGTGTATGTCAGAATTAGACTGCAGAATAAGGGATGCATGCAGAGATAGATGATGATCTGTAACCGAATTATTATTATGGAAGGGAGGACAAAAGACTACTTTTTATTTACATCATATAGTTATCTCTTTTCTGTTACAGTTAGGGATGCCAAAAATATTCAGTAATATATAACTCTGATAATTGAAGCAAAGCCAAATTAAAAACAATTACTGTAATCTTATATTCTCTCCCTTTTCTTTTTATATAAGATGTTTTAGAGATTGTTTTTTTTTTAAAATAGTTAATGTTTTTACATATTTATACAAAAATTAATTATATTTTTATTAATTTAAGTGTTTGAATTTTATATATTATTTTTCTATTAGTTGAATTGTTTTCAAATTGATAATAAAACATGTTTTGTTTTGAAAAAATACAAAATTAAATGAATTCTTAATCTACATGTAAAAACCATAACTAAAATGGATCAAAATCTAGTGTTAATGTTTATTTTGAGGAAATAAAAGTTTAAGTGAAATTTTCGAAAATCGGAAAAAATCATAAATGCCTCAAACATCATACTTGTGGTTGAGTGTACATTTGGAAAAGAATATCTGATAGCAAAATCATGTAGAGAGAGATGCACAGATACAGAGTAAGCTCATAGGTTCACATTGATACATGCCTAGAAGTAATCATGGAACTCAATTTTTACTCACACAAACACTGTAACTTGGACATAATGTAGTAAATGAGTTTCAACGAGGAAAACAAAAGATAACTTATTGTTCATACATCAGATAACTGTTGTTCTGCAAGTGTTTATAGGTTTAAACCTCTGGCTTGTAGGAGAAGCCATTAACAGTAAAACCTCCATCAATACAGATGGTTTGTCCGGTTATATAAGAAGCTGCAGGGAGACAAAGAAATGTAACCAACGACGCAACCTCACGCGGCTCACACGCACGGCCTAATGGGGTTCTTGAGAACATAGCCTCCGAAAACTTCTTGTCATCAAGATACTGAAAATTTCAAAATCTCAGGTAAAACAAACAAGAAGATGAAGCAAAAATCTCAAAATCTGTAGCATAAGCAAATACTATGTTTTAGTTTACTTTTTTGACAAGAGAAGTCACAGTGACATAAGGAGCTACAGAGTTAGCCCTTATACCATCACTTGCCCATTCACATGCCAAGTTTCTTGCCAGTTGATTCATGGCTCCTACATAAAAAGAAACTCAGATGTGTGTGTATACATAATATCACACGCATTCACTAATCAAATCAAAATGGTTATCTATGAACCTTTTGTTACACCATATATAGAGGCGGTACCAGAGACAATCCCTGATACCGAGGAAATGAATACTATATTCCCATATCCCGAGGCTTTGAGTAAAGGATGTGCCAATTGTGAGATATGATAAGCAGATTCCAAATTGATAGCCATCAAACTTGAGAAATCTTCAGCTGTACTTTCTAAAGCTGACTTTAATATGAACTTGCCGACATTGTTTATCTACATAATTGCCAAACATTGACAATGATTCGATTGCTTCAAATAACATTAGGAAAAAAAGAGTGTGAGAAGACTTTACAAGGATGTTGAGTTTGGAATCAAACAGAGAAGAAACAGTCTGCATCAATTGCTCTCTCTGAGGTCGAGAGGAAACATCACAAACTGAACCACTGACTTGAAAACCTTTTGTTTGCCATTCACTCAGGCATTCGTCAAGCGAAGTTTTGTCTATATCACAAGTATGCACTCTTGCACCAAAACCTGCAAGTTCCTCCACTATTGCATACCTGAAACTAAGTCTCAAGCTCAAGATTCTTGTTCCAGACTTTCTTTATTGTCGCAAAATGGAATTGATAAACCAAAAAAATAAATAAAAAAATTCGGAAACAGAGCATTTGAGAAGAAGACGAACCCAATTCCCTTGGCTCCACCGGTCACAAGAGCAGTCATACCTTGAAGACTCCACCTCTTCATATCCATTGTTGTGTGTGACACTAAGTCACTATAGCCACAGGTATATATAACCAGTTAACACTTGAGAGTGATAAGACTCATTAATGGTAGGCGATGTTTTTGATGTAAGAAAAATATGTAAACAATTCTTAAGAAAAAGTCTGTAACACAAGAGAAAGAGACTGTACACAAACAAATGTGTGGACCTCTCGTTTTGGCTGTGGCATGAAACACGTGGAAATCATGACGCATGTACATTTATGGGATTTTTCCTCCTCGAAGAATTTTTTTTTATGTAAAGACATTTATTTTGTTTTGGTTACCAAGATGAACACATTGTTCTGACCTAACGTCCCCGTATTGTTTATTACAGTATTTCACATATAAACGGCTGTTATTTTTTATTTATAAAGTAACCAATGATTGTACTTTGAGCAGCCTCTGTAATTTTGGTTGTATTGTTGGGTGCACGAATTATTCTCCATCTGATCCTCGTCATTTGCATTTAAATGAGTTTTGAGATCTCAATAATATTTATTGAAGCCGGTTGTTGAATTTACACATTTTGTTAATTAGTTAAAGTGATGACATGTCTTAGATCAATTATTTTTTTTTGCATTTATATAACCAACGGCAATAGGTATAGATTCTTACTTGCACGTATAGTTGCCGAAAAGCTTTGTCTGGATCTATTTTATTGTATACTAAGCTACTTTGGGAAGTTTACATCCATCTCCACAAGTTAGGTCCTACGACTTATCACGATCAGAGCTAAATTAAACGAAGACTTGAACAGTTCAACAATGAACAATCTACTTCTTTGAAATTGATTTTCTGCAAATAAATCTAAATTTATTTTTTAGATTAAGCTAACAAACAGTTTAAAAAGTCTCCGAGTTTTTCTTTCTTTTCCACAAAGCCTATATACGAGATAACAATTCAGAGAAGCAACTTCACACACACATAATAAGAATTAGACTTTCATTTCTTCCTTTTAATTGCCCATTTACCAATGGCAAATGCTTCCAAATCAATAGCTATCTCCATAATCGCCCAATTATGCCTCGTTTCTTGCGTGTTAAGTCAACAACAAGAAACCGAATTTCTTCACCACGGATTTTTCGAGGCCAATATACTCAAATACGGATCTGCCAAGATCCTCCCAAGTGGTATTTTGGAGCTAACAAACAGCTCGAGGAGGCAAATGGGTCAAGCCTTCCATGGCTTCCCCATACCCTTAAGCAGCCCTAACTCATCAAACTCGCTTTCTTTCTCCACAAGTTTCGTTTTCTCAATCAACGCACCAGGTCATGGCCTAACGTTTATGATCTCTCCGTCCATGGATTTCACCCGAGCCATGCCGAGCCAGTTTCTCGGTCTCTTCAACACGTCAAACAACGGAAACTCCACGAACCAAATCCTCGCCGTGGAATTCGACACCGTGAAGTCAAACGAGTTTTTTGACGTCGACGATAACCACGTGGGGATCGACGTGAACGGTCTGGTCTCCGTTGAATCTGCACCAGCTGCGTTTTTCTCCAACCGGCAAAGCAAGAATATAAGCTTGAAGCTGTCGAACAAAGACCCGATTCGGGCTTGGATCGAATACAATGGAGGGGAAATGCTTCTCAATGTCACATTGGCTCCTCTTGAAACTTCTAAGCCTAAGTTTCCTCTTTTGTCAAGAAAAATAAACCTCTCCGAGATATTTATGGAGAAGAAGATGTATGTCGGATTTTCGGCATCCACGGGAAACATCACGAGTAATCACTATGTTCTTGGATGGAGCTTTAGCAGAGAAGGGAAAGCAAAAGACTTTGATCTCACTTTACTTCCTTCAATTTCGACCTCGTCGCCATCTGATTTTGATGACTTTGATCCCTTTCCAGATCCTCCTTCGGACTCAGCAACCGCAATGCCTAAACACACCAAACTGATCATATTCTGCACACTTGCGGTCATGGTCTTAATGAATTGATTGCACCAAGAGGCAAAGGCATTGGTCTTGTTACTTTCCTGATTTTATTAGAGATCAATAAATGGAAATCCTTATAGAGTTAAGTTGGAAGAAGTTGCTTAGTTACTCATTTAGCAATGTTTGGTTTTATTATTCCCTTTGGCAATTACATTGATTGGTCTGTTGAGTCACAATGTTTTTGCTTGCCAAATTTGACAGAGCTTAATTTCATTCTCAAATCTCTATTTCATAAGCTTGAATTATTTTGCTTTTTAAGTTTTAAACAGAATGGATCGAGTGAAGTAATCGAGGTGTCACCAGCAAAAAAAAACAAACAAATATAACTACGTAAATTCATACATCACATCAATGTTGTTCTGCAAGTGTTTATATGTTTCAACATTCAACATCACACTTGAAAATAAAATAAAGCCACTCAGACCGCGGAGTTAACGAGGTCCCAAAAAATTACAGTATGTTGTAAATATATGTTTTTTTAATTTATTATTATTATTTTATTTTATTTCATTTCATTTCGGACCGGATCCAAAAGTACCATACAAATTTCGGATCTGGATAGTTTGCTCTTTGGATCCAACGGATTTAAATTCGGATTATTCAGATATGTTGTTAACACATCTCGTGCTTCTTTGCAAAAAGTAAATATCTGAAAAAAAACAAAACCTGGGGAAAAGGATCTCGATGGCGCAGATGATGGCACGTGTCCATGTTGGGATGTAATCTGATCCAAACCTATTTATATTCTTCGCTGCTTTTCTGTCTTGACCGCTCCTCCCGATCTCTGATCTCTGATCCCTCTGCTCTCTCTTCACCCGTCGCCGATCGCTGCCTCCGCCAAACCCTAGGTGAGCTTAACGGGTTTGGATTGGGGTTTTTTGGCATTTCTTTTGGGGGTAAATTACCCAAAATTGAAGCTTCTGATTCAATTCAGATTCACGGAGGTGAGCTTCGTGTTTCGCCGGAATTAAGTCTAGGAGAATCGAGGGGCTGAGAAGATGGGCACAACGACGACAACGAGCGCTGTGTATATCCATGTCATCGAGGACGTCGTCAACAAAGTCCGTGAGGAATTCATGAACAACGGAGGTCCCGGCGAGAGTGTTCTCAACGAGCTTCAAGGAGTAAGTTTCGATTAGATGAATTCCAGCTTCCTTCACTGCAAAAGGATTGAAATTTGATGTTTTTAGTGGAATCGAGGTTCTGGGTTGCTTTCATTTGTTCCGCTGCAGCTTAGGGTTTCTGGGACTTCATATCTCGTAGTTGGCTTAAATCCATTGATTTCTGGAGCTTAATTTGACTGTGTTTTATCTTTTCCGGGTAGATTTGGGAGATGAAGATGATGCAAGCTGGAGTCTTGTCTGGACCGATAGAGAGGTCATCGGGTCAGAAGCCGACACCTGGAGGCCCACTGACGCATGATCTGAATGTGCCTTATGAAGGTACAGAGGAATACGAGACTCCCACTGCCGAAATGCTCTTCCCTCCGGTGAGTGAGCTTACACTTGCCTTGAACCTGTGGTTTTCAGACGAACACACAGAACTTGGGTTTATCAGTTGGATTCATTTCCACTCGAGAACTTGACCATGGTTTTGTTTTTGTCTTTGTGTGCTGAACAGACACCATTGCAGACTCCTCTTCCGACGCCGCTTCCGGGTACTGCAGATAACTCCTCAGTGTATAACATCCCTACTGGCTCAAGTGATTATCCAACTCCTGGAACTGATAATGGAACCAACGCTGATGTTAAAGCAAGACCCAGTCCTTACATGGTCAGATTTACTCATTAAAAATTGCCGTGAAGCTGTGTAGTGCAACTGCTTATCGGATTGTTTCCATAGACTTTACATAATTGAGTTTGACTGCTTTAAAAAAAATTAACTTTGTACGTTCTGTTTTTTTTGGTTTACTTAAACTGAGAAATATGCTCTATGTGGCAGCAACCGCCTTCTCCATGGACAAATCCAAGGCTTGATGTCAATGTTGGTAAGTACTAGTTTTACCATCACTTAATGTCCCAGTGAATAGAAACATATCTCAGTTTGTTTTCTGGACTGAAATGTCTGACCTGCTGCTAGCTTATGTGGACGGCCGTGATGAGCCTGAGCGAGGAAACTCTAACCAGCAGTTTACGCAGGTACTTGTAATTAACATCTAAATCACTAATCGTGAGTTTGGATTTTTGGTTTAGGTTCATATCTTTTTTTGCAACACTTACGTGATTCATTTGATTAGTACCATTCTCAGTTACTTCCTTCGTCGTTGTAGAGATTTCTTTAAGTCACATATACCTGAACTAATGAACCTATTATCTTAAATGGGAATACGTTCAGGACTTATTTGTGCCATCCAATGGGAAACGAAAGCGTGATGATTCTTCTGCACAATATCAAAATGGTGGGTCTATACCACAACAGGATGGTGCAAGCGACGCTATTCCTAAGGTGTGTGTGTGTGTGTAGAACTACACATTTGTTTCAGGAATAGCTCACATAAGAAAAATACAATATCCTGTAGCTCCCTCATTTCTATCTGAGAAAAGCAAGTAAGGGAGAAGACTTCTCTTTGGTTTAAGTTGCAGAAAAATACAAACGCATCTAGAAGTCTTTAGAATATGATTTCGAATATATTCTCAATGTATTAACACCTCTCCCTCCCTCTGCTTAGTAATGATAATTGATAAAAGTATTCGGAACACCTGATTTTTTTTTGCAGGGAAACCTTGATGGTGATACACTCTGCATTACATTTGTTGGCGGTAGAAAGTTCCCACGAGATGTCAACTGCTCATCTTCAAAGATTCCTCAAGTTGATGGGCCAATGCCTGACCCTTATGATGAAATGTTATCGACGCCAAATGTAAGAATGCTTCAGCTTCTCATTTGAGTAGTCAGAATTTCTCTAGATGTATACTTCTTTCAACATTTCTACATATCAATTACTGAAAATCTCATGAATTCCTGGATATTCATTTTACTGCGTTGCAGATATACAGCAATCAAGGACCCAACGAAGACTTCAACGAGGGCAGAACTCCTGCTCCATACGGTAAGTGAGGCCGAACAAAATTGTTTGAAAGCGTTTTATATATCAACTAAATGCATCCTCTGCTAAAATCCCTCTTTGTTAGAGATCCAAACGAGCACTCCTGTTGCTGCACAAAACGATATCATTGAAGATGATGAAGAGCTGTTGAACGAAGATGATGACGATGACGAGCTGGATGACCTAGAGAGTGGTGAGGATATGAACACACAACATCTGGTTTTGGCTCAATTTGACAAGGTAATGACTCTCCTATTTACTACACAGGTTCTTGGATGTGTTTTGTATCTCTGAACGTAACTCTATATTTGGTGTTGTAATTAGGTGACTCGCACGAAGAGCAGGTGGAAGTGCAATCTGAAAGACGGGATCATGCATATAAACGACAAGGACATTCTATTCAACAAAGTAACCTGTTCCTCCCAGTTATGCTTGGATCTACTCTGGTAACGATGCCACTAACACCTGCTCTTATCTACTTTTTCAGGCAACAGGCGAGTTCGACTTCTGATCATGACAGTAGCAAGTGCATGGGCGGATCTACGTGGTTGAAGTGGGGGGCAAGTGCCTCCGGTTAATTATCAAATATTTTTGTATCTTATTTACTTTCTTTCTCTTATAATATAAGTTGGTTTAAAAAACAAAATCTGTTTCAAAATATACTCTCTTTCACAAATTATATCATTTTCACATATTTCACACAAATTAAGAGAAGTCTATCTGATCCTTTACTAATACACTAAATGCTTCTCAATGGTCAATTTTGTCTCAAAAAAATAAATAATTTTGACATATTTCACAAAGTCTATTTGATCCTTTATTAATACACTATATTGTTATTTTAACAAAAATCGAAATCCAAAACTAAATCGAATCAAATTAAAAGAAAGTTACAACCTTAATTGTAACCAAAAATCTAATTATATAAGTAGTTTTATTTGGTTTCGGCGTTCATAGAAGAGATCAATAAAACCAAAATTAAAATAATCGATTTTCTTAACAAACGAAGAGGTGAGAAAGATTGTATGTAATGTTGTCGTTAGAGAAAAGAACGACGTAAAACAAAACACAAGAGACATTGACCAAATTAAAAGATGCCCTTAAATGCACAAAGCAGCAACAGAAAGACGAGAGAGTGGAGAAAACAGAACCAAGAGCAAAACATAAAAAGAAGGTAACTTTGTTTAGTTTAGTTAATAATGACCGTTTCAAAATTAACAGCCTTTTCTATTTTTCCTTCACATGATCCACCATAACCGATCCCTCCTTTTGCGCCCTCATCAACACAACACACACACACACACACAAAACTTTCCTCCTTTTTATTCTTCCTCTTCACATCACTTTCCTTCCCTTCCTATCTTCCTCTCTCTCTCCCTTTTTTTTGCCTGTATACTCATTTGTTCAATCCTTTGAGTCTGAAACGTCATGGAGAACAGTGCGAGCGAGTCCCGGAGATCACTGACTAGGCTGCAGAGGCAAGCACCCACGGCTCTGCATCTTGACGGTGTTTCCGAGAATCCCTTTTTGCAGCAGTCTCGTGATGCAGTTTCAACCGCAGCTATTCCTCTGCTTTCACCTCTCTTTGTTTCACCAAATCCGCACTCTTCTCTCCCTCGAGAAGGCGATGATTCCAAGTTCCCGGCGAACGGAACTCAACCGTCAACGGACCACAAGGAAGGGTGTCAATATTCCGTCAAGGCCGACCATAGCAACCAGATGGCTCTCTTGAATATGTTTCAGACCAAGTTACTGCTTGTAAATCATCAACGGTGAGGGACTCTGCGTATAGGATGGTCTTTGATGTTTCAGAATCCATATGTTTTTCTTTAGTCTTGTTGTTATTATTTTGTTTTTGTGCAAGTTTTTTTTAGTCGTATAAAAGATGTTTCCATAAGCGATAGCTAAGACACATTTTTGTTAGGAAAAATATTCAATCGAAAACAGAGAACAGGGGGCAACGTAGATTTCGAGACAAAGTTTACAGGGGGCACGACGAATGTCAATACCATTTCGCTCCAAAACTTTAAATACTATATAAGATACAAAAATATTTGATAATCCAACCACATAGATCCGCCCATCATCTTGCTACTGTCATGATTAGAAGTCGAACTCGCCTGTTGCCTGAAAAAAGTAGATAAAGAGCGCGTGTCAGTAGCATATCGTTACCAAGAATAGCTCCAAGCTTAACAGGGAGGCACAGGTTACTTTGTTGAATAGAATGTCCTTGTCGTTTATATGCATGATCCCGTCTTTCAGATTGCACTTCCACCTGCTCTTCGTGCGAGTCACCTAATTACAACACCAAACAAGTCTTACTCTGTTTAGAGTTACGTTCAGAGAAACACATCCAAGAACCTTGTGTAGTAAATTGGAGTCATTACCTTGTCAAATTGAGCCAAAACCAGATGTTGTGTGTTCAAATCCTCACCACTCTCTAGGTCATCCAGCTCGTCATCGTCATCATCTTCGTTCAACAGCTCTTCATCGTCTTCAACAATATCATTTTGTGCAGCAGCAGGAGTGCTCGTTTGGATCTCTAACAAAGATGAATTATACCAAAACATATTCATTTACTTGCTATTTAAAACACTCTCCAGCAAATTTGTTTGGCTTCTCTTACCGTTTGGAGCAGGAGTTCTGCCCTCATTAAAGTCTTCATTGGGTCCTTGATAGCTGTATATCTGCAACGCAGCAATTGAAATTCTAAGCATAATTAAGAATTATCTTAGACAATTATTACATGTTTTGATGACAAATCAAAATGCCACATGAAGTTGAATTGAGAAGATTCTCCTTCCTTTCTTGTCGTACTAAGGCATAAGAGTTTCCAGTAACTGATATATCGAAATGTGGAAGAAGTATACATCTACAGAAATTCTGACTACTCAAAGGAGGCGCATTCTTACATTTGGCGTCGACAACATTTCATCATAAGGGTCAGGCGTTGGCCCATCGACTTGAGGAATCTTCGATGATGAACAGATGAAATCTCGTGGGACCTTTCTATTACCAACAAAGGTAATGCAGAACGCATCACTCTCAAGGATTGCCTGCAAAATCGTGCTAAAATCAGATTAATTACAGAGATTTCAATGAATATATCATTCTTGTACGCCAAAAAATATCACTAATACTTTCATGAGTATTAAGCAGGGTAAGAGAGAGAGAGAGACAGAGAGAGGAGATAAGTCTTAAAACATAGAGACAGTGCTTCAAAACTTACTTTAAAATTTTATAGATGCGTTTTTTATCTTTAAGCAACTTAACCAGATTCCAAATTAGATTTCAAGTATTTGCATCCATAAACTTGTGAAGTGAAAACCAAAGAGAAGTCTTTTCCCTTACTTTACTTTTTTCAATAAGAGATAAAGGGAGCTAGGGAATTTTTTTTATCTTCTCATGTGAGCTATATTCCAAATGCAAATGCAACTGTGCAGTTCTACACACACACACACACACCTTGGGAATAGCGTCGCTTGCACCATCCTGTTGTGGTATAGACCCACCATTTTGATATTGTGCAGAAGAATCATCACGCTTTCGTTTCCCATTGGATGGTACAAATAAGTCCTGAACGTATTCCAATTTAAGATAATAGGTTCCATAGTTCAGGTATATGTGACTGAAAAAATCTCTACAACGATGAAAGAAGTAGCTGAGAGTAGCACTAATGAAATCAATCACATAAGTGTTGCAAAAAACATTTGAACCTAAACCAAAAATCCAAACTCACGATTAGTGATATAGATGTTAATTACAAGTACCTGCGTAAACTGCTGGTTAGAGTTTCCTCGCTCAGGCTCATCACGGCCGTCCACATAAGCTAGCAGCAGCAGGTCAGACATTTCAGTCCAGAAAACAAACTGAGATATGTTTCTTTTCACTGGGACATAAAGTGCTGGTAAAACTAGTACTTACCAACATTGACGTCAAGCCTTGGATTTGTCCATGGAGAAGGTGGTTGCTGCCACATAGAGCATATTTCTCAGTTTATGTAAGCCAAAAAAATCAGAACGTACAAAGTCAATTTTTTTTAAAGCAGTCCAAACTCAATTATGTAAAGTCTTATGAAAAACATCCGATAAGCAGTTGCACTACACAGCTTCACGGCAAATTTTAAAAAGTAAATCTGACCATGTAAGGACTGGGTCTTGCTTTAACATCAGCGTTGGTTCCATTATCAGTTCCAGGAGTTGGATAATCACTTGAGCCAGTAGGGATGTTATACATTGAGGAGTTATCTGCAGTACCCGGAAGCGGCGTCGGAAGAGGAGTCTGCAATGGTGTCTGTTCAGCACACAAAGACAAAAACAAAACCATGGTCAAGTTCTCGAGTGGAAATGAATCCAACTGATAAACCCAAGTTCTGTGTGTTCGTCTGAAAACCACAGGTTCAAGGCAAGTGTAAGCTCACTCACCGGAGGGAAGAGCATTTCGGCAGTGGGAGTCTCGTATTCCTCTGTACCTTCATAAGGCACATTCAGATCATGCGTCAGTGGGCCTCCAGGTGTCGGCTTCTGACCCGATGACCTCTCTATCGGTCCAGACAAGACTCCAGCTTGCATCATCTTCATCTCCCAAATCTACCCGGAAAAGATAAAACACAGTCAAATTAAGCTCCAGAAATCAATGGATTTAAGCCAACTACGAGATATGAAGTCCCAGAAACCCTAAGCTGCAGCGGAACAAATGAAAGCAACCCAGAACCTCGATTCCACTAAAAACATCAAATTTCAATCCTTTTGCAGTGAAGGAAGCTGGAATTCATCTAATCGAAACTTACTCCTTGAAGCTCGTTGAGAACACTCTCGCCGGGACCTCCGTTGTTCATGAATTCCTCACGGACTTTGTTGACGACGTCCTCGATGACATGGATATACACAGCGCTCGTTGTCGTCGTTGTGCCCATCTTCTCAGCCCCTCGATTCTCCTAGACTTAATTCCGGCGAAACACGAAGTTCGTCCTCCGTGAATCTGAATTGAATCAGAAGCTTCAATTTGAAATGCCAAATAAAAAACCCAATCAATCCAAGCCTGTAAAGCTCACCTAGGGTTCCTTGCAGAGGCGGTAAGACGGAACCTTGCAGAGATCGGCGACGAGGTGACGGGGGAGAGAGAGAGGAGAGATCAGATACCGAGAGGAACGGTCAAGCCTCCCAGACAAAAAAAGCAACGAAGAATATAAATAGGTTTGGATCAGATCAAATTGAACCAGGGACACGTGCCATCATCTACGCCATCGACATTTCCAGATTTTTGAACCGAACCGAATTTATCGAACCCAAACCTCCTCCAACCAAACTAGAAGAGTGTCACGACCCGTTTGGTTAAACTTTTCTTCTAACCCAACCGGTTCGGTTCGATCTGATCTGGGTTTAAAATCGATAAACCACAACATTTTTTTATTCATCAATTAAACTAAATTACATAATGTTGCTCGATCATATATATATACTTGATATTGTTATCTTTAGCAATATATATATATTAGTTGTTACTTTATTTTTATTTACCTAGTCTCGAAGTTTCGGAATTTAAAGATTTAAGAAAAAAAATTACATTACAAATGTTTAGCTTTTTTATAGATATCCTATTAGTTTTTGATTAACATTAGAAAGAAAAAAAAGATGTTTCGTTCTCGCTTTTGCTAAAAAGACTAGAGTAGTTTTGATGCACCATTTGTTTATACGTCTAAAATAAGTATAAGCCATAAGCTAGTTTCCCTCGATCAAAACGAACAGTCGCCACGAAATTCTGATTCCTACTTGACCACACACACTTGGTTCCGCAATTTCAAAAGGCAAAGCTGCTACGTACACCGTCAGATTTTCACTCTGACAAATCTAACGTCTATCTTAACGCCATGTCCTTCTTTTTCCCAACTCGTTTTTTTTTTACAATAAATTTTGTAATGTTTCTGACACTGTTCACTTTTCTCCCTTGTACTTTTTGTGTTTGGTTTCTCACCTGAGAAGTCTGAGTTTCCTTCTTTAATTTATTTTTTTGCATTTTGGTTTTTTTTTTTTACTGTAAGAATTTCTCCGTACGATTTTTTTTTGTTGTTGCAATAATTGAAAAAGGCTTTTCAATAAATCTGTAACGTGATCACTTATTTTCTGATTAAATCCAAAATTCTTATGATCATGACATTATCGTCAGAGTCAAAAAGAGACAAAGATCGAGTGGTTCACAACTTTCCATTGGATTCTTCAATATCTCGAAACTTTTTTTCCCGCTCGATGAGAGAAAGATTACTTTCATTTATGTCAGTAACGCGGAATAGAGTCCAAGTACGTACATTCCTATACACGGTATTGTAATTCTATCTTATAACTTTTTTTTTAAATAATATAATGGCTTCATTTAAGGATTAATTTCTTTATGCTTCATATATAGAAAATTTAGGTTTGTCAAGAGGGAATCTTCCTTCTATCAAAGAGACAAAAAAAAAGTGTAGAAAGAATACTGCCACAAGATGCAAAAAAATTAATATATAAAAATAGGTGCTACAAAAAGTTTTATTGAACAACTGAATACAAAGCTCTCAAAATGAAAAGATTTATGTAACCATTTTAAGAATTTGCTATTTTTTTTCTTTTTCCTTTTAGATGGTATTTTTTTTAATTCTGAATGGGTTTTGCTGTACTAAGTCAAGTTAGTCAATAAGAATTGGAAAAGAGGCTATGATCCAAAATATTATTGGTATAGGCAAGATCTATAACCTTATAGCATCATGCAACTTTATTGATTTGACCACATTATTACCCTCTAATTGTATATATTAATGACATTAATTAGAACCCACTATCGTTTTTAAAATTATTGTTTGAAGTCTAATCAGGGCTATAAAAATGAGGATAAACGTTGCAAAGGCCAGATGGAGCCAAATAATTAGTAAAGAACTATGTGAAAAATACTCAGATCTGTTGACCAGAAAACAACCTCAGATCTTTGACCAAATAAATTATCATTGGTTCTTATTAAATTATTTTCCAGACATTGAAAGTGACTATTCGATTTAATCCTAACAAAATAATTGTACGTCTCGACACATCGACCCTCCAGATTGTGGCATAAAATTTCACTTTTTTATTTTTCTTAAATGTTCGATGTTTTCAATTTTTTTCTTCATCAGACGACAGACTTTAAATTACTTAATACCTCTGTATACATGACTCTGTCTTATCAAAATTAATACTAATAATATATTATCAAAAGAATCTCTTTCTTACAATGTACTAGTATAGAAACTTGTAGCAACCTAGAGTAGAGAGAATCAAACTGATCTAAATACCAAAACAAAAAGAATATAAATGCATGAGATCTAATCTAGGAATCATGCTTATGCCAACAGACAAGCATAGCCACACACCTTCTCATGATGTAAAACCTTCCTTTCTGTTCTTTCGCCAAGCTACTGTACTTTTGGGTAATGGAAGATGACGATGACCCTTTCTCTTTCTTCGAGGAGCTTCTGGAGATGGATGACGAAGAAGATGGCACTGAGCATTTGGTAGATGAGCTCCGTACGAATACCGGAGCCTTTGTGGAGGAAGCACTCGTTGAAAAGCTTCTAGAGAACTTGGATTTAGAGGAACTAGAGCATGACGCAGCTGATGCATCCTTTTTCGACAGCTTCCACTTCTCGTCCATGTCTGTATTGTAGGAAGAGAGACAGATGGAGATGGAGACGGAGAGGGAGAGAGCTCTTCTGACTTAGAAGGAGGCCCTCTATTTCTTTTTTCTTTCTCTCTTCTTATTTGATTGTGAGTTTGTGGTGATTTAGCTAAAAGGAGAGATAGTGATCTATAGAGAGGGAGAGAGAGAAAGAGAAAGGGAAGCAAAGAGAGGGATAGTGTCTTTCCGCTTATATATAGTACTTCCAAAATAAAACTAAGTGGAAAATGGAAATGATGAAGGCAAGAGAATGAACTGTGCAATATTAAAGTTAATTATATTAAATCATACTGTATGAATTAGCTAGGCTTTGGGTGATGTGCAACTATTTTTTAACTACTCCATCAGTTAGTGTAATAACCCCTGCACAAAATTTTACGCTTAACTACACTTTTCCAAAACACTAATGACTGTAGAAAACCATAATAACACAAAACGAAATCTACCAAATGGACCTGAGCAAAAAAAAAAAAAAACAGTAGTATATCGCAAAGTCTTTTTTATATGAAAAGTCGCATTTATATGCACATAATACATTTTGGTTTTATATGACGACGTTATTAATAAGACTTGCTGGCAATGTCATTCTTTTCCTTTATATTATATGGCTGTGAGCTTTTTACTTGATATATTGTTCTGACTGCTCAACTGTAGGGTTGATTCGTTGGTCCGAAGAGTAAAAACTCAATCGAGATCGATCTTTTTTCTCTTTTAGGTTCCACGTTTTTAAATTGACTCGAAGCTTCAGATATTATTAATATAAAAAAGTTGAAATAAAGAACAAAAAAAACAGAGACGTTGTTAATAATTAATGTAATCCACCGTCACGTGAGAGAGAGAGCACAATAAATTGTATCCGTATATATATATATATATATATGTGTGTGTTTACTGGTCTATAATTGAAACTATATTTACGCAAGTAGTACAAAGAGAGTCACAAGAAACTGTGTAGAGGATTAGTATTCCTAAAACTGGTTGGTTTTAGCGTAAAGCTTCCACGAAATGCAAAATAAATTTGTGGAATCGTACCTACGGGCTACGGTTACATAACTACGATACGAGTCAGATGACGAGGATCCAACAGAGAGAATATTCTTGACGAGAGACTCAAGTATTCCCGCTTGAACATCGTGCCTTTAGTAAAACCACTTCTTAATGAGCGATGCCACTAAATAAATCTTCTGGATTGGACGAAATTCAAACCTTTATAAGAGGGAAATTTCTAGAACAGTATATATACTTTTTTTGTGGTGTGTAGTGTGGTTGATGTTTAAAAAGAGAGACATATTTTAAAATATTGTCTACAAACATCTAAATTCTAGGCGGGGTCTTGTCTCTCGAATTATATGATGAATCAGTGGTCTACAATTATAAGAGCTTTTCAAAATGAAAATATTAACTTCTTGTGAAAATATCATTTGGGAGTGTTTGGAGAGAAAGGAGCAAAGAGGGACGGGGAGAGAAGTGTATCTTACGATAAAGATTTTGAAAACGGGACCAAGAGTAGACAGTTTTGCTCTACTAAATATTCCACATGTTTTTTCACTTCTGTTTTCAAAACAGCCTGGGTTTCCCGAAAATAACTCATTTTACTAACCACAGTATATATTAGTAACATTATGTGTACTTTCTACCATTTTCATCTTTTTAAACCACGGTCTGATTTGTTACACGTAAACTTAAGCAACAAAAATTTCCAACGTAGATCAATAATAATTAACAATGTTAATGTCACATATTTTATAATTAAAATAAAAAGGTTTATAATTCAAGATGCAACTTTGAAAACAAAAATGTTGATCGAAAGCAAACTAATAAATTATACCTTAACTATTTTTTATTTTTTGGGGTAAAAAAACTATACCTTAACTATTGCTTATGTTAACAAGAGAGTACTAGTTGGTGACCCTGAACGGATAATTTGACTGGTCAAACATTTCTGTCAAGTTAAGTTAAACTAGCTTGAATTACTTTTTTTGGGTTGTGTAGGAACATTGATTCCTTTATACCTGACAGATAGCTCTGTTACGACGATAATCAGACAGGGAGTAATTAGAGATTATTTCATAAATAAGTATCTACCACTTAGTATGGATTTACTAACTTTGACAACAACAAAACCTTACGATACTTTTAATATTATCGGCATTCTCAAAGATCTTAATCCTTCTTGTATTCAGAATGCGTGATTTGAACATTCGAGCTTCAATTTTTTTAATAATGTTTTCCTTATATCTCGTCTTTAGGTACTCCGACTGATTCAGTGTGCGGTGAAAGAGCTTGTGATGTTTAAAAACTGTTTTTGTCTCATAAACCTTGTTCGTTAGCCATATTTTAAATGCCCTATATATATATATATAGTTTGAGATCATTTGTTGCTCCCTTTTGTTATTTGTTGCCTCTTTGCATCTTAGACCGTGTAGACAGATTGAGAAAGTATGGATCCTGTGAATTGTTGAAAGTGTGACACTGCATGATCATTAGCATATTGAATGTGTGTTTGACTATATATAACATCAGCCCGAACCGCAAGTCTAATTTTTCCAACCTCTTTGTATATGATGCCATATTACCACATATGAAAATCGTTTTAATTATCCATAGTGGTTATAAATTTTAAATTACATTTGTTACTACGAATATAGGAAAGACCGTTTTTAGACTGTACAATATATACATACTACATAACAAAAAGAGGTACAATCCGACAGCAAACAAACAAGAAAAAGGAAAAACATCAACCATACATAAACCGTATTCAATCCCGAACCCGTTTACAAAAACTCAATCAATCCAGGAACGGGATAATATAATATAGTAATAATAGCAACTCAAAAGAGGAACCGTAGCCTTAAGCGCAGCTTTCTTGCCGTTTGGAGGCTGCCATCACGGAGAAGAACAGGTCTAGATCCGGCGGCTGAAAATACCCGTTCTTGGGCGGTTCCCTCTTCTTTCCAAAGTGTAGCGATCTCTTCCTTCTCACCGGCGGCGGACACGGTGGATCAGCTGGTATCCGGCATTCCTCACGTGTAGGAGTCGTGCATCCCACGTGATAGTCATCATCAACGGTCACCGTCTCTCCGTCGTAGTATATAGACCCGTTATCCATCTCTCTCTTTCCTCGCTCGCACTCTTGTGTAAGTCTCTCAATTAGGATCCTTAATTGCTTCTTTAGTACTCTAGTTTTTGGTGTGACGTAGCTTGTTCTGGAAGTTGCTAGGGGTTGTATTGTACTTGCGGTGTAGAACCTGACACGTGGAGGAGCGTATTGCTACGTGCCAAAGCGAAGATGAATTCAGGTAGAAATGTTGCCACACACACACTCTTGACTTGAGTATTGAAAAGGGTCGTTTATAATGTGGCTTAGTTGTACACAGGCCCATTTATACCATTTTCGCGGCCCCCAACTAATTATGATGCGTTTCCAAAATATAGTAACTAAATAAATTCATGATTGACTTTTTCTTTCCTTTTGACCTCATTCCTTTATGTATCTGGTTTGAATTCCGTACCCTGTTGAGCTCAACAATATATCCTTTTTCATGTTAGATATATATTCCACGCTCGGCTTCGAAATGGTCCAAATGTGTAATGAGAAGGAATATATTGTGCTCAACTGGGTAGGGTACCGAATTTTGACAAACCGAATACTGAACCACGCTTTGGAGTTTGGACCATCAAGAACCGGGTGGTTTATAGTTCAAATCAAACCTGGAGACCAAACCGGTTGAAATCAACCACGCAACAAATAAATATATGTTGGAGTCTGAAACGCGTTGGTGTCTTGTCTCCCAAGCTGCTCATAGTCACATTATATAACTCTTTCAACAAACAACATAAAAAAAAAAAAAAAAAAAATTCCCAAATTTCGTTCTGGGCTATTGATTTTCCGATCGCCCACATCTTCACTTCCGAAAACCTTCTCTTTCTTTATCCGTTGTATCAATACACTTTGCTCCAAATCTGAGACGAAAGTTGCCATCTTTCTCGTCTGGGTTTTGATTAGATCCCCTATTTCAGTTTCTCCTATATATTATGCGAGCTCACTTTTGGTCCTCCTGATTCTTTGACGATGATATTCTCCAAGCTCGGCTGCTCTGTCGCTCGATCCTCTCGTTCTAAGGTTCGTTTTGGTTTTGGACTCTTTTGTATTCCAGATGCTTGTTAATTCTGTGTATCTATTTCCTGATTAAAAACAAAATCCTGGGGAAATTAGGGATTGGCATACGGCAGTGGTGTGAGATCGGCGATTCTAAGTGATGGGAAGCTTCGAACGCCGCCGGCTTTTGAGGCGGCGACCAATCCGGTTGATGGTGGATTAGGGTTTCTGAGGCGGCAATTTGCTTCTTTAGCTGCTCGGAAGGGGCTGGATACCGGTGATCTGAGCCGCGTTTTCGCTAACCCTAGATTGCGCCGGCTCTTCTCTAGCGAAACCCCGAAGAAGAAGAGTATGCATCAAACCCCCCCTGAAATTTTATACGGAATTAAATTTGAGAGATGTTTGGTGACCATTTGTTTCCGGATTCTTATCAACGCTTTTGTGCAGATTACGAGAACTACTATCCGAAAAACCCTAAGCAAGCACCCAAGAATGAGCAGAAATCCCAATCCAGAGGTATAAGAAATCAAATAGACTTTTGGGAGCTTGGGGGGGAATCATTTGTCATCTTTTTGATTTGATGGTTAGGCAGGACACTGTATAGGCTTTACTAAGTGAAGATGTTTGACTAATACAATAGAAATACAAGTCTCGTATGAATTTTGCTCATCATTACACCTTTTTTCCTTTGTCATAGTTTTGGCTTCTGACCACTTATTTCTAGCTTTTATAAGTTCAGTAGTCTGTTGTATCAATCTTTCTTTGTGTGGCAACTATTCCTTCTTGTGAAGTTTTGTTTGAAGGTTGTAGTGATTTGATATGTTCTTGTTGCAATGCAGAAGGTTCAAAGAAAAATGAAAATGAGAATGCTGGGGACTTTAACACGAAGGAGTTCCAAAATATGTTAATTCATCTGATAACCATTACGTTAATCCTTTTTTCTTTCTCGCTTGGTTCCCGAGAACAGCAAGAGGCAAGCATTTTTTCAACTAAATTTGTTTATCTTGGATCTAACCTAAATCATGCTATCTATGGAACTGCGGACTTGACATGAGATATGTAAACTGATTTTCCTGTGTGTATCTGTTGGTTCAGATTAGTTTCCAGGAGTTCAAAAACAAGCTTCTTGAGCCTGGCCTAGTGGATCACATAGATGTTTCTAATAAATCAGTCGCGAAAGTCTATGTGAGGAGTTCACCAAAAAGCCAAACAAGTGAAGAAGTTGTTCAAGGTCCTGCTAATGGAGTCCCTGCTAAAGGACGGGGTGGTCAGTATAAGTACTACTTTAACATTGGCAGTGTTGAATCGTTTGAGGAGAAGCTCGAAGAGGCCCAAGAAGCGCTAGGCGTTGATTCTCATTACTTTGTTCCTGTCACCTACGTCTCTGAAATGATCTGGTACCAGGAACTGATGAGGTTTGCACCGACTCTACTTCTCTTGGGTACTCTAATTTATGGGGCAAGACGGATGCAAGGTGGATTGGGAAGTGTAGGAGGACCTGGTGGGAAAGGTGGCCGTGGAATTTTCAATATAGGGAAAGCTCAAATAACGAGAGCAGATAAAAATTCCAAGAATAAGGTTAGGAGAATCAGAACTAGCACCTTCGTATAGCTATTGGGATTTACAACCGATCTTAAATCTTTCTTTTTTTGGTTGTTGCCAGATATATTTTAAAGACGTTGCGGGATGTGAGGAGGCTAAACAAGAGATTATGGAGTTCGTGCATTTCCTTCAGAACCCGAAGAAATATGAAGACTTGGGAGCTAAAATCCCAAAAGGTGCGCTTTTGGTTGGTCCACCAGGGACTGGAAAGACTCTTCTAGCAAAAGCTACGGCTGGGGAATCAGCTGTGCCGTTTCTGTCGATATCTGGTTCAGATTTCATGGAGATGTTCGTTGGCGTTGGACCTTCCAGAGTGAGAAACTTGTTTCAAGAGGCTAGACAGTGTGCACCTAGCATTATATTTATTGATGAGATCGATGCGATTGGGCGTGCAAGAGGACGTGGAGGTTTCTCTGGTGGGAACGATGAGCGTGAAAGCACACTTAATCAGCTGCTAGTGGAAATGGACGGTTTTGGTACTACCGCGGGAGTTGTCGTGCTTGCTGGGACTAACAGACCGGATATTCTCGATAAAGCTTTGTTACGGCCTGGCCGGTTTGATCGTCAGATAACTATAGACAAACCTGATATTAAAGGGCGTGATCAGATATTCCAGATATACCTGAAGAAGATCAAACTTGATCACGAGCCCTCATATTACTCACAGAGGCTTGCAGCTCTCACTCCTGGGTTTGCTGGAGCTGATATTGCGAATGTCTGTAACGAGGCGGCTCTTATTGCTGCCAGACATGAAGGAGGAACAGTTACAATGGCGCACTTTGACTCTGCAATCGATCGTGTCATTGGAGGTCTGGAGAAGAAAAACCGGGTATGTGCTTTCACCTCAATCATTTCTAGGCCTATTAAAATTTGCTTGTCGTTGATGTAAAGTTTGAAACCCCAAAAAACTGATTAAAAAGTCGTCATCAACCAAAGATTTGCTCCCCTTTAATTTTTCCTCAGATGGAAACTTGAATTTTTACAATTCTCTTGTGGCTTCATGACTATAGGTCATAAGCAAGCTGGAGCGCCGTACAGTTGCATATCATGAATCTGGCCACGCGGTTGCTGGGTGGTTCCTGGAACATGCGGAGCCATTGTTGAAGGTGACTATTGTTCCTCGTGGTACAGCGGCGCTCGGGTTTGCCCAGTACGTTCCAAATGAAAACTTGCTCATGACAAAAGAACAACTCTTCGACATGACCTGCATGACTCTCGGAGGCCGGGCAGCTGAACAGGTAAACCTTTCTACCAACGTCAACTCCTTTTGGTTGCGAAACTGGTAGTGTTTAGAGTGAAGGATCATGAATGAGAATAAAACCCTTTCTATCACAGGTATTGATAGGAAGAATATCGACCGGCGCTCAGAACGATTTGGAGAAGGTGACCAAGATGACTTACGCGCAAGTGGCTGTGTATGGATTCAGCGACAAGATAGGATTGCTATCGTTCCCGCAACGGGAGGAGGAGTTCTCCAAACCATACAGCAACAAAACCGGTGCGATGATAGACGAAGAGGTCCGAGAATGGGTGGCCAAAGCTTACAAGCGAACGGTTGAGCTAGTAGAGGAACACAAGGAGCAAGTGGCTCAGATTGCTGAGATGTTGCTAGAGAAGGAGGTTCTGCATCAGGATGATCTTACTAAAGTTTTGGGTGAACGTCCGTTTAAGTCGGCTGAGACGACGAATTACGACAGATTTAAATCTGGATTTGAAGAGACGGAGAAGAGTCAGGAGGAGCCTGTGAAGGTGAAGCCTGTGGAGGATGATGGAGCTCCGCCGCTTGAGCCCCAGGTGGTTCCGACGTAGACACCCAAATGGTTAGTCATTGTAAATTGAATCGAAGGCAATAACAAAACACACTACTGTGTATCTTCATGTTTTAGCGATGGAGGCATTTCTCTTTCTGGAAAAGTAACCTTATGCACTTTTAAGCTTTAGTTGCTTGTGTTAGTGTTTGCTGTGTCACACCATTTAGATGAAAGAACAATACGAAAAAAAAAAACAAAAATTATTCAGTTACATGTACTTTTCATTAGCTTAACATAAAAACCACTTAAAAGACTGAGTTAACCTCTTTTACATTTGAACATAGTAAAATGTCATTGTACATAGCAAAACTAAAGAAAACCCAGTAAAAGAAACAAACAAAAACGTAAGTACAAAAATTTGGATTACATGAAAAATATTTGATGTAAACACAAAAATCTAAGAAGGGACCCAACAAGAAGAAGAGAATAGGATGCGACCTTTCCAACCTTGCAAGAACCAATTACAATCTTCATCAAGCACAAAGTCTTTATGGTAACCCCACTTCTTCATCTTTTCCCTGAACGACTCCACAAGCTCTGCCTCCACAGGTTTCTGCTTGAACCCAGCCCTCACCATCCTCACTTGCCACTGCTTGTAAGTCTCGGGTCTCTCGACCCTATCCACTCCTTCACACGCTATCACATTCATCACTTCCCTCCCGTAAAACTCCCCTTCGAAGTGAATCCTCTCCGGGTTCTCTCGGGATAGAGTGGAGCCAAACATGTCGAAGAGCGCCGAGTAATGAAACAGAGCTTCTTTGAACCGCGTGGTGAAGAACGGGGCGTTGAAAGACCCGTTGATCGTGTTGCTGAGGAAAACGTCAGGGTTCATGTCTCTGATCAGTTTTAGGAATCCGTCCCTCGGGCAGTCCTCTTGTCCTGGAGTCACGTCTCGAAGGTTTTTGAACCGGAGCACGTTGTTAACCGCAAGAACTTCGTTTGGTCGGATCTTGAACTCCTCCATCCGGATTGTTTCCCAGTTCTTGGACGCGATTGCGTTGTACTCAAACGGAACTCCAAACCGTCTGCAATACTCTGTAAGTCTCCGACCCGTATTCTCTATCCTTTCGGTTGGACGAAACCCGTTCTGAGGAAGCTCGATTCCGGTGATCCTCAGTTTCCGTGGACCGGTTTTGCTCTTTGACATGCGCTGTATAAACATAGGCCACTGGAAACCGTAAAGAATCCCGAAATCGATTATATGGAGAACCGAGGCATCTTTGGCAGCATCAAGAATCATTTTGTTGGAGAAGAAATAGATCAAAGTCATGAACGGAGAGGAAGACAAGAACACTTTGTAGGATTTAAGAGTCTCAGCAGCTGTTCGTTTCTTGGAGGTGATGGAATCGTAATAGCTCTGGATCATGGTTCCGGTGCTTCCTTCAAGACGAGCCTCGAGCGCATTGGCAAAGAAATGAGCAAGTCTCTGCGACGCATCACCAAGAGGCGAGCACTGCTTCCGTATCTGCCTCAGCAGATCATCAGCTGTAATCTTATCCCCTGCGGAAATCGACTGTGCGCATAGCGTGAGAAGCGTTCGGAAATCAACCGCTTGGCTCTTCTTTCTCCCACGGCCTCCTTCTTTCTTACTCCGAGCCTTGCTTGAACCATTCTCGCCGTCTTCGATAATCTGCGGATCGGATTGGCAATCAAGCAGAACATTATCGAACAGCTCTGTTAACTTACCATCTTCTACATTCGCTGCTGATTGCTTACTGCTCCTAGTTTCCTCTAGATCGTCTTCTTCTTCCCGCTCGTGATGATTCTTCTTAGCTCTCGTGACACCGGACAACGTCGCCACTTTCTCTTCTTTCACCGAAACCACTTCTTGTTTGCTCTCATGCTCGAGATTGAAGATCCATTGATCGGTGTTTGGAAGAAACTTGCTAGCTTCCTCTAGCCCTCTCTTGAACTGCATAACTGACTCCGCATCACTAAACATACTCCTGACAAGAATCTCATTCCCTGGCTGCCCGAATCCACCGCCTCCACGCGACGCGTTTGGCCCTTGAAACGACACAACGCCAGAATCGCCAAGAGGATGGTCATACAACACTTCACTCTCGCTAGAACTAGCTGCTGTCTCGACTCGGACACTAGAACTGCTGTTACTGCTCCAGTAATCACCACTAGCACTGCTACTACTAATCGACCTGGGAACGACGTAAGATTGAGCCTGGGAGTCGCTGATGACTTGCTGCAACATTTCTTCGGTTTGTCGCAGGGCCAACGAATCGTAGAAGATAGCTTGCTTTCCCGCGATACTCTCTTCCATGAGGAGCTGGTTTACGTATTTCAAAAGGGTGTTTTCGGAATCGATCTCATCAGCTGTAGGAGAGTATTGCTGATGATCTTGATCTTGTGTTGTTGGAACCCAGATTGAATCGTTGCGGAGATCGAAATCGCTCGACGAAGGAACGCCGAATCCGAGATCGGGAATTGGATTCGGCAAGAAGCTCACATCATAATACTCGAAACCGTTGACCATCCTTGAGAAATTCGATTCCATCATCAAAATCCCTAATTCACTGAACTCGGTTCTTCTTTTTCTTCAAAAAAAAAAAAAAAACACACACACACCAATAAAAGCATACAAAAAGATTCAGCAATGGAATCTGAATCAGATGAGAACTGGGGACAACGTTGATTACATCTGAAGAAGAAGAAGAACAAGTGGGAAAAAAAAAGTAAGTGGACAAGTAGGAGGTGAAAAGGCGTGAACTTGTTAGATTATTACGCTAAAGAAGGTTTATGCACATGAAGATTGAAAATGCGAATTGCGATAGGATATTGCTATGCGTGAGAGCAACAGCAAGAAGTTGAGAATAGAGGGAAGAAAAGGAGGAGGAAGTTTCCCGGGAAACGCGAGGGGGACAAGACCAGTCTTTGCGACTTGTCCGAGGAGTCAAAAACTATATTTATGTCGGCTCCTTTTGACCTGTCAATAAGAGAGTTTCATTCGTGGGCTTGTTGGGCCCAGCTCTCTTTTCTTTCTTCTACTAATAGTGACTGTCATGTTAAATAGTACAACAATTAGTAATCATTTATGGCAAGTGGTTTAGTAAGTCTATTAGCTTGTCTAATTTATATGTTGTTGATGACAAAAACAACTTTAAAATGATTCCAATGTACACACCATTTGTGCATGTGAATCCTACATCAACCTGAGCATATTACTTGATCAACTCCCGTTTTGTTATTATCATTTGACGACGTAATGTCAAAACTGTCTCGCACAAAAATATATTTTATTAATTTGTCTAAAAGTATATGTAGTTGACATAAAAAAAAACTGTTTCGTATGTAAAAAAACTTGGGGTGGGGAGCAAGATCAATAAAGATTCCTGATAGGTGGAGTTGATTATTTGACCAGTACGAGTTATTAAAAAATGTTGCTGATAAGCAGTATGGCCAGGTTACTTGATAATTCTTTATACAGAATTCCGAAATAAATAAATAAAAACAACAAAAGTGAAAAGGACCTCTGGATCTGATTTCACATTGTCATTCTGACAAATTGTGAGATCCACACCATATAAAATTGTACTTGTACATGAAGACATACCTTTTTATATATATAACTCAAACTTGAGTGGATATCACGTTTGAGTACTATATTTTCTGGAAATAACAATACTTAGGAAAGTAATAGATTGATAATTTATTTAATTTAAAAAAATTATGTTGAAATGATAATTGTAGAACTTTTAACTAAAATCATGTGTTATCGTGTTGATTGGTGTATTGGTAGGAAGCGTACGGACGTTGCCAGAGTATTTTGATGTGCTTTATAGTTGCAACGATGATAAAAAAAAAATCTATGGGTTATTTTTCAGGTTTGGAAGTTTTCATTGTTTCTGATAATAATCTGCGAAACTGATGGAAAACTTAATAAATATTAAAAAAGTTAGATTTTCATTATTTATGCAACAAAAAGATTGCGTGAACATACGATTCGAGTACTATCTCTCATATGCTATACTCTCTTACACACGCTATGTCACAAGCATATAACAACATACTAGATCCAAGAACCCTAACTCTGAAGTCTGAACCCAATCCACTCGTGTAGGCGAGAGAGACTAACAACAGCAAAGCCCTACGTAAAACCCACTTGCTTAGGACACAGAACAAACATCTACGAAGAAGAACAAGGAACCCAAACAGATGAAGCATACACGATTCTACCTTTCCACCCTTGGAGCAACCAGTTACCATTTTGATCAACATCGAAGTTTTTATCGTACCCGTTTTCGATCTTCAACTTCAGATTCTGCATCAGCTCCTTCTCAAGCGGAAGCTGCCTAAACCCGGCTCGGATCACTCTCGCCTGCCACTGCTTGTAAGTCTCGGGTCTCTCCACTCTCTCCGTCCCTTCACAAGCCACAACATTCATAATCTCTCTACCATAAAACTCTTTCTCAAACATCAGCCTCATCTCGTCTTCCCTCGCCAGCTTCGAGTCGCACATATCAAACAGAGCCGAGTAATGAAACAAGGCTTCTCTAAACCTCGTCACAAAGAATGGCGCGTTGTAGGATCCGCTTAAGATCGCCGGGATGAAGGCATCCGGGTTTGCTTTCCTTATCAGCTTCAAAACCGCATCTCTCGGGCTGTTCACCACAACGGTCTCATCAAGAAGGTTCTTGAAACGGAACAGGGAGTTCACAACCACAAACTCTCCTTTCTGAATCTTCAAGTCTTCGACTTTGATCGTCTCCCATTTCTGAGCGATCGCGTTGTACTCAAACGGAACATTGTAACGCTGACAGTATCGAGCCAAGCGATGACCCGTCTCCTGAACTCCTTCCGCTGGTCTAAAACCGCGCTGAGGCAGCTCTATCCCTGTGATCCGAAGCTTAGGCGGACCACCGGGTCTGTACGAGAGGCGATGAATCAGAGCAGGCCACTGGAAACCGTAAGATATCCCAAAATCTATGATGTGGACCATGTTGGCGTTTGCAGTCAAACGCATTATGTTGTGGTTAGCAAATATGATAGCGGCTTTCTTGAACGGGCACACTGAGATGTAAGTCTGGTAAGCCTTCAACATGTCTGCTGCAGATGTTTTCTTAGAAGATAAAGCGGTGTAGATCTGCGTACCAGTACCAGCTAAGCGAGCTTCGAGGCTATTTGCGAAGTAATGAGCCAGTCTCTCGGACCCATTCCCCAGAGGCGAAGAATTCTCCCGTATCTGTCTCAACATTTCGTTGGCAGTTCTACGATCATCCACTGATACAGCCTGCGCACATAATACCAAAAGAGTCCTCAAATCAGCAGTTTCTTTCTTAGAATCATTGCTGCTACCATTAGCAGTTGATTTCTTCCCACGGGTCTTTGCTCCATTCGACTGCGCCGCAATTTGCTGTGTTGTCTCGACTTTAGCGGGTTCGTTTGGAAACTTCTGGTTAGTAATGCATACAGGCTGCCCAGTGCCACAGAGCAAAATCTTATCAAACATTTCAGAAAGCTCGGTTTCCTCAACGTAAACAGCAGATTGCTTGTAACTTCTTTCCTCGGCGACATCTTCATCTTCGTCACGCAAATGGCTTTTCTTCCCAGTCAATCTGTTAGGTGGAGGAGGAGCAGAGTTATAACGATGCTCTGTCTCATCTTTCTTCTCCGTCTTAACAAAAACCTCAGAACCAAATTCCTTGAACCCGGAACTCTTCGGAATGTAGTTCTCCACGTCGATAAAGAGCTGAGAAGATTTAGGAAGGAACTTGCTCGCTTCCTCCATCCCTCTCCTGAACTGCATAGCCAATTCACTATCTTTGAACATACTCGAAACCAAGTCATCGCCAAAGCCTGACCCTAAAACGGCGTTATTACCACCACTCGTGACACTGTTGGACCTAGAAGTGGACTGGAAAACGAAATTACTAGGGATTGGTGTCTGTAACCAAGAAGGTCTATTCTCCAAACCATCAACACTCCAGTGCGAATCAGAGGAAGTGGTGGTGGTGCTAGCGTAGTCACTGAAGCCACCGCCTGAACAAGAACCATCAGGACTATCATCAGACAATTTCTCAGGGTAAGCTCGATGGTCCATAGAGGTAGAAGAGGAAGAAGGGGGCTTCTCGCCAAGGGCCTCGTAGAGAGATTTCTCAGCTGCTTGTAGAGCCAAGGCGTCGTGAAACATACACGGCTTCTCTTCCATGTCCTCCTCCATAAGCACTTGGCTTATGTACTTCAAAACAGAGTCCGAGAAATCAGCGTCATCAGAGGGAGAGGACAATGGATCTCCGGATGCAGATTTGTTGTTGTTGTTGTTGTTATCTGGAGGAGCAGATGAATGATCCAAAGATGCGAAATCTAAGAAAGGCTCATCTAGATAGAATCCATTTGCTAAAGCTAAGGTTTCGTTAGAGCCAGGCAATCCATCAAACTCGCTACTGAAATCGAATCCGTCCAAGGATCCAGAAAACCCACCCGAATAGGAACCCATGGATCGAACAAAAATGGAAGCGGCGGTGATTCACAAAACCCAGAGTCGTTATAATCAATTAAAGGTCGAGACTTTATTCCTGATCAAATCACCAAATCGACACCACTGAGCATCAGAGAAGAGAGACTAACAACAAAACAGGGAGATTTGAGAGAAGTGAGCATACCTCTCGTGGCTAAGATGCGCGGATTCGGCAACAAGATGACAAGGAAGCACCTTGAGCTGAGGGAAACGATGGCCAGTTTTCGCGGTGAGGGAGAGGCAAGAGACAACAGAGAAGAGACGAGAGAGGAGAGAGAAGAGAGAAGAGAGAAGAGAGAATCAGATGAAAGATAAGAGCTAATTAATTGTTTGTTTTACTCGAAAGATATTATAAAATAATGAGAAGATAATATCTGCCTTTTTGATTTTTCTCTGAGTCCGACGCATATCAGTCGACCAAGGACATTTCTTCGGTCTATACTGTCTGAAAGAGAATCTTACCGGATCCGGACAATTTTTCACTGTTTTATCTCCTTTTACTTTTTACTAAGAATCGATATTTTTATCTTCATCATTCAACAATTTTTTTTGTTTCTCGGACAACAATTATTCAACATTCCTTTTCTATTGACAACAATTAATCAACATACCTAAATCACTTTGTTATGTTATGTTGACCCAGTTTTAAGTTGAAAGACTAATAGAAATATTTCCATTTACAAAAATCGTTATTTATTATCGTGATTCTTGTGGTGTCTGATGTCAAAACAAAAATTATCGTGGTGTCTCTACTAGCAACTTCGACAACAAAAGATTAGGACAGTACTACTGTACTAGGAAGTCGTAGGAAATGACAACACTGAAAAACTAAAGAGATATTTTTACATATAGAATAAGAGAAAAAAATGATCGTACACCATATCCTTAAAATATTTAAATAAAAACGTATAGTTACAAGATTATTACAATTTTGTTCGATATAAATTAGGCAATCATTAAAAGAACGATAAGTCATTTGGTTGCATTTTATTTATTGTCTTCATAGTATAACAAAACATCTTTCAACATAGTGCTTTAGTTCGTCGATAATTTACTGTCCCATAATCCCATTATTGCTCCTTAGTAGTATGATTCTCTTACATTGATTGCACCTTACTTTGGCTTGGCATTGTAACATGCTTTAATCGTAGCCACATGAACACACCCAAAAAGATTACTCAATGGTGTCGACTTTTGATAAAAATGTGAGATAATGAAAATGACATCTCCAACTATTTCTCTCCATTGATCAGTGAGATCCTAAAGAATCTGCCATTATATTCTTTCTTTCTTTTGTGTGTCTAGAAAGTGTGTTTAGCCTTAGCCATCGGAAAAAACTTCGCATAGCTATTACTACAGAAAAAGACAAAGTGAGTAATTATTGGTACATATATTTGGTTGTGTTTCCTCTTATCAACTCTTATCTTTTTCTTTTTGTCAAGGAATCTTGTCTCAAGAGAGAGCTACGTAATCGTATTTATATCATACTACACGAATTCTTATAATTTTCTTTTTATCGTTCCAAATGATCTCCCTTGTCATTTCTACCACCTTTCAACTTTCTTGATTCTTTCTTGATTTTTTTGTTTATCATATTTCACTTTCTCCCCATGGAAAAGGTTGCTCTACCAACCGACAATATTTTAAAAGACATACGAGGGATTTGTTGATGAAGTCAATAGTCATAAATCTGAATAGCTTGTGAGACACTCTTTGTGCGGATCCTTGAGATACAATACACCTCAAAAATATCAATTTTTGCAACAAAAGAATGTAGCCTCTTATTATAACCAAGCACTGTGACTATTACACCAGACTTCACATATCTTCATTCTCTATCTTCTTCACCACAATTCATCCTTTTTCTTTCTTTTTTACATCGAATCTCTTCAAATACAAACACATAACAAAACAAACAATCAAACAAAAAAGTATATATGAAATTATAAAAATTCCAGGTTCATCCTGCCAACATTCATTTTCACGTCGCAAAGATAACCTTTGTTTTCCTGGTCTATAGACCAAGACTGGTCTCGAGCTTCTGGGGTCCCTCTCCCTCTAGCAGCTGTTGTTTCCCCTGTTGCTGGGACCAGTAGGCATGAGCCGTTAGTACCCGGTCTAGGAGCTCCTGTGGAACTGGCTCGCCTCTTCTTTGTTGTGGCGATATTCTTGCTGTGTGCACCAGCGTCTTCCATTTGTCCTATCAAAACCCAAAGACAATTACTTCTTGCACAAGAAACATGTACCTTCCTGATGAAGAGAGTGAGCTGTAAAAGTAGAGATCTTTATTTTTACCTTTAAATCAACGTAAGTCCGGTGCTTAGCATTATCGAAAGCTCGCAACTTTACATCACGCCACCTGATAGATCATGCACAGCAATATTAGAAACTATCTCGGAACAATTCTTGATGGAAATGAAGTCTTTTACTTAGGTGTAACATTAACAGATTAGTTACCTTCCGGTCCCAAATCTCTCCACAGCTTGAACAAGGGCCTCTACTTCTGCAACAGAGAAAGGTCGGCGGATTCTGCGCTGTGCCACCTCAGACCGCTTGGGTTTCCGAGGTGGGACTACGGTTAAAGCCTGAGCATGCAGGGGAGAGACAGGAATCAAGGCTCTCGAGTAGACGGGTTTAGCCCTATTTGGAGCCGAGGGTTTGGAGTCAAGGTCATTTTCTACAGAGTTACTCGGTTTAGCATGTTTCCCCGGTAGTGATGGGAGACACCTGATGGACAAACAAGTTTCGTAAAACATCAGCAAAAGGATTATTTCCTACATCAAAGAAGCAAATCATTGATCTCTGGAGTAAGACGGACCTTGTTAGAGTTTGAGGTACATTACACGGACGAACAAAATCGGATTCTTCAGGAGAAAACGGTTTGGTGGATTGTGGAGGATTGGGCTCGAGACAAAAGCCTAAACTATCTGAAAGAGTGTCTAGAGAAACTCCAGTCTGAAGAAGCATTTTGTTGTCGTCTCTAACCTTCTTTCCATGAACAAGAACACCTATGCGTAGTCCACCTCCGAGGATTGTGGTCACGGCTTCCAAGACTGTCCTCTAACGAACATAAGTAAAAATTCTCGTCATTATCCAAAAATATGAATGACCCTTTCCAGAAATCTCTAAGCAAAACAAAATAATTCAAACCTTTAGCGAACCAACAGTAGCGGTCTCTGGAATTTCAATGAAAAGTTCAGGAACTCTAAACGACTTGATTCCAAGTTTCACTAAGAACAACAAAGAAAGAAATGAAGAGAGTCAACACAAAACTCTTGAGTCATAAAAACAAGAAACTTTAAAAGAAAAAAGATACCATGAGAATCTCTGGATTGGAATGCTGGCTGCTTCTGACAAGGTATGGATGATAGAAAAGCTGAAGCTGCAATAAACAAAGCTCAAAGTTAATAATATATTATCATGATGTACTTTTGAGGTTGAAGCTTAGATGACTAGCTTCCGATTATACCCTTTCTTGGTGAACTAGAAAGGCCTTCGTTTTTAACTCTTTCTTCTGATTGTGACGCTGTATAACCATCAAAATATCTTCTTTTCTTGATTGGATAGTTCCTCTCTGATCTTAAGCTTTTGAGACAATGTTTCTTGCTGTAGTAATCAGGCTTCAAGTCCAAGTCTGTACATGTTCAGAAAAAAAAACACATAAGTAATTAAAAAACCATTAAAAGTACATATGAGGAGCCCAGAAATGGTCCACATGCTCACCTGGATTAGTTGCCGTTGTATTATCTTTGGGCTTTACAGAGACTTTACAAAACTTTGAAGCCAAAACTTTCCTTATTCTTCTATCTCCTAAACGCAGAGTTGACCTAAATGACTTTGTTGCGTAACGGGCTGACAAGTTTTCGCCATCATCACAATTTTCTCTACTTGGCAAATCTGTATCATCAGAGCATTCCGAAGGATTTCGAGGAATTACTTTCCTGAAACCACTACCTATATGATGCTCCTCCTTGGGTACAACATTCCTTGATAGCTTTGTTTCACAATTTATCCCACCAAGCATTGATCTTTTATCATTAATCTCTGACCTATAGTAATCACCACTGTCGATCTTGGTTTCCTCAAACGCCAATTCTCGAGTTCCAAACTTCTCCGAGGAGTCAGAAGTTATACCAGAAGTAGATCCAAAATGGAAATCTTTAAGCGGGCTTGGAGATCTGTTGAAGCTCTCCATTTCATGAGCTTTGGGAAGGATCTCGGAGATAAAGAATCTCCTTTCAGCACCATTGTCATGATCGTGATCACTGTTAGTCTCTTCGGCCACTGCTTGATAAAGCGGTTCTTTCTTAACCGCACACTCATCTTCAATATCGGCCGAAGCGTTGTTGCTTGAGGAAGAAGAATTTCCTCCACCTTCAAGCAGCAGTTTGCCAGCTACTGCAGCCAACAAATCGAAGGAAGATATCTGATTGTTTTCGCTTTTCTTCTTGAAAGCACTCTTCTAGCAAAACCACAAACGCAAACAGACATATCAGAGGGGGGAAGAAGAACATTGGACCATAACACACACAAAAGTTAAGAATGTATTTACTCTTGGTGATCTTGCAGCACGAGGTGTGGGAGGCACCTCATAGCCATTGAATCCATACTCGAGCCTCTTTTGTAAAACCATGACTTGAATAGCATTTCAGACATTCAACAAAAGGGTTGCATTCTCACACGGATTAATTAATCCAGACAAGGACCTGCATAAAGAAAAATTAGGTTTTAATGAGTCCAAAAATGTAATAGAATTTTCCAATAGATCTATAAGATCTCTCGCATTGCAAAAGTTCTCACATTCTGTATGAGTGAATTAGCATTCAAAGACTTTCCAGTTTCAGAGAGAAATTTTTGTAAAACCTCGTTACAACCCAAATTTCTATCTACCAAAATCCAAAACCTCAGTTAATTAATGACCGTAAAGAGAAAACAGAGCAAGGAATTCAGACAGGAATTTCTAAAATATGGAAATTCTGGGCCTCAAACTACATTGTTCATGGAAACCAAACACAGTTCTTGTTCTAAGAAACCAAAATTCAACAGAAAAACCCTTTTTTTTTTTTAATGTTTGTGTGACCGCAATTCAAATAGCAGATCCAAGAAAGCTTAAAACTTTCTCACCGTTTTTCGGAAACCAAGGAAGGAAAAGTCTCAAAGGAAATGCACGATCAGAGAAACAAGAAGAATCAACAGAATTCTCAACCGGAATCAAATGTTCAGATTACCCACATTTTTAACAGGGGAAAACAAAGAAAAAGGCTTTCTCTTTTTTCTTTTTTGTGTTTTGTTTTTTTATTTTGTGCGACGACGAAAAACCCCTTTGTGTGGAAAAATAAAGTTCCGAACATGAAAAGGGCTTAAACCCCTGGTCTTATACGAGTAACACAGGACGTGTCTGAAGAGCGAATAACCGGCTATAACCAGTAAACCCCACCCCCTGAAGACCTGTTCTTCTTCTTTATCTTGGGTGACCCACCACTGTCTCACGAACCTCCCACTAGATTCGGACACGTGCAGTCCCTGTCGGATCGTGCGGCTTTTTTTTACCACACACAAAGTTCGACAAAAACGTTGAGTCACAAAAGCCATGTAAGGTTTTTTTTTTGTTTAGTCCAAGCCATGTCATTCTCTTTTTTTTTTTTTTTAATTGTCTTTTTACAGTTTTTCCTTTATTTTCTAGTATTTTATTAAATACCTCATAATAAGTTCATTTCATAATTTGTTGACGTGGAGGAATAAATTTATTTCCTGATGCAAAATAATATAAATAGTTCATAATGGTTTGAATTGAAGTGTCAAAATTTCCATAGCTTTTTCCATTGTTCAACTTGGTCTAAGATTTTAGGTTTGTAAATTGTAATGGTAAAGAAATGGTCAAACTTCATCAGTCAAGTTATATTTATGATTCAACAAAGGGAAAATTGTTTCCGTAAGAGTATTTAATTCATATTCATTTTCACTCAATATTAATGAGGGTTTTACATTTTAACAGAAAAAAACAATGATAATATGAGGTACGTCAAACACCTACATTTTTGGTATAGAAACTATATATATGGGCCAACTTTTCCATAAGTAGATCATATGATTCTTCTTCATATATATTATTGTGGGTATTCCTTCTTGTTAAAATAATGTGAACAATGCGATGGGCTTTTTGATTATAAGCCTAAGGCCCAATATTAAGAAGGTTTGGCCCAAATTAGTATCGTGAATATGTGAAATCACGAGGACCTAACTGTAAATTACAGGCGGATACGTAAGTCTTGAAACTGCTCTCCACTCTCTCTATCTTTCTTGGTGGATTTTGGGCATTTTGATATTTAGAATGGCTTCTTCGTCTTTGCCGCCTCCGGCGATGGGTAAAGGAGAGTATAGAATCTGGGCGGAGCTTCCGCCGGAATTGACTTCATCGATTCTGCACCGGCTTGGCGCGATTGCGATATTGGAAAGCGCACAGAAAGTCTGCAGATCGTGGCGCCGCGTCTGTAAAGACCCCTCGATGTGGCGGAAAATCGACATGTATAACCTCGGAGACTTGGGAGCCATGGATTACGACCTCGAGAAAATGTGCCGTCACGCAGTTGATCGTAGCCAGGGCGGGTTGCTTCAGATCGATATTTGGTACTTCGGTACTGATTCTCTCCTCAGTTACATAGCCGATAGGTCCTGCCTCTCTCTCTCTCTCTCTCTCTCTCTCTCTCTCTCTCTCTCTCTCTCTCTCTCTCTCTCTGTCACTCAAAATCCACCGAATTTTGGTTTTCTTCAAGGGAAACCTTTTGAATCCTTGCTTAGAGAACTGGGATTGTTTTGATTCAAGTCGGTGTATGGGGTTTTGCTAAATCTAGGGCTAGAACAGATTTTGGCCATGAAAGAACTTTGCTAGTTCTGAGTTCCCAAGTTCTTATTCCTTGTGAAAGCTGGGAAATTATTGGTAAGCTTATGTTTGTTTTTAGACGAAATTGAGTTACTCTTGCTTGGGAATGTACGCATTGCAAATTAGAGAAGCCAAATTGTTCTCTATAGGGTTGAATGGCAAAGTTTGTTTTTCAGGCTTGTGACTGTTATTTGGTAATGATGTTCTGCATCTTATCTTTCTCCTTAATTCTATCTTTGATTATGTTTCTAAGTCTTACAACCCCAACTATTTGCAGTTCAAGTAATCTGAGAAGCCTTAAACTTGCAATGTGCTATCCAATATCAAGCGAGGGACTTGCCGAAGCAGTCGCGAGACTTCCTTTGCTCGAAGACCTCGAGGTTTCATACGGCTCATTGTCAGGAGAGTCTCTGAAAGTTGTAGGCCAGTCTTGTCCAAATCTGAAGATATTGAAGAAAAACTGTGTGGGTTACAGGCGCCCTCGATACGAGAGTGACGATGTTGCTCTAGCAATCGCTGAAACGATGCCCGGACTCCGCCGCCTCCAGCTTTTCGGGAACAGATTAACAGACGCCGGTCTAAACGCCATTCTTGACGGTTGTCCTAACCTGGAACATCTTGATTTACGCCAGTGTTTCAACGTGAACCTTGTTGGGGATCTGGAGAAGCGGTGTTCCGAGAGGATCAGAGTTGTGAGACGCCCTGATGACTCGGTTCATGATTACCCATACGATGCAACGGTCAACGACATGGATTCATCAGAAGATGACTACCCTTATGGCTTCTCCGACGTCGATATAGTGTCAGATGATGAGTTTTACTATGACTTCTCAGGTGCTAGCGACCATTCTGACGATGACCAGTTCGATGATATGCTTTTCTAGATGCAATGGTTTCATTGGAATTTTTCAAACTCCTTCATTACCTCTTTTAAGCATGTTCGTAGTTTCATTGGACCTTTGTGTCTCCTTGTGTAATGTTGCCTTTAGTAATATTGTCTTTCTACAATATCTAAACAGGAAAAGAGTTTCAGATGAACAAAAACAAAATAGTCATTGATCAAAAAGATTCAAATTATGAATTCCATAGCATAAGATGGAGCTTTTAACATATTCACATCACAGACTTGAACACAACCTGTAAAGAACATATAGATGAAAAGATTTACGAGCTGAAGGAGTGTCACTGATGGAAGTAACGCTCTGCCAATTTGCATCTTGGCTCCTTGTTTTGCTTAACTTGTCATATATATCCAGACACTCATTTAGTTCATGAGCAACCCGTGTCATGTTTGGTCTCTCTGTGGAACAAGGGTTAAGGCATGACATTGCTAATTCAAGAGCTTTCCAAGATGAGCCTGTGTCATAGCCTCCATGGAGATTCGGATCCATAATAGTTTCAATATCACCAATTGCGAGCATAGACTTGGCCCATTCTACTATGTAAGACTTTTCACGTGATGGTTCAATCACAGGCTGGCCAGTGATGATCTCCAGTAACACGATCCCAAAGCTATAAACATCACTCTTCTCCGTTAACCAATTCTTTTGGTAGTATCTGCAAGACAAGTAGTTGAAGATGTTTTGTTAGATTAAACAAAGCAAGAAAACAAAACATATTAAAAGCTACAATACACTCACTCGGGATCAAGATATCCAATAGTTCCAGCAACATTTGTTGATACGTGAGTTTGACTCCCCACTAGAAAAGATCTCGAAAGCCCAAAGTCGGCAAGTTTGGCTTCAAAAGTCTGACCTAACAGTATATTGGTGCTTTTCACATCTCTATGCACCATTGGTGGCTTACATCCAATATGCAAATACTCAATTCCTAAGTACATAGATCATAAAAAATGTTAATCAGTATCAATTTAAGAAAAAAAAAAAATTGATGAGAACTAACGAACTTTATACAAACCTAGCGCAGACTCGATGGCGATTTTAAGTCTACTCGACCAGTTCAAAACAGAGCCTCTACGTTTTCCTGCCAACAATTACCATATATAGTGAAAAATCATTGGAAAATTTAGAAGCTTTTGGCTTGAAAGAGGTAATTCACTTTTGTTTTTTTTTTATCTACACTCTAATAGTTTACCTGAGAAATGTTCCTAAGTTGCCATTTTCCATGTACTCGTATATGAGAGCCAAATTATTTCCTTCATCACAGTATCCGATGAGGCTTACTAAATTAACGTGGTGGACTCTTAGAAGTAGTTCGACCTAAGGATCAACGATATAAATGGGAATGATTCATCATAGACTCATGATTGCACAGAAATTTTAGTGGGAGAAAACAGTACCTCTGTTTTGAATTCCTTATAGCCTTGAGTTGATGAGTGAGAGAGAACTTTGACGGCTACTTGTTCATTATTTAGTAAACCATGACAAACAACACCGAAGCCTCCTTTGCCAAGTTCAACTTTAAAGTTATTAGTCATTTCTTTGACTTCTGAATAAGTAAATCTCCTGTTTTTCATTTCGAGGGAGGGACGTGTAACTGCAGAAAACATGTTGACACGGTGATTATGGACCATGAGATATCATACTTGTGATCTGGACTCTGGAGCTAGAGGATATATGTTTCTTTTAACTACCTTTGCGAGTTGTTGTCTTCCTCTTTCTGTAAACGAAGATGAGAACCAACACGATCATGACAACGGCCACACAAGAAACAGAGGCAACAATCGCCACCACCGGGGATCTTGGTTTGCATGACCCACATTGCTTTATATTTTCATCAACACTGAAGAAGAACATCATTAGATATACTATAAAACGAGAGTGGATAATAATCAAAGTAGGATAGAATCTTACATTAGCTTAAATCCAGCCTCCTTTTTTCTATCGAGAAGGGCTTGAGGAACAGAACCTCTGAGATTGTTTCCACTTAGGTTTCTGTGGATGTAGAGAAATCATTAGAAATTAACGATGATGACATGAGATGTTTTGATAGCTTACATGACCAACAACGATTTCATCTTGGCAAGAAACTCGGGCACTTCTCCAGTCAAGTTGTTTTTGGATAAATCCCTAGAAATTGTCAAGAAAACAATACATGTAAAGAAATTAACAGAATAACTTTCTTTTTATTCAATCATGTTGTTACGTACAATTCTCGAAGCTGACTTAGGTTTTGTATGCTAGGCGGTATAATTCCACTTAATCCACTTGCAGACAAATCTCTGTTTGCATGATCAGAGAGATATCACATATTTAGTGTAAAAGATACATTTAAATTTGAGAAAAATGCTTAGCCTGAATGTTCTTACAATGCTATGATTCTAGGTGGTGTGGAGGTATCGATGATGTTGCAGCTTAAACCAACCCACGAGAGTTGTTTAGGGACACATGGATCGCCCTGCCAGCTGATTCTACTCACATTATAAGTAGATCGGATGTTTTTGATGGCAATGACTAACAAATGTACCAAAAACAAAATAAAAACAAGAAGTAGTAAATTAAATAATAACTGTAAGAAAAAAAAATACGTTTATATGCATAAAACTATACCATCATCTGTACTCGTCTCAGATTGTGGGAAATGGATGACGCTAAAAAACTCTATAGCATTCATTAGAGGTGGTAGAGTAGACTTGGGCGTTTTGAACAGTTGCACACGACATATCGCTCCGTCGCATTTAAGCGGTGCGCGGTTGAATAAAGTTTCTGCTTCAAACTTTGTAGGACTATAAGAATCGTAATCAACTTTACCATTCCCCACAATTTTGAATTCCCTAGTTTCATTGGCCCGTAGCTGTTGGATCTCGGCGAAGTGAAGGTAAGCGTACGTTTCGTCGTCAGAGGTTTCCAAATCCCATACAAAGGTGAAAGGCTCACTGGTATTGGTGGGTATAGCGGCGGTTGTAATTACATCTCGTGGCGGGGCATAGCCACCGGAAGAATCCGTTACATTGAGGCTTGTGCTTATTTGAGTCCATTCCGGTAGGAAGTATGGAATCCAAATACGATCATACACATCTTTGGGATAACTACAACAATCATTATACAACTATCATTATTAAGTACAATGAATTGTTCACAACTCAAAACTAGTGGATAATGAGTGATTTGTTCCATTTTAACTATATATAAACCCTAACACATGATATCTTGCTCCCCAAGCCATCTCCAATGAAAATAAGCATGTATATGAATTCTATGACTCAATTGTATAGAATAAATTAGTTTTATTTTGCTGGTACATACCTTACAATTTTGTTTGAATTGGTGAAGTAGAGGTGCCCGAAACTCTTCAAGGAACCGGTTCGAGTAGTATAAGTATCATAGGGCAAGGGTCTTAGTTCTATGGATGATATCAGTGGTGTGCTTGTTCCTGTCTTAACAACACATATATCTAAACCTGAGTTAGATCTTGTGATGTGAATGATCTCCTCAGTCGCACCTAAACCTGAGTTTCTAAGATCTAAGGATGTCCAAATATTAGGACCAAGATAAAGGTCGAATCTTGGAGGAATATTTAGACCGTCGTAGTTGCCGTATACAAACACTGTCCTGATCAGATACTTTGTGTCCTGCGTGACACTCAGACTATAGCAGTTTCTTATCCCATCCGGAAAGTATCTCAAAACCCTGTTTGGCTTCGAGACAAAGTCTGTCTCTGAGTTATTTTGAATTTTACCAGTTTTTCCTCCTTGGATGAAATTGGCATCAGATATGTATGTTAAGTTGGTGAATTTTTCGTTATATGGAGATTCGTTAGAAGGTAATCCACAATCCAAACTGATGAATCCTGGTGAAATCGGATAGGAAAATACTGGAATTTTTTGTTTTGTTTTGAGAATATACGTATATATATCCAAATTATTTAAAGAAAACAAAAAAAGAAGTGAACGGCAGTAAATATACCTTGTTGACTTTGAGACTTAACAAGATGTATAATGGAGAAAGTGGCACAAGCGATTAACAGGAGCTTGTTGCGAGTCTCCATTCTTGACTACTTAATCTTCAGTTCTAAACCAAATGAAAACTTAACAACCTTCAAAAATCTCTTGATCTGTATATTTGTGTTTACATATATTTATTTATTTATTTTAGCGACCGCTAAAACTAAAAGAATTGGCAATGTCAACTCATGGAAACGTCACCTGCTAATATAAAACGAGCTAAACGTCATTTTCTAATACAAATGGCGAAAATTATTAACATTCTAAGATGGAACGAGTAATTTCTAGGTAGCGATCAAACGCAGCTTGGTGGTCGAAAATATTTTTCCAATTTTTTTCAGAAATATATTGTCGAGAATACTTTGTTGATTCTGAGACGGAACAAGGTGCATATAAGTAATGGAGAAAGTGGTATAAGCGAGAAACGAAAGCTTCTTTCAAATCTTCATTCGCGACTACTTATCGATTCTCGACCAAATCAAAATGTAACTACTAGCAAAGTCTTGAAACAGCATGAAGTCATTTATCTATTTCAGTATTTAATAATAACCCCTTTGATGATCACTGGAAGTAAACGCTGGTAAAGTCAACTTAATGAATACGTCAACCTGCCAAAAGAAAAGAGCAAAAAATAATTTACTAATACACATGGCGGAAGAGAACAATACTATAAGATTTAACCGTAATCTCTAGCTAAGAAATGGTGGAGCAGCTAGATATTTTCCTGAGACGTTATCAATTTCGTAAGACCAAACTCCCGTTACAACAAAAATTAGGGCTCCGATTTGAAAACAATATGCACAATAAAATATTTTGAATAATGTGTTATTAGATAACATCTTCTGATTATTTGACATGCATTAATGTCTCTGTTAGTACATGCACGTAGCTCCATGCATCATGAGCTACTTATACATAGATTGTCGTTCCGAGTGTTTGGTGTTCGAGTTGGTTTTTTGTGAAGTTTGAAACTATTTCTGCTAAACCATGAGTAAGCGTCCTGAGCCACTTTCAGGATTTTGAGAAAATTCGTTTCACAAGGTCTGCGTGATAATGATTTCTTAGACCAAAAAATAAAAATATAGAAGCACAAACTTAAGAATGAAAACCCAAGACTCTCTTTATTTAAATCTGATCAAAGTTTAGCAAGTACAGAAACAGAACACACCCAAGAGAACTAAGTTCTCACCCTTAAACTCTCGTTTTAGGATGAGTCTCACAAACGAGCTCTCATTCTTATTTATTTATATAAGCAAAAACACTCTGGAAAAAAAAGGGAAGTGAAAACAACACAGAATTTCTTAAATCAGGTAATAGAAATTCTAGTAGGAAGAAAAAGTAATGAAACGTCTTATTTTGTTTATCAAGCACGAGCCGGGTATGAAAGCCAAGATTTGCAATCATCAGGAGGGTCTTTTAAAGACGACGAGGGTAATCCTCGGACATGATTAAGAGGATAAGTGCAGACCATCCAGTAAAGTCACGTCCACCTTCTCCGGATCCATTTGTTTGATTATAGTGTTCCCAGATGTATCCCGTCTGCTCATAGTTTCTAACCACATTGCTGCATCATTAACAAAAGTAGGTAAGGGCACGCATCTTTAGACATATTCAGACATCTTTCAATTATTATGTCTTAAATTACCCCATGACAAGTATGCATACCTTATCAGATTTTTCCTTAGTCTGGTGTAGGTATCTCTTGCCCTGATGCTGTACGGTCCATCCTCTGCAGGAAAGTTTGATATGGTTATATAGAAGGTTTCCTTTGCAAAGTGTGGGAGGGTTTTAGTTAAAAAATATATACCTTTAGAGTAATGGTACAGGGAAGCAAGAATCAAGTAGTTCAAGTTTATCCATATGGGACCTCTCCAATATGGTGTCTGGTCCGTAGCATTTGGTATCATGTACAATGAGCTGCATTGAAGATGATTAGATGATAAGGAAAAAAAGCTATATACGAAACTGCTTTTCTTATGATCCAGTTCACCAAACTAAAGAGACTTGAGTAACGAGAGAGCGCTTGATTATGGTATCATTGAAGACTCACCTTTCTTTGGAAAGTGAAAGTAGTCCGTAGTGGCTCCATAGCTTGTCCTCGTCTAAAATGAGAGTGAGCTGTTGGTCAAGGATTTGGGATTTCTTCATCAAGCAAAAAAAAAAAGAGAGTGAACGTTTAGATTATTAGTCCATATATAAAGAACATGGATAATGGAGTAGATAGATATTATTGAACTCACCGGTGGGATGATTTTAGATATTAAGGGAAATAAGCTGACGTAACCGACGTGAGGAACTTTTCTTGGTGTTGGCTTCTCAACAGTCTCCTGGTGAATCAAAAGTATCAAATATATAAAAGATCCATATAGTTCTCTATCATGAAAGTTGATGTGGTCATTAAGATTTCCTTACTTTTTCTGTATGATTACCGAAGTCGAGGTAAGTCTCATAGTCACGGTCATAGTGCAGCTGTAAAGGGAATTAGGTGTGAAGGAGTCAGGGTGGTGAGAAAAAAAAAAAAAAAAAAAAAAGATAAGCACAAATTTGTTTGAGAAAGATTGTAGTTGTAGGCAATAGTATATGAAAAAAAAAGAAAAAAAAAACCTTATTAAGTTTACTGATATCTGAAAGCTGCATGGCAATTTTGCTGTAATCTTCCTGCACGATCCAATTGTTTTTAAGGTCAAAAACATGTGACGATGTGACAAACTAGAGAAAGTAGTATATTTTTCTTCTAACCGTTGGTTTTTCCTTGAGAAATTCTGTGATGAAGTTCATGCAATCTGCCGCAAGATAAATCCAACATCTGAGGTCAACATGCATCTCATCTTCACTTGGGTCTGAAGCCCGAGGATAATCATCAAGGCCCGAGGCCAGAGTCTGCAAGCATTCGTGAAAGGCAAGGCATCGGGTGAGCATTAAAAGTAAACTTTATGTAACATTTGTTAGAAAATACCACACTACTGAAGGATCTCGAATATACAAGGGGACGTCGAGCAATTCATTTTACTAAAAGTTCAAGAAATATTACACGTGGGTTACGTTCTCCAGATGTTTTCTGTCTGCCACGCCAATAGAAACTTCCTTCGATCTTCCCTAGAATGATTAAATTAACATATTGTATGTTAAACAGTTGAAGTCACACGATATGTCAATGTGGCTGATATAAATGATAGAAACACGTATACACAAATCAAAGACTGAAAAAGCATGCACGTTGTTACCTTTCTGGGTAGTATATAACCAATGGAACCATGCTTCTAACCGTGGGAAAGCCCCCTTTAGGAATTCCGCGATTTGACTGGCCTCGTTCGCGTCAAATTTCTTTGTATGTATCTTAGTGATCAAATCTGAGGAAAAACTCATATTAATAATGTCAAAGTGGTTTTAATCAATAGCAATATCAAAAACATGGTCAACATGTATCGCCTTATGTCTTTGTTATTCATACCGCATAACACCAACAATAGTGTAGGTGGATTGGCAATCTTGGGGTCCTGAATGATGATGGGATCCTCCGGACGAATCTTACTGCAGTAACAAAGTCTTAGATTTACTGATAACAACAAACATTAATACTGAATATTACTAATTAATTAGTAGTAAGAATACACTATAACAACCTCAGTGTTTCAGCGCCCAAAAGTTGCTCACGTGGAATCCATCCTTCACTATTCATTAGGTCTAACCAGTGTCCAACGATTTCCAAGCTTGTGTGGAGATCCCATCGCCTACAAGAATAATGATCAAATATATATTAGTTATAACAATCTATCAAGAAATACTGATCAGTGATTGATTAGCAAAGAACGAACCAGATCAACATTTGATGGAAACCTTCATCCCACAAAAACCCCCATGGAAATTTGGGTCGGCATGGAACTGCTGTGTACAGTTCAGTTGGGAAATAGTACAAGTGATCTTGGTGGAATATTTTGTATGATACTTTTAATGCGCCATGGAAGTAACCAATGCCTCCAAGCATGTTTGCTATTGCAGCTTTACCAACCACCAAATTGTTGGTTTCAACCTGCTGAAAATCACATCACAAGAGAGATTGATTCATATATAAGGACACATCGATTAATACTAATAATCTTTTAGAGTTGAATCACACCTCTCCAGAAAGGTTGTAGCATTCCTTGAACTTTTTATCAAATGCTTTCTCTTTCTCTAAAAGGATAGTAGAGAGTGGCACATCTACACGGAATCATGAAGATGGAAACTTAGCTCAACGGCATATATACAAGTGCACAAGATAATTAAAATCATTACGAATTAAACTATATTCATGAAAATAAAAGGAGGTTTGAAAACCTGTAAGATCATCTATACGCTTCTCCATGTCGGAAGTTTCTTCTTCTAAGCCAGAGATAAAGGCAATATCTATAGTAGCAGTCTGGATCTGGTTCATCGTGGAAATCTGCATGGACGGTCAACAGTTAAAACATATATATTAGAATCCATATGAGTAAATATTTAGGGAGACTGGTTTAACTTTCTAAATAACGATCGATTATTGCTTTACCTGAAAGACATAAACGTTGGAATCAGGCTCCACTGTGTTAGAGAGCGCATGTCCTCCCTGAAAATATATACAAGCCAAGAGGCATGTGATCAGCACATGTGGTCTTTATAAAAACAAACTAAAACGAATATATATATGTATACAGATTGCAAAACTTGCTAATTTGAGATATTACTAACGTTGAGATTTTTCACAACAAGTTCAGACAGATTGATCACAGAGTTGGGCGTCTTGAAACCACAATAATGTTGATCAAGCTTATCCTGCAAATAAACACGGTTTTATCCAGATGAACATCAGTTAAAGAATATCAAGTGAGAAATGACCAACAACAATATTGTTCATAATCCTTCACACGTCATCGACACCAATCCAGTCATATAGAACAAATTCACAGCAAAGTAATTAAGTGACTAAAATCCTATGATCTCTAAAAAGGCATTACAAATCACAAGTTACCTTTGATCTTAAGTGCAACTGCCAGTTTCCTACATCTGCACGTGAACCGGAAGCCAGGGTAGTACTCCCTTTTAGCCCTAAATTTAGATCATTATTGGGAACTTCATGATCAGCTATATAGAAGAAGAGATTCGCGCCTTTCATTTCTTCATCACCCTCCGCCCTATTTTTCAAGTAGGAAAAAAAAAAGAGCTTAATATGAATACTTAATATCTGAAAAAGCATATAAAGTTGACCTAAAATAATAGTAATTACCAATTACAAAAAATAAAAATATATAGTAATTACGTACCATAAATTTTTAACATTAATTCGAACTGACCAATCCCCTCCATAACCAAGGTTGCCCACCTTAGACTTGACAAAACTTGTCGTCAATTCCAATTCGGATTCAAGCAGGTCTTGCCTCCCAAAATCTATTCCATTGTGTTCTTTCCAGCCAAATGACTTAAGACCGCCCTTGTCTTTGTTTTCACAGAAATGCCTCACCACAGGCTTCCCATCTCTGGTAACGAGCCACATCAACCCAGCGACGAGAGATTTAGGAGTTCTGCATTGTCATCAACAACTAATTAGTATCTCGTAATTTGTAAAAGAATATAACACATTATATGGGAACGTTGAATAACAGATCGAGTGACATACATATATAGTATAGACAAACAAGAACTATATGACTGCGTATTAAAGATAGATAAAGGCCAAGGAACAAATTAAGACGTTAATTCACAAATAATACCTAGCGCGAACTCCGAAATACGCCTGAGGACGGTAAGTTCCCCAATACAAGTCCGCCTTGTGCGTACCTTGAAACTGGAACAAGAAGCTCCAAAAATCAAAATTCCCAAAAAAAAAAAAACGCGCGAGAAACAACAGATATTTTTCGAGCGTACGTACCATAGGTAAGTCCATGACTTTAGGACCAGGAAAAGGAGTGATAACCGAAGGAGTTCTAAAGGTCTCGAGGGTTTCATTATCCCCGTCTTGGTCGGCGAGGGACTTTGAGCTGGTCATACTGGTTGCTCCGGCCATCTTTAAGTATCAGCGTATATATGTGCTCTGTGGATAATAGTTGAAGCTGAGATATGACAAGTGAAGGCCTAGCAGGTGGGCTTTTATAGCAATTCAAATATGACCTTTCAGTCTTTTTTCTAATATGCCATTTAAAAAATTAGTAATAATTAACTCCAGTTCATGATGGGATCTGATTAATGCATTGGACTTTTTTTTAAGTCTTTGTTTTTTCAAGACTTTTAAGTCTTTTTCTACCATTACTAAACTTTTTTATAAAAAAAAACTTCATTACTGATGTTAGCAAAGCATGATCCATACTGTATTATTCATGGAGTTTTTTTTTCCATAATACTACAACCACAAGCGCATGTCTTTTTCTTTATACTTTAGCGTTTCCTCTTGTATTTGACAAGCATTACTTAGAGAATGATATTAACTAATAATCACCTTCAAATCTACTTAACTAGAACAAACAAGGCAAATTCGAAGAAAATTTTGGGATGATCACCTTGCAAGTAACTAAATAAATTCTAAAACCTAAACACTATTGTCGTTTTTATTCTTCACTGCCTCTTAATCTCGCGAACCGTTTATCAGTTTATCTTATGAGGTCGTCGCAGCTTATCTCTCGGCCATCGTCTTTGTTATATATGTCCGGTAGACGACTCTTGGCTCTCTCCTTCATTTTCTGCCTTCGAGACTGTATGTATTCTTCAGCCGCCAACTTTCCACTTGTCTCTTCCTAAAATTTTTGGATGTTCCAAAAAATAGAAAAGAATTGTGGATGTTCAATAATTACAAATTACAAATTACAAATTGTGACATTTTGCAAATTCCATTAAAAAAATGCTCATCAAGTAAATATACGTATGGCTTTTTTTTTTGGCGACAATTAAGTCTGATTTTTAAGTCTGATAATGTTATTAACGAACATGGCTGGTGAAAATAAAATCCATATATACGTATATTTTCATATTAATATATATGGGCATTCGGGGTGTCCATTAAAGCTGAGAAATGAGATGTGAAACTATGGTGGACTTTAATTTAAACCAAGTCTCTGGTTTTATCCGATACAATTTGACATCTGTCTTTTTTTTAATATACAAATAAATAAATCTAGATCGTGATGGCTTTCCAAGACTTTCTAGTCTTTTTCTAATAGTCCATCATAGATATTTTTAAAAATGTTCAGTCGTGATGGGTATGGTGATGTTGCCAGAATAACGGCACTTGTTAAAAGTAAAACTGAGGTTAAAAGTTCATAGGTAGTTGGATAACCTCTTTTAGTAACTAGCATTTTCCCTAGATTCGAAGAAACTTACGCAACAAAAGGAAAATAAAAAATAAAAAAACGTGTCCATGGATATTTGTTCATAACGTGCTCAGTCATGATCACAAACAAAAAAAAACAGGATTCTTTAATTATAAATTTTCAATTAGTTTACAATATTGTTTGGATCATCCACCACCTTATTGGATTACTCATTCATTTGTACTAGTATCTGTCTTTAGACCAGTAATTCTAAATTTGCCGGGAAAACAAACAAACAAATGTTGGGTCATTTTCTAAGATTTGCGCTAGACCTGTCATTTTGCTTTGGACTAATAGGCCCATTACCTTAAATAGAAAAGAATTAAATATCAAAGCTGGGCCCATAACATAAAAGTATTACTACAGCATTATACATTTAAACCTACAAGTTTGAGCAATATAATCCTGATGTTTCTGCAACTAAACTACAGAAATTTGAGATTTCTGGCCCTAAAAATGAAAGTACTTTAGGCCCTTAAAAATTAGAAGAAAAGATTGGGCCATGTCCTCTAAGCACACTTATTTCGGCTTTGGTCAGATGATTAGTCAGTCCAACACAGGATGTGCTTATATGGATAGTCTTGTTGACTATTGGCATTAGTACGCTGACATTTTTCCATTATGATCCGCCCCCACCAATGAAGTATTAGTTTGATAATTCAATTATTCATCCGTTATATATGTAAAGTACTTTGGTAGTTGGTGTTCTTGTTTTTCTTGGAGAGAGGTAGAAAAATGAAAAATCTCCGTGGACAATTTTTCGGAGTTCTAATTCTGTCTTTTCGCATTTTCGAATTTCTTCAAGCACAGGATCAACAAGGTACAACTTTTTGTTTCAGGTTTTAATATTCTATTAATCTATTTCTGGACATTAATTTAGCTAAAACCTGCAGGATTCATCAATTTGGATTGCGGATTACAAGCCAACGAGTCTCCTTATACCGAACCAATAACAAAGTTAACATTCAGATCGGATGTAGATTTCATCAAAACCGGAAAAAGCGGCAGGATTCAAAACGTCCCCGGGATGGAGTATATAAAGCCATACACGGTTTTGAGATACTTTCCCGATGGATTACGGAACTGTTATACTCTTAGCGTCGTACAAGGCACAAACTATCTGATCGTAGCCATGTTTACTTATGGAAACTACGACAATCTCAACACATACCCAAAGTTCGACCTTTATCTCGGTCCAAATATATGGACCACGGTCGACTTGCAAAGAGAAGTCAACGGTACAAGGGAGGAAATCATTCACATAGCGAGGTCAACTTCTTTGCAAGTTTGTCTTGTTAAGACGGGAACTACTACGCCGGTCATATCAGCTTTAGAGCTACGCCCGTTGAGAAATGATACTTATATACCTCAGTCTGGTTCCCTGAAGAAGCTGTTCCGCGTCTATTTGACCGACTCTAAAGACACTATCCGGTAAGGTCAACCTTTCTTAACAACATGTTAGTTGATAAATAAAGAAACACTTAAACAAAGGCCTGAATCATATCTCTTCAGGTACCCAGAAGATGTCCACGATCGTCTCTGGACTCCATTCTTCACGCCGGAATGGGAAGTGTTACGAACAAGTCTCTCTGTCAACACTTCTGATGATGAGTACGACATACCAGAAGATGTATTGGCTACTGCAGCCTCACCCGCAAATGTGAGCTCACCGTTGACCATTTCTTGGAATCTGGAAACACCTAACGACTTTGTTTACGCATACCTCCACGTCACTGAGATGCAATCCTTGAGAGGCAATGATACGAGGGAATTCAACATTAGCGCAGGTCCAAATGTTAGCTACGGACCTGTGAGTCCCGAGGAGTTGCAAGTAGAAAATCTATACAACACATCACCTGTTAAATGTGAAGGAGGGATATGCCATTTGCAACTTATAAGAACTTCAAATTCAACTCTTCCTCCCCTCCTTAATGCTATTGAGGTTTTTACAACACTTGAGTTTTCGCAGTTGGAAACTGATGCAAATGACGGTATGTCATCCAAATGTGAGTATATGCTGCTGATCTATACATATAATACATATTAAGTGTTTTTTTTTTCCCACAATTGTGTTAGTTGCTGCTATCAAGAGTATAGAAACAAGCTATGGATTGACTAGAATTAGTTGGCAAGGAGACCCATGTGTTCCTCAACAGTTCTTGTGGGATGGTCTTACCTGTGATTACACCAATATGTCTACACCTCCAAGAATCGATTCCTTGTATGTGTGATGATCATTCCTATAGAAGACATTATATTTGTTGAGCTCTGTGTTTCTTAACATCTTAAACTTTGAATGTGTTTCTGATCTTAACACCAGAGACTTGTCCTCAAGTGGATTAACTGGAATCATAGTCCCTGAGATCCAAAATCTCACCCAGCTTCAAAAATTGTAAGTATGAAATTTTACATGAATACTCTGTTTTTTTTCTTTGTTAGTAACACTCTGTTTATTAATGTAAATAAAATATAATTCAACTGACTCAATTCTTCTGCAAATGATAGAGACTTGTCAAATAATAATTTGACAGGAGCAGTGCCTCACTTTCTAGCCAAAATGAAGTCATTGTTAGTCATGTAAGTTACTCGATCAGCTATATGAACACATTTGGTAATATATTTTCCCAGTCTGTTGATGTTTACATGAAATTGTTTTGTCAATTTACTGCTACAGAAACTTAAGCGGGAACAATCTTAGTGGTCCAGTCCCTGAAGCTCTTCTTGACAAAGTGAAAAAGGGGTTGAAGTTGAAGTAAGATTTTTCATGTCTTCCAGTTTTTGATGTTTATCAAAAACCCATGTCTTAATTTGTACTATGTCTTCACTAACTCTTAGTTAGCTTGTTTACAACAATAGCATTCAAGGAAACCCGAACCTTTGTTCTTCTGGTTCATGCAACAAAAAGAAAAATAGAATCATGTTACCAGTTGTAGCATCACTCGCTTCTTTGGCTGCATTAGTAACAATGGCCACTCTTCTTCTTGTCTGTATAAAGAGAGGCACGTCAAAGGGAAAAGGTATTTGTAGCAAAGTATCCAACCAGAAACATCAGCGTGTGTGTATATATAGATAATCATTTTCGAGAGATTGATAATCATCGTCTCAAGTTATTTGTGTACTGTTATAGGTTTGTCACCAAGCCAACTATCAATAGAAACGAAAAAGAGAAGATTTACATACGCCGAAGTTGTTGCGATGACAAATAACACTGAAAGAGTTCTTGGCAAAGGAGGATTTGGGATGGTCTATCATGGTTATATAAACGGTGCCGAAGAAGTAGCGGTGAAACTACTCTCGCCATCATCAGCTCAAGGCTACAAAGAATTCAAAACAGAGGTTTTGGCACCATATCTTTTTGACAAGAGAAAAAATTAGCAGTCCATCTTTTTAGGTTAAGTTGATTAATGTTATACTGTACATCTGTTCATGTTTGGATAGGTGGAACTTCTTCTAAGGGTTCACCACACAAATCTGGTAAGCCTTGTTGGATATTGCGATGAAAAAGACCATTTGGCTCTCATCTACCAATACATGGCTAATGGTGATCTGAAACAACATTTGTCAGGTAAACATGTATTTATTCATGTGATGGAAATATGCGCTATGTTGATAACATCCTAAGATTATTTGACATTAGTACATGCAGGTAGCTCCGTTATGAGCTGGATAGAGAGACTAAACGTAGCTATTGATGCTGCACTAGGTTCGTTTAGAGAATGGGAATCGCCTTTCTCGTTTATTTTCCAAACACCCATTTGACTAACTCTTCTTTATATTGAATTAACAAGAATGAAATCTGGAGACAGGGTTGGAGTACTTGCATATTGGCTGCAAACCGTTAATAGTTCATAGAGATGTAAAAAGTTCCAACATACTACTGGACGATCACTTCCAAGCAAAGCTTGCAGATTTTGGACTTTCTAGATCTTTTCCAGCTGGAGATGAAAGTCATGTGTCTACACTTGTAGCTGGCACATTTGGATATCTTGATCATGAGTAAGTATCATGGCTTCTCTGTCGGCGTAGAATGAAGTATTTATATTTACTTTTTGCTTTTGCAGATATTACCGAACAAATAGGTTGTCTGAGAAGAGTGATGTCTACAGTTTTGGCGTTGTACTATTAGAAATTATTACAAACAAACCAGTTATCGGTCAAACCCGTGAAAAGCCTCACATAGCAGAATGGGTGAAGTTTATGCTTACTAGAGGTGACATTAACAATGTTATGGATCCTAAGCTCCGAGAGGAGTATGACTCTGGTTCTGCATGGAAGGCTCTTGAATTAGCAATGTCATGTGTGAATCCTTCTTCTTTAGAAAGACCAAACATGTCACATGTAGTTCATGAGTTAAAGGAGTGTCTCATATCTGAGAACAAGAGGACAGGAGACATAGACACGACAAGATCCCTCGACATTGACTTAAGCTTTGGTACAGATGTGAACCCCAAGGCACGTTAATTAGTCCTCACTTTGCTGCATTCCTTTTTTTGAACATTTTGTTTCTTTTACATATTGTAGTACAGTCCAATGTTCTGAGCATACTAATTGATTTTCATTTTCGGTATGTAACTCAAAGGAAATGAAAAAAAAAAGTAAGAGCTCCTTACCAAATACTAGAAGACATGTATCAATAACAATCAAATATGAGAGTTACCTTATCCTTGTGTTAATGAATACGTTACAAAGATCAAAATTAAATGTTTGTCGTCCTGTAATGTGATATGAACTGTTTCGAGCTGTATTCTTACATTAAACAGAGACAAAACTGTACATCCAGATTCCATAAACAGGACATGATAGAGGAACTTCATGTCCTGCAAAAGTTTGATCAAGAACACAGACCCAAGACGTGTTATTATTTCTTCAGACATACAGCGGCGAGGCCGATGGGCGAGGATAAGCAACAACTGTACTGCCCACTGCGGTCTGTCGAGCAAAACCCGCATTGGGTTTTTTAGTGATAACGCTGTCACTTCTCCTACGCGTTCTCCTCTCTGTCCTATCCAGGTTTCCTCCTCTAGTAGCATTTAAAGACTGAATGTGTTCAAGGTGGGAAACTACCTCGGCCATGTTTGGTCGAAGCTTAATCTCTGTGGTGATACATCTCAGAGACAGAGTAGCCACTTTACATGCTTCATCCATAGAGTATTGGTCTTGAAGACGATTATCAATGACTCTGAAGATCTTTCTTTTGTTTGCAAGGTATGGTTTAGCCCACTCCACAAGGTTCCTCTCTCCGGATGGACGGTTCTTGTCCACAGCTCGACGACCAGACAACAACTCCAGAAGGACAACCCCGAAGCTATAGACATCACTCTTTGTTGTTAGATGACCTAAGGAAGATGCACAAGTGATCAATCAATAAGACAAGCCAATATCAGAGAAACAAAGATTTGACCAGATATATAATTTAACACTTACCTGTTGCGAGGTATTCAGGAGCTGCATATCCGTGTGTACCCATGACTCGTGTAGAGACGTGGCTTTTGTCACCTATAGGCCCATCCTTGGCCAACCCAAAATCAGAAAGCTTTGCGTTGTACTCCTGCGATTATGTACAAGAAGTTTTTTTCATCATAAAGCTTGAAACTTTAGCAGTTTTTCACAGGCAAATCATATCAAACATGAGAAAAGTTTAAAATACCGAATCAAGAAGGATATTCGAAGTCTTGAAATCGCGATATATCACTCTTGTCTCTGAACTGTGAAGAAAAGCAAGGCCCTTTGCAGCACCAAGAGCAACTTTCAACCGGAGCTTCCAAGATAACGGTTGGAAATATAAACCCCCTGCAACCCAAATTAACAACCCAAATATCCATAAACATCACAACAACAAAAAAAGCATTTAGTTTTGAGGTTGCCCTGAGATTGATTAGACAAGAGGAAAGAAAACATACTCCTGAAAAGATGATTCTCCAAGCTACCGCGAGGCATGAACTCGTAAACAAGAAGACGGTGCTCATCCTCTAGGCAATAACCGATCAGCTTCACAAGGTGTCCATGAGAAAATTGGCCAAGATAATTCACTTCGGCCTGCACAATCATCGAAACACATAACAATCATCATGAATAATCTAAAACACACAAGAACCAACATATATTGGCAAAAGTTAGCTTATTTATATATAGCTTTCTTACCAGCCACTCCTGGTGACCTTGCCAACCATCTTGGTTAAGCTTTTTGACGGCAATAACCAAACCAGTGCCCGGTTTTGTGGCAGTGAGAGACTTCTCATCAATCCATCCTTTGAACACACAACCGAATCCACCTTCACCAAGCACACTGTCTGGTCTGAAATTCCTGGTTGCGGATTTAAGCTCTGCGAAGCTGAAACTCTTGAGGTTTGGAGACTGTAAGATCTCACCCTCGGTACGAGGGCTTGGTCTTACAGACACAGACGAAGTTTTACTCCCAAGACTTCCAGTATCTTTGGCGTCAGAGCTCATGTACTTCGGACTCGCCCCTAAAACCCACCAAAACAAAGCATACCAGTATCTTTAGATTACGCAAAACTTTGAAATGAGCAGTATACTAATCAAATTTGTCAAAACACTAGAACAAAAAAAAGCATAAACTCAAATGGAAAATCAAAACTTTTTTAGGTTATGAAATAAAATAAAAAATCTAAGAACTTTGCTTCCACATATTAACAGAGGAATAGAAAACCAGAAGATGAGAAGTTGTCATAGTTTAAGATGAGGCAAAGCGAAAAAAAAAAGGAAAAACTTGAAGTAAATGTCTTGTACCTGGGCTCTCAGCTTTGACCTGGGCACTCAAGCAAATCCCCATGATTGAGTGGTTCTTGTGAGAGAGAACCAAATAGGGAAGCTTTCCGCAATCTCTAACTATATATCACACTTGGAGATAAGAAAAAGGTACAAACTTTAATCAAATGGAAGCTGGAAAGTTGAGGTGGAAATATATCAAAATGTGAAAAGAAAAGATTTCACAACTTTCATCCCCTCAAAGTGTATGACCAAGTTCATCAACCCCTTTTGCTGAATTAATTAAATGACAATTAAGCCCTCCCCAGCTAACAAATGAAGAAGAAAGAAAAATTCCTAACTCACCTTTTGTTTTTTGTTCTCGAGAGAGAGAGAAACTCGAATAGAAGAAAGGCTTTGCCGCTGGGTGGTGGCATTAATGGCGGATCAGTCCCGCCTCTCTCACTTTTTTTTCCTGCTGAAGCTAATTTATCAGTTTTCGTGCTTTTCTTTCTCTCTCTCGGAAATCAAAATTCCTCCCTTTTTATCGTTTCGTTTTATTTGTCATTTCTCTATCGTTTCTTTTTGGTACTACGAAGACAGATACGATGGATGATGTCAGAAAAGATTAGCCTCCCACAAGGTGTTCAATCGCTCTCAGCCGTTGGATCTGACGTCACCATTGTAGTTTTCGATGTAACTTCCAGCTGCTGTTAGGCTAGGCTCGGCTCATCTAGCGCTAATTAGGCTCTCATTTGGCGTTTAATGAACAACCAAATTTGTCGTGAGACTTCGAAAACTAGTGTACACTCTGGTCGGTACCGTATGATTTTATAGAGTTACCACTAGGGATCTTACTAATTTAGAATCACAAAAATTGTGATTAGACTGAACAATACTTTCAACTGACTGATAAAATGCAAACTAATAAATGAAATCCATGAGGGATCCTGGGCCCATTCTATAATCGTATCATCTGCATGATTCGAGGTCTCATACGATAGAATTAAAATATTAGATCTAGCCATGACCGACAAAGATTGTCATTGACTCTCATTGGACAATTCAAATTTGTGGGTTCTTTTTCTTTTCTTTTTTGAACATTTTCTTAATTTGTGGGTTCTTCTATCCTCTTAATATTTTCTTGCTTAATATACAGTTTTGTAAAGAAAAAAAATTGATTAACGCAGCCCCAGTAATTTATCAGAACAGTGCTGGTTTATGGGTTTAAATAATGGTCAGATGTGTGGATGCACTTGTTTTAAGTCTGGCTCCTGTATGGGGCATGTCACATGCTGCATGTGCACCGAGCAAAAATCTTACATATATTCAGTATAATTTGAAATTTTAGTAAAAATATGGCAAAGTTCAAAAATAATACGACTCTTATTTCCTCTAGTTGATAAAATTTAGAGCAATTTCTATAATTATACTGAAAATAAGTTTTCATGACAAATATAACAAGGAAGCTAAAATTTTTCATCCCTAATATTTTTTATTTGAGTTTTCCGATTTTACCCTTTCAGAAAAATTTCCTAAATGTGTTTTTTATGTTAATATTTCGTGATTTTTTTAGGAAAGTCTTCCAAATACTAGACTTTAACATCGTTTCATATGGTTTAGAAAAGTTTTCCTAAATTTTTAAAATTTTATGAATTGTGGAAGCCTGGAAGGGCTTCCTGAATTGTGGAAGAGTTTCCTGAATTGTGAAAAGGTTTCTTGAATTTAAGTTATATAAATTAACCAAAATAATAATCAATTATACGATTTATAAAGGCATTCCTAAATACATGTAATGACTTCCTTAATTTATACATTTTAGGAAAGTCTTTCTAAAACTTTAGAATATCTTCCTAAATTTACGCTCATCTCTTTCCTTATCTCTGCGACGTCCAAACTCTAATTCCCGCCGATTTTTTTTTTTCACTATTGTTGCTGTTTTAGCTCAGGTTTTTGAGTTTTTCACTCAATTATATCAGATCTATCTATCATTATATGATTTTGAGCTTTAAATCATGAAATCACTTTCCCATAAAAAAAACTCTAAAAATCTAAGAGATTCACAATCACAAATCACAATCAAATGAGAAGAGTGATCCTAAACAAAACAAATAATTCGAATTTCAGATCAGTCTTGGTCATTGATACATTTGTTTGTACATTATGTTTCTTTTCTTTTTATTAACTAATGTTTTGTCTAACTAAGATTAATATGGTACAAAATGTTATGGATTGAATTTTTTAAAGTGTTAATGTATATGTAGAACAAAAACATAGATTAAGTGCATTTGAGGGAATTTCTCTAAAATTTAATGTATAAATAAATAAATATTTTGATTAATTAGAATTCTACACATCTCTTTTTCAAACGTGAATTTGCTTTTTTTTATTTACAAGTGATAATTTTGTAAGTAGTTTTTTATGGTACTTTCACAAAAGAAAATCTATCAAAAGTGATATCTGAAAAGAAAAATCTCATCTAATTATTGTAAAGTCCACGGACCACGGTAATGGCCCCCGTTGTTGATTTGTATTCCCCCTCCATTGCTTTTACCTTCCGGCTTTTGGTTCTTGACCATCTTTCACTTTCACTTTGGATTAATTGCAGATAATAAACCTAAACTTCAAACAGAGGCCCACATTCACTCAGTGGTTCAGCCCATTAGTAATATATTAATATATATGAACAGACAAAATTTGGCTGATATGCATATATCGCAAGAGCGACTAACACAAGTAGTCATTATTGTATTAAAACAAATTGAGATCATATTTTGAAATGATTCCTCGACAGAAATAGTTACGAACTCTCTAATAATTTAGAGGAAGCGAACACGTCAAATTCTTGTTAAAATGGAGGGAGAATATAGCATACTGATTCCGTTTAAATAAAACATACATAAATCGACAGTAAAGATTTTTGTTTTGTAAATGAGAGGACAAAAGCGAAGGAAGTGTATTCTGATTGTTTTAGTATTTTACAATTTGTCTCTTTGGATGTGACCGTGTGAACGAATATTAGACGGTTTGACTTTTTATATGTTTTGACCCTTTGGTAGGACCGACCGACCTACAGAGACAAAGGTCCAACGTCCACTTGAAAGCATGTCTGCCACGTGGTTGCCGCGCAGATTCATTGCTTTTTTTTTCCACGGCTCGATCCAACCAACTTACGCGGCTTGCTTTGAGCCCGTGAGGAAGTAGTTATTAGTTACTGACCTGTTATGTTATCCAACTTAAATCCTATATAATCTTAACAATTTCTTATAAATGTTACCCTAATGTCTAATGCCAGGTCTTGACCGAAGTTACTTCTTCATTATACGAATAAAAACCTTAACTAATAACTATCATGACAATCCAACGCTGAATAAAACACAGATTTTGATTATTTTCTAAGTATGTATGTACAAATTACTCATTCACCGATTGTATACCAAACATAAATCGTAAACTAATCACCATTCACCGAATAACCGGAACGGAGCTCTGCAAACCGGACATGCCAACTTATGCAAACACCAAGAATCTATACACCGCACGTGATACACGTGCCTGCATCTCACTAGAACCCTAACGGCGTCGTTTTTCCGAAACTCCTCCAAACAGATCACGCAAACCTCCGTCGTGATCCCGCCTTCATCCCCGCGGCCTTTCTTCCATTCCTTCACCAGTATCATCGCCGGCGGGAGAGGATCGCCGGATTCCTCATCTCCGGCTGCCCCCTTCGGCAGTTTCGGGTATATGAAGTAACATAGCAACAAAACCGAGCCGAAGAAGAAGACGATGCAGAGAAGCCTCAATGCGAGCGCTTCGCTCTCCGTTGCCATTCCCGCCACCGAGGAAGCAGCAGAGAAAACGCAACAGCGTATATCCATTTCTGATGTTGTTTTAAAATCCGATCGGTGTCCTCCGTGAAGATTGATGGATCGAAATTTGGCTGTTTTTATATTATATTAACTAAATAAGTTCGTGTGATTAACTACAAGAAACGGATTAACAACTTTAGTTTTTAGTTTAACAGAGAGGAAGATGATGGGCGGGAGGGATTAAAGAAGAAGATTTCTGGTGATAAATATATTTATGAAAAATGATTTCTTTCTTGTAAAATCAGTCTAAACGCACTTTTTAGTTTAATCTTAGTTTTATCACAGTCAGCCTCGTTGATCAATTATCTATTTATCTTAATCTCGTAGATTATCTGTTTCCTTATCCATTAAAATTGAATAATTGATATCCTATTTAAGGCTATTTTAAACACTTCGGGTTAAATTAGGAAGCAGATCAGATTTACCCTCAAAACAAAATTGCAGCAGATTTTGATAAGAGTCAGGACTTGTACTGTTCAACAAGTTTCAACAAGCTGTATGACTCAGCATCAGGCCTAGATCCACCAAGGACCATCCTCTTGAACAGATTAGGATCATAGACTTTACCCTTCACATAAGCCTTAAACAGAGCGTTGTACACAAATGCATACCTATTATACTTTGCATTCTTCAGCTCTTCAAACAGTTTCTCTGAGTTCTCCACATCACCTTTCTCTGCAAAACACTCAACCATCGATAGAGTCGTCTCCAGCCACGGCGTTGAGCTTCTTACGCTTTTGCTCGTCGTTACATTCGAACCCATTTCGATGTTTTTCAGAGCTTCTTTCATCAGGTTGGCTTTAGCACATCCGAGAGCCAGATGCCTATACGTTATGGAATTAGGCTTAAACCCATTTCCCATCATCTCGCGGAATACACCGATTGATTTCTCTATCAACCCGTCCTTGCAGTAAACCGATAGCAGAGAGTTGAATTGCTCTGTTTCTTTAAGCCCTCTCACGTTCTTCATCTCCAACCACATCTCTTCAGCTCTATCTAGGTTCCCTACTCGCGCAAACGCTTCGGTTGCCAGCAAGTAACTCTTGGATCTAACGTGGTGAAACCCTTGGATGACACTCCACGCTCTTTCTAGCTCCTTTTCTTTGCCTAAACGCCCGTACAGGATCATCAATATATCCAAGGTCGACCAATTATCCCCAGTGATGGATTTCTCTATTTCCTCGGTATAAGCTTCAGCAACTGTATACAATCTCGCAACGGCATGTGCCATAGCCAATATACAGTAAGAAACCTCATTCGGCTCAACTCCCGCTTTCTTCATACTTTCAAAAGCCTTTAGCACACCGTCGATGTTATGTTCATTAGCCTCCAGCTTCATCAAGATATGATACGTCGAGACATGAGGAGTGGCCTTGTCGGCTTTCATGAGCGCAAGGTCTTTCGCGATGAGCTTTCTTCGTCCGGGAGTTGAGTTGCGAATTATAAGACGGTTGTAGACCAGATGGGATGTACGGTGACCGAGTTCTCTCATCTTCTTCATGTACGCGAGTGCAAGCCTTACGACACCTTGGTCTAAGCAAGCGATCACGAGGTTGTTGTAGAGAAGCTCGTTCTGAAACTCTTGAGGGACACGGGTAAAGAGCTTTTCGCCTTGCGAGATGCCGTGAAGCTTGACTGTGAATTCCAGCAAGTATGAGTATTCTAGCTCGCCGGGACGGTATGGTCTCTCTCTGATTACCCACTCCATCAACTAAACCAAACATACCAAAACGTTCAGCACAAAATTCAAGAGTATCTCCATAAACAAAAGGAACTCGTTTTCGATTAAGCAGCATCCCCAAAGTACTCATCTCAGGTAAGTTGGCAAAATCACATTGATAAAACAATTCTTGAACCAAAAAGTTTCTACCTTTAAATCATATACCCAATTGACTTGTCTAGACAAATTCAACTATTTCCAAAACTATGCAGACCCACAAACTTGTTGAGTACAAAGTTAAAACACTGAAACACGAGAGAGAAGCAGGTAGAGATTCAAACCTCAAGGGCGCGTTTGTTTCTTCCGAGCTTCCTCAATCGATTAATGGCGTGATAAACGTCTCCGCCGTGAACTGGAAACCCATCGCCCATCCAGCTCTGCAAAGCAGACCCAACAGTTACGCCTTTCGGGAGCGTCTCGATCCTCAGAGACAAACACTTGTTGGGCTCTTCGTCTCCGTCCGACCCGCTGCATGTCTCGTCCGGAAATTTCGCCGGAGAAATGAAGGTAGTGAGAAAGCTCGAGGCTTGGAAATTGGTTTGTTCCACCGCAGGCGAAGATGCCACGCAAGTTGTTCGACGTATTGCCTGAACGAAATTTTCACGTTGCCTCATCAACGCAATAATGGATCTCATCATGGTTACTTTGTTTTTGGGTCCTTACTGGTCCCGTAAACATCTATAACATCAAAATGTGTTGATGGTCCAAAACTTTCAAGATATAAAGCCCCATAAGCACATGATGTTTAGTATTTGTATTTTCTTTATTTTCCCATCTCTTCAATGTTAGCAAAATCTCTTCTTTTTTTGTTGACTCTAATAAGATAACATTCTCTACTAATTTACAATTGAACACTTTATTTTATTCGGTTTCCGAATTGGTCCTTTTTTTTTTGTCAACTCGAATTGGTCCATAAAATTTCGGATTGTATATTGAATTAGTTTATTGGGATGGAGCGCCGAAAACTAAAAACAATTAAATAATTGTTCATTTTAAAATTCTTTTTTAAAAAAAAATCATAATAATCACAAAAGTCAAATATATTTAATTTTTTTTCTTAGGTTACAAATGGAAACATTACACTATCACACCATCAACACAAAGAAAAATACAAAGCAGGAAAACGTCAAGGTTAAGAGAGTTATTACGCAACACAATGCAAAGTCTTTATTTCAAACACACACATATCTCTTAAGATTAAACACATTATCTCCCCAGTTTTCCTGCATATTTGTGGTTAAGACCACAATTAATTTAACAGCTGCAGTTTGACCCACAGCTGCAGTTTGATCCACAGCTGCAGTTGTCGCACTCCGTGTTGTAGTTCTTCTCGCAACTTCACCACACAAAGAACAAACAAAGATTTAATATTTTTTAGTAATTAATAGTATGATGAAAAATTAAGGGCTATTAAACATACACGTGCGTATATGCAAGTAAAGGTAAAGAAGATAGGATCTAGGGTTTACCTGCAAGAGTCACCACATTTGCAACCGGAACCACATCCACAGTTAGAACCTGCCATTGCTTCTCTTACTTCTCTTTGATTTAAAATTTGTAATTTGTTTTTCTTCTTCTTCTTCTGATGCTTTATGTGCTGTGTGATTTGAACAAAGGGAATGGCCACTATTTATAGAAGAAGAGAAAGATTCGGTGTTATATCCACCATACACGTGTCATTTCGTGTATGGATAAAATAAAATGCTTTTCGAAGAAGTTATCACAAAGAGCATTTCAAGCTTTCAACAGAAAGATCAGCAAATTTACTAATTTAGTTCTGATTAAAAAATTTCTATTTATTTAATTAAAAAAATATAATAATTTTTTCTTAAATTAAAGTATCATTTGCAAACTTGTTGAATTAATCTACCTATAAATCAACATTTTTTATGAATCATGGAGGGGCTAAAACAGAAAGAAAATTGCTTTTCTTTAGAAAAAATATGTTTTTTTATCATGATATTATATGTCGTTTTCTTCTGTTGATACAGCTGAGCATCTATAAATTTACGAATAATACCAACTTTTTCTTAATTACGGAAACAACATCAACTTGCCCACTATTTTCGTGTACCTTAGAATTTTTTGTTCTAATAGTTTCAACTTTCAAGCAAGTAATTTAATGTTTTGTTTGAGTTTCAGCAAGAAAACAGAGTCTCAAGAAATAAATGGAGAACGTCAAATAATAATTAGGGGATAAAAAAAAAGTCGTACACGCAACAAAGAGTTACGATTTTATTTGTAAACGGCAGCCGACCAAAAAATGAGGCATGAAGCATGCCTATTTCATCTACTCAATATATACCTTTTTGTTTTGAAAATATATGAATATTTATACCGTATCATTCATGTAATAACAGTCAAACATTAGGAAAAAATGTAACATATACTCCATTAATCTTATAAAACATGACGTTGTCCTTTGGACAGAAGCACTCTTCGTCGTTTTAACAAAATACATATTATTATGCTATTCATTACTTATTTAACTATTTGTATCTATTTAGATTATTTCTAACAAGTTGCTCTTTGTAACGTAGACGTATGCTGTAATATATTAAGAGGAAGAACAACAACATCCTTTCTTTTTCCAAATTTTATACTATATATAATTGTTATCTTATGCGTCCGGTAAACTTATTTAGTGAGAAATATTATCCTCTGTTTTTTTTAAGATTACCAAGACGTTATTATCCTCTGTTTTGAAATCTTCCTGTGACGACCCAAGATACTGTCTCAGTGGCGGAGCCCGCCAAAGTTCTTACCAGGGTCAGTTACGTGTAACTAAGATAATACATGGGTCAATTAGCCAATTTTGTAACATTTCACCAAATTTTCTTTTCAAAATCAAAGTAAATTTTTATTTATAGAAATCCACATGGGTCAAATGACCCCCCCCCCCCCCACCCCTCATAAAGAGCTGGCTCCGCCACTGGTCTACGTTCATTCTATTTTATACTACTTCTCGATATTATGATAATAATTTGTTTTGTTGACAAAAAAAAAGAAGATAAATTTTGATTTGGACAAAAAGAACGTTAATATCATGTAAAAATCATAAGATTCATCTCAGATTCAATTGATATTGATTGAAAATAAATGCAAATCATGATCTACATATGGATCTCCCCCTCGTCTGGTGTAAAATTGCAGTCGCTGTTACTTATAGCGACAGTTTAATTAGTATGATTGAGGTATTAAATTTGTGATGTGGTCTTAAATTTGTTGACGAGCGACTGATTTCCGAACAAAGCCTATTTTGTGTCCGATGCGGAAAGTTTGGATAGGTATATAAACTTTTCCTTTATAGTATTTTAGACTTTTAGTGATAAATAAGAACCACACAATGTTGTTTGTGTTGAGTCTTTGTCTGGCTTCTTCCCAATTCACGAACATCGCTACATTTTTGTTGTAAAAGAAAATAAAAAAAAAGAATAAACACATTATCGTAGAGGGTGTGGTCGTTGCCTTCTTCTTTTTGCCCCTTCAAGGTCCTCAATTAGTGACTTCTTTTTCCATCACTGATCCAACATTCTTTTTAGACTTTTTACGTGCCCGCCTCGTTTACGTTACAATATGGCCTATACTATACTCTATAGTTTCACAAGTGGCAGTGACTTTTTTTTCTCCCGGATTCTGATAAACATGTATTGATGGATAGTGTTTGTATTTTAATTTTTGATTTTTGGATTGAAGTTAATTTTCGCGGTAGAATTTTTTTAGTTTCACAAGACTTAAGTACTCTTTACATCTGAAAGATTAAAAAGATGGTGTGGAAATCAGTAAACCTTTTGCTAAGGCAAAATAACAAAGAACGACCTTGATTTCAAAATCACAATAGAGACCGAGAGTATGTTTCATTGCACAACAGTTGAGTCCAGAGCCACCTTCTCCAGACTCCAGGACAATTTCAATTGGTCGATCCAATGAGATAACTCAAAAAGAGATACAAAACTAAACTAGTCAACACAGATGTTCTCCAATTTCAGTCCCTCCGATTGCTCACAGTCACCGTTTACAAGCATTTTCAGACCATCTTTAAGCTCAGCCACACCTTCTTCAAGAACCGCGCAAACCGGATATATCCTCACTCCTTTCACTCTCCTCTCGAGTTCTTTCAGTCTCTCTTCCGCGCCATTCTCGTCCATCTTATTCGCCACGATCAAAGACGACCTATCGGATAACCCTTCTTCATGGTACTCCAGCTCCATCACCAGATCCCTCAGCTGTTCCCACGGTGTCACTCCCTTGCAGCCGTCTAGCCCCGACGCTAAATCCACAACGTACGCCAACACTTTGGTCCGTTCGATGTGGCGGAGAAAGTTATGGCCTAGCCCTCTGTTCTGGTGAGCTCCTTTGATAAGCCCCGGAATATCAGCTACCGTCATGGAGAAGTCTTCGTCTGTTACGTTTCCCAAATTGGGACGAAGCGTCGTGAACGCGTAATGGCCTACGCGGGGTTTAGCACGGGACAACGCACCAAGAAGAGTGCTTTTCCCGGCATTCGGCATCCCTACAAGCCCAACGTCGGCGATGCTCTTGAGCTCTAATATCAGCACAGCCTCAGAACCGAGCGAACCAGATTTAATACTCGTGAGTTCATTATCACCATCTTCAGCATCGTCCTCCTCCATGCTCCTCAACTTGCTTCGAGCGGTTTTAGCGAACTTGGTGCCTCTTAAATAACGCGTTGCGCTGACACTACCCAAACCGCCTTCACCACCACGAGCAATGATTATTCTCTGACCTTGTTCTGTTAACTCCGCGACATTGTACCTGACTTGATCAATGTCTCCTTCATCGTCGTCGAAATCATTGTCTCTTCCATCGTCTTCGAAATCAACTTCCTTTGCCGTGCCTATATGTCTTGCTACGCTTTCTTTCTCAGGTTCCACTTCAACAGAACCTGGCGTCATTTCTTCAGGGTTCTGCTCGGATGCAGGATCGTCCACCAGAGTGCCAGGAAGGTCCCATGGATCCAAATCTTTGGGAGAGTCAATTTGAATCTGAGATGGAATCTCACCCTCTTGAAGATGAATCACCGTCCCAATGGGCACATGCAGGACCTTGTCTTCTCCTCTGTTTCCAATCCTGTTCTTGGAAGTTCCTTGTCCAGCTTTACCACCTTTCTGCAAAACTCATAAACGTTTTAGATATATATAATCACTTAAAAGACGAATTTGCATCTTCCTGGAAAAAGCATAAAAACTTACAACATGAGGTTGTAATCCGCTGAAATCCCAAACTGCGTGTGTGCATTCCAAAATCACATCACCTCCTCTCCCACCATTTCCACCTGAACTAAGTCCAGTTTCATAAACATCAACATTCTTCGAACAATCATGTTTACCAATTCAGATATTCTGAGTAAAACGAAATCCAAAACATAAACTACGGGTTTTAGTCGTTGGATTTAGGGATGATTCAACCTATAAGCAGTACATAACATTTCTGTATCATCGATTCGATTCGGAATAGTACCATCAGGTTTTCCGTAGCGATCGGTACGGCTCCGACGGACGCTGGAGCAACCACTGCCACCTTCACCGCCTCTTGCGTACAGCGTAAACCTATCTCTCATTCTAGTCTCCTGCACAATTACAGAAAATCGCAAATTCATCAGGAAACAATAATAAGTAAGAAAATCAACATAGAGGGTTTTTGTTTGTCGATTGAAGTGAAACAGATGATGAGTCGACCTGCATAGGCGCAACTTTTTCTTTATTCTCCGTGGAATCTGAGTAGAAGACAACAGGATATTTCATCCATGGCGGTTTTTGAGCTCTTCGGCAAGATCTCAAATATCGGACGGGAACCGCCCGGCTCAGCCACATCAGCTTATTCTCGGAAAACCTCCGGCGAGCTAAAAGAGGGTTACAGTGAGATTAGCAACGAGCGAGACATAGGAATGTGTCCCGCCGAGGAAATTGATCGATCGGGGATTTGCCGTCCGTGGTGGTCGGTGAAGCCAGAAAGAGAAGACCGAGAGGCCGAGGGTTTAACGTAATGGGCTAGGGCCCAAAAGAGTAACTACGGCCTCATAACACATTTTATATTCTATTTATTTATTTATTTATTTATAAGCCTCATTCTTGTGTTTGTATCACACATATACCGTATATATATACATGGTGTAGATAAAAAGGAACAAAAAAATCTAACTGAAACATTCCAAAAGAAGTATCTACTTCTAACAAACACAAATCAGTTCATCTAAAAGTTCATCAAAAATCAGATCTTCAAGCTCAAGAGTCAGCCATTCAGATTCAGCTTGAAGATTCATCCATCCATCACCCTTTGTAAGATCTCTTCCCACAATATCGTCCAGTGAACGATCTCTGTTCTCAGCTCCCAATCCAGAGAGGCTCCACTCAACTCTTCCCCATACCTCATCAAGAAAACGTTTCCCGTACGGAAATGCAAAAGAGGATGTCTTAGGGAAATAGATGTGTGATTGGTTGTGAGTGTCAGCGATTGCTTCGTTAACCAAATCAAAGAGAAGCTCTTTGTTCACTTCTTCTTCTTCTTGTATGTCGAGTTCGTAGAGCAGTGATGGATTCAGTGGTTGTTCCTCTGAGTGCCACTTTTCTCCATTGTGTTCGTTTTCGAGGAAACCTGAAAGTTCTAGAACCTTCTTTACAAAACCGAAGCAAGCGTCTTCTTCTTCTTCTTCTTTATGGTTGTCAATATCAATGGAACATAGACCTAAACCTGCAGCACAAGAATCCATACAAATGAGATTTGCCTATCTTTCTCTCATCAAAAAGGGTGAATTGTTTCATTAAAGAGCTTACCTTGTGAGAGTAAAGTCTCTGTCTTTTGTTGTGCAGTATTGTCCGAAGAACCGGTACTAGGAACAGAATCTGGATCTTGTTGCAGGATCCTTTGGTTTGAGCTGTCTAAATGGTTTTCATGGCTTCTCTCATCTTGCTCCTCATCCACTGTTCTTACCGGAGATTCAGATACTAATAAAGATTTCTTGGGTCCAACGTCAGTCTCTTGATCTAAAGGTTTCCTAGTTTCTAGATTAGAAGTAGAACTGTCTCGGGGCATGTCGCTCAGAAATGAACCAAGAACTTCAAGACTGGACAATGACGAAATCCGTCTGAAGAATTGTGGTTTGTTATCATTGCTCGGATCGCTCTTTTTATCTTCATATGAAAGTCTTAAGCTCTTAGAACGCAATTCACCACCTGTTCTTCTAAAACTCTGTTCCAAGATTTGAGAATATCTCCCCACAGAACCATCTTTCGAGACAGCCGAATACTTATTCTTCTTTGTGTGCTTTCGGTCATTAATTGCGTTCTTGAGCAACTTTTTGATTTCTCTGAATCCATTTATCACCGCGTGATTAAATCCATGATCATCAGCCGAGCCGTGAGAAGGCAAGATTGCTTTGTGTTCTTGAGAATCGCCTCTTGGAACATTCAAAGTCAAAACTGCACCGTTCTGCTTTGGAGCGTACCAATTTTCCTTCTGCTTGTGTTCGATCCTAGCGGGACGTGAAGAACCCGAGAGAGGAAACGAGCCTGACTTGGGCAATACTCTTGGATTAGACTTGATCTGCACTTGCTTCCCAAACTTCGAATTCGGATCTCTCAGTATCTTGACAAACACATCTTCTTTTCTCAAGATTTCAAGAAAATCAACATACTCTGTTACTTGCTTCGTTGTCATCATCTTCTTCGACAGTCTAGTTGGCATCTTTGAATCTCCACTCTTAGGATCAAGAAAAGGTTCCTGTTCATCAGTTTCACGAACCAAGGAATGGGTTCTTGGAGTCTTCCAACCTATGAACACAAAAAGCAGCCCACCATTCAACAAATTTGTATTCCTTGAATGAAAAGTTACTTTTAAAAATTACGAGATGGGCTTACAGAGTGGTCGATTCTTAGTTCTCCAATGGTGAAAGTCAAGAACATGAAGCATTCCAGCCAACCAGCCTGATTTGTGACTCGGATTCTCGTTTTTCAAATGCTTCCCCATTTCGAATCCTACTATCTGCTGAAAAACAAATATTAAATTAGGTTTTGAGCAACGAACGGGTGTGAAGACATAGTAAAACAACAGCGACTTATTAAAAAAAAAAATGAAAAACAGAAAATTAGTCAGACCAGACTTAGTGGCTTGCCTGAAATCGTCAAATCCAATAAAATATATTCAAATAAGAAAAAAAATTTGCTTTCTTGTTCCATTTTGATGAACCATAGCAAAGCAGAATCAAAAAGTTTGTGGAGAAGGAGGATAGAGGAATCAAAGTCATTTAAAAAAGAAAAAATAGATATCGGGTAGAAGCTGACCTGATCAAGAAGAAGAAGGAAGTGATTCAGCAAATACTAAAATTCAGGTGTTCTTGTTTAACGCATTACAAACCGAAGAACATAAGGAAGAACGACAAAACAGAGGGGCTGGATGCAACGGAAGGTGGCTGGAAGACGAGGAAGACCTTGAACAAGAAAGTGAGACTTTTCGTTGTGCTGTGTGGTTCTACTTTACCCGCCAAAGATGGCCAGGTCTACTGGTAGAAAATTGTCAAATGTCTGTTTCATATGTATACATATATAACGCTCGCACGCCACCAAATATACATTTCTCTCACATATATATATATATATTTAACAAATTATATCATTTATTAGATTTCAGTATTGGGTCATCTGTATTAATTTTGAAAGAAAATTGTCTCTGCAATTTTATTAGTTTCCTAATAATAAATTAGTTAATATTAGTATTCAATACACACAATATAGCATGTATTTTTTATTTGGTGTTTAAAGGTTTTTGTTTTTGTTTTTGTGTCATACTATTATTTATATACATATATTATTTAACAAATTATATCATTTATTAGATTTCAGTATTGGGTCGTCTGTATTAATTTTTTAAAAAATTGTCTCTGCAATATTATTATTTTCCTAATAATAAATTAGTTTATACTAATATTCAATGTACACAATATAACATGTGTTTTTTATTTGGTGTTTTAAAGGTTTTTGTTTTTGTGTCATACTATTATTTATTTCTTTTACAAAAATTTAGTTTATTTAACATAACTGCGACATTTATAGAATTAGTTAGTTTGGTCAAAGAGTTTAAAATTCAATATAAGACCAGTAGTTTGAATGTAGTAAAAGTTTCTAGAATTGGGTGGTTTTAATAAGATCGAAACCACTTGCGCTGGTATAGTATGTTAGCCAACCAAGTAGGATGAGTAGTTGTTAGGCTACTTGTGTTTGTGGCAAATTTGTTAGATATACTATTTTATGGGAAGTAGGCTATCTTTCTGGCTGCTTAGACTTTTTTTTTTGTTATAATGTTAATTTTCTGTCAATTGATGTCGTACATACATACATAATAGGGACTGTCCAACTACATTGGATTTTTAGTTACCAGACGAGCACGTCTAAAAGTGATAGACTTTATCATATAAAAAGAATTTCGTGTAACGGATGTAATCATGTTTGTAAGCCAGGATTGACGTGAAAGCCAAGGTTGACCTGGAAGATCAAAACCCTAGTTACGCTTTCCTACTTTACCCGAATAGGAGAAGACTTGGACTACCAGATGTTCAAAAAGGAAATAAACTTATTAGATTATCTCGTTCTCCTTATTAACTTTTGTCTGAACATTACGAAACTGTTCGTGATTAGAATATATAAACATTACTAACGATGACAAAGACTTTAGTTGGATCGGCGTGATTAGGATCAGTAATTATCACAACTGCCCCAACCAAAGTAAATGAATATTGCACCAAACTCATCAACACGAACAAAGTAAGACACTAATATTTTTGTTTAAAGAAGAAGTAATAAAAGAAGAAAAGTCCAAATTCAATACCAATGACGTAAGAGAGGGAGAGAGTGGTGGGGGATTTGGAATTATGAAAGTTGACGAGTGATTGAAGAAAACGAGGAGTCAGTGATAACATGACACGTGGTAGACTAGTAGCCCATCTGATCCTATCACCAGATCCAACGGCGATCGCCGGGACGAAAACAAATGTGAATTTGTGGCTCTTTTTGACTTTTTTAGAGTTTTGTTTTATACAAATGTGTTATTAGCCCATAAGATAGTATTTCTTTTCATTCTTTTATAAAGGAGAAGTCCTTCCTAGTTTTTTTCTTTTTTTTTGTTGAAAATGACCTTCCTAGTTTTCCGCGGCTAAGTTTATAAGGAAGTCTCTTGTCCGTTTTACTTGCAACAAAAATTCACGCCTAAGTCCACGCACGAACCGAGGCGTGTTCAACAGGAGTATATTTGTGTTGAATTTTTTTTTAGAAACTTCATGTGTGGAACTGAAAATCCATTTGGAACTATTTGCTTTTTTATTTTTATTAAATAAAAAGCTCTGATGAAAAGATATACATAAATGATTAGTTATATAATATATTGTTAGAGGGGAAATGAACATATTTCTTAAAAGGTATTTCCTCGCAATAACATAAGTCTATCAAGACCAGGAAGACCGCGCTGACCTAACTCGAATTTAAGAAAATCTCTTGAGGATAATCTTTGAAGATCAGAAACCTCGGACTAATTCAAATAATAAAGAAGAATTTCCTTATTCCTCGAAAAATAAAGGATAGATATAGAAATATACACAAAGACAAAAAGGAAAAGGAATTCGTAGTCACCGATCTCTCATGCCTATAAATAAAGAGGACCTTGAAGCCAAGAAGATCATCTAATACATTCTAGAGAGTAGAGAGCTAAAACCAGAGACTCCAACGCTTTCTAGCTTACTTCGTAAACACTTTTTTCACTTCGGCATAATCTCACAGTTATTCATTTCTTTATAATCGCTTCGCTTATTGCTATTAATAAAAAAACTTTATTCTTCAAAATCCACAATTGTTAATCAAATCCTAATAGTAATTTTCTAGTTCAACATATATAATAATAATAAATCATATGATGAGAAAATCGTACCAGAATTGGATTTACATTGAAGAACGTATTCTGATATTTCCTCGCATACGACACGAAGAAAGGACTCCGTCCTCGAGTCCTCGACTTCTCTCTTACGGTCACCAGCGCGTGTTTGCACGCAGTTTCTTGTGAGAGTGGTCCTTATTTCGAAGACGCAAATTCCCCAATTTAAATAGAAACCCCTGAGTTTAAGACTCTTTAGTCAACGCTTCTCGCTTTGTACAACTCGTATGGGAAAATTTTAAGATTTCACTTACTTCTTTTCGACGTCAGACTTTTGTTTTTGCCTTCACCTATTTTTCTGTTGACAAACTAATCTTTTATTTTCCTCATCAGCCGAATAATATCTCTTATATTTTTTTTCTTATATTCCTTTCTCTGCTAATTAACAACTGGCTGGTTACTCTAGAAAATCATTTTCTCTTTTGCGCATAAGTCAACTCTCTCTCTCTCTTCCTTCTCTTCTCTTCTCTTCTCTTTCCCTGTCTTTTCACTTTCTGCCATGAATGAGCAAACTCCGATTGTAATCGCAGTGTAAATTTCCAAAACCGTCTATTGACCTTGATTTTCAGGGAAACTTGTAATTTCTATTCTTCTGGGTTGAAATTTCCTTGATGGGCAACGGAGTGACAAAACTGAGTACATGTTTCACTGGCGGAGATCGTTGCCGGCAAAAAGACATCTCCGTTCTGCTTCCGGATCCTCTAGACGAAGGTCTAGGTCACTCTTTCTGCTATGTGCGACCCGACCCGACTCTACTTACTTCCTCAAAAGTCCATTCAGAGGAAGAAACGACCATGTTCCGCACAATCTCCGGCGCCTCCGTCAGCGCCAACGCCGCAACACCTCTCTCCACATCTCTCTACGATCCGTACGGTCACATCGACCGCGCCGCCGCATTTGAGAGCACCACGTCGTTTCCGTCGATTCCTCTGCAGCCAATCCCTAAGAGCTCCGGCGGCCCGACCGTCTTGGGTTCGGGCCCAATCGAAAGAGGGTTCCTTTCAGGTCCGATCGAGAGGGGTTTCATGTCGGGTCCGCTTGATCGGGTCGGGCTGTTCTCAGGCCCGCTTGACAAGCCCAGCTCCGATCATCAGTTCCAGCGTAGCTTCTCCCATGGTCTAGCTTTGCGGGTCGGGTCAAGAAAAAGGTCTCTGGTTCGGATCCTCCGTCGAGCAATCTCTAAAACGATGTCAAGAGGGCAGAACTCGGTCGTTGCTCCGATCAAATCATCCAAAGAGTCCGATTGGGGAATCAGGTCGGAGAAAAGCCGGAACCTGCAGCAGCACAACGAGAATCTCACTGTGAATAGCTTGAACTTTAGCAGCGAAGGAACCATAGACGACGACGTTTCGCTGGAAAGCCAGAACCTTCAGTGGGCTCAGGGAAAGGCCGGTGAGGATCGAGTACACGTGGTTGTTTCGGAGGAGCACGGTTGGCTTTTCGTCGGAATATACGACGGATTCAACGGTCCAGATGCGCCGGATTACCTACTCTCTCATCTATATCCTGCGGTACATCGGGAGCTCAAAGGCTTGTTATGGGACGATCCAAACATCGAATCCAAACCCCAGAATTCTTCTTTAGAAGTCGATCTTGAGAGATCTTGCGGTGATGAATCGTGTTCGAATCAGGACAATAATAATCCTTGTGAGCGTTGGTGGAGATGTGAGTGGGATCGAGAAAATGAAGATCTTGGCCGTCGATTAAAGGAGCAAATCAACCGGAGAAGTGGGTCGGATAAGTTGCCGGCGGCGACGAACCATTCGGAAGTTCTACAGGCTCTGTCACAAGCTCTGAGGAAGACGGAGGAAGCGTATCTAGACACTGCAGATAAGATGCTGGATGAAAATCCTGAGCTAGCTTTAATGGGTTCTTGTGTTCTGGTGATGCTGATGAAAGGTGAAGATATTTATGTGATGAATGTCGGCGATAGTAGAGCTGTGCTTGGTCAGAAATCAGAACCGGATTACTGGTTAGCGAAGATAAGACAGGACTTGGAACGGATCAACGAAGAAACGATGAACGATTTGGAAGGTTGTGAGGGAGATCAATCCTCTTTAGTCCCAAATTTATCGGCTTTTCAGCTCAGTGTTGATCACAGCACAAACGTAGCAGAGGTTAGTAAACAAACAATGGCATTCGTTATCTGAATCTTGGCGTTTTTTCATAGAGGTTATTGATTGTTGTATCCTCATGGTTCTTTAGGAAGTTGAGAGAATCAGAAACGAGCACCCTGATGATGATACCTCAGTGACGAATGAACGAGTTAAAGGCTCCTTGAAAGTCACAAGAGCATTCGGTGCCGGTTTCCTCAAGCAGGTATATAAAGTATTTCATCGCCTCTAGCTCATGAAATTAGGTATGTATGGTCGCAATCTAATGACTTTGGTTATGCTATTTTTGCAGCCTAAATGGAACAATGCACTTCTTGAGATGTTCCAGATTGATTACAAAGGGAATTCTCCGTACATCAACTGCTTACCGTCTCTCTACCACCACAGATTAGGCTCCAAGGACCGGTTTCTAATACTATCATCGGATGGTCTCTACCAATACTTCACAAACGAAGAAGCGGTTTCAGAGGTTGAGCTCTTCATCACATTACAGCCTGAAGGGGATCCAGCTCAGCATCTTGTACAAGAGCTTTTGTTTAGAGCCGCTAAGAAAGCTGGTATGGTCAAGATTCTCTTACATTGTGTTTCTGTTTGGGATTTTAGTTTTTAAAAAATTGCCTTAATTGATGTTTATATATTTTTTAATTTTTTTTTGTAGGTATGGATTTCCATGAATTGCTTGAAATACCACAAGGCGAACGGAGACGGTACCACGATGATGTTTCTATATTAGTGATCTCTTTAGAAGGAAGGATGTGGAAATCATGTGTTTAAACAAATCCCAATATACATACCACCACACACACAAAAATGGTGTGTTCTGAATCATGTATAAATGTTAATAAACAGAATTCTATATATAAAAAAGTTTTGGCAACTCTCTAGTGTCTTAAAATTAGTGGTCAAATGTTGGTTCTTTGAATGTTTAAGTTTCTTCCAACTGCTAACTGTATGTGACTAGAGAAGTAAATGAAGGAATTGAAAGAGGTTGGTTCATTGGTATGAGATATGTGAGTAGCAGTTTGTGGTTCAAACAAGTTTATTCACTTTCCCTACCATTTATTTCACTGTCTCTCTCTGTTTCACCAAATTTTTTGGTCTCTATTTGTTTTTATGTAGTGTTTCTTCCATTTCAGGGAACTGGGTTTTCATTAAATTTGGATTTTTATGTTTTAAACTTTTATGTAACTTCTTGTCCTTATTCTTTACTTATCTCAAGTCCCCCACACTTGGCTTTTCACAATGTCCACTTTAACTTCTTTTTTTAACTTTTGGTTTCTACCCTTTCTGGTTGGCTTTTTTGACTGTCTACACTTTGACTACTTTCACAAAACTTTGATTTTTTAAATCTTCCGAGTTTCTTAGAAACCCTTCTCCTCCTTTTAATTTTATTTAAATATATTATCAGACCATATAAAAGTAAAAATGTTCCAACGAAGTTTGAATACTACAATTGGTTTCGTTTTATAAGCAGAAGAAACAGTCCACTTTAGTGGCGTTGGGTCAACATCGACAATCAATCAACGTCCGTACAAAATTTATCGAGCGCGTGATCCATCCAACGGTCAGATTAGTGTTTGTCTATTGAATATTTGTAATAATTTTTTTTTTTTTCCCTGGTTCTCTCATTTACTCATCCTGTATAGAGATACAGTATAGATATACAGAGTAAAATCAAATGAATGTACAGTTTTCAAGATTTGCAAAGCCAATCATGAATGGCAAAGCGTATTCCGTGGTTGGGAGTGAGATGCAGACGACTAAGGTTCAGATTGGTCATCGGAGAGGTCTCGTGTCCGTTTCTGAACCATGATCGTATCGCTTCTCCTTCGTGTGTGAATCCATCTTCTGCAATCTGTGGATCATGCATTATCTCCTGCAATACAAAAGACCCCGCATTTGTATTACAGAACATAAACCCAATCCCATAGACTTTGGTAGTGAGCAAATTACATTAAAAGTGAAGAGCTTTGACCATTTAGACTAAGCCCCTTTACCATTTTCAGATCAATTATAACAAGTGAAACGGAAAAAAGCAAGATGAAACAAGATGAGATGATTTATTCTGTTCGGTACATTATTTTACCTGAAGGATGGGGCACAAGTAGAAAGATGGAACAGCTCGTTCTTCTGGAACATACAACTGCTCCAATTCTTTCACAAGAGAAGGTGTTAGATCAGGCCTGTTTTTGCTGTTCGGTTCACAGCACTGTAACCCGATGTTTGCAAGCTACTCGAACACAAAGACTGGCCAATCTCCAGCTTTTGTATCCAAAATTGTGGCTAACTTCCCAAAGGACAAGGCTTTTCGCACTTGTCCGACCAACCCAACAGGCGGCTTTCCTGTGAGCATTTGCAAGATGATAATGCCAAACGAGTAAATGTCGGTTTAGGAGTTAAAATCCCGAACCTTTTGAACTCTGGATCCGTATATGGAAAAGCTCTTCCATTAGCCTCTTCGTTAAATACCACCCTGCAGATTCCGAAGTCGCATATCTTGGAGTCGAGAAGTACGTTTTCGGGTTTGAGATCGCCGTGAAGTATCCTTTCGGGTTTTATGGAGTGCAAGAAACAGAGGGCACTGGAGATTTCAGCTATAATCCGAGTTCGAGTCACCCAAGACAAAGGAGACAGGTTTGTTTTTCGGGGAAAAAGCTGGTCTTGTAGATTACCCTTTGGTAGGTACTCATACACAAGTGACCATGCTTCAGGACAATAGCCAAACAGTGAACGAGATGCGGATGTTGTAGTCTGCTGAGAAGGCGAACCTCTTGCTGAAACTCTTGTTGCAATTGCATGTTATGTGGATGCAATCTCTTTATTGCAACGGTTCTGCCCATCATTTCCCCTTTGTAGATACACCCGTTGTTCCCACCTTGTCTCAGCCTGAAACTCTCGGAGAAACAGAACGTGGCTGATTCCAGTTCTGACAAAGAGAACTCTCCCAGCTCAAGCATACCCTCGCCGGAAATTCCAACAAGTTCATTGCAATTCAAGGACCCTGCGTCTTTCCACCGATCAATCCAACACTTAGCTTCCAATTTCTGCCTTTGGATCCTCTGTTTCTCAAGCGTAACTCTGCAATGGACAGTTCCACGAGTTTGAGCTTTGCTGAGACTTCTCGGCGTCGTCGACTTGCTCCTTGTGTATGACAGTTTAAGAGAGAAACGTCTCTCGTTGTTCTTTGAAGCCTTTTAGAGAGCTCCTCTTTCTCCTTCAGGAGCCTCCCCTGTTGGTTTATGATGCTTCTAAGTTCATTCTCAGCATTTTCCCTGAGCTTTATTTGACGGGCGTATGCAGATTCAAAAGCTTTAACCTAAAAGAAAAACGATAATAAGTGACTATATTCCTAAACTCCCAAAAGCTTTGATTTCGAATGTACCTTGTTTGTGGCTTCAATAACTTTCAACTCCAACTTTTTGCAATCCAACTCCTCCGGAAAAGCTTCATCCTTTGGTATTTCAGTATGTGTTGTTGCTTCATAAAGACAATCTTTGCCAAACCCTGAATCAGAAACTGATGACAATAGCCTTCTCTCTTCAGACACGTATACAGAACTGCATCCACCACTTTTAGTGCTTGTCATGTCACGTTGGTGGGAAGAGAACATTGGAACTTCGGTATCAAACTGATCAGCCTCAACTCTGCTGGATATCTCATTGGAAAACAAGTTTCTCTCAGATCTAGATCGCAGTTGGGAGAGAGGCAGAGAAGTTTTCTTGAGGGGGAATGATCTAGCGCTTGAAAGTTGTCGGCTTTCAAAAGCTTCTCTAACCCAAGCTTGTTTCCCTTTGATGACAAACCATATTTCACAGAAAGGAGGCGCCTTTCTCGAAGCATAATCTACTTTGCGGGAACTCCTCATCTTTATGCAGCTGCAAGAAAACATCAGATTGTGATAACATCAGTAACGAATCTCGAGAGACAGAAGATGAGTAAAAATGCTAAAATTGGGTGCACACGAACCTCGCTGGTACAGCACCCATCACGAGCGTTTTAACACAATGTCTATTTACAAGTTCTACAATTCCTCTAGGTACGAGTTCAGCTTCATTAACAAGGACGCTTGCTTTCACCTGCAAGAAAAGAGAACCCTTTTACTTGATGACAGTAAGTTTCTCTTTACTGAAGAGAGCAAACGATATAACGCATAGCTATATCAAGTACCTTGGCTCGAGAACAAGTTGCCAAGTAAATATCAAGAAGCCTCCTCATATTTTCCTTCTCTTCTCCTCTGTGTGCAATAACCAATTCACTGTTTGCTTGACTCGCTGGTAATTTCCCCACTTAAGATCATAAAAAGGATCTTATTAATGCTATCATATTTTTGGTTTGCGTTCAATAAATAAAAAAATTTATAAAATAATGATCATTTATTAATGTTGTATTTTTAAATGAGACTGGATGCTTATGTTAGATTCAAGTTTTTTAGTTTGTTAGATTCATATTTTCCTTCTCTTCTCCTCTGTGTGCAATAACCAATTCACTGTTTGCTTGACTCGCCGGTAATTTCCCCACTTAAGATCATAAAAAAGATCTTATTAATGCTATCATATTTTTGGTTTGCGTTCAATAAATAAAAAAATTTATAAAATAATGATCATTTATTAATGTTGTATTTTTAAATGAGACTGGATGCTTATGTTAGATTCAAGTTTTTTAGTTTGTTTTAGGTTAAAAAACAATACCAATTTCATAAGGTTAAATTCAAGTTTCATTTCGTATTGCTATTATTGTTATTATTATTATTCTTTTTAATAACAAATTGATTGTTTACATTAGTTGTGAAAAAGAAAATGAACATAAGTAATTTTTAACAACCAAATAAATTTAAATGATTAAATACTATGTTATGTTCGGCTAGTTTCACAATTAATATAAGTCTAATATATTTTAAACTAATTTAAATTTTAATACAAAAAAAATAAAATACATATTTTTTTTTATTTAAACAAAAAAACATATTTTTCTTCATTAATTTCTTTTTCTAGGCATTTTTTCTTCTTGAATTTCATTTTGTAAAGAAAATTTTAACCTAAAACAATACAAAAAGAACACCAGATTTCATGTTTGGATTAGATTAAAGTTTTATTTAATATTACTATTATTATTATAATCATTTTTCTTGTAAGAAATTAAATGATCTAATCCAAACATTAGTTGTGAAAATAAATTGAACATAAGCAATCAACGACCAAATGAATTCAAATGATAAAATATCATGTTCATGTCCGCTTCGTTTCACAACTATTATAAATTTTATTGATTTTAAACTAATCCAAATTTTAATATGAATAAATACAAAAAAAAGATAATAGAAAACATATATTTCTTCTTGAATTTTCCTCTCTTTTTTAGTTTCATATTTTATGGAGAAGGTTTTAACCTGATACAATACAAAAAAACAACATCAAATCCCATGTTTATTATTATTATTATTATTATTATTATTATTATTTCCTAATAAAAAATCGATTGATCTATATTAGTTGTAAAAACAAATTGAACATAAATAATCTCTAACGACCAAATGAATTCAAATGGCTGGATACCATGTCCGGTTAGTTTCACAACTAATGTAAATCTAATCAATTTTAAACTAATCCAAGTTTTAATGTTAATGAATGCAAAAAAAATTGAGAATAAAAGACTTATCTTTCTTTTTGAGTTTCCTCCTCTTGCCGCCTCTTACTTCTTGAGTTTCATTGTGTAGAATTTTTAACCTACAACAATATAAAATGTTTGAATTAGATTCAAGTTTTATTTAATATTTCCATATTATTATTATTATTATTATTTTCTAATAAAAAAAACAATTGATCTACATTAGTTGTAAAAACAGATTGAACATAAATAATCTCTAACGACCAAATGAATTCAAATGGTTGGATACCATGTCCGTTTAATTTCACAACTAATGTAAATCTAATCAGTTTTAAACTAATCCAAGTTTGAATGTTAATGAATGCAAAAAAAAATTGAGAATAGAAGACTTATTTTTTTTTTAGTTTCCTCCTCTTGCCGCCTCTTACTTCTTGAGTTTCATTTTGTAGAATTTTTAACCTACAACAATACAAAATATTTGAATTAGATTCAAGTTTTATTTAATATTTCTATATTATTATTATTATTATTATTTTCTAATAAAAAATGATTGATCTACATTAGTTATAAAAATAAATTGAACATAAATAATCTCTAACGACCAAATGAATTCAAATGGTTGGATACCATGTCCGTTTAGTTTCACAACTAATGTAAATTGATTAGATTTTTACTAATCTAGGTTTTAATGTGAATGAATACAAAAAAAAATTGAGAATATAAGACTTATCTTTCTATTTGAGTTTCCTTCTGTCAACGTTTCTTATTTCTTGAGAGTTTCATTTTGTAGAAATGTTTTTACTTACAACAATACAAAATGTTTGAATTAGATTCAAGTTTTATTTAATATTGCTATTATTATAATTATTATTTTTATAAAAAAAATGATTGATTTATATTAGTTGTGAAAATTAATTAAACATTGATAATCTCTAACGACCAATGAATTCACATGGCTGGATACTTTGCTTAATATATATCTAATCGATTTTAAACTAATCTATATTTTAATGTAAACAAATAAAATAAAAAGAATAGAATACATATCTTTATTTCTGAGTTATGGGCGCCTCTTCATCCCGCTGTGGTGTTCGTGACACAAAGCACACCAATGCAAGTTACTGTGAACCATGCAATGATCACACAGCGCTGCAAGAAAAATCACAATTGAGCAATAAGATATCATATCTAGAATACGCAGTAACGGCAGAGAGAAACATATTGAATAAACAACGATCAAAATACGCAATGACCAATCTTGTATACCTCGCTAGGCAATGGTTCTCTATCTATGCAGGACTTAAATTTTACTCTCAACATTTGAAAAGAGGCAATGCATCCCTCTGCAACCTGTATCAGATATCAAAGTTCTTTAGGAAATAACTAAAGACAAGAAAAGACTAAAAAAAGAACAAGATCTTAAGACGGCAACTAACGTTTCCAGAAGATATGAGATAAACTGGATAAGGTCTGATTCTGAAAGCTCGTTTTTTTCTCTGCTTGTCTCTTAATCTCATCCGTCATAAAACTTGCATCTTTCATCTTTCATGCAAAAGAAGAAACATAAAGAAAAATCAATACATTTCCTTCCGTTCCGCTCCCAATATGGTATCTTTTTATCCAGTTATAAAGCATAAACTTACATGAGAACTGCTCGCACAATCGCAAGGTCATCTTCACCAGGATAACACTGCAAAGTAGCATGTAAGTAAAACCATGTATAAGAAAGTCATGTTACACACGTCTTACACCACCACAAGTCTTGAATTTCTTCCAAGTGCAAAAAAAAATTTCAACGCTAAAACGTCAAATGAATAGAGAACTCAGGAGATGTTGAAACGAAGAGACTAACCCTTCCTATAAAGTTGATCAACACAGATGCAAACTTCTCGGGGTCCTCAGCTCTAACATAATGCCGTGATATTCTGACCATGTCCTGCTAGATATATATATAAAAAAAGTCAGATAATGAAATGTAAAACGTTATAACCAAATGGCCACAAGAGGATTACATGTTCAGAACACTCAGTATAGAGATAATCGGCCAGCATAGCATGCAACTCAAGATATCCAGTACTCTGCAAAAACAGTACTTTGAAATTACTACCTCTACTATCTTTGATACATTTTCACACCAAACAACACCAAAAAGTGGACAATACTAGCTGAATAAGAGAAACAGTACACCTGCTTTAACTTACTTTATAGCAGCCCATAAGAACGAAGTCAAGTTTTCTACCCGTGATCTGGCTTCCCCAAGAGATTTTTGGAGATTTTGGATATCTTCATCGTCGCTCACGTCTACAGGAACCCGAGGAAACAATTTGAAGATATACACCTGATACGATCTGACAGAAATATTTCAGTATAACCATAAAGAAGTGGAGCGATGTGTTGTAGCTATTATATACGGTCTGCACTAACCAAGAGTTTCATCATTGCAAGGTGACTTGGATTTGCCTAGTGTGTCCACGAACAAAAGAGCAAGGTCCGCCCCACAATTCACCTGAGGAATCATTGTATTAATAAGAAATCACCTCTTCAAAACTGAAAGATGAAAAAATAAAGACTTTTGTGAGTACATGTCATTACAGGTTCCCAAATAAGTACAGCCTATATATCTAAAGATTAGATATGTAATAACAAAAGTAGGAAAGCTGAACAAACCTGGCTTGAGCTTGAATTTGGATCCGTGTAGTCCCAGCAACCTCAAACTCATATTTAGCCTCACGCTGAAGAAACCAGGCTGTAATAACACTCACAGCTTTTTTCTTGCTAATTATCTCTTCCAATTGCTCTGCCCAATTAACTCTAAGATCAACAAGATTTGAAACAAGCACCAGCAGCCACGTCAAATCTTTTAGATGATCGTAAACACCTAATGCAGATCACACGTAGTTGGCAAAGTCAACACTCTTTGTTGATTCTTCAAAGTACCTGATGCCTATCTTTTTGAATGCATTCTAGCAGCATGTGAGAGCTTAAGAGTTGTTCCACGAACTGATCTCAATTGTTAGAACTTCGAGAAGATTCCAACTCCTTCAGCAAGCTCATATCTAGCCTCGCACTTGATCCGCGTAGTCCCTGAAGCTTCCGTGTGTATTCCAAATTCAAATGAAGTACAGCCGCCTGAAAAAAGGATATCAAGAGCTTTAGAGATTCTCTGAGCCGTAACGTATCTGCGAGCAAAAAGGCTTTATGTGTTACCAATCCAAGCAAGAAGAACAAAGTAAGCTACCAGTTCATAACCATCAATAATCCAATTTTCAACCAAACACCAGAATCCAAAAAGCTAAAAAAATGCAGAATCTAGTAAATGACAATTTGGGTTATTAAAGAATCGAGCCAAAGAGGAGCTACACTTTCCTCAATTTATCAATATGCTATAAGAATTTGAGGAAAAAACCCATCAATTTAAAAGGATCTATCTTTTATCTCTGATGATAAGAATCGTAACTTCGCAAGCTGATAGAGAAAGGGACAATTCGAAATAAATTAGCCAAATTTGGAAGAAAAAAAAAATCGAGAGAACCTTGTCGCAGGTGAAACCAAAAATTGGGGAAGAATGAAAACAGATCAGAGTAAAATACCTCTTGAACGGGATCAGAGTTTTTTCGCTTGGATGTGGATTCGGAGATCTTCCAACGGTTCTTCAAATTCTCTGTTGAATTAATATTGCTGCTATAAGAGTTTGAGGAAAAAACCCCATCAATTTAAACGTATCTATCTTCATCTCCCTCATCAGATGTTGATGATAAGAATCGCAAGATGATAGAAAAACGGATAATTCGAATAAAATTTGAAAACAGAAATCGAGAAAAGCTTGTTGCAGATGAAATCAAAAACTGGAAAAGAATAAAAATAGATCGGAGTAAAAGTACCTCTTGAACGAGAGGTAATTCTCATTTGACCCTCTCTCTCGACAAGGATCGGAGTTTTTTCGCTTGAATGTGGATTCAAAGATCTTTCAACGGCTCTTTACTTTCTCTGTTGACTTAATATATTGCACATAGTTTGTTTGTGGGGATTATGTGGTAATCGGTTACATTATCTGGTAACCCAAATTTTAACCGGCTAAACCGGGAAAATGTATAACTCGCCCGTTTATTTTAAAAACGCTTAACCTATTATCTGAGTTAATAGAAAAAACATTAAAAATTAATATCGGGAAAAAAGCATCTTCACTTTTTAAGATAAAAAAAAAAATCTTGATCGCTAAGTAACGAATTTATAATGCAATCGCTATGCTCCGCTATCTCATTTTGCGTAAGATAAAAATCTTTTATTTACCACTTGAACTTTAAAACAATTTTGAAGTCTGTCAAGTTAAGGAAAATCAACTGTGTAGATATATATACTTCACTCATTAATTCATTCCATTCAAGTATTACTATTGAGTTATGACATCATTAATACTTCCTTCGGCTTAAGGTGAGTCTCTTGTTTCTCACCTCATGATTGTTTGTGGTTGCTTATATATAATTAGCTGAGTTATGTACCACTCGTACATGAGAAATATACTTGTCACCGATCGAATCTCACAATGTGTCTGCTGCTTATATTTTATACCGCAACAAAGGAATTACATGTACATGAGAAATACATGTCACCGACCAAATCTCACAATGTGTCTACTGCTTAGGATAATGCTCAAGGTTCTGAGTTTGATGCTAAATTATTTTGACAGAACAGGATCTTGATGGCTGAAAAGGAGTTAACTAATCTAGGAGAAGTAGCATATAAGGATTTAAGAAATGTTATCAAATGTGTGTTTTTTTGGGGGGGTTAAATTATATAGCATGTGTTTTTTAGTATTGGAAACCGTTTGATTTTTAGGATATGCATGTCAATTAATATGTTAATTTTGTTTGCTCATAACTTAGGAGGATTTTATGCTAAAATGGTTAGGATACAACGATACACCAATTACATATATATATACACATGATATAAAAACAGTCTTATATTCTATATAGTATCATATGTACCTTGAATTTTTTTTACACACAAATTAATTTGGGAAAAACTGTCATACGTAAAAGAAAAAGGGTTAGAGTCAAAAAAGCATTTCAAATGATTTTAACCCTACCGTTAAAAAGTGCGGGACTATCATAAAAGTTGGGGGGTCGTCCAGGTCTGGACATACAAATCTCTGCACCCATTGTTTTCCGTGTCGATCTTTGTTTAACGTTTTCTCCATTATATTCTCCACTTTTTCCCCCTATCGTATTATGTTGTATCATTGAAAAATTATTGTTTTCATAGAGAAACCAGTAACAAAAAAATATATGACTTGCTTTACCTTTTGTACCAAATGCAACATCGAACAGTAAATCAGGCGCCAAATTTGTCACAATATTAGTTCTAGTACTATTTAATATTCACTAACTGATCAAAACCTATAGTTTTTTTTTTGTTGAACTTTTGCTTATCAAAATCTATAGTTAAGAAAACAAACGTATATTCATGTATATACGTATATAATCAAGTTGGTTTTAGTCTTTTAGACTGATTGTGTCCTATGTACATGAACTTTTAATCAACAGTACTAATAAAACTATACGTAATGGTGAATGCTCTAATCCATGCAAGAATTTTATTCTTCTTTCATATTAATTATGTAAAGCGGATCATGCGCACCCACGTAAAACAGACTGACACACAGATTCGTACAAGAAGACTGTAAAAGAAAAAGAAGCTCCTAAAAATATGAGAAAAGAGTATTTTGGGAGTTTTAAAATGTAGCATCCAGAGAGACGGATTTGAATGATCAAGTTCCTGTTCCTTAGTCAGCAACGCCCTTTTTTACTTTATGAATTATCCTTGCCTTTTATGTTATATATATAAATTTCTTAGCAATCAAGTAATGATGAAGTGTAAGTATAATGTTCACTACACGGTTTTGGCCAGGCAAATCTATAAGCATAAATTGATTTTCAACGAAACAAAATGACAATGAGGATATCTAAAAGTCTAGAACTAGCTGAAAAACATTATATATGTTCAATAGGATTTAGTTAAAAGAGTATATAAATTGGACTGTTACACACACGCCACAAATTCATAGAGACATAGCAACTTCATTATCAGATCAACCATGAAAACCACACACAATACAAAACAGATATTATATGGCACACCTGAATGTCTATATATAAATAAGTATCGATCTTAAGTTGTAGAACCACAGACTCTAATAAAGGTACCTTTAAGTTTGTTTCAGAACATCTCCACGATCATCGGCACACGTACTCTGGATCTGCATGCATTTGATCCTGACCGTTCGTAGTCATTTAAATCAATCTCCACGATTAATGATCCAACAAAACACAAAATCTCACAAGAGTTGGTGATGATCGTTAGAAGAAGGACCCGAGAAATCCGAATTGTTCCAAAAGTACTGATTTGTTTGATTCCCAGGAGACGTCATACCGGAGACCGGTCTAGAAAAGTTAGCCAAATTGGGTTGTTCTTCCATCTTCACCGGAGCTGTCTCGTAAGCTCTAGAATCAACCATGGAAGTAGAGGAAAAAGATATTCCGACGTTGTTTCCGATATTGCCCTCGTTCTGGAAAGGGTATAGCGCCGTCGTTGGATCGAAGAGAGCGAAGTGGCTCAGCGATCCAGCGGACGCCATTAAGTTGTTTTCATTGTTGTCATGTATGTTTCCGTTAATCGGAGCTGAAGTGTTTCGTCCATTTCCGACGTGAAGAAACCCTAGATCATTCATCAAACTCGAACCCATCTGTTGAGCTTGGTTGTTGCCATTAGTGGCAGCTAAGTTCAAACCGATACCTCCAAGTTGAGTGAGATTGTGAAGAGTTGGTAAAAAGGGGAACTGATGGTTTGTCCTTAGCTGTCCTGAGCTGGGACTTGGAGCGTTAACCGTGGAAGAAGACTGTTTGGACGGCGTAGAAGAAGATTTTGAATTTCCATTTTTGCCCTTCTTGTTATTCTTCCGGCAGCCTCCTCCGACGGGGACGTTCCTCAGGGCGCCGCCACGTGTCCAGTATCGGCGACAAGCTTTGCAGAAGTGGCGAGGCTGACTGAGGTTGTAGTTGTTGTAGTAACAAAACTTAGTGTTGATGGAGTCACATCGAGGACACTTTAGGGCTCCATCAGGCGGAGGAGCTTTGGCCTGCCTCGCTCTCTCCGCCATTGATCCACCCAGCCTCGCCGGAAGACCACTGGAGATAGCGGCATGGTGATGGTTAGGGTTAGGGTTTGGTGGGAGAGGTGGAAGTTGGTGAGAGAGTAGTCCGTGGTCACTCACTATATTTCCATTTTCGTGAATTTGATGTTGATGTTGATGATGATGCTGATGATTCAAATTCGTAGGCTGAAAACAAAACAAAAATTAAGGCAATCAAAATAAAATAAAGAACCAAGAAACCCCAAATTCAATACCGGTGTACATTTTATTTATAAAGCAAGAAATACCATAACTGTATATATATAGATGTTGGGATTTTAAAGAAAGAGGGTGATAGAAAAGAAGACAAGAATAGGAATATCTTTTGGAAATGAATCAAAATTATTGCTAAACGAATCAAAACATCAACGAAGAAGAGCGAAATTGCGAAAAAAAAAAAAAGAGAAAGAGAGAGAGACAGAGAGAACATTTTAGTAACGGAAGATGAATTAGAAGTGAAACCTGTGACCAATTGGACGAGAAAACCATTGTTCTTGTATACCCTTTATTATCTCTTTCTTCTTACTTCTTTAATAAAGTTTGATGGATCTTTAGGGGAAAGAACTCCAAGGAAAAACTTGGTGGGGGAATCAAAAAAAAGGGCGAAACGAAAGAGAGGAAGCAAGACGACGACCAAAGAGAAATGCGAAGAGAGCACAAAATCAAAAAGGAAAGTGAGAAGAGAGAAGGAGAACAAAGACAAATTAAAGGAAAGAAAATGCTTTTTTTAACGAGAAAAAGAAAAGGAGTATTGGTTCTTTTTATGATTTCTGTATATTTGTATAATTCTCACTCTCATCTCCTCATGTGTATACGCGTCTATAATTCATCTATGTGTAATTTATATTTGTGATTCCCTTTTTTAGGGTTTGAGTGGGGACATTTCTTCGCCTATAAGGTTCCTCTCCTAGACGTCGTCTATGGAATAAATATATATAGAGGCGAATAAATGTCTTGAAAAGATTAGCAAACTACTCAAGTTTTCGCCTATAAAAGTCTATTTACTATCTGTTAAAAAGCATGATTTTTGCTCCCATCAAATAGTTACACGAGGTAGCTAAGCTAGGGAGAAATATAATAATACATGTATGTTCTTTCTTTAACTGATCACTGTCTGTTCTTTATCAGAGGTTTTAACATTCAATCTTTTTAAGTAAAAGTACGGATTTCTTATGAGTTTTCTTACTATTGTTTGTTTCTTGTGACTAATTGATTTTTTTACCCGGAAGTAAAATTTTCATATAATTGATAGTTAATTAATATATATACTTATACACATGTCATCAAAATGAGTCCCCAAGTTTAGTTAGCTGTTGTGACTAATTGTTTGTTTCTTATGACTAATTGATCTTTAAAGGTGCATTTTTTTTCTTTTTGGATTATTCATAATAGAATAGTCATTAAAAGTATGGAAACTTGTTATTACTCTGATGGTCTTTTTTTCGTAATACACAACAAAACACGACAATTCTATAAAGTACCATATTTCCGTCTTTTTTTCCAAAATTATACCAGAATTCTAAAATTCCAGTAAACCACAAACTGTATAGGTTCAGCAAAAGAGTTCTTAAAAGCTTAGAAATGAGTCTGTGCGTATTTTATTGTACAAGAAATTAGAAATGAGTCCTAAATAATTTATTGACCCTTCTAAAATTATTTGTGGCATTTTGAAAAATTTCCAAAGTTTTGGTTTATATAGAACCAAAATTTGTTAGGTTATTTTCAGAAAGGTTATAATTAACTTGACTTTATTATATTTTAAAATGGATTTTAAGGGTATATGTATAATTTAATCAGATAAAAAAAAAAATATGTCATCTTTATAATTCAGATCCCAACCCCATATGCCATATCTAAAGCACATCATCATCATTCTTTATTACACTTTTGGTGGGATCTTGTCTATTATACAATGGTGAGTAATTTTTTTTTGCATAATATTTTTAAAAATTGCATCAGTACCCTAAACCGATGTTCGTATTTAAAAAATTGGTATTGTATGTTGAATGTAGTCGACTACATATGAATAAAGTTGGAATTCTACCTTTGAACCAAAACGATCTTCACCCAAGATAAATAGGTGAGTGTTGACCGGTGAGCACAACGTAAGCTATGTGTTGAAGAAAATGGAAAGACTATAAACTGGTTGTGGTGCATTTAACTTGACATCTGAATTGCAGCTTTAAAAAATGCTATTGTTTTTCAGTTTGTTTAACTAATTAATGTTTACTTAATAACTTCATATTAGAAATTCATTAAAAAAATCAAATATGATGAACTGATTACGAACATTCATACGATTTTTCCCTAGATTTATATTCTAATTTATTGAAACTAAAGTACATGGACAAAATACAATTAACAGCACCGGTCTTCTTGTAGATAATGAAATATGGTTTCCAAAGTGAAAAAGAGTCGCTCATTTGCGACTACAATTTTTGGAAATTGGACCAAAATATTATGTAACAAAACGTACTACTTGTTAAAAGAGCTTTACATTTTGCAGTTTGTCTCTACATTTTCTCCACTCTTTTCCTTTTTCTCCTTTTGATCTCTCTCTTATCTCTTCATTGATCACTCGTTTCGTTTTTGGTTTTTGACGTCATCACTCGTTTCGTTTATAAATTGCGAAACCTCTTTTTCAGAAAGGGACCGCCAAAGATAGCCTACTTGCAACATTATTTTAACACACTGCTTCGAGTGGGGCAAAACTCGCCACCGCAAATAATCTTAAATTTTGTTTTTCTCAATAAACAGAAAGGATAAAATTGATAAAAGGACGTTCATGCATGAATCCATCACGAAGACCTTTCCATATACAAAACCATCATGTATACTCTTATCGTTCTTCCTCTGCTTTCCGGTTTTTCCTTGGAACTTCATTTTTTTCACGTAAACTCAACTGTGTGATATCACTGGTGTGATATCATGAATATGATATCATCGCGAAATGATTACTTTATAACGAGAGATAGTCTTAATTGAAAGGTGACCATAGAACCGTACGGTTCTCGATTTACGCAAGAATTACTCACAAAAGTCGTTATACGTACTACATATCATTGTGGTAAATATTTTCGTCAAACATGCGCGTGGTGGCACAGTGACGATATTGCCTCTAGGGCTACGGGCATAACTCGTTACAGCCTTAAGTTAACACTGCGTATGAGCCATTTGTACACATGAGTCAAACGCTTCAAAACCAAATTTGGAAAAGAAAAATAATATGGAATGATATAATGAGGTTACAGGCCTTTGTTAATTAGGTTTGTAGTATGTACTAAATGAAAATTGAAAATTTGATATAATTAATTAATGGTAATAATAGAAGTAAAACGTGGAAGAAATGATAAGGACAGGAAAGAAAAGTAAGAACATTAGTGGTGTGGGAATCTGATTCCTTGTCAATTAATTGCACCGTCCCCCTTCAGCTTTTTCCCTCTTAAGCTTTTTATATCTGTGCAAAAGCTTACTCGTTAATCTTTTTGTACCTGTAAATTACACACACACGCAAATACGTCACACGTGCACAGACAATACATGCACACACATTGTAAATGGAAATAATCGAAGTAGCTAGAGCTTACGAGTTCTAAAAACATATAAGGTAGACAGGTTGTATGAACTCTTTAAAAAAAATTAGTAGAATCAGTGTCTAAATTTCTGTTGTTTTTACTTCTCTTCCACATGATATGATATTAAGAGGGAGATATCTTTTCGTTTGCATTTGTACGATTCAAACTTTTTTTTTGTTGTTAAAGAAACGATTCAAACTTTTATCAAACAAAGTCGGTTTCTTCGTTTCCAACACATAGAGTCGTTAGAAAAAGGACACATAATTTATGTATGGACACATCTGTTTTTATGTGTAAAAGTTTTGACAAAATTATTAAATATTTGTGGCTTTGGACGGTACGATGCATAAACGAATGGGGCTTAATTTGGTGATAGAATATAGAAGTTGTGTGGCCGTTTTGAGATATGCCATAAGTTTATGGATCTAATCTAGAACGTAAAGATTCAGTAACACTTGTTCATACCCATTTGTTAATTTCTTCGAAGTATTGAAGTATTATCTGTTACACGGTATTGAGAACAATTGGATCTGACCAAATTTTTGTTCCAATAATATTTCGTCCATCTCGAATGGCAAAATATATAAGACGTATAACAATATCTATCTATAAATAGAAGTATCATGTTGCAAAAAAAAAGTTTCAATGGGCTTGCAATTTTAACTATGCCGATCAAGTGGATGTAAATATATTATTAAATTTTCAAGAAAAATGCAATCCATATAATATAGTTCCAGGGATCATAACAAAAAGGACAAAACGGATATTAGGTAAAGTACTAGTATAAGTAGCAGGTATAGTGCCAAGCATTAATTTATTTTTGTCTAAATATTTGTATATTAGTCTTTTATCTGATTTTTGTGATCAATCTAATTTTATGTCACAATTTTGAGCTAGAAAACTTGGAAGTCTTTATAATTTGGTGAACAATTGCACCACTCCTACAAACCTCACTTACAAGTTAAAATATAAGAAGTTAATCCAAAAGTCCAGTATTCTCCTGAGCATCAGCTTGTGAACTGGCAGAGGCGGTACGAGGTCCGCTCGTGGAGAAGGAAAGCGTTCTGCTCAGCCCGTTCTGCCAAAAATGGTTCCTCAATGCTTTAAGCTTCGGGTTAACCGTTGAGAAGCTCGGATCCGACAGCAGCTCTTGCATCGCTGTCTTTCCTTCCAAGAGACTCACCACTTGAGACATTGTAGGCCTTAGCGTCGGTGATGCGTTGGTACACATCAGAGCCACATTCAGCATCAGCATGGCTTCTTCTTCTAAGTAATCTGAGCCTAACGTTGGATCAACCAGCTCTAGTAAGCACCCCTTCTCTTGCAAAACGTAAGCCTACATGTATTTGATGCAACAAAAAAAAAGAAGTTAGATACTTTTGGTACTTTTATTATATCATTGAGTTTACATTTACTAAGTGGATGATGAATTGATAGAGATGAGAGTGTGTTTACCCAATCAAGAAGGTAAACAAATTCCTCGCTTGGTCTAAAGTTTGTGTTACTCTTTCCACTTACGATTTCGAGTGCAACGACGCCAAAGCTATAAACATCCGCTTTCTCAGTCAAGTAACCACGCATCGCGTATTCAGGAGCCATATAACCTCTGCATTTCAAATGAAGATATCAAGAAAAAATGTAACCTTAAGAACTCTCTTTGCTTGAGCTTTTATGAGTCTCAAAGAGCCTTACACAGTTCCTGCAATACGGGTGCTGATGTGTGTGTTTCCATCATCATTTAGCTTTGCTAAACCAAAGTCAGAGATTTTGGCGTTGAGATCCTTGTCTAGTAACACGTTGCTTGCCTTTATATCTCTGTGTACAATCTTTATCCTAGACTCTTCGTGGAGAAATGTCAGTCCTTTAGCTATTCCCAAAAAAATCTTCTTCCTTGTTGACCAGTCTAGTTTCAGTCTTGCACTCACTTCCTTCCCTACATAAGAAAATCACACCCCCCACAGAGATTTAGAGCATTCATGCCACCAAATACACTTTGTTCATATACTTTCTCAGAAGCAAATTTCGAGAAAGATACCAAATAGCGCACGAGATAGACAGTTATTCTCCAAATACTCATACACCAATATCAATTGGTTCCCTTCAACACAGCATCCATATAGCTTCACAAGATTTGGATGTTGCAGCGCTGAGATCATTCCTATTTCATTCACAAACTCGCGGTTTCCCTGCCTTGACTTTGCAGACAATTGTTTAACTGCAATCAATTTTCCCTCTGACAATACACCCTACATCAAACAGAAGGACCCACCTTTTCAATAAAACTTTTCATATAGAGCAAAGAAAGTTGAGGAATGCAAGTGAACTACTACCTTATAAACAGAGCCAAATCCACCTTCACCAATCTTCATCGTTGCATCGAAATTATCAGTGGCTGCTTTTATCTGTCGTAGAGTGAAAGTCCCAGTTTGAAGATCTAAACCCCTTAACTCTGTTCAGTCATAGACAAATGTGAGCACATACATACATACATTAAAAAATAACGTTCATCATAAGAAAAAACTAAAGCTTATATACCCTTGTCAATAGCATTCTTGTCACGCTTTGCTTTCCAGAGGAAACCCACAATGATCAATAAAAGAAGTGCTGCTGCAACAGGTATCCCTGCTTTTAGAATAATCTCTTTCTTGTCATGATACACCGGAGGCTTGAAATCTGCCACAAGCAAAAGACCGTCATCTTAACCGCCCAATGAGATTACACGATCCATTTTTAAAAAAAACTGAAACAAGAAAAACTTACTGGGTTCCACTGATATAGCTGATATCATTGGACCATAAACTCCTCTAACTGGAATGCCTGTTGTCCCTTTGCCCGCCCATCTCAAACCGATCTTCAGGTTATTGTCTGTTACATTTACCGTAAATCTTTTTATGACCGGCTTACCGGATCCACCAGCTGCTTCTTGAATGTTGAAGTTTTTAATCGCTAACTTCTCCTGTGAGCAAGAATGCAATATGTTATGGTATTGCGTTTTTCTACAGATCAAGTAAAAAAGACTACTGAATCCATATACGTACCTGAACATAAACATCGAACAAACGTTTGCCTAGACCGTAAAACGTCTTGTCATCGGTAAAGGTGATCTCAGTAAAGTGGAGACTTACATTGTAGTTCCCATTTCCGAGACAGAGTCCGTAGTAAGTCAACGATAAAGGAGAGACTCGAGCTGTCCGGTAAAGCTCAGAGATGGGAGACGAATCGTTAACTGATAGTGTGGATGTGTTGTGCACGCTGTACTCATCAGCATCATCGTCGTCGTCCATGAAGTTCCCGGTGCTGCTAAACCCCCAGTGATTGTCAGCACTAGGGAAGAAGAAAGAAGCGCCTTTGGCTGCATCGTCAGCCTCATATGTTATTCCTTTATCAGTTTTTACTTCACGTCCTCCGCAGTTTATGTACAATTTATATTTATCTACAAGAAAAATATCACGTTTAATCAAGCAAAATGATCTGATCCGCATTTATGATGATGAAAATAAGACAAGCGTTACTGTTTCCTACGGTCTCTCTTAGGACGAAGACAAGGGAAGTGCTGAAGAGAGCAGGATGAGTTCTTGTGTCTGCAACATCAAATCCATAAGTAAAACACATACTGAAAAGACGACTAAGAAACCCCTAAAAAGTCATTGAAAGAGGCATTTATATTACAGAGAGATGGTTTCTTACGCTTTACTCCCCATGAAGAAGCTTTCCACCCAATTCCTAGAAAATGAAAGCAAAACAATGTTGTTTCTTGCGAAGGTGTGAACAAAGTATTCTGGATATAAGAGTGCGTTGAGTTAACTTACGAAGTAACTTGGCCACAACCACTAGTGGGAATTGAACTTGCATCAGTAAAGTTGTTGTAAGAAACATCTCTGCACATCAAGAAGAACAAACACAGTTTTTGTAATCTGAATCAAGTTGGTACAATGGAAATGTAGCAGAGGCATGTATTCATACACGTTTTTGTTTTTTTGAACAAAGGAGGGTGGAATAGCTCCTGTCAGCTTGTTTCCTGTCAAATAACTGAAAGGGAATATTCAAAAAAAAAAACTCTCATGATTAGGAAAAAAAAAAATTCATTTGCCTTTAGGGGCAACGCACTTACATGAAATCGGCTTTCTTCAAATTTTCAAACGATGTCGGAATCTCACCAGTTAGGTGATTAAAACTCAGGTCACTATAAAAAGTAAGCAAAACACAAACTTACAGAGCTGAATCTCACGGAAATATAAAATCATAATAAAGCTATACTTTGGTCAACTCATGACTTACAGTGTTTTGAGCTTCTTCAGGTGCCCAATATACTTTGGAATTGGGTCATTTAAATTGCATTTTCTCAATATCCTGCATTTGAAATTGAATTAAAACGTCTTCTAGCAAAATTATACACTGCATAAACAACACACAAACTGTAATTTTTTTAACTCACAGCGTCTTGATAGACTCCAAGTTATTCAATGGAGGGAAGGGAGACAGTTTGCCTCCTAAATCGCTAATCCTCCTGTCAACACCAACCCACCAAAGAAAAAAAACTATGATGATGAACGATCTTGTCTCAAGAGGAAATCAAATTTTAAAGAAGTAGTTTGTCAATGGTTTACAGGTCGGTCAAACTGGTCAAGGCAGAAATAATGGAAGGTATCGGACCATCCAAACCTGAACCATGCATCTGCCTGCAAAAACACTTCTTTGGTTACTTGAAGACATGCAAAGTACTTATGGAGAAAGAATTAAAATCTTACAGTTTCATTATTGTTGTCCAGTTGCCGATAAACTCTGGTATTCTTCCACTGAAGTTATTATCACTGATCCTCCTACAATTGAGAAAATACAAGAAATCAATTATCCAACAAGGACTAAATTTGTTAATCTGTTGTTAGTCATATCAACCATGTAATACTAAATCCTCTTACATATCAGTCATGTTCTTGAGCAATCCAAGTTCTTCAGGCAATGGTCCAGTGAAAGCATTCGAAGGAAGATGACTGAGGCAAAAAAAAAAAACAGAGAAAATGATAAGATACTGAAAATAAGAAGCCAACTAATTACCAACGGAAAAACCAAAGATTTAAGATGAAAAGAGAGAATATAAACATACAGCCTCTCCAAATGAACCATCTTTCCAATCTCAGGAGGGATTAGTCCTGAAAACAGATTTCCTTCGAGACTCCTATGTGATTTCAAATGATAGAACACATTCAAATACATAAATAGCTATAAAACTCTGAAACCATAATGCAGTGTACTCTAACATAACCAGAAAAGTTTAACAACAACATACAGGTTTCTGAGGGTTGTAAGGCGGGTTAGGACTTTGGGAAATGGACCAGACAGTCTGTTCCCCATGAAAGATCTGTGTATGCGCATCAAACCCACAAAGACAATAGTTAACTCCAGAAAGAAAAACAAAATGATTATATTTCAATTCATTACAGAAGCAATATAAGATATAGAAGATCTTACAAATCTTCTAAGCGCATAGAAGCCCATTCCTTTGGAATGGAGCCAGTCAGATAGTTACGGCTAAGGTCTCTGCACCAAATTGTACATGTTAAAACCCATTTTTCATGATTAAACTTCAACGAAAGTATGAAAAAATTGAAACCTTTGATCACTTACAAAACTTTGAGGTGGCGAAGCTTAGAGAACTCTGGAGGAACAATGCCTGTTAAGTTCTGCGATTTCAAGGCTCTGCAATGATAAACGGGATATATAAAATATAAATTACAGATTTTACCCACAATTATATCAAAAGGTCTTTTTAAACAAAACTACAAGTTTTGGGGCAGAAAAGAAAAACATTTTCAAAACTTTTGGGGTACATATTAAAGCGTAAGTTAGAAAATTAAAAATTTCAAAAACTCAATGAAGTAAAAGAGTTTATGCGGATGAGGTGTGATTGTGATGATATGCTGTCGCATCTACTTAATTTGTAAAACTAACATTCAATTAGTAAGAAAATTACGTTTAGACTGTTTTCTCATTACGCACGGCATGAATCATATTAGATTAACTTTACTGTTTGATAAAACATTTTCAAACCTTGCATTGATTTATTTTTTTAACTTCAAACGCTGCATTAATTAAGTAGATGTTTTAAATCATGCTAGTATACAGTATCTGTTATCATTTCATAAGAGAAAATACGAAACATTTTTGAGAAAACTAAATTTACTGAAAACATTTTAATAAAAGACATTAGTTTTGTATATCAATTTTGATGGTCTTATAGATTTGTTAAGTCCGCTGAAAGTTCTAGTTATTTTGAAATAAAGCCAAACTAAACGCGTAAATGTGATTTTGTTTGAATCGTTTCATTAATTCCGGTCAACGATCAGCTGCCATGTTCTCCAGTCTGGCAAGTAAACTTGTCGCCACAAAGAGACAAGCCAAACTAGAAGGTTCATTAAATTATTACTCTTAATCATCCTAAAACCGGTGTGCGTTAAATCATGTTATATCTAACGAAACCTTCAGACAATAAAACAGAGATACTAAGCTTGTAATATTTTATTTCGTACGTCGCGATTTAAAATTGGATCATAATTTTGTAGTTTCCGAAATAGCACTACAATTTTGTCATTTCAACTCTGTTTTTTGTTAAAAAAATATCATTTCCATTTACAAAAAAAAAAGAATGTTATTTCATATCACCGAGTAAAAAAAAACATTAAAACAGGGTTATATATAGTTAGCGGCTGTCATTAAAGGGCGTGCGTAGTGTGTGTGCAGTTAATGAAAAGATCATTTAATTAACAAACCTACTCACAAAGGAAGTAATTAGTGCTTTCCCGTCGAATGTATTTGTTGTGACCATAAATTTTTCATTACCGCGTTAGCCTAAAATTCCCTTTTATTACTAAAAAGTAGATATAAATGTACGGATGAAATTATTTTCTTTGCAGTAAAAAAAAATGTACGGATGAAATTCCTAAATATTCCATGACAAAGCAAATTCTAACTGTGAAAATCTCAATACTTGTTTTATTTACTGGTTTCAAGGATGAACAGAAGTGAATGTTTATGTCTTGGCACCGACACCAATATTAGACTAAAGATATTTGTATACACCAAAAAACGGTAAAAAAAGAATAAAGAAGATAAGGGGAAGAAGAAGAAGAAGAGACTTACATTCTAACGACGTGGCAAGACGAGTTAGGAGGAGGAAAGGAACAATCACAAGTGATATTACTCTCAAACTCTTTGGCTGTGAAAGTGGTAACAACCCAATTGCCTTCACCACTACATGGATCTTTCTTAAAGTCCCAATCTTTCTTCCCTAGCTTCTTCCCTATCTCCTTTAGTGCTCTCACTTCCCAATTTCATTCAAAATAATAAACAACCATCATCATCAAAATTAGATGAAGAAAGTGCTTTATTTTCCAAATTTCTCAAAATACCCGGAAGGCGACAGAGATGCATACACAAATACGCATGAACGAGATAAGAAAAGGAAGAATCATTTGCTTGATTTCGTAGCTGGAAACGATTAAAGAAAAAGAAAGAGGGTTTTGAAGAGTAGTTAGTTACCTTCCGCCTCGTGGAGTTTAGTGTTATCGGAAAATCCAAGACGCCCATGGAAAATCAATATGAAGACGATGATGATGAAATACTTGCGACGAAAAGAAATCATCTTTTCTTTATAAAAAAAAAATTAATAAAATATTGTATCACTTCTCCGATAAAGGCTTTGTAAGAGATATAGAGAGAAAGACATATGGGATTGGGATTAAGAAGTAGGTAATGGTAATGAGCTTATGGACCACTTCAGTCGTCAGTATTTAATTATAGATATGCTGTACTTTGTAATGCTATTTTATATTCTGTCAACTTATTTAATTAAATACTGTACATACTACTAGATTAGAAGTAGCAGTACAAAATTGTTATGATAATAGTATGTTTGGTTTCTTAAAATCTACGAAATAACAAAATAACTTTTTTTTTTGACACAAACAACCAAACAAAATGTATACATAGAATTTCAAAAACATTTGTAGATATCTCGGATACGTGTAGAAAGTGGTGAAAACTGTCACAAAATACACAATTTTTTTTTACTCGTGTCATGTCGGCTGTTTCAGTCGTTGAGATCGTTTTTCAAAGTTTCATGATTGTTGGTCTGCTTCTATTGGTCCATATGCACGTGTTTAGTAAGTTACGGATGTTGTTTAGCCATTCCTTTTTGTTTCCCTTGGGAAAGATGAGTAAGTTATTTGCTAAACTATTCCTCGCTCACACGCCCCTAGTTTTCATGTCGGTTTTTTTTTTTCATTAACAACCTGTTGAAGAAATAAAACAAGAGCAAAAGAATAACAATAATAAGGCACGGATGGATTGATTTATTCACGTGTTTTTTAAAAAAATGGAATTTTTTTTTACTTTCTACCAGTGAGTGACCACAAGATTAGTCTATGTTTTGTCGATCGTTAAAAAAAAAATGTTTTTCTGTTAAAAGTATATTTTTAGTTATCAAAACTATTAAATGTTTAGCCGGCAAACAATAAAAAAAGGGGAATCGAATTTGGAGTGATTGATTATTTTAGCGGATAACCGAGTCTCATCAATTATTGTAAAAAAGAAAGAAAATAGTATTGATTTTCGTTTCAAACTTTCAAAGACCAAATACGACCTATCCCTTTGCATTATTGGTTTAGCTTTTACTTTGGCAGGCGTCCAGTCACACTTGGAAGCAAAAGGACACGCAAACATGTACGACTCTGACAAAAAACAGAGAGAAAATGTTTAAAAGAACTTTATAAATTTAGCCTTGTTTATTTGTCATCTTGTTGAGTTGTGGAGCCATTAAAATGGTTCAAGACCTGATGATAGTTTAGAACAAATGATGCAATCAGAGTCTTGATTTCAGACGCAGAGTTTCGTCCTCGTTTTTTCCGTCGAGAATGTCAACTTCTAAACCGCCTAATTAACTTGCTTCTAATTATTGGCTGGATAATTGGGTCCATTTGATTCCTAGCAGAACGAGACTGGTGGGTCTACGTAGGACAACTTTTTTATTTTCCACTTTTGCTTTTAGATAAAATATCCATTAACAACAAATAAAGAAAAAGAGATGGTACTATAGTAGTCTTTTATTATTTTACGCGTATATATATAGTTAATGATCACGTTCCGTGATGGAGTCTCTGTATGGCAGTTTCACTTAACGTGGCTTCCGATGCGTACAACGATGCCGTCAATGTCCCGCACGTACCCAACCTTCTGGCCCCATTCCTTGTCCTCCGGCTGGCTCACTGCCACCGCACCATTCTCTACAGCCCTCTACACAATGCACAATCTCACTCACACTATCAACACAACATGAAGAGGCCAGTTTGCATAGAGAGAGAGTAGAATTGAGTTAATTAATTACCTTGAAAGCGGCATCAACATCGGGGTAACAGAAACAGACTTCGATGGGTGCTCTCTCACGGGCTGATTGCGTAGACTGAACCTTTCCGGTTAGGTCGTCCGTCTCATGCTGGTGAAGCGGTGTGAATGCTATCGTCGTTTGCCCGCTCTCTAGCTCCCCCCACCTGTATGCATCAATAATTTTTAAAAAAATTAAATATACAACCAGCGAAAATATGACCAAAAAACAAAGAAAAAAATGAGCGAACCCATAACTCCAAAGTCCAAACCCGGGCAGACAAATATGCATGTTACCATTAAACACAGTATGGAAGCAATATATTTAGTGGCTATCGAATATATTTTGCTATATTCCCTAAACTATCTAGGGTTATGTATGGTCTATACCGTCTATTGAACAAATATGATCACATGGAAACATTTTGAGAAAATTAACAGAATTCAATTTTACAAACCTGTGGGACTCGTCAAGACGACGGACGTTGTGACCAAAGGCTCTAGAGTAGAATTCTACGGATTTAGCGACATCCTTCACGTACACAACCGTGTAAGCAAACGCTGGTCTCATCATATTCGACGCCATTCCTTTCAAAATCCTTCTTGTTTCTGATTCTGATACCGATCCGATTCGACACAATGCTAATTGTCAAACCTCTCGTCTAATTGTAAAATACATATAAGATCTCTCTTTACGGTGAGCTCAACACGTGGGCGACTGCATGCAGCTCCGCGTCTAGCCTGCCTTCTTGCTGCCACGTAAACTTTTGCATATATAGATTGGGCCTATTTATTACAAACGGGCTTTTTGCCCTTGATTATATATTTTTTTTTAATTATTCTACAGCCTTTCCGTCTTCTATCACTTGAACATTGTTGTTCATCGACCAGAATAAAGCTTAATTTTTGATAGATACTCCTATCATTTCAATATTTTTTTAACGGAATTTTATCTATCTAATGATTTTATAGAATTCATTAAAAGAGCCATTATGAAAATTCCTCAACATGTTCTGAAGCATCCAGTTCTAAGCCTAGACACTCGAATATAGTCAAATACTATCCCATTCCAAACACTCGAAAAACCCAAATCCTCACTTAACTGAGAAAGCCATCTAACACCGTCGATTGTAATTAATCAACGATCCATATTATTCCTAAAGCTTTCTCGCGGATCGCAATCTTTAGCCCTTGAAAGAAGATGGATCGAACGGTTACAATTGTGTCGTGGGTAGGCTCCCCTTTCTATATATATGTCAATCCCCTCCTTTCTCATCGATCCTTCAAGCTGCTATCGAAATTAGATTTTCTCTGATACTTTCTCAAGAGCATTCTTAGATTTTCAGGTATGTCATTCTTAGATTTGAATGCTGCGTTTTTAACTCGCTCGCGAAAAATGTTCGTTAAATTCAATCTCAATATGATTTCGCCAATCTCTTGCATTTTCGCAAATCCAATCTCAATATTGATTTTGAAACCTAGGTTCTCTTTTCGTTTTCTCTAGCTGAATGGCGACAATTGAGTGGATTCCTGCTGAATTCCTTTTTTTCTTTCTTATTCAGATCTTTGGAATCTACTGCTGAATCTGTGAAGAGATGTCAGGAAGAGGAAAGGGAGGGAAGGGATTGGGAAAGGGAGGAGCAAAGAGGCACAGGAAGGTGCTGAGGGATAACATCCAAGGCATCACCAAGCCTGCGATCCGTCGTCTTGCTCGTAGAGGAGGCGTCAAGCGAATCAGTGGTCTGATCTACGAAGAGACCAGAGGAGTCCTCAAGATCTTCCTCGAGAACGTCATCCGCGACGCCGTCACCTACACCGAGCACGCCCGGAGGAAGACGGTTACCGCCATGGATGTCGTCTACGCTCTCAAGAGGCAAGGACGTACCCTTTACGGTTTCGGCGGCTAATCGATGTTGATTTTTTTAGGAATTGGGATTAGGGTTCTGAAATGTGTGTGTTTCCATTTGATAAGAGGGAGTAAATCCAGCAAGTAGCTATCGTTTCGTTTTCTGCTGTGTCGTCGTTAGTCGATATGATCTTGTACCTAAAATCTCAGCAAAGCTATACTGAGAATTTCTAATAGAAAGTTGAGATTGATTCCCAAATTGTTATCGTTTTGTCTTCACCTTCCTTCAAATTATTATCCCAAATTCATAATTCACTCTGGACGCCAAACAAAGCTGAAATTTTGTTGACATATTGTAATGAGTCAAATAATGTTTTACGAATAAATATCATCCAAATCAGTATTCAGCAGAGGAATGAATGTCTTTAAGATATTAGGGACTTAAAAGAATCAATACCACATTACACATGAAAACGCATAACAATGACCTATAATGTCTTGGTTGAAAAATTATTTCCGTCTGTGTTGGGGAACCACATGAGAGCCAAGTTAGAAACGTTTTTATCAGACCAAAAATTATCGTCTAGAAATGAAAAAGAAACAAACGAGGCTGAGTTAAGCAACAAAGTGAATTTTCAGCTAAAACTAACGAAGTCTAATAATGCTTAGTTTATCACTTCGTACTACTCCGCCTTTTGCTTAGCGGAGGGAGTGCGAGGTGAGTAGCGGTAGCCACTGGTGCACCTTCCCACAAACTTGAGCACTTCATCTATCAGAATCACTGGAAGCGACACTGCCAACACCAGCAGCCACTCGTTCAAGCTCAGCGGCACTATCCCAAACACCTGAGCCAGGAACGGCACGTAGAGTATCACAAAGTGGAGCCCGAACGAGACCGCCATTGCCAGGAGCAGCCACGGGTTCACCCACGGCGGCATCGTCACCAGGCTGCCGTCTTCTGAGAGCGCGTTCAGGGAATTGAACATTTCAATGGCCACCAACACCGAGAGTGAGAGCGTGGATGCCTTTATTTTCCCCTGATGGAAATACTCGCACGGGTTCGAGTCGAATGAGAAAGTCTGGGATCCTGCTGTGAAAGGAGACACTTTGAAGCCTTCCCACGAAGCGCATTGGCCCCAATTAGCGAGCTGTGAATAGCTCACAAGGCTGTGACCGTCTTGGCTCAAGTCTATGCCCATGAAGCTGCTGTGTGTGTACCATATGATGAATACTCCCACCGTTGCTACTCCCACATACAGACCAATCACCTGCAGGCAAGTGCACAGTGTTAGCAAAAACCACAAGAGAAGATGAACAAAGTGGAGACAAAAGAGATGTCCGGTTATGATGCATACCAGATAACGGAAGAGGATCCAGGCAGTGATGAGCGAGTCATCGCTTCTGCGAGGAGGCTTCTTCATGATATCCTTGTCCGGCGGGTTGAATCCCAAAGCCGTAGCTGGAGGACCGTCCGTTACAAGATTCACCCACAGAAGCTGAACTGGGATCATGCCTTCTGGGATTCCAAGTGCAGCTGTCAAGAATATCGATGCAACCTCACCAATGTTGGAAGAGATCATGTACCTTTTTTTATTCATCACAGATAGTTTGAATAGGGTCAATATCGTTATAACTCAAGCCACCAATACGATGAAGTTATACGTAATAATACAAAACCCACCTTATGAAGGCTTTCATGTTGTTATAGATGGACCTGCCTTCACCAACAGCTGCCACAATTGTGCTGAAGTTATCATCTGCTAACACCATGTCAGATGCCTCCTTTGCTACCTGCAAATATAATCACAGAGCTTTAGAAAGCTGATAGAGCTATCATCATCCCGCTGTTGAAAATGAAAGAGAAGAGAGACAAATACCTCTGTGCCAGAAATTCCCATAGCCACACCAATATCAGCCAACTTCAGGGCAGGAGCATCGTTGACTCCATCCCCAGTCATGGCAACCACTTCTCCATCTTCTTTGAGTAACCTAACAATCTCTTGTTTGTGCTTTGGTTCAGCCCTCGAGAACAAAAGCCCTCCAGTTTGTCTTAGATGATTCTTCTGATCTTGAACATCCATAAATTCTTTCCCGGTCAAGCTTCTTGAAGAGATATCTTCACCTTCTTCAAATACTCCGATTTCACGGCAGATCGCTTCCGCTGTGCTCTTGTTGTCTCCCGTAATGACCATGACCCGGATACCTGCTGTTCTGCAGTCTGCAATGGCTTGACGCACCTCTTTCCTCGGAGGATCCTTCAATCATTGAAAAGGTAGAGCATGAACAATCACCAAAGAAGAACAAGAAAGAACCAAAGAATATCATGGTGATGGCGACTCACCCTTAAACCAACAAATCCAACAAATGTTAAATTGGACTCAATAGAAGAATAATTGGATGGGTTGAGAAGTTGCTGGTGAGCAGGATGGTCTTCATTGCCATCGTAAGTGGAGAAATCTGATGGAACATCTGAATACGCAAATCCGAGACATCTTAATGCATTCATGGACATATCATGTAGGCTTTGTAAAATAAGATCCCTTGAGTATTGGTCAAGTTCTTCAGTGGAACCATCAAGTAACTGAATATGTGTACTCCTTTCCAATACATTTTCTACCGCACCCTGCAAAATTTAAAGATCGGTCACTTAGGTGCTGAAAAAAAAGGAGGGAACAAAGGTTTTTTTCACTAATAACATTTTAACATGCATCCATACGAACCAAAGCACAAGCACTGTAACCATAGATAAAAGGTTCTCCAAAGTATCACAGGGTCAAAAACACAAACCTTGACCAGTAGCAGTTTATTTCCTGAGCTGGAATCCACCATAACTCCCATTGATTTCCGGTCGCGATCAAACTCAAGAGTGGCGATCCGTTGCTCTAGTTCACTCCATAGCCGGCAACAACCTTCAATAATGTAAAAAAAAAAGGTAATCTACATGATTTTAGCATCTATAAAGCTGTGGAAAACATGAGTAACAAAATATACTTCACACTACATACGTAAGACATCGCCATCAGCCAAAGACGAAGCTTTATTCGATCCTTCGGGAAATCCCATTTTCTCAACCAAAACCTGCTCAAGGAAACAAACACATAGAAAAATAAAACATATCAACATTTAACACCCGTTGAAATTTGAGGACAACAAATAGAAAAGACTATTTAGTTAAGAAGACCGCTTTACCTTCAAAGCTGCCTCAGTAGGCATGCCCCTGCTCACGAATTGAAGGTCAGATTGCTCGACGCTAGCATCGTTGCAAATGGCAGCAATTTTTGCAATCATCTGAAGATTTGCATCCATCCGACCCACAGGCCAATCTTCAATCTTTCCATCTCGAGGATCAAACGAGGTCCCCTCAACACTGAAAGATCGAAGGGTTCCAATTCTAGAGCCCATAGCGACTAGCTTTGAGACAGCCATCTGATTGGTTGTCAGAGTTCCAGTTTTGTCAGAGCATATCACAGTTGTGCATCCAAGAGTCTCCACACTGGGCAATTTCCTAACAAGAGCATTCTTCTGAGCCATCTTCCTTGTCCCAAGAGCCAAACATGTGGTAATAACTGCTGGCAGACCTTCTGGAATTGCAGCAACGGCCAATGCAACAGCAATCTCAAAGTAGTAAGTGCACTTCTCGAAGGAGAACTTAAAGTTTCTGGGCCAGCCATCAACATACTCCCAGGAAAGAAAGTACTTGACATTGATGAGCCACACTAACGCACAGATCAACCCAATGATCATTGTCAGAGCTTCCCCGAACTCGTTAAGCTTCTTCTTCAGAGGGGTGTCTTCCTCGTGTTGTGCAGCTTCCTGAATCTGTGAGTGCACCCTTCCAATCTCAGTGCTCATCCCAGTGTCCGTAACTAAGCATACGCAGTTCCCATTCACAACGGTGGTTCCTGCAAAGACCATGCATTTCTTTCCCTGTATATCGGCGTTCTCCTCCACGGGCTTGGTGGTTTTGCTCACCGCCTCGCTCTCTCCCGTCAAGGAACCCTGCTCGACTCTCAGAGTTGAGCTGATCAAAGCCACCACACGCATATCAGCAGGCACCTTGTCACCAACCCTCAGCTCCACAATGTCACCAGGAACAAGCTCCTTCGCAGGCAAACTGGATACTTTAATCCCATCGCGCATGACAGTTGCTTGCTGAGACTGAATCTCCTTCAAAGCCTCCAACGCCTTCTCGGCGTTAGTTTCTTGCCAGATGCCGACAATGGCATTGACGATTAAGATCAAGAAAATGACAAGCGGCTCAACGAAAGCGGTGATCCCCATCTCGCCTCCTTCGTCGCCATCAAAAAAGGCCAAGACAAAGGAGATAACGGCGGCCGCCAAAAGAATACGAACCAATGTATCATTGAACTGTTCCAGTATCAACTTGAAAATTGATGTGCCCTCAGGCTTCTCCAGCTCGTTCAAACCATAGATCTGATGCCGCTTCAACACCTCATCAGTAGGCAACCCTTTCTCACGACTCACGCCGAACTTCTCTTCGCATTCGCCAACATCTTTAGCCCAAGCAGGAAAAGTATCGGATTTTAAGCTTTCCTTCTCCCCGAGATCTTCCGATCCTTTCCCCATGAATTCCCACTAGCAGCAGAAACAGATTCGTCAATTCGCGGAGAAACTACCAGAAGATCGCCAACGCTTACGGCTCGACTGCAACAATTATAAAAATATTTAATTAATTATTTTGGGAACGAATATCCAATATACATCCTCTGAATTGCTAAGAAATCAAATATTCTTCACTCTAAGAACAACAAAATCTAACTGAATTATTCAAACATTTATCTCAAACAAATCATGAAGCAAAACTGGATCGAAGAATCTGTAGATAGAATCAGTGTTCTCTTTCTATTCCAGACTATAAGCGCAATTGTAGATCTGAATCATGACAAGGATTACCTGGCACGATAAAAGCGGGAAATCAAATAAAAATTCAAGAGATGAACAAAAGAGTTGAAGATCGTAAACTAAGTTTACCAGAGAGCTAGAGAGAAAGGAACTTCCCGCTGCAAGCAATCGCACGCAGGAACGTCACTGTGAGAGATTCTCTTTATTAGGAAACCGGTGATGATCATACAGAAGCTTTTGAAGCCCAATTGAAACCGTATGAGTTTATCCTCTTCGTGTTATCCTTATCTAATATAGATCTTATTTGGGCCTATAAATAAGGCCCGCAAATTTACTTTTACATTGGGTAAAGTGTGCACCTGTTTGTTTCACTAAACACAAGTTTAAAAATTAACGTTAATTATGGCACACTAATAAGAGAGAAAAAGTTAATCAACACAACAATAACCCATAAGTTTTTTCATGGCTTGACACATCAGCATTTTCAAGCTTTTACGAGATGACATTTTAGCAAAAAAAAACACCAATAAAAACATTTCATTAATACAAGTCATCAATTTATTTTAACTTTTAAATTTAAACCTATTAAAAACTTAACTATTTTTTATTGTTAATTTTAGTTTTATTTTTTGGTCAAGCCCAAGTCCAAATAATAAATAACAGCAGATAAAAAAAAATTTGTTTTATTTTTTTAACAAACCCAAATAATAAATAATAACAAATAATAAAATTAAATCTTTGTTTTATATTTTTGCCAAACCGAAACTCAAATAATAAATAACAACAAAAAAATTAAAATTTCTAACTATGTGTTTGCTTGATAGAGATGTATATGATTGAAGAAAGTGTAGACTCATCATCAACTATGCTTCCATAACAACAATGCAAAAAGCGTTATGTTACAAGAAGCTCACACATCAGCAAGAATTTGAACCAATAAAAACATAACAATATATTATTAACACATTAATAAAATCAATTTACTATTTTGTTGACCTATTAAAAAGCCCAAAGTTTACAAAAAAAAATGAAAGGCGAAAGCAAATGAGGAGAAACTCAGACCATTACAGCTTGGAGATTCGCATTTCCACTGGTTACCGAGAACAATTTTTTTGGGTTTGGTGGAAATAGAGAATTTCTTGGTTTTGGTAGAAAAATGTGATTTTCAGTTTTGGTAGGAAAACATAGTTTCTCGGTTATGGCGGAAAAAAGCGAATTCTCGGGTTTGGTGGCAAAATATGAATTTTTGGTTTTAATGAGAAATAAGAAATTTGATTTTGACGAGAAAATGTGAGGAAAATGCAACTTTTCAATTTTGACAAAAATTACGATTTCTCGGTTTTGATAGAAAATATAATTTTTCGGCTTTTGATGGATAATGTAATTTCTTGATTTTTGTGAAAAATTGTAATTTGACAATTTTGGCAGAAAATGCAATTTTTCGGGTTGATAGAAAAGTAAAATTTCTCGATTTTGGCGGGAATAAACAATTTTTTGGTTTTGATGAGAAATGCAAATTTTCAGTTTTTGACATATAATTTGATTTTTGGTTTTCGAGAAAAAATATGATTTCTTAGTTTTCGTGAGAAACGCAATTTCTCAAGAGATAATACAATTTTTAGTTTTTGCGGAAAATTGTAGTCTATCGGTTTTGGTAGGAAGGCGTGATTCTTGATTTGACGAGAAAAATATTGTTTTGGTGGGAATAGACGATTTCTCGATTTTTGCGGGAAAATAATTTTTTGGATTTAATGGAATAATACAATTTTTTGTTTTTGCAAGAAGATGGATTTTTTTGGTTTTGGTGAAAAAAACTTGATTTCTCTGTTTTGACGGAAAAACACAGGTTCTCGCGGGAAAATGTGATTTTTTGGTTTTTGAGGGAAAATGCAATTTCTTTGTTTTGGTAGGAAAATGAAATTTCAGGTTTGACGAGAAAATGAATTTTTTTTTGTTTTGGCGGGAATAAGCGATTTCTCAGTTTCGTGGGATTTTTTTTTATTTTATCGGAAAATACAATTTCTCTATTTTTATAAAAAGATAAAATTTCTCTGTGTTAAATTTTCAAGTTATAATATGTTTATAGTAACCAAAATTGAATTATTTAAATTAACTAAATTGATATTTCAACAGTTCAAATAGAACTTTTTATTTAGTTCTAAAGTAATAGTAATGATTTTGATATAAATATTATTGATTATAATTTCATAGTTTTAGAAACATATGTCTATAATAAATATTTCATAAATAAATAAATTTTATAATTTAAAATAATTATATTAATTAATATTTTTTTTCAAATGGTAATTTGCTTTATATAAGTTCAAAGGAGGATCAAGTAGCAATTTAGTAGAAAAAATAAATTACATTTACCATTAGTTTGAATGTACTTAAAAATGTATTGTTTTATTCTTACATATACATTTATAGATAGTTAGCTAAACAAATTTGATAGTAGATTATAATTAAAAAAAATAAAAAACTTAATGATATATAATGATTATTCAGATTTAAAACATATAAATATACAACTTCAGCTAATAAAAAATAAATATAATATTCATTTAAAATATATAAATAATTTTATTATATTAAAAATATATATAAATCTAGAAAAATATCTCGCAGCATAGAGCAGGTAAATACCTAGTTTTCAATTAATAATAACTCAACAAATAATCAAAACCTCAAACGTAGTTTTCTAAGGATAAAACTAAGCTTAACTGTTATTGAGGGGAAAGACTTTGGAAACCCTTTTTTGGTGCTTAACTCGTTAGTGTAGTTTGTTTTACTATTGTTACCCGTGAATAGCACAATAACAGTTGAAACAATTGGATTAATGAATTATTCTTTAGATTAAAAAATATTAATTACAAGAAATTTATTCATCTTCCACATTATTTACTACATTTTTATATGGGTTAAAATTCATCGTCCATATTATCATCCGTCCCAAAACACGATCGGATCAAACAAGCAGAGGCCGTAACCATAACCGCGGCGAAAATGGAAGGCACAAACAAATCGAAGCGGGATCTCTTCACCATGTGAGACGGAATACACACATTATCTCCCGGAAAATCCATCGGAATCTTCACGAAGCCATCTCCTCCGCCGCAGGAAGACGAAACCGTCGAAACAAACGCCAGCTCCGGAGCGAAAGAAGCGACGGCGACAGTAAACATGAGTAGAATCGTCCACGTGGCAGCTTGAATGATGACAGGCCAGCGCGCGGAGACTCTCCGGAGAAACGGCTCCATTATCGACGGAAGGCGGTAATACATTCCGATGTTCACGATTCAAAGGGTTTTTGTTATTAAAAAAAAAGAATTAGGTGTTGTTGTGAGAAAACGAAAAGATTGTGGGATCGTCGATGAGCAAAAGCAAAAGCAAAATCTTTGATGTTGCGGTTTTTGGAAATGGAAAGGGATGCTTCTTGCACGTTTAAACTAACTGATCTTTCTTTCAACAAAGACAATTAGTTCAACTAATGACGGATTTGTCCTTCCCTTTGAACTCTTCTCTTCTTTTGCCCTTCCTTTCCGGGTCTTCTCCTTCCCCTTTCAGACTCCCACGTTTTCTGTCTACCTTTGCAGCAACAGTTCTGTTTTTATTTTTTACATATATAAATAAATTATTTTATTTTTTTGAACTTAGTACAAGTAGTTAGAACGGTCGTATAGAAATAAATTATTGTCAGCTTGTGTTTTTATTTTATTTATTCTTTGGATATAAACAATTTTCAGACATATTTGTTCTCCATAATTTGGATAATGTAGTTATGCTAAGAATTTGGGGTTGGGATTGAGTCAGGAGAAATTTAATATGATTACGACAGTGATTTTTTATGCTTTTTTTTGTGCGTTTACAAAAACTCTTTTCATTATAGTTTAAGTGGGTTCACCTAAATCTGATGGTAATGGGGTGCGTGTGACAGGACGATTACGATAGGTGAAGTTAGCAGCTAAATCTTCAATTCACTCCTTTTCAATGTTTCAAATAAGATGCAATTGAAGGATCAAAATGGACTCTGCTCCTTTTGGGAATATTAGAAAGCAATAGCATTGGCGAAATTTTGGCAAGATTTCGTCCAAACATATATTACAAACCCACACACACAAATGTAGTAAAGGATATCTCTGAATTCATTTGGTTATGAGAGAAATTAATAATGATCGTGGTGAAGAAGCCCATTGGGCCTGATATGTAGCCTAAAACGCAGCGCATAGACATCCTTCCTTTGTTTTTTTTTTTTTTTTTTTTTTTTAATTTTCTTGTAGCTCTAGTATAAAAATCGATAAGAAAACCCTAGCGTTCTCTCTCTTCTTGCTCTCTTTGCTTTATTCCGTCACTGAGCGCCCTGCCTCTCGAGCTGCCAATCTTAGGTACGATAGTGTCGACTTTCTGAGCCTATTCATTCATATTGAGAAGTTAGCGAGCTCCTTCATATGCTCGATAGATGATTGATCTTGGGTTTTGTTTATCTCTTGTTTCGCATCAGAGGATTTAGGATCTCAGGGCTTGTGTTATGATTTTAGCCTCGTTGGGTAACATTTATAGTGAATATAGGATGGAATTAGTTATACTTATCTATCGTTTTTGTGTTATGTTTCTGGATTTTTAGATTTCCCTTACTCAATTCTATGATTTTGTTTGCATAAGTTTTCCATTTCCCATCAAAATCGATTTTTATGATGCAAAATTATGTGCATTGTATCATGAATGAGTTGCGGTATTATGGTTTCTGATTAGTTACTTGACTTTTGTTAACTCAAGCTCTTGTTGCCTGTGTTACTTATAGATTTAGCAGAGGCTTGAGCTTAAGGGAATATGGTGAGAATCAGTGTTCTCAACGATGCTCTCAAGAGCATGTACAATGCCGAGAAACGAGGCAAGAGGCAGGTCATGATCAGGCCTTCCTCAAAAGTGATTATCAAGTTTCTTATGGTCATGCAGAAGCACGGTATGCTTTTTTTCCCCACTATTATAGTATACAATTTCCCAATGTCCTTGAGTTTCGTTCTTTAGGTTGTTTGCTTATCAGTGATCACCCAAATGCAGGTTACATCGGTGAGTTCGAGTATGTTGATGACCATCGATCTGGCAAAATCGTTGTTGAATTAAACGGAAGGTTGAACAAGTGTGGTGTTATCAGCCCTCGTTTTGATGTTGGTGTCAAGGAGATTGAAGGTTGGACTGCCCGTCTACTTCCTTCCAGACAGGTTCGGTTTTCTTATACCCTGTTCTAGTTATGATAGCATGTTTTGCTATGGCGTATACATAGTCAACTGATTGAAAGGTCTTGATAGAGGTATTAATGGATTTCAACTACTGAAAATGTGTGCAGTTTGGGTACATCGTTCTGACTACTTCCGCGGGCATTATGGACCATGAAGAAGCCAGGCGAAAGAATGTCGGAGGCAAGGTTCTCGGTTTCTTCTATTGAAGTTTTATGGGGAGAGAGATTTTCATTTCGTTATAAATTGTGCCCTCCATTTTCTTTGGAACTTCCTTTTGTCTTTCTTTCGATTTTTGTGTTAACTTTGTTGGATAGTTTTTAAATTACTCTTTTTGTTCTCGAGTTCTTAAAAAGATTCATTTGGACTTCAAATGCTTGAATTAATTATTCTGAACTCTGCATAAAAAGGTATCGATGCGCAGGCACAATGTGTAGCCTGAGTTATTTTATGCCAAATCATGAATGAGAGGTGTTTATATTGAAATCTAAGTGATTTAATCATCTCAACTATCTCATTCACAATTTGGTTTAAGATATAAAAATTTCAATTTGTTAATGCAAGAAAACCCTTTTATATTAGCTGAAGAAGAAACTAAAGCAATGGCCGGGCCTAATACAATTTTTTTTTGCGGATAAAGGTAGACAATAGTAATAGCTATTAGCTAACACATCGTAGTTGTAATTTTATAAAGAAACCTGAAAACAAAACAAAAAACTCTTCAAGAACAGCAAGAAACAAGAACCGACTGCCAAAGGGTACATAGTTGCCCAATTTCTAATGCTATTTTTTTTCCCGTAAGATCGATCACACCTTATTAGAAAATGGTCTTCACTGATCACTCTCCCGTCTCCGGCCAAATCTCCGTGGCGGTCTCATCTCATCTCCGGTGCCGGGAGCTCGGAAGTTCCTTCATATAAATATGTAAGTGATGAAAGAGAGAGAGAGAGAAAGAAGGGAAAGTTTGATGAGCATCATCCATTGATGGCCTTTACGACCTCAAACGAGAGGCCAAACGAGAGAGACGTTTCATTTTGGGTTTAATAGACCAAAAAGTGGTCATTGGAGAGAGTATCTTTGCAAGCATATGCTTCGAACCATTAACTAAGCTGACCTGAGACCCATTATTACTACTTTTAATTTTAGGGTATTCTTCTTCCACCTTTTTTGCTGTATATTATAAATATATATATTAATTATAGAGGTGAGTAACATGGGTTTCTCGCCACGAAAGTAGAAAGAAAGTGAGGTCCTCTTTGCCTAGTTGTTTCTCGTTGGACTCCTCCTTCTCACTCTTCGTTCTGTCAATTTGACGAGGTTGCCAAAACTGGTTCACTTTTTAATTATCTTGGAATTTAGGTTCTGTTGGTAGGTTCTCTACCGAACACGATAATTCCATTAATGAAAACTCCCTAAATATTTTTCTCGTATTAATATTTTTTTTTCACATTTTTTTCCTTTCACAAATTGTTTTTGTAAAGAGTAGATACGAATGACAGTCTTGCGTTTGGCGTTTACATTAACCATACGCAAACTGATTAGAATATTGGAAACTGTTATATTATTTTGAAACTAATGTAAAGAACAAAGATAAACAAACAAACAATCGGAAACCTTATATTTTTGTTTAGTTTGAAAACAGTTTTGTCAGATTCCATACATATTATGACAACACAGAAGATTGTACAATGGTTACCAAAAAAGAATGAACTATGATGACAATGCTTTTGGGAGGAAATTAGACACTCTTAAAAGAGAGACAAACGAAGAGTAAAAGTTCATAATCATCAAAAACCAGTTACCTTATACAAAATTATAGGAAGTTGTCTAATGCAGATTGGATATGCAGCCGGGATACATGGACGTTGAGAAATAAATAGGATAGTAATCATAGTTATTAACGTTATTTTGATCTTTATAATCATCCGAGTGGCTGTAGTTTAGTGGTAAGAATTCCACGTTGTGGCCGTGGAGACCTGGGCTCGAATCCCAGCAGCCACACTTATTTTTTTCATTTTAGATTTTTCATTTCATTTGGGCTTGTAACTTCTCTGCTAAAAACCCTTGCCACTTCTGGTGCTGGGCTTAAATTCGGGGAAATTTATTCTTTCGGGTGAGAGAAGTAAGTAGACTTGATATAAAAATTAATTAAATTAATGGATAAAAAAATTTGCTTGTCAAAAATATTAATGGGTTTTATTATCTTTACCTTTTCTGCCAAGGAAATTCTGTAATTAAATAAGGATCACAAGATTTTGCTGTCAAAAGAATAATCGGAATTTATCTCTTACGTTTTTGTCACTAATCCGTCATGTTTTGCTCATTATGATCAAATAAAAATTCAGTAACAGACTGTTGTCAATTGTATTATTGGATAAATCCTTAATACTCTAAGATAATATGCAGTCAGCAGATTTCCATCCTAAAAAAACAAAAGAAGAAATATAATATTCTAGAATATGAACAAACGATAAGATAAGACAAGATTTTTCATTTCATCCTTTAGTCATATTCCTATCCAAAGGCCAAAAAGGAAACAAAATATTTAGTTTACTAGACTGGAAAATAAGGTGACAGATATGAAAAAGTAATATTCTAACGGATTTGATCATCCAATAATACAGCACGTTCAGTAAGCCCATTTATTAAATAAGTTTTATATATTGAAATAAGTTTCACATCGTCTCACAAAGCATCTTTATTTGGTAGAGTCAAATTCAATAATTATAAATACCCAGATAAAAAATAAGGTAATAAGATCTTGCCATCTTGGACATAAAGAAATAGATAAAATTTTGATTAAAACATTAATTACAGTAGTTATCCGGAAGTAAATGATATCGTAATCAGAAACTCTCTGTTTATCCCTGAATCTATCTCCGTTACAAAAGGATTTACCCTCTCCCCTCTTGTATATAAAGCGTCGCATCTCCTTCACATTGTCATATCAAAAGTTCACTTTTACTAAAAATTCTTTTCTTCACTCTTTTCGTCGCCGATCTTTGAGTTTTTAGTGAGAAATTGTAACGATGGAGTTGGATCTTACACCTAAGTTGCCGAAGCAGGCTTATGGAGGAGATGGAGGATCTTACTCTGCGTGGTGCCCAAAAGAGTTGCCGATGCTCAAGGAGGGTAACATTGGAGCCGCAAAGCTTGCTCTTGAGCAGCACGGCTTCGCTGTTCCTCGCTACTCTGATTCCTCGAAGGTCGCCTATGTTCTTCAAGGTTCGGATTCTCTTCAAAGTCGTCGACTTTATTGTGATTCATCTGTTGTTTTGTATAATGGGTTTAATCGATTTCGTAGCTCTGTTTCGAGTTTCAACGTCCTTTGAGGTTTTTGATCCTCTCTATGTTCTGATCTTTTCAATTTTCTTCCAAAGTTGCCAACTTTTTAGTGATTCGTGTGTATTTATCTCGAAATTTACTGGGCTATTGGGTTTATTGTGATCTCCGCGATCTATAATCTGATCGGATTCCTGTATGATCGGTATCACTCTAGTTTCCTGATTCCAAAAACTGTAAAAAGTGAAAGTATGATCGCTGCTAATACAACAGCCAAATAGATCACGGCTACTGTGTGCCAACAAAGTAGTCTTTTGCATTTTTTGCTATCTTCTTTCTTAATCATGTGTTCATCGTTGATCTAATCACCTAGCGTGTAAGGAATCGAATTGATTGTGACTTTAACTTCAATTTTGTTGATTCGATTTCAGGATCTGGAACAGCCGGAATTGTCCTTCCTGAGAAGGAGGAGAAGGTGATTGCCATCAAGAAAGGTGATTCGATTGCCCTTCCCTTTGGTGTGGTCACGTGGTGGTTCAACAACGAGGAAACCGAGCTTGAAATCCTCTTCCTCGGCGAAACCCACAAGGGTCACAAAGCCGGAAAGTTCACGGACTTTTACCTCACCGGCTCAAACGGAATCTTCACCGGTTTCTCCACTGAGTTCGTGGGCAGAGCCTGGGACCTTGATGAGAGCACCGTGAAGACACTCGTCGGTTCTCAAACCGGGACGGGCATTGTGAAGCTCGATGCGGATTTCAAAATGCCACAGCCCAAGGCTGAGGACCGTGATGGGTTTGTCTTGAACTGTTTGGAGGCTCCTCTTGATGTGGACATAAAGAACGGTGGCAGAGTCGTTGTGTTGAACACCAAGAACCTTCCACTGGTTGGGGAGGTTGGGTTTGGAGCTGATCTTGTTCAGATCGATGCACATTCCATGTGCTCGCCTGGTTTCTCTTGTGACTCGGCTCTACAGGTGACTTACATTGTGGGTGGGAGTGGAAGAGTCCAAGTGGTTGGTGCTGACGGTAAAAGAGTTCTTGAGACTCATATCAAGGCTGGTTCCCTCTTCATTGTTCCAAGGTTCTTTGTGGTTTCAAAGATTGCCGACTCTGAGGGCATGTCTTGGTTCTCCATTGTCACTACTCCAGAGTAAGAACTCGTCGAATGTCTCTGATTTCCTTTGAATTTTCTGATCGAAAGAAACTGAAACTTTTTTTGGCTTGTGTGCGTGTAGTCCCATTTTCACACATTTGGCCGGAAGGACATCGGTGTGGAAGGCTTTGTCACCGGAGGTTTTGCAGGCGGCGTTTAAGGTTGAGGCGGAGGTGGAGCAGTCGTTCCGTTCGAAGAGAACTTCAGATGCTATTTTCTTCCCTCCTTCCAACTGAAGAAGGAGAAGAGAGAAGAACAAGAACCAGCTTTTTATCATCTATCGTTTGTTTTTCCCCTCTTGATATTTTGGAGGGTTTTTCTTTACTTGTTATTCAAGGAAGTATTCTTAGTGTAGTACTTCTAGGGGTTTGATTCTTGTGTTTTTTTTTTCTTCTTTTCTGATCCGGTTCTTGTTCTTCCGTCTTTTATTGAAATAAAAACATTTTAAAAAGAACTTTCGACGTTAATCATGTACAACGTCTTTAATATCGAATTGCTTCTTTCACACACACAAAAATAAACTTTTATCGAATAGTCCATCTTTTTGTACAACGTGTTGGGATGCACAGGCCGAATTCAAACGAGGCTTTACAAAATATTCGTGCATCAGTGCATGTTCGTTATGCGACGGACTAAAATCCGCATGTGACATATAATAAAAAAAAAAAAAAACCCAAATTCCATTCTGCCAACGTCTCTCATAAGATTAATTTAGTTACTTTAAACTAATTTTTTTTTTGAATATTATAGAAGATAAAACTTATTAAATTTTATGTATAGACATACTTTTTCATAGACTACGGGCCTGCCATCCAAACAGCGGGCGAAAGCGATCTAACCGACTCATCACTTGAAACCCATACCCAGCTTTCTCATGACCAGATGGATTGGGTTCAGCTTGCGTATCTTTCACTTTTTTTTTAGTTTAAACCGATTTTTATAAGAAAACGACCATCACACTGAATTAGGTTACACGTACCATACCGAATAAACTCCCAATGATCAACTACTACTATTGCCTAATAATAACTATTGAAAACTTGAACATATAGGCTGAGGTACACCACAATCCCCTAAGACTCTTTTAGCACTTTCGGATGTAACATGCTGAGTAACCGACGGGTTTTTCATGTAATCACAAAAAACACGACTCTTTTTTTTTTTTTTGGTGCAAATGTGAAGATTCATACTTTTTTTTTTTTTTTTTTCTTTGAGTTTTTGAGTTTACAATGTTGACGACCCAACTTATTACATAAACAAATAACAAGCGCTAAGGAAAAGAAACACAGCGAAAATAATCTTCGAGGAGCGAAGGCGAGCCGACACTTGTAGCTGGAATCGACAGCAGACGATCTCTGAGCATCCTATCAACGGCAGCGGCGATGGTTGAAGCAGGCATTTCCACAGAGGTGAAGATCCTTGCATTGCGTTCCTTCCATAAGAGGTAAATGGTGATTTGAAAACAGAGCTTTGCGATGGGGATCTTCGGAGGCGGCAAGCTTGTAATCAGAGACACTACAGTTGTCAGATCCACCGACGGGGACCGCCAAAAAGAAGAGGCAAATCGTTTCCAGATTCCTGAGGAGAAAGGACAGCTAAAGAAGAGATGATCATGGGATTCAATCCCGGTATGGCACAGGACACAACTACCTGGAACACTCATTCCCCAACGGATTAGTCTATCTTTGGTCGGTAATCTGGTCAAGAGAACCAACCAAGTTATAAGAGCACACCGGGGGATTAATTCTTTGAACCAAACGACTGTATGCCACTGAACAGCTGGAGATGGAACCCTTAGCTTCTCCCACGTTGCCTTAGCGGAGAAACCGTTACCAAACGTACTAGCACTATTTCGCCATAAAAAGATATCAGAACCCCTTGTCTGAAGAGGCGGAGGAAGCGTCGTTAATGAGATCTGTATTTGGAGAGCTTCCTCTGAACGTGCTGCAGGTAACCTCCAAGAGCCGTTCATTGCCGCTTGAGCCACGCGGGCTCTTAGAGGGATTTGCAGTTGTCTCGGTCCCCTTTCTCCCATAAAATTGAGTAGAGGTCCTAAGTCCGTCCAGCAATCATACCAGAAATAAGCCGAGATACCGTTACGAACATCGCACTTCATGAACTCAGGCAGAACTTGTTTAAGCCGAAGCATGCTTCTGATAGGTGGCGAGAACCTTGCTGAGTCATCGCTTTCCCAGAAACTCTTTCGATGGAAGACATTTTTATTCAGCCAAGCGACCCACATTGAACCTGCATTAGAAAATAAGTTCCAGACCTGCTTCAACCGGAAAACCATTTCAAAATCCTCGAGGAGTCTAATACCGAGTCCTCCTTCTGATTTTGGCTTACATACTTCCTTCCAGGCCACTCTTGCCCCTGCCGCTGAAGTTGTTTTGTTTTTCCACAAGAAAGCCGAACATAGGGAATCCACTTTTGCGTAGAAACGCTTTGGCAGGACAAAAACAGAGCTCCAGAAGTTGACCATACCGTAGATTACAGACGAGATGAGCCTAATTTTGCCAGCGAAAGACAAGAATTTTACTGTCCAACAATGCAGCTTGCTCGTTATTCTTTCTAGGAAAGGCTGAAGAGTGGCAAAGGATATTCTGGTTGCGTCTAGGGGCAGGCCAAGATATCTAGTTGGGAAGGTACCAAGCCTGAAACCAGAAATTGCACTTAGTACGGCCACCTCAATATCCCGGTAACCCCCAAAGATCACCTCTGTTTTTGCGACATTAATGTCCAGTCCACACAAATCATTAAACTCAGCCATGACATCCGTTATACCCGAGAGAGATAGTCGTGATCCATCAGAGAATACCAGCAAATCATCGGCAAATAACAGATGGGTTACCTTAGGATCCGAGCATTGAGGGTGCAGCCTAATTTTACCCTGAGTAGTCGCTTTTTCCAGAGACTTTGACAACACTTCCATTACCATGATGAAGAGGTAAGGCGACATTGAATCTCCTTGTCTCAGGCCTTTCTTGCCCGGGAAGAAGCCTGCTAATTCACCGTTGATTGCGATAGAGAACCGTGGAGAGGTGATGCATTCTTTGATCCAAACTCTAAAGAGCGGAGGGAAATTTTGAGCCTCTAGAATTTTAAGAACGAAGTCCCAACATACCGTATCAAAAGCTTTCCTTATGTCGACCTTCAGCATACAGCTTTTGGGGCAAGACGGCTTTTCATAGTTGCGTATTAACTCCGAGGCTAGCAAAACGTTTTCCCCTAAACTCCTTCCCTTCAGAAAAGCAGCTTGGTTGGGGCTTATGCAGTCAAGGAGAACTGGCTTCAGCCTATTCGCAATGAGCTTTGAGATCACTTTATAAACTATGTTACAACAACTAATCGGCCGGTAGTCAGTTAACTTACAAGCCTCAGATGTCTTAGGAATCAGAGTGATTGCTGTGTTGTTAAGGTCTTTCAACAGCCTGCCGTTTCTGAAAAATTCCTTAACCGCCGCGATTAAATCCGTTCCAACAGTATCCCATGAGGCTCTAATGAACTCAACCGAATATCCATCCGGGCCAGGACTTTTATTCAACGGCAACGCAAAGACCGTGGCTTTAATTTCTTCCGCAGCAACCTCTTTCTGCAAAGCATTTATCTGGTCCTGCGAACATCTAAATGGCAGGAGGGCCTGTAGCTGAGAGATAGACGCAGGGGAATTTGGGAGATCAGTGTGACCTATAATACCCTGAAAATATTCAGCTGCATAGGCCTTTATTTCCTCGGTATCACCAATCATCCTGTTATCATTGTAGCGGAGGAAATGAATATGATTTTGCGTGAGTCTCTGATTTACCGTCCTGTGATAGAAAGCAGTATCTCTGTCCCCCTCGCACAACCACTTAACTCTGGAACGCTGTCGATAGAACTTTCCTTCCGCCTTGAGAAGCATTTGCCACTTAGCTCTAGCTTGATGTTCTTCAATAGCTAGTTCTGGTGTAGGTGAAGTGAGAAGCATCCTTTGCAGGTTTAATACAAATTCAGCTTGATCTCTTACTCTCTCTGAAACCCCACTGAACTGGCGTTTGTTCAGCTTTCTGAGAACCGGCTTCAATAACTTCAGCGCCTTTGCAAGCTTTAATTGGTTTGATCCTGAAATGTCACCGTAACTCCAAGCCTCAGCGACAAGTTCTCCAAACTGAGGATGATCAGCAGTATGATGGAAAAACTTGAAGGGCTTAGAAGCCTTTCGATGTAAGGATGGCATCTGAAACAAACACGCTGCATGATCTGATTGAACAGGCTCCATGAAAACAGCATAAGCGTCCGGGAAGGCAATTGACCAATGACAATTTATAAAGGCGTGATCTATTTTCTTAGATATTGGATTGTCCTCTTGATTATTCCACCAAGTGAAAGGTAGTCCCTTGGTTTGCGCCTCAAACAGCTCCGCATCCTGAAGTGCAAGATTGAAGTCCTCCATTCCAGAAGTATCAATGTGCGTTTGCTGAGAGTTGGAGTGTTGAGATGATTGTCTTATCTGGTTGAAGTCACCCAAGACCGCCCACGGAGTTCTCGAGACTGGAGTAACAGCATTCAATGTATGAAGCTCATCCCAAAGAGTTCGCCGAAGATCAGTTCCATTGTGCCCGTAAACAAATGTAATCGTAAGGTTGACGTTTTGAGCTTGGATGAAAATCCCGCATGTAACAGCTTGAGCGGATGACTGGTAGACAAAAACCGAAACACTAGGATCCCAAACCACCGCAATGCGAGCTGTTTCATGATGGTCAAAGTTTCCAAAGAAGTTCCAACCTGTCGGAATGGCGCGAGCTATGCGCCCAGCATTTACTCGTTGTATATGTGTTTCGTAGAATGCTCCAAAAAGTGATCTATGGATATTAATCCAATCTTTTGTCATAGAGTGGCGTCTATCACTGTTCAGTCCTCTAATATTCCACGCAAAAAACATTATGATAACTAATCAAAAGTGGGTTGTGGCCTTACGGCCACTCTTCTTGTTGCGGACCAAGAAGAAGGGGGCTTCTGCAGCCTCTGAAACCTCTGAAACCTCTGAAACCTTATTCCCGACCTCGGTTGATGATGATGCTGCATCTTTCTTTTCAACAGTCGTAGAGATCCCTTCCTTATCCAACACTCTAGCCTTCTCCTGCTCGTTAGCATGCTCCACAACCCCTGGAGTTTGCTCTGCATCTGCATCTGCATTGTCATCGGAAGAGGCTCTGTTTCCATCAAGCAAATCAGTCACAGTCCCATCCTTCTCATTTGTACGTGAGTTCGAACTGCCAGTTGTACCTGTGGTCGAGGTCTGCCTCTTTCTGCTCTTAGATCTGCCTGGTCTTGCTCGCTTCCCACGGCTAGGACTAGTGCTTAGAGTACGAACCTGGTTCAAGGCAGAAGGACCATCATGGCATCGACTTTTGGAGTGCCCGAACAAGCCACACCCTTCACATTTCAGCGGTAGCCAAGGATAAGTCACAGAGATGTGCGCTTCACGACCATTCGAGAAACCAGAGATGATTTTCGAAGGAAGCTCCTTTGTTAGATCCACCCGAACATAGACCTTAGCAACCTCGAACGTCTCTTTACGCTCTGTTTCAGGAGCTAGAGAAACAGGTTTACCGACGGCCGTAGCTATACGACTCAAGCTTTCCTTGTTAAACAGTAGATACGGGACTTCTCTGAATTCAACCGGGACAACGGCTGATGTCAGAGGAAGTTGTTCTGGGTTGAGGTCAGGAGACCAAGCCGCCACAAACATAGGGAAACCTGCAATATTCCATACAGTTCGGCTGAGGAGGATTTCTCTTGTTCGGTCGTTAATGACTCGAAGAAGGAACGTTCCATGGCCAATTTTGTGAACGAAAATGCGTGGACCTGTGCGAGCCCAAAGAGCATTCACAACTCCTATTATTCTTCCCATTTCCGGAGCATCCCCGTGGAATCGAGCGAAGATGAAATCTTTGAACTCATCTTTGGCGGCCTCCAAATTTGCATCCGGGATTAGAACAAAAGGGACTCCTGAAACATGCTGAGAAGGGGTTCCAATCTCTTCTAGTTGAGAAGAATCTGTAATGATACTTGACCATTTTCGCACCGGACGGCTAGAATTTGCAACCGGTAAACCTGATTTCACTGGAGTTATATCCTTCTGACCAGCTACAAATCGTGGACACGAATCGGCGACGGGAGCCACTGGAAGCACGATTTGCGACTGCGAAGAGTTTCCTGGATCTGTAAGTGTCCCAGTTCCCAAAGCAACTGAGTTCTGTAGATCTGCAGTAATGCCAACTCCAAGGGGCAGAGAGAGGATACCCGAGGGAGATTCCCCACTTTCTGGATGTGAAGGGTCTCCAGAGAGAGATCGCAGCTACCGGCAAAGGCGTTGTCGGAGAGAGACTTCTTCTCAAAGGCTACCACAGAGCGAGCTTGAGCAGAGACCCGAGAAAACTTAGTCGTATCTGGAGGCATAGAACGAAGGACTTTTTTCTTTTTCTTTGTCATTAGGCTAATTCTCGTCAACCGGCGTGAGGCCGGCCGGCGGTGGAGAGAGGGGAGAGAATTTTTTATTTTCCTAAAGCCAAATAGAAGCTTTTTTGTTAATTTTTCGTCAAAAAAAAAAAAAAAAAAAAAAAAAAAACACGACTCTTGTTCGCAACATTGCGTCAATGGTTTAACTCCGGTTAGCACTGCTGGCAAGCATGGTCCAAGTTCTCTCGGGTTGCACTCCACTTTCTCCTCGTTGCCAAAGACGACACAGCGAATATCACAAATGCGACGCACACAACTGCTGCCAACTTCATGTTTTATAACCTTTGCGACTCACTTCAAACTAATTTGTTCGCTTTATTTTTGTTGAGAGACGATGTTATAGATTTTGATTTTTGAGATGTCGGTTGTCAAACTATTATATAGATGTATTAGCGTGATGAGAGTTTAGAATAGGTTAAAGTTATTATTTACTCTCAATCTCATAATGATATTAGTGATGGACATACAACTTCTAAAACTGAAATAAATGTAATCTGTTAATAAAAAATTCGTAGGCATATAATGTGATGTGGCAGTAAATATTTTGTAAATAGAAAACTGAATTATGAAATCTAAATAAAAGAATATATATACTTAAAGTAAGTTAAGCAAATTAAGAAGGGGAATACTAAAAATTGCTTTATCTCTCTAAAACTGAAATAAATGTAATCTGTTAATAAAATAAGCATAAACGGAAATTGGTAGATTTTGTTCCATATAATTTCTTCAGATTTAATATTGAGGGAGATAGGGGTAAAAGGTGTCAAATAGTTCAGATCCATAGGGGTAATAGCTGACCGGAAATTGGTTTAACTTTACCGGGTTGCGGTTTTAGATTTGGATGAACCGGAACTCAAGAGTTTGGTCAGTGTAACCAAACCGGAGGCTAATTGGCGATGCTTCTCCAACGGTTCAAGCCACAACATTTGGGCAGGTGAGGTGAAGAAATGGCGCCTCTGAAACAATTGGAGAGGGACAATCCAATCATCGACGCATGTTTCCGAGATTTCTGCGCCTCTCATGGAATTCTAACAGGTTCTCTTCTTCTTCCTCGGTCTCTCGCTTCGATTCTTTTTTACTTTCGCCCGTTTGTCTGCAAAACGAACTTGTGTGGTTAATTGGCATGAACATATGATCTACGGCTAGGAAGCAAAATTCTTAGTCCCCATTAGTGTTATTTTACTTCATCAGCCTTCGAAGAGTTGGTATTCTGGAGCTTGCTGTTTGATATTTGATGGTTTGCTTTTAAGGTGTTCGACGGATTGCCTTTCGTTTGTTTTTTTTCTTTCTTTCTTCTTTCAATTTCTACTACGGCTAAGGAATTGAATTTCTGTTCTTATCTGTTGAGTGTGCAGCGGAGGATTTCCTTCTTCACGATCTCTACGAACTTGCTGCATTTGCTGAACGACTGGCAAATTCCGATAGATTGAAGGAGGTTAGCTCTGACTCTTACTGACCTCTACTCTCGATTTTTTTGAGGTTGACTGAGTTTTGAATCTAACAAAGTGTCTGCCTTCAGAGTATCACTCTCATGCTTTCTTTGATAGAACTTCAGTGTCGGCCATTGTTGAACGGTATGGAACTGTTGGAGGATCTACACCGTCATAAACATACTCTATCGACCGGAGACAAAGGGTAGGAAATTATTATATCTTATTGGCTCATTTTCACTAAGAAAGATACAAAGTGGGTAACTTTTTCTTGTTACGTATTGAGAGTCTGCTTCTCTGAGTGTTTCGTTTCATGGTTTTGTTGTATCGTTTTTAAGGACGGACTCATTGCTTCAAGGTGGATTCCGTGAAGGTCAGCTGACAGAACTTGTTGGACCATCATCTTCTGGTAAAACACAAGTATGTATACGCATTATTCTGTTCTTTATTTATTTCCCTTGGCTTATACCGCCACATCACATTATATGCCTACGAATTGTGGACTGTTCCATTCAAGCGTTTTTAGCTGCAACCTAGAGACTGTTGGTAGAAAGATTCCTTGTCTTTGCTTAGCCCTTTTGGCGATCTCTTTACATTGTGTGATTTCTTATGAATGAATAGTTTTGCATGCAAGCTGCTGCAAGCGTGGCAGAAAAGCATGTTGGCAGAGTCTTGTATTTAGACACGGGGAACTCTTTTTCTCCCCGACGCGTTGCTCAATTTATCTGCGCCAGTTCGGATGCTGCATTAGTACAGGTTTGTTTACTGGCAACTCTTGTCCCCTAGCTTATGGACCAGTTCTTTGATCAATCATCAATCATCAATCATCAATCATCAATCATCTGTTCTTAATACTTATAAATCACGCAGACAAGAAATGTGTATGTGCAGGAAGTCCTGAGCAGAATATCATGCCACACGGTCTATGACATATATACAATATTTGATACGCTGCAAGGTCTAGAGGTTACCTTGAGGTCGCAGGTAATAAGCTAGCTAGAAGATGCAGTTTTCTCATTGTCACTTTAATTTTATTACCAAGTGTTAACCATTAGTTATCTATCTGTTTCCAGGTGCAGATGAATGTGAATAAGTGCCGGTTACGGTTGTTAGTTGTTGATTCAGTCTCTTCTCTGATTACCCCAATCCTTGGAGGCAGTGGCTCACAGGGTACATGTCCTTGTACGTCCACCCTTTTTTTTTCTTCACCTAAATGGTTAACAGATGAGATGGTGATTTTGAAAAATGACTCACAACTTGGTGTGTGCAGGACGCGCTTTGATGGTAGCACTTGGATATCTGCTTAAGAAGCTGGCACATGAACATAACATTGCTATACTGGTGACGAACCATACGGTGGGTGCTGGAGAAGGCGGTAAAACCAAACCGGCGCTTGGGGAAACATGGAAAAGCATCCCACACGTGAGACTTATGCTATCACGTGACCACAGGAACAGCGACTGCACCATCTCCATCTTAAAACACACATCCTTGGTACTTTGCTAACAAAACAAATGCTGCGCATCTCTTAGTCAAGCTTCGTCTCGTCAAGGCTTTACAGTTTCTGTGTGTATTTGTTTTCTTTTTAGCCTTCAGGCGAGACTGTGAGGACCACAACTCGCAAGGACAATCAACAATGATTGTTCTTGCATCGTTCGCGATCTACGCCCATCTTTTGGAGCAGTGTTTGTTTAACCAGTGAAGAACAACAAGCTTGGATCTGCAAGATGAGAATCACCGTAAATGAGGAAAGAAACAATGATAGATGGATTATATCGCTTGTTTTTAAAATGTGGAACTAGAGTTGATAGTATGTTTTTGAATGCTAAACAACGGAAATACAGTAGAAAGGATTTAACAGCGTTTTTCTAAGATATAAGAAATGCCAAAAATTTGATTAACAAATGAATAACTGTGCGTATCAGAGTTTTATAGATATAAAAACCAAAGTACGAACTTGGATACAAATGGCTCTCTCTATTTAATTCCGAATTGCGCATAACTACGGCGAAACATATCGTGGAAGGAGACGGAGAGGATCCGATGCATACAAGACTATCTCCTGTTCTAATTACCAAGCGCTGCATCGCTTCCGGACAGCATTACCATACATCTCGGTTTGCCAAATCCACAAAGAAAGCCAATAGCCATGAACCAACAACTCACAAGGTCACCAGGAAGCCATGGGAGGAGGTGCCATTTCTCACCGACCTCAAAGAAATCGAAGACGCAGAGGAAGCTCTTTCTCTCTTCCACCATTACCAGCAGATGGGTTTCCGACACGACTACCCATCTTACTCTTCTCTCATCTACAAGCTTGCCAGGTCCCGTAACTTCGACGCTGTCGACCAAGTTCTCCGCCTTGTCCGCTATCGAAACGTCCGGTGTAGAGAATCCCTCTTCATGGCGTTGATTCAGCATTACGGGAAAGCCGGTTTAGTGGATAAAGCCGTCGACGTTTTCCATAAAACGACCTCCTTTGATTGTGTTCGTACGATTCAGTCTCTGAACACTCTCATCAACGTTCTCGTCGATAATAGCGAGCTGGGAAAGGCTAAAAGCCTTTTCGACGGAGCGAAGGCTATGGGTTTGCGTCCGAATTCAGTCTCCTTCAATGTATTGATCAAAGGGTTTCTTGAGAAGTGCGATTGGGAAGCTGCCTGCAAGGTGTTCGATGAAATGCTTGAGATGGAAGTGCAACCGAGCGTCGTGACTTACAATAGCCTGATTGGATTCTTATGCCGGAATGACGACCTGGAAAAGGCGAAAAGCTTGCTTGAAGATATGATTCAGAAAAGAATACGTCCGAATCCTGTGACATTTGGGTTATTAATGAAAGGTTTATGTTGTAAGGGAGAGTACAATGAAGCGAAGAAGTTGATGTTCGATATGGAGTATCGTGGATGTAAACCAGGCCTAGTTAACTATGGGGTATTGATGAGTGATCTTGGAAAGCGAGGGAAAATCGATGAGGCAAAGCATCTACTCGGCGAGATGAAGAAAAGGCGGATAAAACCAGATGTTGTGATCTATAACATTCTGGTAAATCATCTTTGCACTGAGGGTAGAGCCCCCGATGCTTATAGAACGCTGACGGAAATGCAGATGAAAGGTTGTAAGCCAAATGCAGCTACATACCGTATGATGGTTGACGGGTTTTGTCGTATTGGGGATTTTGATTCAGGGTTGAATGTTTTGAACGCAATGCTTGCGAGCAGACACTCTCCCACACCTGCAACGTTTGTATGTATGGTTGCTGGTCTGATAAAAGGTGATAACTTGGACCATGCTTGCTTTGTGTTAGAGGTGATGAGAAAGAAAAATATAAATTTTGGATCTGGTGCTTGGCAAAATCTACTTTGTGATCTCTGCATCAAGGATGGAGGAGCTTGTTGTGAGGCTTTGTCAGAAGTGATTTCTGCCTAAGCAATGGAGTGACCTCTTAAAGGTGAGACTCTCACACCTTTTGTTAAAATGGAACTGGGTGATAGATTTGTTTCTTTCTTGATTCAAGAAAGTTGTTCTAAGGGGGAAAATTTGCAGGTTTCTCTTATTGAGCTGAGAGATCTGACATGTTTAATCTTTGGCTAATTTACACAGCGGGACGTATAAATTGATACATTCAATAATTTGTGGGGAAGTTACAGCTGAAGTTTTCTGGGTTTTTTTTTATATGTTTCATCTCTAAACCAAACCACTCATATAATGGAAAAGTTGTTACCTACTTTGTTTCATCAACTCCATCTTCTTCCATCAACAATCTGGCTTCATTTCATTTATAAATGCTCTTCCAGAATCAGCATGTAAAAGTAGAAACAATTTAACTCAGATTCAAATTAGCAATCTTAGTCTCTGACCCTTCTCCTTGTTAATGGCAGGCTGCAAGGTACTCTTCCTCCTGGCTTTAGCTCTCGCCGTTACTTATGTCTCATCTGCTCGGCTTCTTGTTGAAGAAGAAGATACTGGGTTAGTCCCTTTGCCTACCACAAGTCCTGGTCTTTTACCAACGGCTGGTTCAGGCACCTTCCCCACTGCTAGTTCAGGTCCTGCAACTGGTATCACTTCAGGTACAGGTATAGCCTCAGGCGGTTCAGGTTCCTTGACTACTATTACAGGCTCCGGACCTCTACCAACCACTGGTTCTAGTCCTTTACCGCTTGCTACTATTCCGGGTCCCGGTCCCCTACCAACCACAGGTTCTGGTCCCTTTCCGCTCGCTAGTTCGGGTCCTTTGCCTGCTGCTGGTTCAGGGCCTTTGCCTACTGTTGGTTCAGGTGCCACAGCCACCGGTCTGGGCGCAGGTGCAGGGTCAGCGATTGGTGGTTCAGCTCCTGATCACACCGTGATTTTTTTCATGCATGATATATTAGGTGGCTCAAATCCGACAGCCAGGGCTGTGACTGGGGTCGTTGCAAACGCAGCTCTCAGTGGCCAACTTCCATTCGCCAAGCCCAATGGCGCAAACCTCCCTGTCAGTAACGGCGTTCCAACGAACAGTAACAACAACGGAATCCTCAACAACAACAACGTTCCACTTCTCGTCGGGCTAGGCGGAACCACGTCCAACATTCTTCAGAACAACGGAAACAACCTCTTGAATGGTCTCCCCGTGGCTAATGGTGGTCAACTCCCATCGGGTTCGTCTCTGCAGATGCTCATGTTCGGGACAATGACGGTGATGGACAACGAGCTAACGGAAGGGCATGAACTCGGGTCCGGTCTGCTTGGTAAAGCCCAGGGCTTTTACGTGGCAAGCGCGGTGGATGGAACCAGCCAGACTATGGCTTTCACGGCTATGTTTGAGAGTGGTGGTTATGAAGATAGCATCAGTTTCTTCGGTGTACATAGAACGGCTGCATCGGAATCTCATCTTGGGGTCATGGGTGGTACAGGGAAGTATGTGAACGCGAGAGGATACGCCATTGTCAAGACTTTTACAGGTGGCACCGGGAACCAGCAGCAGCCGCACCAGTTCACAGATGGTCTCGAGACTGTTCTGCAGTGCACCGTTTATCTTACTTATTAGTTTTTTTCCCCCTTGTCCTCTATTATTGAAGTGTTGTGATCTTTTTCATCTTAATATGTAAAAAGACTCATTAATTTGACAACAAACCTCCTGTTAATTCCAAGTTGTACTCTTCACGTTAAAAAAACTATACCTCTAAATAATAGTCTAAATTTAAACACTAAAAACAGAATTATACAGCTTTTAGTAGGCTGTTTATGTATTTCTGGAACTAAAAAAATGACAAAAGACGGAAGACCAGCGTGGAGAACTTGACTGAGTGGAACCGAACCAACGGCTCCAACAAAAAACAAAACAGTCGCAGAAACAGATCCCTCCTTTTGCCCGCCAAAACAAACAAACCAAAGGTTTGAAATAAATACCCCACACACCGAACGACCCCATTGTCTTCACGAAAGAAACAATGGTGCTCTTGAAACCTTCTACCTTATCAAAATCCTCTAAGCTCCGCCCACAACAGGAGGGCTTCTCCGAGTCTCTAATCGGCGACAGCGTTGAAGCAGCCGACGCTTTCATACGCCAATGGGTTTCTCCACATCCCCACGACTCTTCTTCTTCTTCCTGCAGCATCTCTTCGCTTTTCGCCGCCGACAACCGCGGAGAAGGCAGACGCTTCCTCGATGCTCTCGGCAGGTTACAGTACGCGATTCAGAGTGTGATCTTGGTGAATCCTGGCTCCGCTAAGCTTGCTCGAGCGCAGGAATTGATGCGGACAGCTATGAAGCATTTGCAGAAGGAGTTTTATCGGGTTTTGAAATCTAATCGGCGATTCTTGGATCCTGAATCCGTCTCCAGCTGGTCTTCGGGATCTTCCGACTCCATCACAACGACGAGAACAAGTGGAAGCCCTGAAGGAGAGCTTGATTCTGAATCTTCGACGGAATTGGGTAGCGAGAGAGGAGGAGATGCTGAAGCTATTGTGGATTTGAGGATGATAGCGAGTTGCATGGTTTCCTCTGGTTACGACAAGGATTGTGCTAATATTTATAAGAAATTCAGAAGAAAGAACATCGTCGACGCTTTGTCTAATCTAGGGTTCGAGAACTTACCTTCCGCGCAGATGCAGAAACCGGAATGGGAGATTCTGGAAAAGAAGATCAAAAGTTGGCTGCGGGTTGCCAGAGTAGCAATCACTCTGTTCAACGGAGAACGAATCCTCTGCGACCACATTTTCTCCTCCTCCGTCTCCGTCGCCGAGTCTGCATTCGTGGAGATTACGCTACAGAGCGCGTTAAACCTCTTCGTCTTCCCGATAACCGTGGCCAAATGCAGAAAAACCGCAGAGAAAATCTTCCCTACGCTTGACGTTTACCAGACCATCTTGCACCTGATTCCCAAAATCGAGCAGATCTTCAGCTACGATGCAACCGCTTCCGTCCGAACGCAGGCGGCTGAATCTCTGGAAAAACTCGGCGAATCCGTGAATTCTATGATGATCGAATTCCAATCGTCGATTACAAAAGAGTCCTCGAAATCGCCGATTCCTGGTGGCGGAGTCCATCCGCTCACGAGGTACGTCATGAACTTCATCGTTTTCCTCGCAGACTACAGCGACTCGCTCACCGCCATTCTCAAGGACAAGGAGTCCTCGCTGCCTTTACCGGAGGATTACTTTAGCAGCGGCGGCGGCAGCAACAACGAAGAAAATCCCGGGAAAAATGGTTCTCCGATGGCGGCGAGGCTCGCGTGGTTGATACTCGTCTTGCTCTGCAAAATTGACACCAAATCTCGGCTCTACAGCGACGCGGCTCTGTCGTATCTCTTCCTCGCCAACAGCCTCCGGTACATCCTGATCAAGGTCCGTACATCGAACCTGAGGGTCGTGCTGGGAGACGATTGGGTGGCAAATCACGAGGTCAAGGTGAGTCAGTACCTCGAGAAGTACGAGAAGATGGCGTGGGGAGATGTGATTACGTCACTCCCCAGAGATTCAATGGCGGAGGCGAAGGCTGAGGGGTCTCTGAGACGGTTCAACGAGGCGTTTGAGGAGGCCTTTAAGAAGCACAAGACTTGGGTCGTACCCGACCCGAAATTGAGAGACGAAATCAAAGCCTCCATAACGAGAAAGCTCATGCCCGGGTATACGGGTTTCTACAAGAAGTATCCGGTCGGGTCATTCAAGATTGTCAGATTTACCCCTGAAGATCTCAATAGTCACATATCTGACCTGTATATTGGCTTGGGTTGATCCGTGTAACTGTGTGAATAAAAAAAAAATTCAAATTGTCAACGATTCTGAGCCGATTCTGGGCTGAAGCCCATAGACCAACAGTTTTAGGCTTCAAGATTGGGATTAAATTAAAAGGCCACATTTGATATTTTATCGTTGTCAGGCAGTCTTGGCCTCTTGGGTTCATTTTCAAATTAGATTTTAGTAAAAACCGGTGAGCAAAAATAATGAAAATATTGAGTTTTAATCTTTCCTAAAAAAAAAAGGAAGCAAAAATTAGTGTTGTTAAATAACCGACAATATATTTTGGCTCGTTGCTAAAAATGTCCATATTTGGCCGCAGCAGCAATAGTGTTACTCAAAAGACAAAAAAGAAAAAAATTGTGGTTGGAAGTTAAGTAGTTAGTTGAATTAAAGATGATTTATTTTAGTATTCCGTGTGCAAACATGGGAGGTATACAAGTTTGTCATCGATGTATCTGCCGTAGTCATTAATAATTTAGTTAAGATGTCGTTGTAAAAAGTTACTCAATTAAGAGCTCTCGGAGATATACTATCTTTAGAGAAACCATAATGTATACGTCTTCTTAGTCCATATATAGTTTTCCTGCATAAAAAGATTACTATCAATCACACATAAGATTTTGGTACAATAATCTCGCTGTCCATCTCATTCCTCATCAGGTTATTCCGTTGGGTTTAGCTGTTGGTATCCTTTTCCTTTAGTAGAAGTGGAACTGAATAATATCGAATGCAAATTTGATTATATTTTAGTTTTAGTCAATAAGTATATTCTTTATACCAATATCCTAGCATGGATTTTTAACACATGTATACAAATATTTAAAATCGAAGCAAAAATGGATTATATATATATAGCTCATTTAGTATTTTTTTTTTTTTTTAAAAAAATTCCTCGAAGAGAAACTTAACTTTGAGTCATGTGTGATGATCAATCATTTATCTGTACATTATTTATAAGGAAAACTAATCAGTAAGACACAATGACAGAGACATGTGATTAATAACTCAACTAATTACTTAAAATAATTGCGAATCACAGTTTTCAGCTGTCCATTTCTTAATAACAATCGAACTGACAGTTTTGGATTATTCGGATAACCTAAAGAAAAATCAAACTTATGAAGTAAATGAGAATGAAATTGACCACCAAGCTAAGAAAACTGGCAAACATTAACTTCTTCATTATTAGTAATAAGAACCTCTAAACTATATAGAGACTACTTTTAATGCTCTCACAAAAAAGTAAACGCTTTGACACGTAGTAAACGCGTGATCACCAATAACAACATAATAAGTAATGGTCTTAATCAAGAATCTTGTTTGTTAAATATTTTTGAACCTAATTTTCAAGAATCAACTAACTTTCACCATGTCAAGTTACAAATATTACCAATAACCTACCTTAAAAGATGAAATGGTTTTGAATGTGAATTGTTGATTGATTAATTAAAAAATAAGGAGAAAAAAGGAAGCAGGTACACGCAAATGGTGTGAGTAAGCGTTGATGATGGCTTTGTAGTAAAAGAGAGAGAGAAACGTAATTAAGTTGGTGGAGGTTGAGATGAGCTTATCACAACACTCTCACTTATATTCAAAAAGTTCATAATTTCATAAACCTATATTTCTTCTTCACACTCAAAGTCACAGCTCACCACATCTCTTTATTGCTCTTTCATCTACAACCTCAAAAAATTTGTATACCATAAAATAAAGGAATTGTGGTACCCAAATAAATCATACGTAAATTCCAAAATTCTAGTATAAGCTTTGGTCCATCACACGTCAATCGATACAATCATGCTACGGCTTATGAATCTTATCTAACATTCGTGAACTCTCTCGAATGTGATTTATAACAGTAATTTTAATTTTAATTATCAGTATGAAAAGGAAAACATTTGTTATCAGTTTTTTTTTTTTTCGTTTTCTTACTACCAAAGTTACTTTGTATTCCTTTTTTCCGAGCCTAAAAATAAACAAAAAAACTTTTATCGATTTTCATTGAAACTGTTACAAAATAATGTCACAGAAAGTATGTAGATATGTGATGGCTTGAAAAGTCACAACGTACCAAAATTTGACTCGTCTGTTATATTAATAAATGTCTCTCTACAGGCGAAGTGTTTCTTCACTTTGTACTAACCATACATCGACATCAATGTGCCATCTTATTGTTCGGTTTTCTTACCTTAAACTTGTGTTTGTAGCTAAGTCTTATATTAATTCGAAGCTGTTTTTAACTGAATAAGTGATTTTACGAATGACGTCAATACAATGATTGCATAGTACGAATTAATCGTACGTATGAACAGACTTTTCTCATCTCGCAGCATTTAACTCACATCTTTAACCACTTTGATCCTCGAAGTTGGGTTATTCACTCAGTTCTCTGTGTGAATTAAATTGGCGCCACTTCTCCATATATAGCGTAAAGATTCGCATCTTTTTCTACATATATTATAGTATATAGTTGTTGGTGCCTATGTCTATAACACTTTCAGACTATATTAAATATAATGAATACAGGCGGAGTCCTCGTCCACTTTGTACATCCACATCAATGTGCCACCTTATTGTTATTCAATTTTCTTACCATAAATTCGTGCTTGTAAACTTTTCAAATTAAATTAACCCTCGAGAATTTTACCAATGATATTGACTCTTTTTGGACAGCATGAGTTGTCAAAAAACGAAAGCTGTCTTTTCTGTTCCACTGTCCTGTTATATATCCCACAACAATCTTTGCTACATCTTCATGCTTTTTATAAATACACATCATCACTTCCTCTTTAACCCCAACTAAAAACAAAAGAAGAAGAATGGATCTTCTCTGTGTTCTCTTCTCTCTTCTCGTCGCTTATCTCATCTTCAAGATCTGGAAACGCATAGACACCAAGAAAGATCAAAACTGCTATATCTTGGACTACCAATGCCATAAACCCACCGATGATCGTATGGTGAGCACTCAGTTCAGTGGTGAGATCATCCTTCGAAACAAACACCTTCGACTCAACGAGTACAAGTTCCTCCTCAAAGCCATCGTTAGTTCCGGAATCGGAGAGCAAACTTACGCTCCGAGGCTCTTCTTTGAAGGCCGTGAAGAGCGTCCTACGCTTCAAGATGGGATCTTGGAGATGGAAGAGTTTTACTTAGACACAGTCGCAAAACTCCTCGAGAGGAACAAACTCTCACCTTCGGATATCGACATCCTTGTAGTCAACGTCTCTATGCTCAATTCAACGCCTTCGCTATCTGCAAGAATCATTAACCATTACAAGATGAGAGAGGACATCAAAGTTTTCAACTTGACGGCCATGGGATGTAGCGCGAGTGTTATCTCCGTAGACATAGTCAAAAACATCTTCAAAACATACAAGAACAAGCTTGCTCTTATCGTGACCTCTGAGGCACTTAGTCCTAACTGGTACAACGGAAGCAACCGCTCTATGATCCTTGCCAACTGCTTGTTCCGCTCCGGTGGCTGCGCCGTTCTCTTAACGAACAAGCGCAGTCTGAGCGGGAGAGCCATGTTCAAGCTAAAGTGTTTGGTAAGGACGCACCACGGAGCCAGAGAGGATTCATACAACGCCTGTGTCCAAAAAGAGGACGAGCTAGGGCGCATCGGTATCCACTTGGACAAGACTCTTCCAAAAGCGGCGACTCGGGCTTTCGTAGACAACCTCAAAGTCATCACTCCCAAGATTCTACCGGTGACCGAGCTCTTAAGGTTTATGCTATGTCTTCTTCTTAAGAAGCTTCGTAGAAACCCTAGCAAAGGCTCCACGGCGTCGAACGTGGCTCAGGCAGCTCCAAAGGCAGGTATTAACTTCAAGACCGGTATTGACCATTTCTGCATTCACACGGGAGGTAAAGCGGTCATAGACGCAATCGGTTACAGCCTCGACTTAAGCGAGTACGATCTAGAACCGGCCAGGATGACGCTACACCGGTTTGGGAACACGTCAGCGAGCAGCTTGTGGTATGTTTTGGGGTATATGGAGGCGAAGAAGAGGCTCAAGAGAGGAGACAGAGTGTTCATGATAAGCTTTGGGGCAGGTTTCAAGTGCAATAGCTGCGTTTGGGAAGTTGCGAGAGATCTTACTGTTGGAGAATCTTTAGGGAATGTGTGGAATCATTGCATTGATCAATATCCACCAAAATCGATTTCGAATCCTTTCCTGGAGAAGTATGGTTGGATTCGTGAGGAAGATGATCCCGATACTTTCAAGGTCCGCGACGAAGCTATATGACGTGTTCTTGTAATAATCCAAAAACATACAAATCATTTCAAACCGTAAATCCCCAAAAAGGTGACTATATATCTTCTTTCCTTTTTTCTTTTCTATTTAAAAAAATATTTGGATTGTTTGGTTACATTTTTTTTCTTTCTAATTGGATGAGAAAGAAATATGAATGACAAAGAAACTATACGATATAGTTTTGTCTCATACTTTTATATTTTTTTTCAGTGTAATAAATGATTTACTGTATTTCTTTGGTGAATAGTAATACAAGAAGCCATCATATTGTAGTGTTACGTGCCCATTTCAAATTTTTTTATGCTGTAACATATATATATTTGTTTAATTCATGTTTTCTCTAATTACGGTGTATCTATATTCAACAATGTAAATATTGGAACTTAAAGGAATTTTAACCACGTTAAATATCTGAACATTTTTTTTTTTTTTTGAAAATTTGCTTTATCTGAACATTCTTGCAAATGAGTTAAAGGAATTTGGTTTGCATGATTATGAATAGTGAATACTGTCTTACTCTGTGCTTGGGGGAGATTGTATAGTCAATAGTTTTGTGTCAGCATTCGAAAATAACTTTAATTTCGGGGGAGAAAGCGGAAGAAAGCTTGTTTGATGGGAACGTACGTACATTCAATTCTTATTGATTTCACCACCCGATACTGGTCCCATTTATTATCAATCAAATTCGCAAAAATAACTTTTTTCCGGGGAAAACGGAGAAAGTATAATATGTGCATTCTATATAGTTATACTAGATTAAACGGTAAAATAAACCATGTCCCGTTGATTGTATTTGTAACAAGTAACAACATGTGCAATATTAAACTATGTTAGCGATATATATAGATAGGAGTATATTATAACATGGTGGTCAGTATGAAATTCATAAATTCATAGTTATTAAATGACTAGGCTACAGAAATAAGATCTTATGTACACGAATAATTTAAAAGCACACATATTTAAGTGGTTGGAATGAATTAACTGTGCCTACTTGCACCTTTTTTTTATCCGTAAGAAGCTGTTCCGTTGTCATTTTGATCTACTAAAGCTTAATTGTCTTTTATTTTTCAGATGAATTTATATTTATTGCACCGAATTAATTTATTATTTATGGTTGTGGTGGAGTCCATTATACAATGTTTTCGAAACTTAATGTTAGTTTTGTTATTATCATTAAAGGAGTAGATAATCATTGAGTTTTGGAATGAATTGGTCAAAGAGCATGCGAAGAAAACAAATCAATGGAGTAACAGAAAAAAAAAAACAATTCTATTATCACTCAGATTATTCTTATGTTCAACAACATCCTGTTACAAACTTTTTTGTGTCCTACAATACTAATATGTCAACTGGTTATCATGCCAATATTAGCATGCTGCCATTAACAAAGACTTAGAATCCAAAATATATAGTGATGACGCCATGAAACATGGAGTGTGGTGGAGAACAGCAATGGGCGTTTCAATAGTATAAAACCTAGATAGCATCTTTGTTATCCTACGTAAAGATCTTGCAGACGAGAGACACTAGAAAAGACACAACGGGCGTCTTGTTACGAAGATAAAAAAATTCAGTTGTAGCCAAGCTAGTGATCACTAAACGAAAAATCAAAGAGGTATTGGACGTAAATTATGTTTATTAATATTTAACAATTTCTTCTCCATTTAAAATAGCACTAGAGTGAATTCATGTGTTTTCATATCATCACCTACTTCTTCGTTATCAACGACGAAATTAAAGTAACCTATCGGTACCCCCATTTCTTAATACAAATTGCCAACGTTTACCCAAATAAAGTATTATAAAATCCTCGCGAGTAAAGCATAAACACCGTTTTGTTGTTATATACGTACGTCGCAAGGATGGGAAATATACCTAAATATCAGTTTTATGCATATTATTTGTTTCGCAAGTTCAGATAAAGCCAATTCGCACACGAGGTGCGAAAAGGTAAAGGGAGCGAAAATCACTTGAAATATTGAGAGGTTAAAAACTAAATTAGAATAATTTAATGTTTAACTTTTACTTTTGATTGCTAAACCACTTGTATATATAGAAACGATCATACATCGAAGCTAAGAAAAGAATCTACTTTACTTGGTATCTTTTAAAACCAAACAATGTTCAAATATTAATGTAGGGGTTTTTTTAAAAAAATTTATAAAATGCAATGTACATAATGCTGAAGGGTGTCATGATCCCTACCTTTCAAGAAAGTAACTCAAATAATTTTTGTAATAGATTCGTTTTCGATTATTGGTTGATCGATTTACATACAAAGACACAACAAAAGTGATTGCGTTGCTTTACATGTGCCTCTCATGTCCAAATTTTTTATTTATATATATATAAAACACTTTATTAACCTTGTTTCTTTCCTCTTCGTCTTCTCTCTTCCTACTTCTTAATCAGAACAAGACCACCAAACTTTTTCTGTCACTTACATTTTCTCAACAAATGGAAGGGGAAGAAGACAAGGTGGCGGGTTGTGGCGTGCCAAAGAAGAAAATGGCGAAACAGCTGACGGGAAAACGGGAAGATACGCTGCTTCATTCAGCAGTGAGACGTGGAAACAAAGACCAAGTCGTCGACATTCTTACAAAAACCAGAGAGTCAGAGTTGAATGAGCTGTTGGGAAAACAGAACCAATCAGGCGAAACCGCGCTCTATGTTGCAGCAGAGTATGGTGATGTGGAGATTGTCAAGGAGATGATCAATTGCTATGATCTTTCTCTCGTTGAGATCAAAGCAAGGAACGGTTTCGATGCTTTCCACATTGCTGCCAAGCAAGGAGATCTCGGTACGTCTAAAACGCTTTCAAAAGATCTTTCCATTATAAACCCGCGGTCTTTAAGGATTCGGACTTTTACAGATGTGTTGAAGGTTCTAGCAGAAGCTCATTCGGAGCTAGCGATGACGGTTGATCTACTGAATACTACGGCACTGCACACAGCGGCAACACAAGGACACACGGAAGTGGTGAAGTTTCTGTTGGAACTGGGAAGCAGCCTCGCCGGAATTGCCAAGAGCAACGGTAAGACGGCGTTGCACTCTGCGTCAAGGAACGGGCATGTCAAAGTCGTCAAAGCTCTCTTGGCGTCGGAACCGGCGATTGCAGTTAGGATGGACAAGAAGGGCCAAACAGCGCTTCACATGGCGGCTAAAGGAACAAACGTCGAGGTCGTGGAGGAGCTTATCAAAGCGGATAGGTCGTCTATCAATATAGCCGACACAAAGGGAAACACGGCGTTGCACATTGCAGCACGAAAAGGAAGATCTCAGATCGTTAAGCTGCTACTAGCCAACAACATGACCGACACAAAAGCTGTTAACCGAACTGGGGAAACCGCACTTGACACAGCAGAGAAGATTGGGAATCCAGAGGTGGCTCTTATCTTACAAAAGCATGGTGTTCCCAGCGCCAAGACCATTAAGCCGTCCTCTGGGCCTAACCCTGCTCGTGAGCTGAAACAAACGGTCAGCGATATCAAGCATGAGGTACACAACCAGCTCGAACATACACGCCAGACAAGGAAACGTGTTCAAGGAATCGCCAAACAGCTCAACAAAATGCACACGGAAGGTCTCAACAATGCAATCAACTCGACCACTGTTGTCGCCGTTCTGATTGCAACGGTCGCGTTTGCAGCCATTTTCACCGTCCCGGGTCAGTATGTAGAAGACGAAAGCAAGATTCCAGAAGGGCATTCCCTCGGGGAGGCGAATATTGCATCGACGACTCCCTTCATTATATTCTTCATCTTTGATTCGATCGCACTCTTCATCTCCTTAGCAGTTGTGGTGGTTCAGACATCAGTGGTGGTGATAGAGAGCAAGGCCAAGAAGCAGATGATGGCTGTGATAAACAAGCTCATGTGGCTTGCCTGTGTTCTCATCTCTGTTGCCTTTTTGGCTCTGTCCTTTGTTGTTGTTGGTGAAGAAGAGAAGTGGCTAGCCATTTGGGTGACTGCTATCGGTGCAACCATCATGATCACGACCTTAGGGACCATGTGCTACTGGATTATACAGCATAAGATCGAAGCCGCCAACGCAAGAAACATTCGAAGATCCTCCATCAACAGTGTATCTGGGTCTTGGGGAATTCCCCAGCTTACGGATACTGATGTTCTCCAAAACGAGTGTAAGAAAATGTATGCAATCTAACTCTAACGATACTCTGATGCAACACAGATTCTGAAATGTGTATTGATTTAATTAGGGCTGGGCAGAACGAATATCCTGAACATATTTCACTTTTGTTCCCATTTTTAACCCAATATCTATTTTTATAACCTATATATAGCTTGAAGAGATATTCAGCTATATATGATCAACAACAAAAGTTACTAGGAGATGTATAAATAAAACCCAAGAGCTAAATTCGGAAAAGGATACATGATGGAAACTGGTTCCTGTTCTATAAGGATTTCCTAACAGATGGATACTTTTGGTAGGACATTTACATTATCAATACCAAATTAGGGATAGTTTACACTCTGCTGAGATAGGGACGGTCTCTTCTCCAGCATCTCGTAATAAAGAACAAAATTTTCCTGCAACGACATGGTTTTTGGGTGTTCTTCAGAGACCAAATGGGCATAGATACAATCGATGAAAAGAACTTGAATTCACTTACCTTTTGAACGATCTCAAACGAGTTTGGATCAAAACAGTGATACGACCCTCTTTCATACGCATTTGATTTCACAAGAGGTTCCCCGACTCTCATGAACCACAACATGTGTTCTTTGTGGTAGAACCAGCCCCTATTGTAACTGCAAAACAAAACAAGTTATGCACAGCTTTATCTTTCAGTTCGTTGCACTCTGATACTAAACAAGACAGAAACCCATTTTCATCTCATGGGGAAGAAAGATGGAATCAAAAGTTGATAATTTGTTTTCAAACTCCTGATCTTGTCTCTATGTTCCAAAGTTCAACGTATATGTCAATTGTGAAGACAAGACTCCAGAAAAGCATTTTCAAATTCACAATACTAGAGACAAAAAAGAAAGAAATATATTATGATGAAAAGGGCATACAGTTCATTTGCTGAGTATAACTGCGCCTCATCTTTCGGCATGCTGCACGAGAAAAAAATCGTTAGGGCTCTTTTGACAAGTGTGCGCATCAACAAGAAGTAGTTACAGTTCCAAAGACACATACCTATAGAATACGTAAAACAATGTTTCCACCAATAGTTTTGAAAAGAGCCCTTGCTGCATCCACCACAAAAGCTAATGAGAAAAACACAAACCCAGATGGACAAGTGAATCATAGGTACTTATGAGAGAGTAGAGTTGGCTTACATGTAGAGGAGGAGGTCTTTTTACGTAGTAACACTGCGGTACACTGAACTCGGGATCACCTTTAGAGGGTTCATTGGACCAAGGCGAGCCAAAAGTCTTATGAAGAGTTTCTGTTGAGTTCAAGTTTAACCCCAGTGTCGTCAGATCAATCCCAAGTGCCAAAGTAGTCAAGTCAGGGTCGCTCATCTTTATGACACTAAGCAAACCGAGCAAGCCAAACCGATCAGGATTTGATTGCGTCCCCTGCATTGGTTTTAATCCCACGTCTCTGAAAGGTTGGCTAGCACCTGACATCTGCTGCAATCGATACTGAGACGTGTTTTGATGGTGCTGATATTGCTGGAGGGGCTGCTCATAACCCATCCCAGTGACAGAATTTGCAGCATTCATAGATCTTAATCCAATTCCCGTAGGTCCACCGGTCTGAAACTAATCAAATATACTTTAGAAAAGAATAAAAACGTTGGTTTCATTAAGGAAGAACATCAAAAGATCTCGGTCTGCTTTATTAAAACATAACACTATACCATACCTGCGAGTGGTAAGACGGATGCGAGGATGAGAAGATGTCAGAACCATGTAAGGAGACACCACTACTACTCACAGCTTGAGCATGTTGTTGTTGTTGAGGACGGTGTGATGTATACCCTCCACCTAAGTTAAACCCACCGGACCTTCCCATCTGCTAGAAGCCACATTAGAGGATAAAGTAAACATTGCTGCGGAAAACCTTAAATCGAAGGAAATTAAACCCAATGACATTTTCTGGCAAGCTAAAACTCACAGATAACTGTTGAGATTGCATCATTAAAATTGAATTGTCATGGAGTTGTTCTTTATGATGCAAATCCATTGGATAATCAGCATTACCACCTGTATACAATCGATCAATCTTGTCAAGGCTATACGTTAATCGGAAATATCTTTATGAAAACAACAAAATAAACTGAATACAGCCACCATGAAGTGTCAGAAACATTAATATAAGGACATTCTGTACTAGGAATATTATGAGGATTCAAGAAGGTGGCATCATATAGAATCATGAAGATAATTAATATTTTCAGATGGGATATATAATCACAAAAACCACTCTCTAAATCTCTTCCAAAACTAACTATTGTGATTTATGCCAATGCGGAAGGTGGATAGCTCCTTTTGGGATGAAAACCTCAAATTCCATAATGGGACATAAGAATTTTTATATCCAATTGGACCATAAAAATAGAGTAAGAAAGAGAAGACAAAAAGGGGAACCTTTATATCCTGGCAGTGCAGGGAAATCTTCATTTTGGATACTGAACTCTTGGTTTTGCTGAACTATGGGGCTGAGTCCAAGGCCTTGTTTCAGTCGAGACCCTACGAAGTTTCAGAAAAGGGTGGAGTCTAATGTTGCTTCAAACTGATAAAAGAAAGAAGATAGAACAAAAGGGGCTTTATTACTTACCCAATTGCCCTTGACCGCCGGCAGAACTGGGGCGGCTTGTGAGCTGAGGAAAATCATTGTTTATATCGAACGGAGAAGTGTCGTTGGAGTTCATATCATTCAGCAATCCCAGATTGCTTAGACTGTTCATTGCTTGAACATGATTTTGGGAAAGCCCCCCACCTGTAGGGTACGAATTCCCAAGCATAGAAAGAACCTGCGGAGATCCTGAAGAGAACGGGAAGAGCATTAAGAGACACGGATTTGGGAAAAAAATAAAAACACCTTGTGAAAGGATACAAATTTCATGAAGTGCCTTGTGAAAGAAGCCCACCCATCATTCGATTCTGTCCAATGTTTCCAGATCCGCTATTCACTGCCAAATTAAGCCGAGAACCAAGGTTCGGGATCGATAATCCTCCGCCGGAGCTCAAAGTCCTGCCCATTGAGCCTCCACCAACCATATTCCCCATAATTGAAGAAACTCCCAATCCTGGTACAATATATACCATGTTAACAATGGTGGAAGAGGTACAGAGAATCACAGGAATACAATCACCAAACCAAATTAAGGCTTTTTCAACAGCATTTATACCTCCTCTGTTAGCGAGTCCTGAGTGTCCATGAGAGCTACCATGAGATATCTGCAAATGAGAGTCCAAAAGCAAAACTTTGAAGCAGAGCCAAAGAAAGGGATCATTTTTGCATTGTTTTCAGGATACCAAACACATGATCATGACTGTACCTGAGAGAGCCCAGCCGGAAGATTGCTGGATGCAAATCTTCCATTTGAAATACTCCCATTTTGTTGTTGAACACCAGCAGAAGGAACACCGTTTAGACCTGAGTTTCTCGACCCGAGGGTACCGGACAAGTTGGGGACATTAAAGTTTCCATGGAGATTATGAAGACCCTGCATAGATCCTATAGAAAGAAAAAAAGGACCAATATAAGTTCAGAAGAATTCTGACAGAACAAAATTGATGGCAGAAACATGAACCCACCAGCATGATGGAAAGCTGGAGACGCTGCCCCAGACTGACCAGAGAAGGAAGAAGTAAATGTTCTCCCTGAACCGTCTGATAGATTCGAGGTGGATCCGTTTATTGAAGACTGAGATTTACCATTGGAGTTAAAACTAGTCAGAGTAATGACAAACGTTATAAAGACTCTAGAAGCTACATTGACAATACTGCAATCTAGAGATACGAGGATATATGAGGCAGTACATTAAGTAAACTTGACATTTGCAGATATAGGTAGGTATTTAATCAACTCCACATGCAAAATTTCATTAGCAGGCCAAGCAGGAACCCTTCAGTGAACTCAGGACTGAAAGATTGCAGCCGTAAATGGTTGATTGCCCTGAAAAGAAGGATTACACTTGTGAGGCAGGAAACACATGACAAAGAGAAAAACACATAGAAAGGTCACAACTTTGAATCGATCATAGAACCCAGAAGTATAAACAGTAGAACTTGAACGCATCTGAAGCATGCATTTCAAACAATGACCCCAAAATCTAAACCCCTTCAAGAACCAGATGAGAATTAAGACAAAACTGACATTCCAATGCCAGCAAACAGATTAAGGGTGCAATACAAAGATCACCCATTCCGGTGTCGGAAAAAGGATGCCCAAAAACAAATCAAAACCCTAAAGCACTCAGATTTGAAACGAAATAGGACCTGTTGAGAACTTAGACCCAATTATATGAACAAACAAAGCTCAATTCAGAAGCTCGAGGGATCGCGAGATTCTCGAAGAAATCGGAAAAGAAAAATCCGTCCTTTAGTAGTAGTACTAACTCGATTTTCTTTTCTCAATTTGTTTTTAGGACCGTCCTACTCCGGAAACCGGAAGCCCAATCGGAACTTTTTTAAGTGACTCCTTTTTTCCCCGTGTGGTAGTTTTTTTTTTAATTTTAGGGAAAATAGTTGTAATATTGTTATGTGAATTTAAATGTGATAATACAGGCTGTCAAGGAAACAAAACATGTCTTAAAGAATAACCATATTGACAAGTGTAATAAAAGGCTTTGACCATACTAGATTTCACTATGAAATGAAGGAAATAAATCTTTGGCTAAAATTTCACTTTAAAATGAAGGAAAGAAATCTTTGGGTACTAATTTTACTATATCTTCTGATACGATATACCCTTTATATTTCTAAAACAAAGATGTTAAAAAAAAATTAGACATATTAAAAAAGTATATTAAAATTTGACTATGAAATCTATTATTTTGATTAATAATTTTTTTAAATAAATTTTAACCAACAATAATTTAATAATTCCATTAAGAATGTAAAATATTTATCTTTTAAAATATATTTTTTCAAAAACATTTTTTTTCAAGAACAGGAGGAATAATTCATTTACACAAAAAAGAACGCCAATAAAAAAAATGGTCCTCCATATTTTCAACGACGCTATATTCTCATGAACAACATAGTTATTGTTATTCTCATAAACTCGTATTTAATATTTATTGAATTATTGATACTCTTTATATCAATTTAATTATGAAACTCAGTATTGAAATTGATACCCGTTAAATCAGTTTCAATATGACAGGAGTTTGATACTGAATTTAAAAACCAGGGTTCATAAAAGTTGATACGCATGTACAAGAAAAAAAAAAGTAACGTGAACAATAATTTAATACGCACGAAACGCATTACATAGAATTAACTAATAAAAAATCACAGAAATTTATTTGGTTCTCTCAGGTGATGGTACTAGCGATGCTTTTAGACAACATCCTCTGTTTTGGAAGTCTGAGTTTCTGATGACCCGTTGATTTTTTCTGTATCTGTTCGCAATTCAATAAAAAAAAATGTATTAGCAATTCATTGAATTAAATAAAGCAATCTATATATGTATGACATGTAATAACTCATAAGTTACCTTGTTCACTGCTTGGAGACTTTTTATGTTTGTTCCACAGGCACAAGAGGTAGTATATAAGACCGATGATCAGAATGGTAACCACAATAGCTGTGAATATGATTCCGACAATCTCCCCAACATTCAGTGATCCTACTTTCTTGCTCTTATGTTTTTTCTTTTTCGAACCTGCAGTTTAATTAAGTTTGTATATCATATCAAATTCAGTGTACTAATTAAATGCTTCATTAAGAGTATCTGATCGAATTATCGAATGAATGTATATATATTCTGTAGTTTAGAAAAGCTTGTTTACTCTTGGTTGAAGTGCTCTTAGAAGCTTTATTCACAACAACTTTTGAGCCAGCGACCAGCGCTTGAAGACTTCGAGCTTTCGCTATATCTTCAACTTCGATCATCGAAGAACCTTGATCCCTCGTAGCCAAAAAATATGATTCACCGTCTTGTCTAAGCAGATAGAAAGTAAGACAATATGTTTGTTAATTAGTAGTTGGAGACATGTGAAAGAAGTGAAAAGTAGGATTCTGAGGTCTTCGTCTTACTTGAAAACAGCATCTCTTGTGGCAAGAGAATATACCGAAGTTACAGAGAGAGACACAAGTACGAGGAGGACGATGAGAAGAAGTCTAGAAGCCATTAAAGCCCTGTGTTTTTGCCAATGAGGAAATATTGAAGAAGACTTTCCTATATATAGTAGTTTCTCTATTTACATATTTGCGTCTGGACACTTATTTTAATAATCAACTTGTAGTTAGATGTGCTTTGTGGTCCGATCGGTAGGCTGTCTATTTTAACTTCCTTTGTATAAGCTTTAGGCTGTCTGCGTTTGACTAGAACAATAGAGAAAAAGCTACTATCATTTCAAAATGTAATATATGATTAGGAAAATTGTTTTTTTTTTTTTAATTCATCAAGTAGTAAGTAGTAACAGCTTTCCAAGGAAAAGTATTTGTTTCCAACAAAGATAAGCACGTCAATCATCATAGCATTATTTATGAAAAAAAACTCATTTTTCGAAATTATGACATACTATTATAAAAAAAAACTCATTTTTCTAAATTATGACAGATTACAATGTACGTGGTGCATAACGTTTTGTGTATCTATGTAATAAGAGAATACCATTGCTGGATCCAATAATAGCTATCACATCGAAGAGAAACAGAAGAATGACTGTGCGCGACGAGAACATGGCGGGTCTAGAAAGATGATTGATCAGTATTTTTAATGTGAACCGGAGAAATTGTATGCGTCCATCATATATATATATAAAATAAATAAGATAAAGTGATGTGTGCTGTAATGGGGTGCAAGTCATCAACTTCCCGTATTTTACACATCCTAAAGTTTGATTTGATCCAACTACGAATTTCTATATGTTTAAACCTTTGTTATGATAAACAAACGATATGGAGAAGTATTCCAATCGATGACAAAAATTTTGGGTGAAATTTTAAAAAAGCAAGATGAGGGTTTTGGTTTATGATACTCGATAGCACCTATAATCATTTTGCTGAGATGATAGGTACTCACTGAACTGTGCACATTCCACGGTGCGCTCTAAGCCCAAATAGGAAAGCTAGGGATTTGGGCCCAAATACTATATAGGAGAGAGAGCAATCGGTTATGCTTATGAATAGTGGGCTCATCTTAGAGGAAGTAGGTGCAATTTTTGTCAAATCAATTTTGGGCAACTAAAAATATTGTATATTTTTTTAATGTATTCAACATTAATGGTTAGAATATTAGCGAATATATATATAGATCAATTATTATTTTATGTATAGCGTCTATCATTCAACTTGGCAAATGAGAAAGATAATTTCTGATGTGAAAAAGCAACTTGTAATTTTCCTTTAACCAATAGTATCCAACCACGTGTCATAATTGGCGTGGCAGAGCCAGTCCCATGTGATCGACGTGGCCACGTGACGTGGGAGAGTACAACCGGCCCATCGACGTTGGAATCAGATTGTTTCCCTAAAGCAAATATTCGCATACATTTAATGTATATCTACACTCCGAAAAAGCTTATTCAAAATATCAGAACGCCCCCGAAAGTTTATACAATTTAAACTTCAGCCCCTTAAGTAATGTACCCAGAAAAAGGACTTTACGAATCAGAGAGAGATTTAAAGGACTTAGTTGCAATAACTGATGAGATCGTGTTCCCGTCAGGCGTCACTTTCCTGGAAAGATACGAGCCATTAAAACTCTACGAATATAAATAAACAAATATATATTGAATAGATATAAATAAGTACACATTATAACCTTTTACATATGTAAAGAAGAAGAGAAGTATCTGGGGAGAGGAGGCGTGCGTTTTCTGAATCGAAGATACAGTACGGAGTTTGTTTGCTCCGATTCTGGTGAGTTTTTTTTTTGCGATCTCGTAGTTCTCGGTGTTCTCAGCTTTCTCGTTCTCTTTTTGAAATCTTAGTTTTATCTGTCGCTGGACATTGATCTCTCTGTTGTTATGTGCGGCCAGTTGAATTATCAATTCTCCCTTTTTGTTTAGTCTCTCTGGATGTTTTCTCGATGAACACACTTCAAATCTGATCGTTTTGTTTTTTTTTTTCCCGAGGATTCATACTCGTTTTCGATTTCAATCTCTGTTTCCTTTTAGTCGTCGAATTTGAAGCTTACAGTTAGATTTTTTCTTCCGGGTATGCTAAGATGATTTGCATAATTTGATTTATCTGGTAGTGGAAGGCAATGGGGAAAGGAGGTGAAGACTTGGGGAATAAGCAAAGTAATAGTTCTGAATCGTTCAAGTCTGATACTTTTCCTGCTTGGGCTAAAGATGTTGGCGAATGCGAAGAGAAGTTTGGCGTGAGTCGTGAGAAAGGGTTACCTACTGATGAGGTGCTGAAGCGGCATCAGATCTATGGTTTGAACGAGCTGGAGAAGCCTGAGGGCACATCAATTTTTAAGTTGATACTGGAACAGTTCAATGATACATTGGTTCGTATTCTTTTGGCGGCCGCCGTTATCTCCTTTGTCTTGGCCTTTTTTGATGGCGACGAAGGAGGCGAGATGGGGATCACCGCTTTCGTTGAGCCGCTTGTCATTTTCTTGATCTTAATCGTCAATGCCATTGTCGGGATCTGGCAAGAAACTAACGCCGAGAAGGCGTTGGAGGCTTTGAAGGAGATTCAGTCTCAGCAAGCAACTGTCATGCGCGATGGGATTAAAGTATCCAGTTTGCCTGCGAAGGAGCTTGTTCCTGGTGACATTGTGGAGCTGAGGGTTGGTGACAAGGTGCCTGCTGATATGCGTGTGGTGGCTTTGATCAGCTCAACTCTGAGAGTCGAGCAGGGTTCCTTGACGGGAGAGAGCGAGGCGGTGAGCAAAACCACCAAGCCCGTGGAGGAGAACGCCGATATACAGGGAAAGAAATGCATGGTCTTTGCAGGAACCACCGTTGTGAATGGGAACTGCGTATGCTTAGTTACGGACACTGGGATGAGCACTGAGATTGGAAGGGTGCACTCACAGATTCAGGAAGCTGCACAACACGAGGAAGACACCCCTCTTAAGAAGAAGCTTAACGAGTTCGGGGAAGCTCTGACAATGATCATTGGGTTGATCTGTGCGTTAGTGTGGCTCATCAATGTCAAGTACTTTCTTTCCTGGGAGTATGTTGATGGCTGGCCCAGAAACTTTAAGTTCTCCTTCGAGAAGTGCACTTACTACTTTGAGATTGCTGTTGCATTGGCCGTTGCTGCAATTCCAGAAGGTCTGCCAGCAGTTATTACCACATGTTTGGCTCTTGGGACAAGGAAGATGGCTCAGAAGAATGCTCTTGTTAGGAAATTGCCAAGTGTGGAGACTCTTGGATGCACAACTGTGATATGCTCTGACAAAACTGGAACTCTGACAACCAATCAGATGGCTGTTTCAAAGCTAGTCGCTATGGGCTCTAGAATTGGAACCCTTCGATCTTTCAGTGTTGAGGGGACCTCGTTTGATCCTCGAGATGGAAAGATTGAAGATTGGCCAGTTGGTCTGATGGATGCAAATCTTCAGATGATTGCAAAAATTGCTGCCATTTGCAACGATGCTAGCGTCGAGCAATCTGACCTTCAATTCGTGAGCAGGGGCATGCCTACTGAGGCAGCTTTGAAGGTAAAGCGGTCTACTACACTTTCTTGCACCTTTCTCTTCTTAACTAAATAGTCTTCTTCTGTTTGTTGTCCTCAAATTTATGTTAATATGCTTTATTTTTCTATGTGTTTGTTTCCTTGAGCAGGTTTTGGTTGAGAAAATGGGATTTCCCGAAGGATCGAATAAAGCTTCGTCTTTGGCTGATGGCGATGTCTTACGTATGTAATGTGAATTATATTTTGTTACTCATGTTTCCACAGTTTTATAGATGCTAAAATTATGTATATTACCTTTTTTTTTACATTATTGAAGGTTGTTGCCGGCTATGGAGTGAACAAGAGCAACGGATTGCCACTCTTGAGTTTGATCGCGACCGGAAATCAATGGGAGTTATGGTGGATTCCAGCTCAGGAAAGAAACTGCTACTGGTCAAGGTTTGTGTTTTTGACCCTGTGATACTTTGGAGAACCTTTTATCTATGGTTAATTTGCTTGTGCTTTGGTTCGCATGGATGCATGTTATTAGTCAGAAAAACCTTTGCCCTCCTTTTTTTTCAGCACCTAAGAGACCGATAAATTTTGCAGGGTGCGGTAGAAAATGTATTGGAAAGGAGTACACATATTCAGTTGCTTGATGGTTCCACTGAAGAACTTGACCAATACTCAAGGGATCTTATTTTACAAAGCCTACATGATATGTCCATGAATGCATTAAGATGTCTCGGATTTGCGTATTCAGATGTTCCATCAGATTTCTCCACTTACGATGGCAATGAAGACCATCCTGCTCACCAGCAACTTCTCAACCCATCCAATTATTCTTCTATTGAGTCCAATTTAACATTTGTTGGATTTGTTGGTTTAAGGGTGAGTCGCCATCACCATGATATTCTTTGGTTCTTTCTTGTTCTTCTTTGGTGATTGTTCATGCTCTACCTTTTCAATGATTGAAGGATCCTCCGAGGAAAGAGGTGCGTCAAGCCATTGCAGACTGCAGAACAGCAGGTATCCGGGTCATGGTCATTACGGGAGACAACAAGAGCACAGCGGAAGCGATCTGCCGTGAAATCGGAGTATTTGAAGAAGGTGAAGATATCTCTTCAAGAAGCTTGACCGGGAAAGAATTTATGGATGTTCAAGATCAGAAGAATCATCTAAGACAAACTGGAGGGCTTTTGTTCTCGAGGGCTGAACCAAAGCACAAACAAGAGATTGTTAGGTTACTCAAAGAAGATGGAGAAGTGGTTGCCATGACTGGGGATGGAGTCAACGATGCTCCTGCCCTGAAGTTGGCTGATATTGGTGTGGCTATGGGAATTTCTGGCACAGAGGTATTTGTCTCTCTTCTCTTTCATTTTCAACAGCGGGATGATGATAGCTCTATCAGCTTTCTAAAGCTCTGTGATTATATTTGCAGGTAGCAAAGGAGGCATCTGACATGGTGTTAGCAGATGATAACTTCAGCACAATTGTGGCAGCTGTTGGTGAAGGCAGGTCCATCTATAACAACATGAAAGCCTTCATAAGGTGGGTTTTGTATTATTACGTATAACTTCATCGTATTGGTGGCTTGAGTTATAACGATATTGACCCTATTCAAACTATCTGTGATGAATATAAAAAGGTACATGATCTCTTCCAACATTGGTGAGGTTGCATCGATATTCTTGACAGCTGCACTTGGAATCCCAGAAGGCATGATCCCAGTTCAGCTTCTGTGGGTGAATCTTGTAACGGACGGTCCTCCAGCTACGGCTTTGGGATTCAACCCGCCTGACAAGGATATCATGAAGAAGCCTCCTCGCAGAAGCGATGACTCGCTCATCACTGCCTGGATCCTCTTCCGTTATCTGGTATGCATCATAACCGGACATCGCTTTTGTCTTTACTTTGTTCATCTTGCTAACTCTGTGCACTTACCTGCAGGTGATTGGTCTGTATGTGGGCGTAGCAACGGTGGGAGTGTTCATCATATGGTACACACACGGCAGCTTCATGGGCATAGACTTGAGCCAAGACGGCCACAGCCTTGTGAGCTATTCACAGCTCGCTAATTGGGGCCAATGCGCTTCGTGGGAAGGCTTCAAAGTGTCTCCTTTCACAGCAGGATCCCAGACTTTCTCATTCGACTCGAACCCGTGCGAGTATTTCCATCAGGGGAAAATAAAGGCGTCCACGCTCTCACTCTCGGTGTTGGTGGCCATTGAAATGTTCAATTCCCTGAACGCGCTCTCAGAAGACGGCAGCCTGGTGACGATGCCGCCGTGGGTGAACCCGTGGCTGCTCCTGGCAATGGCGGTCTCGTTCGGGCTCCACTTTGTGATACTCTACGTGCCGTTCCTGGCTCAGGTGTTTGGGATAGTGCCGCTGAGCTTGAACGAGTGGCTGCTGGTGTTGGCAGTGTCGCTTCCGGTGATTCTGATAGACGAAGTGCTCAAGTTTGTAGGAAGGTGCACCAGTGGCTACCGTTACTCACCTCGCACTCCCTCCGCTAAACAAAAGGCGGAGTAGTACGAAGTAATAAACTAAAGCATTATTAGACTTCGTTAGTTTTAGCTGAAAATTCACTTTGTTGCTTAACTCAGCCTCGTTGGTTATTTTATGTTCTAAACGATAATTTTTGGTCTGATAAAAATGTTTCTAACGTGACTCTCATGCGGTTCCCAACAGAGACGGAAATAATTTTCCAACCAAGTCATTATAAGTCATTGTTATGCATTTTCAATTGTGTAATGTAGTATTGATTTCTCTAATCTTAAAGTCATTCATTCCTCTGCTGAATACAGATTTGGATGATGTTTATTCGTAAAACATTATTTGACTCTCAGCACATTACAATATGTCAACAAAATTTCAGCTTTGTTTGGCGTCCAGAGTGAATTATGAGGTTGGGATAACAATTTGAAGGAAGGTGAAGACAAACGATAACAATTTGGGAATCAACCTCCACTTTCTATTTAGAAATTCTCAGTATAGCTTTGCTGAGATTCTAGGTACAAGATCATATCGAATAACGACGATACATCAGAAAACGAAACGATAGCTACCTCCTGGATTTACCTTCTCTTATCAAATGGAAACACACATTTCAGAACCCTAATCCCAATTCCTAAAAAAAATCAACATCGATTAGCCGCCGAAACCGTAGAGAGTACGTCCTTGCCTCTTGAGAGCGTAGACGACATCCATGGCGGTAACCGTCTTCCTCCGGGCGTGCTCGGTGTAGGTGACGGCGTCGCGGATGACGTTCTCGAGGAAGATCTTGAGGACTCCTCTGGTCTCTTCGTAGATCAGACCACTGATTCGCTTGACGCCTCCTCTACGAGCAAGACGACGGATCGCAGGCTTGGTGATGCCTTGGATGTTATCCCTCAGCACCTTCCTGTGCCTCTTTGCTCCTCCCTTTCCCAATCCCTTCCCTCCCTTTCCTCTTCCTGACATCTCCTCACAGATTCAGCAGTAGATTCCAAAGATCTGAATAAGAAAAAAATAAGAAATCCATCGGGAATCCAATCAATTGTAGCCTTTCAGCTAGAGAAAACGAAAACAGAACTTTCTACATTTTCGAAAATCAATCAATTGAAAGGGCAAACGAATACTAAATTCCAAACTTCCTACTTATTCGAAAATGCAACAAATTGGAAACTATATCCTTATGAAATCTCCGAAAGCGAATCAGAAAAGTGCAGAGAAGACTGTTAAGAAGTCAAGGATTAACGGTCAAGAAGAAGAAGGAGAAGACGATACCTGTTGTTGGATCAGAGGATAGCAATTAAAATTGAACGACTCCACAGACCGCTGATGTATATATATATAACAGAGATGAGCAGTCGGGAAAATATTATGACACGGAGACGATCCGCGTGATTTTCATAAGAACCGTTGATTGTTTTGATCGGATGGTTATTATATCGTTAACAGTGTAATACAGGATCGATGACGTGGACTTTACTTTCTTCGGTTTTCTCAATTTTTGAAAAAGTGTGTTCGGCTGAAAACAAAACTAACGGACCTTATTGGGCCCGTAATGTGCTGATAAATGAGCCGAAGTTAGTGTTGGGCCCAAAAACTCCGTCTCCGTAAACCTGTACCCTCGGAAAATGCTAAGGGTTTTTATCGATTTTGCTTTCCTCTGTGGCCGTGATCGTCGCCGTCCAATTGCCCTCCGTTGTCTCTGTCACCGGTGAGTTCTTATTTATTCTGCTGTGAGCTGTGGCCTGCTGTGTAGATGTCCTCGTACTTACTTCTAAGAATGATATATTTATACAATTTTGTTCATTTTCAAAAGCATTTGGTTATCCAATCTGCTGTACGCATCTGATTGTTTTTTTGTTTCTAATCATGTTCTGGTAGGTTGGATTATATAACTGCAAGCTCGCAGGAGTTGTTGTAACCATGTTTCTTACGCGATTTGTCGGGAGGAGGTTCTTGGCGGCTGCATCCACGAGATCGGAGTCCACTGCTGCAGCAGCTGGCTCGGCGGTTCGGACTGCCACAAACCCTCTCGAAGAGTTCTTTGAAGTTGACCGAAGCCAGGATGAAGATAAACCTGTTGTCTACGGTGCGTTCTTATGTCATTTCAGACTCCTTTTTCTTCATGAATGTTTTTGTCTATGATACTCCAAAATTAGCAAATGTGTTACGTGTATCATCTGAAATGTGGTAACTGCTGAATGTTGCTATACACTTAGTATTTGAGGATTGTTTGTAGTATGTACTAAGTGAAGAAGTGCTTAAGAATTTGCTCATATACATAAGTCTCTCTGGACCATTTTTTTTGTTGTTGCTTATGCCATGGAATATTTGGAATAAAGGATTGTTGGATTGTTTCGTTTTGTTAATGGGATTTAGGAACATTTGTAATGATTTGGTGTTAGGTCGAGCTTGGAAAGCTTCAGAACTGCGCCTCAAGTCATGGGATGATCTTCACAAGCTTTGGTACGTTCTGCTGAAGGAGAAAAACGTGTTGATGACTCAGCGTCAGATGCTTCAAGCCCAGAACATGATGTTTCCAAACCCTGAACGCATTCATAAGGTACACGACAAACCTGGCCTTTAACTCTCAATTCCAGTTAAATTGCTGACAAAATTGATGAATGTTATGAAAAGAAATATGGATATTTTCTTGACGAAATGGTTATGTATATCTCAAACCTTCCAAAAGCAGATATACCTTGTTCTTTATTACCACGAAAAGATTATTAGTTAACTATGTGTGGATCATCTTCTTATAGGTGAGGAGATCAATGTGCCGCATAAAGCATGTGCTGACAGAGAGGGCGATTGACGAACCGGATCCCAGAAGATCAGCCGTGATGAAGAGAATGGTGAATGGCATGTGACCTGTTGTGCTTCTTTTGGCAACCAAGTAGGAATCTCAAGTCAATTCACAGACAAGTCTTCGAGTTTTTGAGACACCTAGCATTCAAAAAGGCTGAAGAATAAAATGATATCTTGTCCGTTGGAACTCGGTCGAGTGATTGTGACTCTGTTGTGTCTCGCAGTAGAAAACGTTTGTTCTTGTAGCTGTGTGCACATTTCTGTAAACCCATGATTGATGTTTCTTTTAAGACACATTCGTTGGTCATGTGATTTAGAGATTTTGTCTTCGAACATAATCCAACCTCTGCCCACATTAAAATAAAAATATCAGTTTCTTTCAATTTTCAAGAAAGGTTATCGTATGCGCAGGGGCGATTACTCGCTAGGCAATGTGTTTATGTAGATATATTTGGTGTATACTTTCTATTTTTACTTGTGCAATCCTATATAAGGGGCTCTAGTTTTTACTAACTCCCATTGAGATAAGAGAATCAAAGCAAGCAACAGCCAGAGGAGAGAAATAATCAAAGCTAGTTCGTTCGCAACTCAAATATTTTTATCACATCAAGTGGTTTAAGCAAAATGGTTAAACTTAAACCACACCGAAACCATTGTGATAAATTAGACCCCCTTAAGTGGGCCCTAAAGATAAGATAAGAGTTGGGCCCATATTAAGTTCATATATCATCGATTTTTTGTATTGGGCCCTAAAATTTCTAAGGAAGAAAAATAATCTTCATAAACCTTTTCGAAATTCGGTAGAGAGGGTTTCTCTTGATTTTCCTCTTTCTGTGTAGCCGTGACCTTTTCCGCGTCGCTCTCTGTCGCCGTGACCCTGACCGTCTCCGTCAAGTTTCTGTAGCCGGTGAGTTTTAACTTTTCGTTTCTTTTCTGCTGTGAGATATTGTGTGCTGTATCGACAACCACTGCCCCCTCTGGCACTGGGATCGATTAATCGAGGTCATGGAGAAATAGTTACTCTTTCATCAATTTTGACTAGCATTTGATTGTTGTAAACACTGAATTCTCTAAAGTAGTAAGGATTGAAGAACCAGCTTGAGTTTTTTTATTACACTAGAAAGATCCGAGAAATAAAAAGATGCAAACTGTACCTCTCTGCTCTTTCTATATGCAGGAATTTTAATTATTTTTTTACTCAGTACCATGGTTTAGTTTATCTGAGGGTTTTGATCTGGTATTTAAGGGTTAGTCCCTCAACATTTAGGTTAATTTTGATCTTTTTTTTTTGCAGGATTAGCTCCTGTCTAGTTCCGAACAAGAATCATGGAGGAGATCACAAAATCGGGCCTTGTCGGGAGAATAAAGACGTGAGTTATGCTCATGAAGAAGATCACAAAGACAGTTCTCTGTTTTAGCTCTAAAAGAAATGAATCACCACAATTCTCACACACACACAAAAAAAAAAAGAATTACTTGTGGTTTGTAGATATAGGATGCTTCGTGTTTTTAACTTGTCTAATTTAATTATTTTGACGGTCTCAGGGAAGCGCCACAGCTAGCATCCGTGTTGACAGAAATGAAGGAAGGCCTAGAAGTTGTTAGGAGCAAAGTGGAGGCTCTGACTGCAAAGGTACCATGTCTTGTATTACAGGACTTTTTTGGGTTCTCCTTATTGACATCTTTTTTGTAGTCGTCTGTGACAAATAGTTTCAATTTGGTATAACAAGAATTGATGGCTTTAATGTTAAAGATCAAAGTGCTTAGGGTAATTCATGTTTGATGACATCCTGATTTTTTATTTTTGCAAATCCTAGGTAAAAGCAAACAGTTTTCCGACAGCGGATGGGATGAGTTATCTCGAGGCCAAGCATCTGTTACTTCTAAGTTATTGCCAATGTCTCGTATATTATCTGCTAAGGAAGGCGAAAGGATTCTCTATCGATGGCCATCCTGTTGTAAGGAGTCTTGTGGAGATACGAATGTTTCTTGAAAAGGTTTGCATCTCTCTGCCTTTTGTTTCCACTTTATACCTGCCAACAAGACATAGATCAATTGTTTAACTTGGTTTTCCTTTTGGGTAGATTCGACCGATAGACAAAAAACTTCAGTACCAAATTCAGAAGCTCACCACAGCCGGTGGGTCTGTGGCTGAACAAGCTCACTCTGAGGGTGCAGCGCCAATATCTGAAGATATTTCAAATTATAAGCCGAACCCAGACTTACTAGCTGACAAAAATGTGGATGAACCAGAGGTAAACCTTATTATCGCCCTTAACACTTGTGAAGGAATGTGCTGCATTTTCTTTTTAATTAACAGTTTTGGCTTGTGTAAATGTAGGATGGTGCTTATCGGCCCCCGAAATTTGCTCCTATGTCTATGGATGACAAGACGTCAAAACAGGAAAGAGATGCTGCCAGAAAAGAGAAACACTTTATAAGGCAAGCCGGTGATGGTACTTACATGAAAGAGATGTTGGACGATCTCGAGGACAGGCCTGAAGAGGTTAGTCTGGAAGGAAATTACTTTGCAGTTGAAGTATGATCAGTTTGTTTAAAAAAGATGTTCGAACTTAATGGGTGAATGAATTGTGAACAGATAAGAGAATACTTTGGTGCTGAGAGCAATGAACATAAGAAGTTCATAGCACAGTCTGAAAGGCAACAGAAGATAGAAGAAGACAACTTTACCCGGGCACCTCGCACAAAGGAGGATAAGAAGAGAGAGAAGCGCCTCAAGTCACGTAATGGGTACGATTTTGCTTTGGTTGTTAACTCAAAGTGTTGTCATCTTTTGATTAATATTCATGAGAGATGCACTCAATGTTTTTAACGAAATCAGGTTGCTTGGACTAACCGAGAACTTCTACGACGAAATCAATTTCTTGGGTAAAGATGGTGAAGAGCCATCAAGCTTTAGAGGCAGTAAAAGGGGAGGAAAATTCAAGAGGAGAAAGGTAAATAAATCATTTCCGTTTCTATTCTTTCCTCTCTAAGTATTATTCTCTGCTGAATGATCAGTGATTATTTTCTCATTCTCTATTGTTCATTTTATTCCGCAGACGAGGCACTGATATGGATACACCCACCAGTGGTTCCTTTTTGTTCCTTCACTGCACCAGTTTTGCTGCTAAAAACAAATATTCAAAATTACGTTTTGCTTTATGATTGTATTGAGATCTAGTTTAATGTGAAAGTGGTGAATGTATGAACTATGAACACATATGGTCGTGCTCTTTCAGTAAAATTCGGAAGACCTTTTCTCTTTCGCTAAATTTAGCTCATTTCCACCGAAAGTTCGTTTTCATATTAACATGTGATGTAAACAAATCTGATTATAGAAAGAAGAAAAAACGTAGTATCAATCTCTCTCTCTCTCTCTTCTCTCTTCCCATCCGCCATGGGAAACAGCTCGAGCTCCAACACCAGTCTTAGCAACCCTAAAAACAGACTTCTAGAAGATCATCACCATCACGACAAACTCAAGTCTTTGACACCAAGAAACCTAAACCAAAGTCACAACAGCAACAACAACACTTCCCGGATCTCTTTCCTCCGATCTCCTCTGCCATGGCTTTTCATCTTCCTCTTCTTCCTCCCGTTGCTTCTCATCTCCACCACAGGAGGAGGCGGACGCAAAACCTGCCGTCCTTCTTCTACCTACAGCCACCTCTCACTTCACGACCAAACAAACTCTTCCTCTGTTGTCAAAGATCCCGAGGAAGAAGAAGACGACGATGTGCCTCCACGTGTCCCCGCTCTGTACCCTCGGCGACCAAGGATGTTCAACACGACGCTTGATCACGTCGTTTTCGGGATCGCCGCATCTTCGGTTCTGTGGGAGACGAGGAAAGAATACATCAAATCATGGTGGCGGCCTGGTAAGACACGCGGCGTTGTCTGGATCGACAAGAGAGTCCGAACTTACCGTAACGAGCCTCTTCCCGAGATCAGAATCTCCCAGGACACCTCACGTTTCCGGTACTTGCTCTCATTCTTCTACATAATTCTCTCACGTGCTTGACAAGAAATATCCTACTTCAAAACCAAGAAATCATGGTTTGGTGTTGTTATTTAGGTACACGCATCCGGTGGGAGACAGATCGGCGGTGAGGATATCACGAGTAGTGACGGAGACGCTGCGGCTAGGGAAAGAAGGGGTACGGTGGTTCGTGATGGGGGACGACGACACGGTGTTTGTGGTGGACAATGTAGTTAATGTCCTCTCAAAGTACGACCACACTCAGTTCTACTACGTTGGTAGCTCCTCCGAGGCTCATGTTCAGAACATCTTCTTCTCATACTCAATGGCATTTGGAGGCGGTGGCTTCGCGATTAGCTACGCGCTAGCTCTTGAGCTCTCGAGGATGCAGGACCGTTGCATCCAGCGGTACCCTGGTCTCTACGGCAGCGACGATCGCATCCAAGCTTGTATGACGGAGCTCGGTGTACCCCTCACCAAAGAGCCTGGCTTCCACCAGGTGAGTCTTTCTTTGTTTATCTTTTATACTGTAACTAAGGGAAGTTCGGTTTAATTTTTGGTACGGTTACGGTTTAGAACTAGTCGGTTTCTGGTTAAAAACATCAACATGGTTCGCTATGTGTATGCAGTATGATGTTTATGGAGACCTGTTGGGACTGTTGGGTGCCCATCCGGTGGCTCCTCTGGTGTCACTGCACCACATCGACGTGGTGCAGCCAATATTCCCGAAGATGAAGCGGTCACGTGCGCTCCGGCACCTGATGTCGTCAGCAGACCTTGACTCAGCCAGCATATTCCAGCAGTCCATCTGCTACGACCAGAGCCGGTTCTGGTCAATCTCGGTCTCGTGGGGCTTCTCCGTCCAGATCATCCGAGGCATCATTTCCCCACGCGAGCTCGAGATGCCGTCGAGAACATTCCTAAACTGGTTCCGCAAGGCAGACTACATTGGTTACGCGTTCAACACGAGACCCGTGTCGAGACATCCGTGCCAGAGACCGTTCGTGTTTTACGTAGACTCGGCTAAGTATGACAAAGGGCGTCGCCAGGTGATTGGATACTACAACTTGGACAAGTCCAGGCGGATTCCCAGCTGCCGATGGAGGCTCGACTCGCCTGGAAGGATCAGTTCTGTCGTCGTTCTCAAGCGACCCGATCCCCTCCGATGGCACAAGGTTGGTCCCACACTCGTTGACATGAAGTCTAAAAGAGATAACCGGCTGGTTTCAGATAATAAACCGGTTTAGCTAACGTTTTAGATCTTAAAATTGTGTTTGCAGTCACCGAGGAGGGATTGTTGCAGAGTGTTGCCGAGTCGGAGAAACACAACGATGTATATTTGGGTTGGAAATTGCGCAGACGGAGAGATCAGTGAGCTCGACCATCCTCAACAGTAACATTCAGATTATCCACTAAAGACTTCTTCAAATGGATTTTGCAGATTTCTGGAAAATATTCTGTATTGTTCACAACAATTTTCATCCTAAAAACAAAACTAGGGTTAAATCTCTGAAACCCAAAAAACACTCTCTGCTTTCATTGCATATACAAAGAATAACGCAATTCCTAAAAAGAAAAAATCACTGTCATGGAAGAAATCAGTAAGAGACTGTGGCACCGTGAAGAAGCTCTTCTCCGGTCAGGGTTTAGCCGGCGAGTGGCTGCTTTGCTTTTACCACCGATGGAAGCTTTCTGATTTCTTTCTCACTTCTCTCTTTTCTAACTTTGCTCTTCGTCACCTTTTTCCCCTTCTTCCCTTTTTCTTGCCAGTTACGAAGCTCAGGCTTATCAGTTGCATTGTGCGATTGGGTTGCGTTTTGATGATGAGCTGTCAGATTCTGATTGGCGGAGACTGGGGAAACGGCAGAGGAAGCAAGAATCGCCAAACTGACATGAGACTCGTTTCTCACGGCCATGGATTTCTCAAGGCGATGAACGGACATTGTCTCTCCATCGTTCATGTCCAAGCTCACTGCGAAACCCCACCAGAAACAGAATCAGCAAACTTTCCCGAGAAAATTCGCAGAATCAGAAGGGGTCAATCTTATCTTAGATCCGAAAACCAAAACCAGAAAGATTCAATGAATCCGAAATTCGAGGAAAGGGATTAAGAATGAACCTGAGTGGGAGAAAAACCAGAGGGTGAAGAAGCAGACGAAGATGATCACCGGAATCGCGTGGATCCAATACTCCGATACCGGAAAAATCCCTCTCCTGGTGTTTAGCGTCCTCCTGCCACCGTGAGAAGAGGAGATCGGGAGCTGAGAGAACGATCTTTCCGTCATTGTTGTCTTCTCTCTCAAGAGTCGCACAATCCAGTAGAGAGAGAAAGAAGAGAGGAGAGATTTGTGAAGCGTACTCTGATCGGTGTCGTTTCTTAACGGCTTATAATCTAACGGGTTTGCGCGGGAAAGCTCTCATCACGTGATGCAGAGATGCGAACATCTATATTTACGACCATTGCCATCTATAATATATGCAAAGATGTTTGTTTTTGTTTAATATATGTAATATGTATATATATATATATATATATATATATATGTCCCGAAACAAAATGGTTTTGTTCTACAGAAAGAGAAGCCATTCTACATACAACAGAAGCTGAGCCAAGATGTACATCCATACAAAGAGATGTTAAAAATGTGACTGATTTGATATAAGATTCCACAATCTCTTGGTGAAGCCAAAACTAGATTTGATTTTTTACCTTTTTCTTCCTATGAGGAACCATCGGATTCGGTTTCCTTGACGAGCTCTGGTCTTTTCTCCTCATCATCTATATCTCTGCGAAAAGAAGTGTTCCTCCTGCTGCTGCTGCTAGGGCTATTCGGATCATATTTAGAAGAGGCTAAGAAGTTGAGAGCCAACACTACATCGGATACAACAGGCCTCATGCTTGGCTGCTCTTGAACGCACATTGCTGAAATCGCAAGTGCTTGGTACAGTCCTCTTACCGGGTACTGTCCTTGAAGCAATGGGTCGACCATTTTCGGGAAGTTCCTCCTGTCTTTGAACAATGGTCGTGCCTGCAAACAGAGAAAAAGGAAAAAAGCCATTAACTTCTGCCAAGATCCATTGAGAGACATTTGCTCCAAGAGACAGAACATACCCATCCGACCAAATTCTGATCTTTACGCGCTTTTGTATTATCAATTGCTTTCCTTCCGGTGATAAGCTCCAGAAGGACTACTCCAAAGCTGTATATATCGGATTTAAACGTGAGCTGGCCCGTCATAGCGTAGTCAGGAGCACAGTATCCGTATGTTCCCATAACCCTTGTGGAGACATGGGTTTTATCCCCGCTTGGTCCAACTTTAGCCAACCCAAAGTCTGATAGTTTCGGTTGATAGTCTTCACCGAGCAAGATATTCGAACATTTAAGATCCCTGTAGATCACAGGTGGCTTCATCCTATCATGCAGATACTCTAGTCCTCTGGCTGCACCAGCTGCAATCTTCATCCGGGTGTTCCAATCAAGTGTTTTTTTACCAGAAGGGAGATCTAGAAACAGTCAAAAGAAACAATATTGGAAGACCAAACAATCGACTAACAAATAGAAGAAAGAAAGTTGAGTGCACAACAATACCATGTAGATGGTCTTCAAGAGATCCTAGCGGCATGTACTCGTAGACCAGTAGTCTCTGATCACCCTCGGCACAAAACCCGATAAGCTTCACTAGATTCGGATGGTCTGCAAGACTTAGTGTCAGGACCTCGACCACAAATTCCCTGATTCCTTGAACCCCATTACGATCAAGTTGCTTGATTGCAACAACCTAGCACAAAAGAATTTTTCACCATATTGTTTGTTCAAAACTCTGACAATCCATTCACAGCCACTTGATCAAGAAAGATAAGGAATTTTTTTTGTTCACAGTAGTGCAAGTACCTGATCCTGTTTCTCTAAAGTTCCCTTGAAGACTTTACCAAAACCTCCTTCACCGAGAAAACAATCCGATCTAAAGTTTCCTGTAGCAACTGAAAGCTCTTCAAAGGTAAAAGTCTGTGCTTTCTTCCCTGTGGCTTGGTCATTTAAATTTAAACCCTTCACGTCAAGAGCTAACTGGTCCTCCTTACCAACCCCTTCTCCGTTTACATCTCGATATGGACTGACTTTTGTCGAATCTACAACACATGGAAAGAGTATGGAATCGATTAACCAGTAATCATGTGACTTAGCCCAAAACAGATACGGCAACAATACAAATCAATAAAAGAGATTCCAATACCAAATGCACAACAAAAAAAAAACCAATTTTGACCTTTGTCTCCTCCAGGAGAACACAAAACCTTACTCGATTGAAAACCCAACATCACTCATATGGCGAATAGTATACACATGCATCGAATTTATTTTCCGGGAAAAAAAAAGCATTCAAATTCTCCATGAAATGGCTCTCCCAATGTAACAGATACAGATAACATAAACATAAGAAAACCGATCTACACATTTGAACAGTTCAACAAAATCACAAAAGTTTGTGGAAGAGAGAGAAAATAAATACTTGGATGAACGATTTCGGTGGAGATCACTCTATACCTGAGCTGGGTTGAGTCTGATCGTCTCGCTTATCGCTCTTAGCGACGCTTGTAACACCGACGGTTTTCCTATTTTTCACAGTATCCTTGCTTTTCCCTTTGTTAGTCTCCGATCGTTTGTTCGATTTATCACCGCGTCCGAAACAACCCATCGATAAATTGACAGAGAAAAAGAGCAATTCGCTTGTTCCTTTGATCTTCTCTTACTCCTACTCTCGCTTTTCGTCTCTTCCTCGTCGACGAATCAGAAACACAGATAAAATAAAACCCAACACGGAAAATCAAAGAGAAGAGAAACGAAAAAAGAAGAAAACCGGGGAAGAAAGAAGAATTGCGAAAAAGAAGGAGAGAGAGAAAGAGAGAGAGCTAGTGACAAACAGAGAAAGCTTAATTACTTCGCTTTTTTTATAATCGCGTAATCAAAAAAGTTTTTTCGTGAGAGAAACGTAAAATTATCACCTACGACAAGGCCCATGGTACATTACAGTACGCGTCTAATCAAAACAAGGCACGTCAAGACAAACGCCTCCGTCTTGAGCAGAAGAGAAATTAGAAACGTACGGCTACTGTTGAATAGAGCGAATCACAAGGCGCCACGTAAGGCATGAATACTTGAGCGTGGTCAACTTTTAATTTGTCATCTACCGGCGTTTCGAAACAGACACCGTCGATCTGACGTGGCGTTTGATAAGTGGAGCTATGGATTTGGTAATTAAACCTGTTAAATATTTTTTTGATACTGCGACGATACGACTCATTCAATACTCATAAATCATCCACCGTATCATTTGCTTTTGCGGTAACAATCATAATACTATAGAATAACCTTTTTTATTTTTAGTTATCTTAGAGCAGCTCCAATGCAAAGACCTTTTCATGAGTTCTAAACATTATTTTAGTTATAAATTTTGAATTTTTTTAAGTTAAAAACTTCTTTAAAAGTAATTAAAATTGTATGGCTCCAATGGTTGAACCCTATTTAAGGTTCTAAAAAATATTATTTTGAAAATTAAAATATTTTAAATAGAATTTATATTTTATAAAACTTAAATATTATTGCATTTCATAAAATTTTAAACAAAAATGACATAAAAACATATTACAAATAGATATAGAAATCATAAACAGAAAAAACAAGTTGTAAAACAATTTATATTTTATAAAACATGACATAAAACAATTTATATTTTATAAAACTTCTATTTTATTTTTGTCTAATAAAATTGACCAATGAGAATGAAACACATATGAGGTTCCTACCAATTCTAAAAACACTACATTGAGAATCGACTCTCATCTTTTTATTTAGTTTTTTTTTATTTTTTTGATTTTTTTTGTTAGAACCTCATGTTAAGAGGCTCCATTGGAGCTGGTCTTAGACCAACTCCAATGGTGACACTAGGGTGTCTTACAAGTGTTCTTAAAGAATATAATTGAATTAAAAAATCAGAAGTAGTGTCTTAATTTTTAGACCAAGATCTTATTTAGGATCTTTTCTGATTTAAGAACGGACAGCTGTCTGATTATGAATGGACAGAAATAAATCAAAAAATAAATCAATAGAATGAAAAAAAAAAACAATTTTCCAGTTCTTTTTCTCCTCTTCCTCTTCCTCTTCCAGATTCGACGAATGTGTAGATACGCACAAGGTAGTTTCAATCAATCGAATTTCTAAGTTAAAATGTCAATCGATTACTTAATTTTCTAAGGGGATTAGGTGAATTTTTTTTTTTTGCCGCAGGGATGAATTCGAGGAGTTTGCATTGGCGTTGTTTAACGTCTTGAGAAGGAGGGAAAACATAACTTCATATTCGATAAGCGAGGACCAGCTTCTAGTGTTTTGGAAGGAGATCACTGATCAGGATTTTGATTCGAGGCTACTAACTTTCTTCGCCATGTAAATGTTTCTTTAAACCAATTTTTTATGTACGACTCTTTTGTATATCCCACATGAACACATTGAAGTATGGTATGAATTGCAGGGTGGATAGAGATGCGGATGGGCGGTTGAATGAAGCAGAAGTAAGAGAGGTAGAATTCTGATTTTTTATAGTGATGTGTATTACAAATCCTGGAGCTCTCACTGATCTTCGTTAAGTAGAGTTTTCCTCTTCATGTACAGATTATAAGTCTGAGTGCTTCTGCAAACGAACTGGACAACATTCGAAGACAAGCAGATGAATATGTGAAGTTTTGTGAATGAGGTTCATTTGTTAATGGATCTTATTTAGTTAGAAAGTTTGGTTTGTGAATCTTTATTTGATATGTTTGGAGGCACTTGCTTGCTACAATGCCAAACAAATTGAGAATATAGGAAGAGATCCGCTTACCAAGTTATAGGGGTTTGTGTTTGTATAGCCAAAGGAGCTGCAGAGACCTTGAAACTAAACATGGCTCTGATTTTGTTTCCAGTTTGTAGGAACACCATCACTTGGCTCCGCATCAAAACCGAGTTAAGTGTTGTTGTTCCTTTCGATGACCGCCTCAATTTTCACAAGGTAATAATGTTAGCTTCATGGAGAATAAACTGAAACAGTTTCAGATATTCATGTATGAATGCTATGATTGAATCTTACACAGGTTAGAGTTTTAATCCATGCCACATCTCACTTAGCCTGCGATTTTTTCCGGCTGATTGCTGCAAATGAAGAGACGTATGAGCCGATGGTGCAGTATCTTTCAGACGCAATAAGCTCAATCTTTATGGACCACTGAAGAAGATAACCAGCTTTAACGTCTTTTGGTACTCTCACCATTTGTTTGTTATCGTCTACTTGGTGCTCGTTGTTCACAGATACTACGTCTACCTCATCAAGACCTGGCACAAGAAAACGGTTAGTAACTTATCAACTACTACGCTCAATACACATCGAGGCTGTCTCGATATCAAAGATGAAAAAAGTTGTTAAACTAAATTTTTATATAAATTTATTAAAACAAAAATTATATATTTTTAAAAAATACTTTGATGGGTGTCTCCATTATATGTTAAAAACAATAAAATCTAACAAAGTGTTTTATATATATAAAGTACAGAAAATATTAATACTTAATCATTAAGATCCCTTCTAATGGTGTTACTATTGGGGTTGCTCTTACTAGTATAAGTTTGTGAATCTATATGATAAAACATCCATCTAAATTAGATGAACATATTCAGATTGACGTTAAACGATATAACTTCTCATCCGACATTGTGTAAGCAACTCGATAATCCATATTATAAAAGCTAAATTTACCTTCGTCTAAATTAGATGGACATCCAAATTAACAATTTATTGATATAACCTCTTATCCAAACTTGTGTAACTAGCTCGATCAATTGAAATCGTAATTATGTATACAATGTGTTGGTTGCTTATACTTCCAAAATGCGACTGAATGTAGGTCTGTTTTACTCAAAGTTTTATAGCTAAACAAATGGAATTATGTAAACTGATTATAAAGGCTGGTTGTGGCCAATCGTGTATACTTCTAGAAGTTTATAACTAAAAATTTGGAATGTGTAACTATGAATTACACTATTTGACATATATCGTAGATTAGTTTGGATTTTGAGGAGAATTTATTTGGTTAAACCATACACTTTATAAAAAAAAATTAAGCGTTTATATAAAGATGAGGGAACATTTTTTTGTAGCTGTCACCTATCGCCCTTACGGGTGACGTTGGTATATGGACGACGGCCACTTACTCACCGTTTGATTCATTTTTTTAAAAAGGCGAGAAACAAAAGGACGTCATGGTGGGTCCCACGTTTTAACTCCACGCGCTTTTGTTGTCGAATTTTTGTATTAAATCCATTTTATTTTTTTGGTTAAATTAATTACATCTACGCCCCCAAGAAGGATTTTTAAATAAATTCACATAACACAGGGCAGGCTTTTTTGTTTGATGGTGGTTCCAACAGTAATTAACTGCGACGCGTTTCAGCTGCTGGCTCTGTTACGAGGAACCACTAAAAGCCAAAATCAAAGGAGATAGCGCCACGTGTACACGAAATCAATGTTTTTCGCAGCATAAGTCATTATTTAATCGCATTTAATTATTTCTTTCACCCACAGGAGGGGCTTAGTTACTAGTTAGGCTACATTACAATGACAACAACTCCCCCCCCCCGGTAAAATATTTAAAAAGACGTTGTTGACCTTCTAGGCCTTGAGACTTTAAGAGACAGACTATCTTTCGCTGGCAAACATTTTGTTTGAAATTAACCTTTTTAATCTTTTTGTTACTGTATTTATTTTGGTGTATCTCCTCCGCACTAGCAAACTGTTGTTTATGATCAAGAATTTCATTATGTTCTTAAACTTTGATATTCCATTTTTTGGATTACTCCAAGCCCACCACGATGGCCCATCTTCTGTCGAGGCATTTAATTATTTTTGGCACTGGCTGCATAAAATTACATGTTTGTGATGATAAATAAATAATAATAATTCATCTGTTACCTCGTATCTTTGATTCAAATCCAATGCAACCAAATTTTGCACAAGATTATGTTTACTCGGCATCCATGTATCTGAAGCTTTTTGTACTTGTTTTTCTTTTTACAAAAATTTATAGTTTATTAACCTAAAATTTCATTTTTCTTAAATTCTAAATAAAAATATGATAGAAACGTTGACAAATTGATTAATTAAAGTTTTTTATACCAGAAGGTAAAAGAATATCTAAATAATATAAAATGGATATTCAATTTTAAAAAGAATGAAAATATATAATTTATTTTTTTGGTCTAAATAATGGTGGGTTTCCATTGGCATAGACGTATT